GTGCCAAAGGTAAGATTTGTTGACAAACGGCCAATGGTGCATATTCAATGTTACCCCAGTCGTTTGCACAAATCCGCCGTACACGCCAGCACGTACCGTACACTTTCTTCTGACAACGTTCCTCTTAGCTCTCGCTCGACGAAACTTACGCCGACATTGCTCCTGTCCGCTCGGACGACTCGAACCCTGCTGCCTTCGTGTCGATCATGCGTGGATGCAACAACATGTGCTCGTACTGCATTGTCCCTTTTACCCGCGGCCGAGAACGGTACTCTGAAATGGTTGGACATAGTCGGTGTTGATGGCAGGTGTGGTAGTTCGCGGGATTTGCATTCGATTGTAGACAACGTCAAGGCATTGCGAGACCAAGGGGTGAAGGAAGTGATGCTCCTTGGGCAAAATGTCAACTCGTACCATGACAAGCGCACCGAAGGTGAGATTCAACCAACGAAGACAGGCTTTCTGCCTGTAGAAGAATATGTTGCATGACCACAGTTGCGTTGTTTTGTCTGTTAGGCGCGCAAGAAGAAGGTCGGGCGTATGTGCCTGCTGCAGGCTTTAACAACATGTTCAAGGCGCGCGACGCATTGGTAAGCCTGTCATCGTCAGTGTCCTCGGCGAGACATCCTTGTTTAGGTCATTGTGTTGAATTGCATTTTGTAGGGCTATCGCTTTGTCGATTTGTTGGACCGTGTGTCGGCCGTCGATCCTGAAATTCGCATTCGATTTACATCCCCGCACCCCAAGGACTTTCCCGACAGCGTCCTCCAGCTTGTCAACGAGCGCGCCAACATTTGCAAATCGATTCACATGCCCGTGCAGCACGGCCACTCGGACGTACGTTGTAGAGGGTTCGCAAGATCATTTCGACCAATTCCACCGTAGGTGTTGGCCCGGATGCGCCGAGGACACACCCGTGATGCGTACTTGAATCTGGTGGACAACATGCGGTACGTCGTACATGCATTTGTTGGGCTTTGGGCGATCAAATTATGCGGCGTTGCTCTGGTGGTAGATCGATCATCCCTGGGATTGCACTCAGCTCGGATTTCATTGCTGGGTTCTGTAACGAAACTGAAGAAGAACACCAAGCCACGGTATGGGTCCAAACTGCGGCTGGATGTCGCCGACGTTTCGAGTAGTTGACCCTCATGCGCCACGTGGCGTTTGATCATGCGTTCATGTTTGCTTACTCGATGCGCGCCAAGACCCACGCTGCTTATCGCATGGAAGACAACGTGGTATGTCCTTCAGTCGCAATAATTTTTGATATCATCGAGGGTTTTCATCATCGTGATAGGAGGAAGCGACAAAGCTGCGACGGTTGGCAGAAGTGATTGACACGTACAACACAGTCGTCACTGCAAAAAACAAAGCCGAAGACGAAGGCCGGCTCCACGTTGTGCTGGTGCAAGGTCCCAGCCGTCGCTCAGAGTTGAAGCTCACGGGATTGACCGACACGAGCAAGCGATGTGTCTTTCCAGGCGAGTTGCCCATTCTTGCGCGTTCTCCAGCTTTAGATGTTCAATATCTCTCTTTTGTTTGGACGAGTTTTGATGCTCTGTTTTTGGGCAACCGATGATTTTGCGCACTGACTGGGAGATGGATAGACGTCCCGGTGGCCCCGGAAGCCTCGATGGTGTGGAATCCTGCCACGCTGGACTTTGACGCTGCGTCCAACAATTCGATGGGACCGACAGTGTCGTTGCAAAAGGGAGACTACGTCCTTGTCCGCGTCCATGAGGCCGGGCGCCACACGTTGCACGCGACGCCCCTTGCTCGAACGACGCTCACGGAACTGCAAAACTTGGCTCCCGCAGGCTTGCTTGGGTATGTCATTTTGAAAGCCGCCCATGTGGGGCATGACGACGTTCGAATAGGGCACGACGACATGATTTGGCTGCGCTCATTCTCTGACCCATCCATTGCAACCAGAAGCTAGATACGCATTAGATTTGCATTAATGAAAAACGTGTTAACGTGTGGCTGCTGAAAGCTCGTCGATCTTGGCCATGGTGCGAACGCTCCATTCTCGACGATCTCCCTTACTAGGCTGGTATTGGCGACGCAAATGCTTCGACCACCATGGACACTAAAGCCAGACGAGGTGAAGCGTGCAGATCAATCTCGATGCAGTTGGTTGTACCGTATTCTGCCTTGATACACCCGTGAACACTCGATGACATCCACTGCGCGTGCCTTGTTTGGAGGTCGGGTAGATTCCAGTATTCGAGGCACTGACCCAAGATCTTTTTTCGCCCTGCTGTACTACTGGTAGTGAAGGAACCAACGAGACTACGACATTTGGGGCAGATATATAGCTGACAAGCAGCAGCTCGTCAAAAGGATATTCTCTCTCGTACATCGCCAGCACGTTTTCCATCCACTCCATCAACTCGACTACAAACACATGCTGGTCTTGGATGGGCTACAATGGATTAACAATTCTCCTCATGGAAAACAGGTTTACCATTCGATCTAGCACGTCTGCGCAGGTACTCATAGCTCGCTGCATATTCTCAACGCGATCAAAGAAACCTTGTCTACACATTGCACCTTGGCCGATGAGTACTACTACCCCTGCCACATCGAACGGCACTCACATTACTTGGGCGATGTACGTGCTTGTTTTCTCCAACGACTCAAAGTGGCGCTTCTTTAAGAAGACGCGAATGCTGTTCATGCCATCCAGCACGCCATATTTCGACTCTTTCTCGCTCATTACGAGTGGCAATCTTTGCGCGATATTCACCAATGACGAGAACCCCTGAAGTCCCTGCCTCTCGAGAACATTGCATGCATCAATCTACCGAAATGCTAGAAGTCATGCCATCATGTCATTGTTCATGAGTTCACCTACCTCTTCCAGGAACTGCTTGTGCAGCTTGATCACTTGCCGCTTCTCCTTGTCGCCCATCTTCCGTCGAGGGCAAAATTGGTTTTATCCGGGAACCACATGCCATTGGCTGTGGTCAGCCACTTATCCGGTATTTTGTGAAACGAAAACTGCGGTAACTGCCGAACAGGCATCGTGCCATGGTTGCCGACTGCCCCGACGCGATCTGGATTGCCTCCAGGAAAGGAAACACCGAGGTCGTAAAGCACATACTCGAGGAAACTGCAGCTGTGCACAAAGTGAGATGGGTAGGCGACTGGACAAAAGCGGAGTTCGTGTGCTGACAATGGACTTCCTTGCGAACTATTGCAGTCAGGTGTCACAGCTCTCCATCGAGCTTGTGAAGGGGGCAACCTCGACACAATTGAACTCCTTCTCGACAGAGGCGCGGACATCAACGCTCGAAGCACATGGGTAGGTTGGTACAGATGAGCTACTGCAGTCACAGAGCGGAGTGATCTCGATGGGATGAGATAGGGATGGTATTCTCCATTGCACGTGGCTTGTCGGTATGGTCAAGAAGCCACAGTCAAGTATTTGCTCAGTCGCGGAGCTGATTGGACCATCAAGGACAAGGTACTAACACGTCATATACCAATAACGCATTCGCTTCATGTTGGCGCAGCGCAAGTTGACGCCATTCAAGTATGCTATCCGCGCTGGTCATGCGTCGATGGCTCACCGCATCGACGAGGTACTGCCTTCCTGCCTCGTTATAACAATCACATGGGTTCTGTTGTAGTGGAACGTCGCGAGACAGAAATGCCACCTCTAGACACCGAGGGCATTCCCTCACATGAAATCCGTGTCGGACGTCTTGGAGGAAGGCGACGACGTTGAGGTTTCCCACATCTTCTGTAGCTACAGCACAAGGCACGCGAGATTGCACAGAGAGCGACGTGAATCATGGCAAAGTCGACCGCAGCGCTACCGCATCAATGCATTTCTTCATCCATTCCTTCCTAGCTCTGGCATAATTTGACGTACCTCCCAACACGATGCACTTTCATTGGCACGTCCATCGTGTGGGCTTTGCCACTGCACACAGCGGGGCAATCGCATGCGCCCTGTGGATTTTGTGATGATACTTGAGAGACTTCGGACTCACCAAACAGAATCGTCAAAAAACAGGCCAACGACGGCGAATCTCGAAGGTTTTCGAGCAGCATCTTTCGACAAATACGCAGGCCAAGGTCAGAACCCGAATCCTTTCAATTGCAAAATCTCGAATGAAGCCGACGTGACTCAACAGCAGCAACACCCGCCGCTCGCTGCGGAGTGTGATTGAAAAATACATTCCATAGGGCGATGTGAGGAGCCGGTCCTGCAGCTCGATAAGCTCCACACGTACGAAGCGTAAAGCCTTCGAGATATGCCCCCATCACGTCGTCATTTAACACCAAACACGGCGCGTACGGATGGACACCAACCTGATTTCAATATCGTTGTGGCTAAAACATGTCGCGACCGTGTTGGCCGCGAATGACGATCCAGCGGAATGGCGTGGTGAACAGCCTGATCCATCGGTACGGGGCCGCCATTGAACCAGACCACGAGGGAGCCCAACGTTGGGTTGTTGTGCGACTCAAAGAACCATGAAAACTACTTCGTCGTGTCGGTGGCACGCAAGGACGTGGACGCAAGGCAAAGGTGTCGCAGAGTAGTGTCCATGGCGCTGTTCGCGCAACCACAGACAGAAAAGTTGTCAACGACAGGAAATTCCTGCGTTTGAAACCTCGAATACATCCAAAGTGCGCCATGGGCAATGTCCGTGCGGGCGAATTGGGACGTGTTTCACGCCAGGCGACACCACCTGCGTGGGGCGCCTGCAGCGGCAGCGCGTTGTGCATGGTCTTATCGGATATTTCGAGTCCATTCGTCATGGCTCATGAAAAGTCAAGCGTACATCGGGAAGTCTCGACGACGGTATAAAGATATGATTTCTATGGACTTTCGGGAACAGCGTCGTACTGGCGGATGTGCCGACTGCTCAAGCTGTGGTGGCCGCGAAGGCCATAGAGGCCGTACACTCCACACGCGACTGTGATGTAAAGTCCCATCAAAAACACCATCAGCGACGGGATTTGAATGGCGAGGAACCAGTTGAACCAAATCGCCATGCACGGGAAGACCGGCACGCACGGCGCGTGAAACGGTGTGGCGCGGGGATATTGCTTCGTGTCGTCGTCCTAGGACCCACCATCATGACGATCACGAGTACACGCTTCATCACCTTTACTTCATCATTCAACGACGCTTCATTCGATGGAGTCGTGGGCTTGTCGTTCCCACCAGGACTTTCTTCTGGCGCAAGCTGCACCGCTTTGCTTGCTTTTGCCATGACAGCCACACACAGACCTAGAGTCGCCACCACGCGCTCATCCACTTGTTGCAGTCCACAGAAACACAAGTTACCAGACGCAATCGTGAACACGGCCGCACCGACGGCGCCATACGTGTGCATGTACCAGCGATACCATGACTTGTCACTCGATGCCCGTGGCGCTAGCATGCTTTCTTGGACATGATACGCCGACAGCCAGCTCGTCACGAGGAAGACCGCGATGATGGTAGCAGGAGGATTGGGTAGGGCATTCAGCGGCGTTGGGGACAACGTGCACGCACGATACCGCACGGCCAAGAGGCACGTGTTGGTCAGGTTGAATGCAAGCAAGATCCCCAGCGAAATGAAATCCCACAAGTACTTGAATGGAACGAAGACGGCGATCGCGATGAGGACGGAGCCAGCAATCAGCGTGCCTGTTTTCATCGTCAATTTTGCCCGGAAGGTCAGTGTAGCACATGCAGTCAGTTGATGCATAACCTTACCATAAAACGGGTTGCCGTGGCCATCCAACTTCGAAAAGCACGCAGGAAGGAGTCCGTCCTTTGACATGGCGTACTAGGGACGCATGAATGAGTTGGTGAATTCGTCTACACCTGAAGCGGATTGGCGGCGCCACTTGAAACGAAGTAAAAAAAGGAATTTCTATCGTACGATGTACAGCGCACGTACCTGAACGCGGGGCTGCGCGAGAAAACCAATCAAGATCCCCACGGGCATCGTGAGCACTTCGCCTGTTTCGACGACTGGCGCCGCCCAGGTGTACCCGACCTGTATTCCTCAAACGTCAGCACATTAAAGAGACTTTAGCCAACTGGTTAAGGCTAATAAACGTACGTGGCGCAATGCTGTGCCGTACGATTCTGCCACGTCGATGTCGGTAAACTTTTGCATGCCGACAAGGGACAGAGTGGCCATCGTGGACAAGAATGCGGCACCGATGACCGTCCCGAAGACGGCTCGGGGAATATCTCGCGTGGGGTTTCTGGCTTCGGCAGCGAGACAACACACTTCGTCTAGTTGTTGCAGGGGCTCGTGAGCTTGAAATTGATAAGTTCCATGACGTACCGTAGCCAATGTAGCCATAGAAACTAGCGCTGGCACCCAGCATCACGCCAGGCCATCCAAACACAACTTGATCTACTGCATTGATGTGCTCGGGGACGAGGAACGGATCCACTTTCGACCCATCAAACTTGGTGAGGCCAACGACGATGATAAACAGCACGACAGACATCTTGGTGACTGTCACGACATTGATGAGCTGCTTGCCAGCGGACATGCCGCACAAAACAATGCCGACGCAAACGGACTAGCCATCCACTCTCGATCAGAATGGGTTGGAACGCGTGGTCACGAATTACCATGAGCAGGCCGGCGTACAAATCGACGGAGCTATCCTTAGGCTTCATCCACGAAGGTCCTTCGATGCCCACTTGAGCTAGCCAAGAGACGAACTTGTCGCTCCAGCTGCGCGCGCCGCCCGCACTGGCCACGCCATACTCGAGTGTGAGAAGGCAGCCTGCAACCATGGCAGGCATTTCTCCAAGCGAGTGATACGCATACGCGTAGGTGCTACCCGCGGACGGGATCAAGCCACTGAGTTCCATGAACGAGGCGCCGCTTAAGATGCAACCAAACCCCGCCAAGATCCAACTCAGCACGGCGGCAGGACCGGCGTATGACTTGGCAATCTACGCGTGATGAGAATACGATTGCCGCTACGCATAGCGGTGGGCTGAAGTACCAATCCAGCAGTTGCAAACACCCCACTGCCGACGGTCCCGCCAATTCCAATCATGAGCAAGTCAAAGCAACCCAGAGTCTTCTCCATGTGTGGACTCTCTGACGACTCTTGGGCATACGTGAGACTCAGTGGCTTCTTCCAGCTCACTTTCAGCCACAGCGACACCATAGTGCCACTCGAGTTGTGCATGTACGTTCGCTCTTCTTTTTCGTTCGCTTCCATCTTGCCACCACCCTTCTTCCGTAACTGCATGATGTTGGCTGCTGGGACTTGCTTTTGTCGCGGCGTCTGGTGATTTATCCGGATTCGACAGGGAAGGTCAAGCAAAAATTACACTCGTGGCATCGAAAAAAACAAATTTCCTTGTACTTTTGTTCCAATCGTCCAGTCGACAAAAAAAGGTGGGATTCGAAAGCAGGAGCTGCCACGTCATAAGCGCAACACATCTCAGCAGTCTATCTTATTACAGCGAAAGCCGATTCATATCGCTGGACACTCTCCACATTTCTTCGATCGGTCCAAGCTCGCTCAGGTTGATGTCCGAGACCGAGATGCGGGGGATTTCCCCAAGGGGGGCCGCGCCTGTCGTGCTTTGGTCCGACAGGGGGGGCTGGGGTATGAAATCTGCGTTGTTGTCGCCTTGGCGCATGCGGCGGGCAGCAGCGGCGCGAGCCGCGTCCATGTTCACGGGCAATCGAGGACGCTTGTTATTTGGGTCGCCTTGGTTTGCGTCCGAAGGGACCGATACCGCAGCGGCTCGGTTGGCAAACGACGCCGCAATGTTGTTAATAGGAACCACAGAAGGAGGTTGCTGGAGTTTGGGGGCTTGGCTTTGAGCGAATGATGCGGCAAAGTTGAGCGCAGGCGCTGCGGGCCGAGTATAATCCCCCGTGTGCATCGGTGTGCCGAGGGACTGCACAAAGCTGGACACGAGCGAGTGTCGCGGTGATGACGACGCATATGGCGCCATGGGCGGGGGACCACCACAGGCAGCTGGAGTGGCGGTGCCGTTCGGTCGCATTTGAAAAGAGCTTGACGGCGGTACATTCTGTTCGGTCTTCATGGACGAAGCCGGTGGCGGATGTTGATCGAGATTTTGGTGGTAGACACCGTCGTGCTGGGGCGGCTGCTGCGGGGGTGGGTACGGCGTCGGCTGGTACCCCGCTGACGTGTTCTGACGACCATAAGGCCCGGCGTTGTTGTAGTATGAATCGTACTCGGAGGATGGCTGCTGTTGTTGTTGTTGTTGGGCCGGGGCAAACTGTTGATGTGAGCCGTTCATTTTTTGCAAAAACGCTGTGGCTGGGTTAAAGTTCGACACCTGGAAGCTTGGGGGCGTCGGGGAACCGCCAGTCATGTGCTGCTGCGGGTGGTGCATTTGAGGCGGCTGGTGCGGGTGGTGCATTTGAGGCGGCTGGTGCTGGTGGTGCATTTGAGGCGGCTGGTGCTGGTGGTGCATTTGAGGCTGCTGCTGGTGCAGGTGCGATGAGAGCTGTGGGTGGGGATGTTGCACAGGCTGGTATGACTGATTGTATAAATCAGTCGGTTGGTACTCGGCGCTTGCACTTTGGGGTGTCGGCGGTGCCATGTGCGGGTGATAGGACTGATGAGGCTGTAGGTGCATTGGAACGTGCCCATGCGATTGAAAGGAAGGCGGTTGCATCCGGTCATCCATTCCAGGGAGATGATGGTGCTGTTGCAGCGGACGCGGGTAGCCCTGATGACCCATGTGATATCCTGGCGTGCCGCTTCCCATCGCTGTAGCGTCATGCGCATCTTTGTCAGCTTGGGCTTTGCGATTTCGTCTGCCCGAAATGGTGTAGTTAGCTTGTGAGAAATGTATGTATGCCATCGCACCCAGACTTCGTCCGGCAAAGCGATTTCCAGCGGATTTTGACGGCATCTTCGGTACGACCTGGCAACATGGCGGCGATAGCGGACCATCGATTCCCAATGCGCTGTTGAGCTTCAATGATGATTTGATCTTCTTCCGCCGTGTAATCCCTGGAGCGCATTGTTGGATAATGTTCGTTCTGCCAGTTATAACGGAAACGTACCCTCGAACGATGTTGGGGTCTAAGTGGTTGTACCATCGTTCACGGCATTGCTTGGACGTGCGCCCTGGGATCCGAGCTGCGACTTGGCCCCAATTTTTACGCCCCTCTGCAACCAACTGCCTCAACACGTCGTCTTCGTCAGGACGCCAGTGGCCTTTGATCAGTCCTGGAGCAAGAACTTTGGTCCAACGCTGCAGACATTGCGTGTGGTTGCGCCCCGGAACGATCTCTGCAATGGATTTCCAATTACGTTCACCGTGGGTTTCCACCGCTTGCCGCAGCATTTCGTCCTCTTCCGTTGTCCAACGCATTGGGATGGCTTTGCCTGCGATGGCATCAGACGTTATCAAACGAACGATAGCGATACATACCTTGGGTTTGCAAAAGTTTTCGGACGCTGCCTTGGGGCAGCGCCACGCGGCCGGACGCAGTGATCCCCATTACATCTTGTTGTTTTTGACGAGGAATGCCCTTGATCTCTTTAGGCATTTGATATGGAGTTTTTCTATTGAACATTCCATCACCATCACATTTCCTGTGTGTCCTCTCAACGTACGGCGCCGATGACGTCGATGGAGCACTGGTGTCCTTTTGACCTTCGGCAAACAAAATCTTGCCAAGGTCCGAGATGGACTGCCGCGAATCCATGTCGATTGGGAACGAGTCCACAAACTCGTGCATGATTGAACCGATGGAGTCTCGCGTGGTGTTGCCTTGCGTCGCCGATGCCGCTGTAGGTGTCGACGGAGTTCCACCGCCATCGGCAACGCCTGCGGGAGCCATCTCGAAATGGAATTTAAACCGAGTTCTCGTTGAAACGAATTATATTTCGATCTCCCATACGGAAACCAAGTATCTGTGTCCCAAGAAAAAAATTACGCTTTGTCTGTCCTATAATGGACACCTAATCTAACTGGCGTTTTAAACACGTACGAAACGCATTACCGCGATGACTCAACTGGCAAACTCAACTCAAACTGCTCACAGTCCAAACAAACGACAGCGACTGAGCATAGTTTGAGTCGCCATGGTTAATACACATTTCCGCCTTGGGGAGCTAACCTTAAAGTCACGAGTTTGCCGCTCGTTGAAATTACAGACAGTACTGTAGATTAAGCCTCACTTGCACAAGCAGCGAGGGTAGCTAACGGAGCTTGGCCGAGCCTTGGTGGTATACGTCAACACTCAAATCAACATCCTTCGCTCACAAACAGCAGCAGCACACAAGATTTTGGGGAGGTGCCCCCATGTTTGAAACAACAAAAAAAACGGATTCTAAACATAGCTGCCAAATCACCTGATTCGCGCCATCCGGATGTCCTCGAGTATTGCGGACTGAAAGAGCCGGAGCACGGTGAACGGCCTGTGATTAGCTATTGTCAATGCCGGGATCCGGCTCTCGACAAGCAGCAGACACACCCATGAAATTCTCGGACAATTCGATCCGTGGTCGCCATCACTTGGTCAAGGGCGACGGCTGAGGGCAGCCCCACGAAGCCCCTCTCGATCCCCCTGCATGCGTGATGGTTCATTCCCCAAACGTGGCGTTCGCCCTCGAAACAGTGTCGCCCACTTGTGCAGGTTCAAGCCCTTGTGCAATATTCTTTAGTTCTTTTGTCAGGGAGTGGCGCCGAGAACCCTCCTACACAAGGTGTATCCATGCATCCGTCGCTCCCGTGCGGTGGAAGCAAGGAATTCGCGGCATCGCTTCTGCTCCAGTCGGGGGACAAGAGGATCCAATTCAGGAATTACAACCAATCCAATGTGTGTATTCCGTTCTTAATAGCCTATTGAAATCAAGATTTCGTCGGCGTTCTTGCACACCACGACAAGCTCCAGCATGAACTCGATGCAAGGAATCACGACAGTTGGGATCGTTGGCGCTGGCGTGCTTGGAAGGTACAGTGAGGTCATGGAGACGCGTAGTAGCCCCACGCGTTTGACTTGTCGTGGTCGATAGCGCCATTGCGTTCGACCTGGCGATGCGTGATGTCAAGATTTTGCTTTTTGATCGCGACCCAGCAGTCACGACTCCGGAAGCCCTGCAGCACGCGAGCTATGCTGTCTTGCAGCCGTTGTGGCGGCTTGGATACATTCCTCAGACGTTGGTCGGCAATGCATTCAAGAACATCCGTGGCGTGCATACGTTGGAAGAACTGGCGGCCCACGGTCCGCAGTTAATCATTGAAGCCATTCCTGAAGACTTGACATTGAAGAAGAAGCTCATTCGAGATCTGGAAGCGCGGACACCACCGACAACGATCATCGGCACGTCGACCATCTCGTTGAACGTGAACGAGATTGCTGCCGGCAGTCTCCGGCCAGCCAACTTTCTCGGCATTCGGTTCATGCTTCCGTGTGTCCTCATTCCTTTTGTGGAGCTCGTGGCGTCTGCGAACACCGCAGTGGACACGATGACTCGCGTCGAGAGCTACCTCAGTTCCATCCACAAAAGCTGCACCGTGGGACCGACCCGTCGGGTCTTGAACGTACGCGTCATGCTGTGTAGAAGAGAACTGACTCGGGTTCTGGGTTACAATAGAGGGCCGATGTCAACACATATCAACTGGAGCACGCCAAGGCGCTGGGGTTCTAGCCCGACGCGCTCCCGATGGCGCAACCCGTCATGCCGGCGGGAGCTTCAGCCGGGCACACGTTGAATCGACCTTCGAGCGTCTGCAAACTGTCATTGTCTTTCCATCCCATGAACTCGCCACGACGTCGTGTGGCCAAGCATGATGCCGCTCGGCATTACGAACTACCCGTCATGTCGACTTAAATCCACGGCATCCACCCCTCGTACATTTGGCACAGGTTGTCGACACTTGTAGCTTCTTGAATCAGCCATTGCACGTGCTCCTCTACTGTGTAGTGGGAAGCTTCGCCGTCGAGCTTGTCCTTGACGCGACGGAGCACTTGGAGGCCAAACACATTACGTTCTTGAACTTGTTTGAGTTTGAGGGGTGCAGGAATGCCGCCGCTGGGCTCGTCATTGCTATCGCTATCATCTTCATCATCGCTGCTGCTACTGCTGTCGCTGGAGTCGTCTGCGTTGGTGTTGGAGCGTTCGTGCGATGACAACAACGTCGCTTGGTCGGCAATTTCAAAAAAGAGCCGCACGACCGCTTCCATGGCTTGTCGAATCTCTCCAAGGCCGGTCGAAGCGTCCAGCGCAGAGTTGAGGCGAGCAACTGCAGTTAGTGCACCCACAGCTTTGTCGCCGGCGGTGGGTCCCACCGCCGCTGCGGAATGGTTGTTGCCACTGTCCCAGCCAATTTTGCCGCGAATGACGGACGCCATTGTCGTCGACGAGGAGCAATCTAAATCCGGGCACTCCTGCACAAAACGCCGGAAGGCTTGTACGACTGCGTTGTAATTGTCTTCAAGATTGGCACTCGTCGCTTCGTACGTGGACATGACATTTTGTAGGTCTCGGAGCTCATCGACGTTTGTGCGCTTGATACTCTTTGCAAGAATCTTGACGAGGCGCTCACTGTCCCAGATGACGGACATGGTCTTGACGTGGTGCAGCAGGTCTGGCACTGCACGTTTGAGCGCCATCACATGACTCGAAACATCCGGGAGCGAGTCTAAACGGCCAGTTAAGAGCGTTCGGAAGCGCTCAACCAGCAAAGTCGCATACTCCAGGTCGTTCTGCATGGCGTCGCGTTGCTGCGACTGGGCTTGTAACAAGCAGTGTCGTTCGTGCTGGCGGGTTGTATGTGCTTTCCATGCTACTTGAGCTTGCAGGAATGCCGCCACAACGCGGAGGCCCTCGGCATCGACCGCACGACACGTATCGCTCTGGCTATCGCGAAACGTCGACTCGACGTATTCAATCCACCGGCACGCCACAAACAGCGACTGCGTGTCGTGCTTGATATTCAACGCATGCGACGCGAGTTCGCGAATGCTGCTGTGATCGTGCGGTGCCGCGGCAGCCAAGAGCGCCGTCGTGGTTGGTTCGAGCAAAGACTCGATCGCTTGTTCGTGGCGATGTAAGTTGTCCGTGGGAGGAATCAAGGAAAGGAGTTGACTGCGAGCCACGCCGTCATCATCTTTCTTAGGTTGGACATTCAGCCACGTCGACAAGACGTCATGCTGAGCTGTCCAACTGGCCACGTCCTCGATAAACGCATTGTGTCGATCGCAGGTTGCTTGGGATCTGGACGTGGTAGCACAGGTGGCCATGGCTCGAACTAGATCGTCCAAGTCAAGGCTGGAAGCTACACGTGACATGATGTCCAGGTCGGTTGGAATCCCTATCGGCATGGCATGTTGCAATTCGTCCAACACGACGTCCTGCGTGATCTGATCGTCCGCCGCTGGTTTGAATTTCCATTCTTGCACGCATATCGTGGTATGGCAGAACGAGTTGAGGGCGTGGGAGGCCAGTGCCAGCACAGTGGCCGCTTGGTTTGACAGGTACGCTGCAGCTTGGTGAGGCTGTCGGTCTTGAATAACCATCCATGCTACTGATGCAAGCGTGTCAAGCCAGTGATACTGAATAGCGTGTGCATTGCCATCAACTGTCAGCGAGATTTCAATGGCGCAAACGACGTTGAGCAGACGAAGCAGTGACCAAACACCCGCGAGGTCCAAGATGTTGTTTGGTCGACTCGTTGGTATATCCAGGTTCAAATCGAGTGACGGCATCACTGGCGAGTCGACCCACTCGAACGATGCCAGAAAATCCGACCATCCAGGCATCGCGTTGGCGTGACAAAGAGACTTTCGGAACTTCTCGAACAGTTCTCTGGCAGACGCTCCATAAGGCATGGCTGGCATGTACAGGGCGACATGATCCAGAGCCGATCGAATCGCGACAGTCAAATTGTGCAGAGACGTCAGTGTCGGAGAGTTCAATGGCGGGTTGTCGGGCAAGAAAAGCCATTTCTCCAGTGGCAAGTGCCGAAACGTGATGCCCTTTGTGGTCCTCCCGAGCTCGGACAGCCATTGCACCGACGACAGGCGAAGGGTAAAGTCTTCCAAATCAACTGTGTCTGTCGAGTGGCGATGCCAATAATCAGCAATCGCAACTTTGAGCACCTTTTGAATTTGAGAATTCGAGAGCTTCCATGTCGTCTTCACTTCCGTCAGCGATTGCGTGAGTGCTTTCAACTGGTTGTCCACGTCAGTGGCGTCCAAACGATGAGGTATCGAGGGAGTGGCCTGAACAGGACGTTGCAACGGCAATGCATACATTCCCAATCGATGCGGCAGAAGATCGTCCTGCGCCGCCTTGACTGTTTCATGGATATCGTTCACGCCATTCCCCGACTTGGCTTGCGAAATCCAACTCAGCCACTCTTTGTACACAGTAGGGCCACGAAGCGATCCGTACAGTTGACGTCGCTCTCGTTGGAACCACGAGAGCGACGGCTCGAGCGAACGTGTCGCCTTCGACGTCAAGAACTCTTTCAGTGCGTCGGTACCCTTGTCGAGAAGGCGGCAGTTTTCTTCCACGGACCCGTCGGTCAAGTTGACGGCTTTATGGACGTCCGTGAACGTAAGGGCACGACTGCTCTTTCTCCACTTCCCCACGAGTCCCATGTCTCCAAGCCCAAGCCACTGCCGCACGCCATCCTCACGCGACTGACACTCGGCGCCAAACCGGTCCATTGCTTCCAATGCGTCCACGTAGAGTCGTTCCAGCGCTTCGTCAACCTTCTTCATGTCGTCGTCTTGGTTTTCACTCGACTCGAGCTCGGTCAACTGCTGTTGCAGGGCCTTTTGTTTGGCTTGGACGTCGACGAGTTGGTGCACGAGATCCATCACGTTTGAGACAGCCGTACGAAGCGTTGTGGTCAATTGATCCACTACGTGCCACGTTTGCAAGATGTGGGCGAGTGCCGCATCGGCTTCCGACCGGCGCTCTTGCGCTCGGCTCGAGAACAACGACAATTGTACGTTCATATCCATGCGCCATAGTTTCTTGGGTGGCGGGCCTAACTCGATAGATCGTTACGTAGGATAACGTGATGATCAAATAAACGCACCTTCTTTCCAGTCGACGAGCGGATCGTACACAAACGCTTCCAAGAGCGTCAAGACGGTCTCCTTTGCGTTGGGTGTCCGAATCACACGCAAAGTCGTCTCCATGCTGTGACGGAACCGTCCGTCTGTCCCAGTGAGCCCCAACGCACCATGCACAATCGACGTCAATCGAAACGGCACAATCTCAGGAACCTTGAGTTTCTTGCCCTTGTCAAAGCAAACGTTGTAGTCGATGTGGACGAGATCGCCGCTGTGGCACAACAGCATGTTGTCCAAATGGCGATCCCCGAGGCCAATGATGTAGCCCACGACCGACATGACGGCCACGGTCGTGCAGAACCGGGTCGATTTGGCACTAAATTCTTGCACAGATCGACTTTGCCGCATCATTTCTTGCACGAGGACGTTTGCTTTGGGGTGTTCGCTGACGAGATCTGCAAACACTTGGCGTAACACAGCAAGGGGCCAGTGCGGGCGGCCTGCGGGGGTAATGTTAGTGATCCCGTGAGCTTTGAGTTTCTCGTAAAATGGGGCCGTGGGGGAGGCCACGACCGTGTTGGGAGGATGGTCGGCGGAGACAGCCGACGTGGTGGGTAGTGTTGTTGCACCAGTGTAGATTTGAAAGAGCGGCGTTACGTTGCGCACCATCTGAATCAACCCGACGTCTGTACCAAGTGGAATGACGTTGTAGTGGCGCGCCGTCAAGTCGTAGTGCTTCGCTTCTTTGTCTGAGCTAAGGCACACGTTGACGGTCGAAAGGAGCTGCATGATGCGCTCGTCCAAGTGCAAATCTTCGCGGGATTTGAGCAAATACCGATACGAGTGGCCGTCTGAGCCTACAACTTCCAAGCACTTGGGTTTTGTCTTTGTCGACAGAATTTGCACTTGCGGCGATATCCCTTGAATCACAAGCGCGGGAAGACCCGGCATGTGCACCAGTGACGATTCCCACGACGCCAGGACGGGCGAGATGGACGCCATTTGGAGACTCTGGCGACGGAGGATTGCGCCATGGAGACGTTTCAAGATGTCACTGAACGGAGACCACAAATGGTGCACCAACGGATTCGCCAACACCGACGCTTTCGACCGCTTCGAGTGGCAGTGGGAAAACGGAAGCGCTGGGTCATCCCCCTCCAGGCACTGCTCCAAGTTGGCCAGAGCCGACGCAATGGCGTTCCCAAAATGCAAGTCAAACCAATGCTCATGCGGAGTTGTGGGTGTCGATTGACAAGTCTCCTTCGCCAGCGTCGCCACCGCCAGCAAGACGGGTTTCATCATGGCAACAAATTTTCGATGTGCCAACGACAGTTTGTCTGCATCACTGAGGAATGCATTCTTTTCGACTCGTGCGGCTTCTTTCTCGAGCGTGTGGCTGCGTCGGGCAACGTCCGTGGTCAGCTTCGTCAACAGGGACAGCCATGTTTCGTCCCACAGCAAAGAGATCCGTCTAAACTCGGCAATGAGCTGGCGAACTTGACCCACCAAGTCAGTACTGAGGGCCTACATCCCACGCTGTTACAAGTCAAGTCGTCCTTGCAACACGTCATACCTCGGTTAGGTTGGTTGATTCGACCACTGCAGGATACACAATCAAGTGGGGATTTTCCGACGCGAGACGAAGCAAAATGGCCTCGACACGCCGCAACGCGTTCGGATCTGGATGGGCGAGGCGGGAGAGCAACTGAGGCACGATGCGTTCCCATGGCTGCAGCGGCGAGTCGGTGATTGCCATGTCCAAAGCAACCTGAAGCGACGGCTCGCTCCCTTGCTTGACGAGGACGTTCAGGAGGCGCAAGGTCACGACAACACCATGCGACTTGAGTGACGCCGGCGAAGCACACTGGAGGTAAGTGACGTATCCCTTGACAGCAGTATTGTACCCCGCAAGCACCCGATCTCGTGCTTTTTGATACAGCACATTTAGACTCTCGAGCGCCGGCCCTTTGACATCGGGCGGACACTCAAATGACTCAAAGTTCTGCAATGCGCCAAGCAGCGTCGGCGCCAAGGGCTGCAACACGTCAGAGTACATGTCAACAATAGCCGTGAACTCGTGCTTGTCTTCGATGGACATCGTAAACTGATGGCTGTTGTGCGCAACAGCGTCCAACTGGGTCCGTGACACTTGATACCAAAAGTTGCTCCACTCGAGCCATGCTTGGAACGATGTTGGATCAACTGTCGTGGCGAGGTGTAGGTAGTCTTGTCGTCGATGGGTGTCATCACTCCAGGCCCCCAATTTCATAAGGGTTTTCACCTGCATACGTCGCTCACGGCAACTTGATTTGGCCGATTCGGCGAATGTGCTGTGCACATGGCACAGCGTTTCAATGGCTTCGGCGTGATGGTTGGTGGCATGCTGCAGTAGTGCTCTTTCGTAGCCGACTGTCAGCGCTTCTACACACCCCGTTCCTTTCGGGGACAGTAGTGCAGCCAAGTTGGCAAGCTTGGACGTTGCCAGTTTGAAATTTCGCTGTTTTCGCGCCAATCGAACTATTTGCACGTTGACTTGAAAGACAGCTTCAGTTGGTACACGAGATGCCAACGGATGCCACACGCCCAGATCATGCGCTGTCGGGTTGAGCGATAACGTCGACGGTATCCCCAGCTGCAGAAAGCACTGGAGCTGCATTAGAGTGCGCTGCAATTGCCGGCTCATATTTTCGCCTTTGCGCGGAGCGACCGCCCGTATATCCATGGTTAGGACGCGCAGTCGTTGTTGTAACCACGACACATGCGCTTGGACATCGTCCAAGTGTTGCAAGTTGCGCGCATTGGCGTCGTCAACGACAGTCAGCACGGACCATTCTTGCAATGGAGGGAGGGCCTTGGGCAATCCTTGCACTAGTGAAGGGTCTGTGGCCTGAATGATTGCCACTTCAGCATCCCAAGTCGACACAAGTGAACGCAAAGCGTTGGCAATGTCGAGGTTGTCCGTCGAGTATTGCTGGATTTTGTGCAAGAACGCCGCAACTTCCATGGCTTGCTCCATCCACAGTCGACAGGATGCCCAGTCTTGGAGAATGGCAAAGCACTGCGCACATCGCAGCACGACACCCTTGAATGACGCCGCTCCCATGGACAAGCTGGACAAGAATGACACAACAGCCTCGACAACTGCACCTCGATGCTCGGAATAGTCCAAGCGCACTCCGTGCTGTCGAGCTAGCTGCACGAGAGGCGACACAATCTTGTCGTACCCTGCTGTCGCCGCTTCGTACTGCATCTGCGCTTCCAGCAAGAGCGGTTCCATCCAAGGCTTCGTTTGATCGATTCGAGCAGCATACTGAATATAGCCTTGCAAGCCTGGGGTGTCTTGAAGATCACAGCTAGCGCTGCACAAGGCAAACATAGCACTGTCCCATTCCGACGAGCCCGTCTTCCGGCCATGCATTGACGTCACGAGGGACAGTGCATGATGTCTGCAAACCACGGACGCCCCCGCCGAGTCGCAAAGTCGAATGAGGGACGGTCGGATGCGGAAAAACCACTCGTCACACACTTTCCGGTTCGTTTTGAAGAAAGCTATCGCTTTGTCCCGTTGCTGATGGCGGTGTGGGTCGTCCGATTCGTCCAGCGGTGTCGTCGGAGTCTCCAACTGTACGTGGAAAATGGTCATTTCCAAGGCATGAAGGAGTTCCAGGACAAGACGAGGTTGATGGACGACAGGCTTCCACAAGAGTTTCTCGAGGGCGGCAAACGTTTGACCGGCATTGCCCCAATGCGTGCGCAATCGATTCCAAACGCACCACTTAGCCGCGTCGCACACGCTGCTCTTCAGCGCCAAGAGCGGCGTTGAATGATGCTGCAGCCGGAGCATGGCCAAACAGTCCGCGTAAGACTCACCCGTTTCGAGCCACTGCAGGAGTGCCTCAAATTGCGCTGGCCCGAAGGTCCCGTGGATCTGAATCGAACTTGGCACATGCCATCGAGGGAGCTTTGTCCGCAGGCTGGAAGGAGTGGCGTCGCCCAAACTGGCCAACGCGAGCTTACCAACAGTATGTAGCGCGGTGGTTGCAAGATCGGGGTCCGAGTCGAACAACCGCTCCACAGCGGCGGGCAAATGCGCAGGGTGTGGTTCGATGGATGGAAGGACGTTCAAATAGCACCGTCGAACGCTTGCGAGCGGATGAGCAGCAAGGGATTGGAACCCCACAGGGGCGGGTAATGGTAGCGCAAGCTGAAAGAGTTGCGCGTGAGTGATCAAGTCATTCAAGACCTGGAAAAGGAGAGCCGAGTGCGGCATCGTGATCAAATGCGACATCAACATCGTCGCCAAAGCTGCTGAGTCGGTGGGTTTGATCGAGAATGCATGAATGCGAAGGCGCATAACGAAGTGCATAAGGCAATGAATCGCTTTCACGCCGTGTAGAAACAAAGGACTGTCCGACCACTTTGGCATCACGTGAACGAGGCGACCATACTGACCTGCCAAGCACGCGATATCTCCGGGAGCGAGAGGTGCCATCGGCGATGCCAAAGCCAAGCAGAACGCCATCAGACAAAACAGGGCCACTTCGGGGGACGACGACGGAGCGGACACTGCTTGCATACTAAACACCTAGGTCGCCACCACGGTTAGTTTCGGGGGTGGGGGTGGATTCCAGCTATTCGAGTACAATACTTGTAAAGCAGGGACGCCGCCATGGCGAACACACTGCAACGCGACGCGGGTAAGCTTGGCCACCACATTTGATTGACTGGTCGTGCACAACAGCGACACGAACGTGTGTGGAGGTATGGAGGATGGCGCTGCGGAGAACTTGTGGGTCACACCGCATGGCCACGGCAGATGGAGAGGTAGATTTCGATTGAGTAAGTTCACAACGGGCAGCGAAAACTGGACGTTGGACCCCTCCAGGAGAACAAGCACGCGATCCAGGATCAGAGAGACGTCGGATGCCGTTGCCAAGTGGCGGTGGAAGAGCGTGGCTACATGCACGAGCAAAAAGTCGACACAACCAACAGTGAGCGGAGAAAAAAGCGCTGCGTCGTGGGAATGGATGACAACGAGTGCATGCGCACATGTTGAGAGAGTGTCGATGCTAGCAGTGGCATGGACAACCAATTAGACCATTGATACCAATCATGTGTGATGCGACGTCATCTAACCTGAGTAAGTATCTGTCTCCCAGGGATGACAGCGCATACACCACACGGCGGAGAACGTTGTCAGGTGCCACCACTGCGAAACATTTCGATTGAGATTCGGTCGAGATCACTCGAAGGCATTTACCGAGAGATCGCAGTCCATGGACAACTCCCATAAAGCACATGACGACCATATTCAGTCGATGGAGATCCGATGTGGAAAGGGCGGCGTCCACAGCGCAGAACGCGTCAACCTCCTATGCAGTAGGGTAACCATATGCCCCTGGAAAGCGCCGAACGTACGGCAGTGAAGGTCGAAATCAACTGCCGCGAGAAGACCGTGTTGTCGGCCCACAATTCGCGCATGTCAAACAGCGTGCGCACGAGGACATCCCTATCGGTATGTGGTTGAGTTTGTGGCCTGCGCTCCATTCGTGTGGTTGGGGTACCTTTGAGCGGTCGGCGTATCCTGGCGGTAGATCCACGTGATGAAGATGTCGGCGACGCGGACAAACACGTTTTGAATCGCGCCTTTTTTCGCGACCTTCAAGATGACTTGTAAAGTGCTCGCGATGAAAACGACAACATCGACGTCGTCGGTGAGTCGCACGAGCAGCGCGATCGTGTCGACAATGCGACCAAGCGCGAAGAATTGGCTGCTTTGGAGAGCATGCTTTTCGTGTTGGAGAACTGCGTTCGGGACAAACACGCCGTCACGCAGGTTCGACTGCGGACTCGACGTTTGCTCGTCCACGAGACGCCACCACTCTGCAATCGTTTCAGGAAGGATCGAGAGCAACAGTTTTTGCTCGTGTATCACCATGTTGATCACGTCGGCAGTACGCAGAAGATTGGACGCAAACAAGTGGACGAGCCATTTGGACGCGGCGGCGTCTTTGCCGAGAAAAGCCAGGAAATGGGGCAACAGAGTGTCGAAGCATTCCACGGGAAGGGAGGTTGTCTGGAGATGCTGGAAGAGATCTTCTTGGGCCTTCTTAGATGCTTTTGGGTTTGGGCTTTGGCTCTGATGGAACAAGCGCAGCAGCAACGAAGGATGGTCCAGGTGCTGTGGATGATCGCCCATCGATCGCACTTCCACAAGTGCTGGTTGACCCGCCGCAATATCCTGTCACATTTTATTTTTATACGGCATTCTTGTACAATATTTCACGGGTGACGTTAAGATGGTGAAATTCGGCACATCCGACCTTTCTGCCAAAATGTCCAATACCTGGCCAATCAAACAGAGACTTTTAACCTTATTTTCTCCTGTTGCGTGTGAACGTTATGCAAGTCGCGTAATTTTTGCCAAATCACAGAGTATAATTGAGCAATGTTTTAATACAATTCAGGTGAATTTTGCGAATTACGAATGGGAATGGAACAACATTTGAAGGACCTCACAATTGATCGGTTCAGGTCAACATGAGCTCGTCGACACGGGTGACGAAGAAGCGCACGCTAGCGGAAGACTACGGCGGCGGCGTTGATGAAGACCTCCAAGCTTATGTAGATGATGACAACGACCCCACTCAATCGTCCGATGCCGTGATGGCGAGTAACAAGCTCAGTCAGCGCATCCAGAAGCGCCTGACTTCACTCGAGAGCGATTCCAGCAATTCCGAGTACCACGACTTTTCCTCGTTAAAGATGAAACCCGATCATCCTTCCCGTCCCGTACGTCATACTCTTCTTGCTCGCGTGTCTCGGCATGGAGGTGCTCACTTGTACTCGTGCGTGGCTGACAGGTCTGGGTCTGTCCAAACGGGCGCATCTTCCTCGAGGCTTTTAGTCCATTGTACAAACAAGCGTATGACTTTCTTGTTGCGATCTCCGAGCCAGTATCCCGCCCCGAGTTTCTGCACGAGTACAAGTTGACCCCATATTCCCTTTATGCTGCCGTGTCGGTTTCCATTGAAACGGAGAGCATCGTGAAGGTATTGCGTCCGAAAGACTACTCCTTGGACTCATTCCCCTCTCTTTACTTCTTGTAGGTTTTAGAACGTTTGAGTAAAAACCACGTGCCGCAGGTCATCATTCAGTTTATCAAGGAGTGTACAGCGAGTTACGGGAAGGCCAAGCTCGTGCTCCATCACAACGAGTACTACGTCGAGTCATTGTACCCCAACGTCCTTAAGCGCCTTCTCGAAGAAGAGTCCATTCGGCGGGCCCGTGTCAAGGACGACCTGTTGGGAGCAGGTATTGGTATCTCCGTGTGGTGTTCTGACTTTGTGGTCATGCTGTCTGCAGGCGCTTCAACCACATATAATGCCACGGGAGAGTTCTTGCAAAAGGAGATTAGCGCTGAGGACCAAGCAAACAAGCAGTACGAGCAGCTCTTGATGGAGGACTACGACCAGACGGAAGATCAGCAGCGGGCCAAGGCGGCAGCAACTTCCGCGGCAACTGTGCAAACCGTGAGTTTTCGTATTCGCAAGACGCAAGTTGAGCAAGTAAAGCGCGCGTGTCTTGGTACGTTGGTCACTTTGGTCCTTGGAAGTGGGGCACGACACTGTCCTAATGGCTTGTGATGGTCTGGCATTTCACGATCGATTGTTTTTGCATAGACATTGATTTTCCGCTCATGGAAGAGTACGACTTCCGCAATGACAAGTCGATTCCAGACATTGACATGGATTTAAAACCCACGACTCGCATCCGAGAATACCAGGAGAAGTCACTCAGCAAGATGTTTGGAAACGGGCGCGCTCGGTCTGGTATTATCGTGCTTCCGTGCGGTGCTGGGAAAACTTTGACAGGTGCATCCGTTTTGGGTCACCCGATGCACGTGAATGATGAACATGCAGGGGTCACTGCGGCATCAACGATTAAAAAGTCGTGTTTGTGTCTGTGCACGTCGGCAGTGTCAGTGGAACAGTGGACAGCGCAGTTCAAGATGTGGACATCGATCCCTGAAAAGAAGATTGCGCGGTGACGACATCCCCGTTTTCGATGGCGTGGTCGTGAAACAAACGGTGGTGTAGGTTTACGAGTGTTGCGAAGGACTATATCGACCCTGTGTCAGGGGTGATCGTAACAACGTACACGATGGTGGCATTTGGCGGGAACCGCGCAGCGCAGTCTGCAGCGGTCATGGACATTATCCAGAGCCGAGAATGGGGATGCATCTTGCTTGACGAAGTGCACGTTGTCCCCGCCAAAATGTTTCGCAAAGTCATTGGGTCCATTGCGTGCCACTGCAAGCTCGGGTTGACGGCGACCCTCGTGCGAGAAGATGACTTAATCGGCGATTTGAACTTCCTCATTGGCCCCAAGCTCTACGAAGCCAACTGGATGGACTTGACACAGTCTGGATTTTTGGCGAACGTGTCGTGCGTTGAAGTGTGGTGTCCCATGACTGGACCCTTTTACGCCGGTAGGAGGTGCGATCCATCCATTTTGTTTTGCTCATGGGTAGGGTAGAATACTTGAAAGAAAACGTCAGTGCTCGCAAGCGAGCGCTGCTGTATGTGGCAAACCCCAACAAGTTTTCGGCAGCCGAGTACTTGATCAAGTACCACGAAGAGCGCGGCGACAAAATCTTGCTGTTTTCGGACGACGTATTTGCTCTCCGATTGTACGCCACAAAGCTCCAAAAGGTCAGCCACCATTTCGGACGACGACTGTTCGACCCGTTGGCTTCATAACGGCTTCCATAAATGTCGCAGGGGTTCATCTACGGCGGCACCGGTGAACGCGAACGCATGCGTCTGCTTCAATCATTTCGGTCGAGCCCTCATGTTAACGTCATTTGCATTTCCAAAGTCGGGGACACGTCGATCGACTTGCCTGAAGCCAACGTGATCATCCAAGTAGGAGAATGGACCTTTCATTGTTGCCTGGACTGAACCGTGACTACGAAGGTGAGCTCCCACTTTGGGTCGCGACGACAAGAAGCCCAGCGCCTGGGTCGGATTTTGCGCCCCAAAGCAAACGCCACGGGCGGATTCAACGCGTTTTTTTACACACTCATCTCGACCGACACACACGAAATGTACTATTCGAACAAGCGCCAGCAGTACTTGGTCGACCAAGGATACACCTTTAAGGTTGTGACCGAGCTGTACGACAAGTCGACTTTTGAAGGTGCGACTCCACAGCTCTCGTGTAGTCCTTACCACATGCGGTTCTGCGGATATGCAGGTGTGTTTACAAACAAGGAAGCGCAGAGCGAGCTGTTGGCCGAAGTGCTCGAGGCTCAAGACTTGGAAAAGTTTATCGAGTACGTGTGCTTCGTCGTGTTCAGTGAGAGAAGGTATTGACTGCGACGTGTACAGCGACGAGAACGCCGAGATATCCAAGATTGGAGGCGACGAAGACTTGTCTCGTTTGTCTGGCAAGAAGAAAAAGACATCGATGGGCGCGTTGTCTGGCGCCGATGGCTCCAAATACATGGAGTACTCGACCGGTCATGGCGCTAAACAGCGCCATAACTTATTCCGGGATCGGTACAAGTAGTCCAACGGCGCAGAGGCAGTCCACCGCTTTGATATGATCACCACGTTATTTCATTGACTTTCACGTCGAATGGGTCGTGTCAATTGGTGTCATGGACAACTGGTGGCTAGGATGACTCCTGCTTGCTTTCGGAACGAGCACGCGACTCTGCCCCGACCCACTCTCTATTTTCAATTGAATACCGACCTTCAAACAACTACGTCACTCGAAAATGCACGGGGATCGGATACTTTTGCCGTCGTGTGTGGCGACGGACGTTCGTCGGTCTTGGGTTTCATCCTCCACTTGAATCGGAACCACATCGCACGCCAACCGCCAGTCGATTTCTCGCCGTAAGTCCATGATAAACGCCTTGGCGTCGACAAGGGGATGTGTTTTGGGAGCGTGGTGCAGCGGACTCGGAGCATCGCCTGCAGTGTTGCCAAAATGTCTTGGTATCCGATCTGTGACCCGTATTCGCACGCACCTTTCCATTGCTTGTCAGCTGGATGTGATTTGGCGAGGATTTGATGGACAAGAATTCGCGAGACTTGGGGGGGCGATGAGTCCCACCCAGGCATCGAGTCAAAGTTCGTGGATGCTGGTAGGGGCGGTGGCGTCGGGCACGCCTCGATGGGGTCTACCGACAATTTACAATGAAACGATACGACATGTTAAGGGTTTCAACCTGGACGCGAGGCTCCTCCCGACGTGTTGGTGAGCCACGGTTTGGTGTAATTCCGTCGTGGCCATGGGTGAGAGGACATCGCCACGCGGCGTGGAGTGGATTCTTTCGGCCGCAACGGCGAACTCGCCATGCGGCGGGGAAGGCGAGTGCAGGAGTTACACCTGAAACGGAATTCCATTACAATTGTAAACGCATGCCTGTCACGCGGTGCGCCATGTTTCGGTGGCGTGGCGGCTGGCATTGGCGACGCCGTGGACAAAGTTAAAGTAGGCGAACTTGGCATCAAACTCCATGTCGTGCCTGTGCCATGAAGGCGTTAGATGAGATGGCCCTGCACCGACAAACACCCACGGACCAGTAGTTTACCGACACCGTTTCTGTGAGCTGGGTCGCGCGGTGATACCACAGCGACGGCAAATACAAGGTTTCGCCAGCTTCAATCGTGACATGCAATGGTTGAATGTGCTATGTCGACACAGTTCTTGAGACGAAGTGGATGCGTACGTTGATAAAACCTTTGCCAGAGGAAACTCGTCGACTTGTGGATCGAGCGGGTCCACTGGAATCCACGGCGTCATCTCATCGTCTTTCATCACAATCGACCTAACCACGTGGCGTGCAGGGAGATGCCGCAACAGCAATCCAAGCTTGTGGCAGTCGAGAAGATTTACCACGACGGATGGTTGGTACAGGGATACTGGATCGAGGCAGAGTCGACGGAGCTTTTCGTGGAGGTTGACGACGTGTGGCGGTATCGACCAGTGGGGAACTCTCTCTCGTACAAGAAGGCAACGTCGGAAGGCGGCAAGAGGGTGAAGTGTTTTCGACCGCGCACGACACAGTACATGTTCTGCGTCATGTGGGTAATTAAGAACGACTTTGGACACAACGAACCTCGTAATGATCTTTGTGCATGGTGGAGATGGCGCGTGCGTCGCCAATCCACAGGTTCACCGCTTCCGGGGAGTTTCCAAATGCTTCCGCTGCAAAGTCAAGCATCGGATCGACGTCCTCGAGTAAGTCGGGGAATTGATCGCGCAAGCTGTCATTCTACGTGCAGTATCAAGCTGCCTGCAAGCTTGGACGCCGTCGATGGGGTCCATGGAAACCCAGCACGTTGTTTGATGGGACCTCGACATTGCACGCAGTACCTGATGAGAGAGGTACGGGACGCCATCAAAGGTTGGGTCGCGCAGAATCTCGAAGAACGTGCGAAACGACATGGATCGCTCTTCTGGCATGGCAAACACTTTAGTGTGAGTGTCTACGCTTGTCTGACGAGCTGGCGAGTCAAACGTGCCGTGGGTGTCATGGAATTCGTACCACAGCGTCGCCGTAGCCGGATGGAGTTACGTCCACTGTCACCTGCGCGTCTCCAAGGGTGTCTGTCAAGTATTCGTCGGTCCACTTGGTCAAAGCGGGCCAATGGTCCACGGCATGCGTAATGATGACTGGGATGTTCTTGCTCACGTAGTGCCGGTAGAACTCCATAGGCGTGGGTGGTGGGATACGTGCAATGCTCCGCGGTGCCCAGAAGTCCTTGGTGTCCTCACCGAGCTGGGCCAGCACGTCGTCCATGGCGCGTGGAGCTGGCGGTATTCCAATCGCGTGCCTGTTGTCGAGCAAAACCTTGTACGACAGTACATTGATTGTACGTCGTACGGTACAGCGAATTTGGCCAGATGCAGTGATATTTTATTAATGATCTTGTCCCAGACTATTTACATTGAGGTTTCCACGTGTAATGTACGTGTACGTGTATCGCACAACGTTGTGTACACTCACTCGTGTGCCACCAGCCGACGACCGCCCCCTGAAACGATCCAAGGATGCAGCGCCGGCACAGCGGAGCGCACGCCGATCAGCTACCTCATGAGCTGCAGGTAAATAGTCCTCGCGCGAGCATGCCGCGGAAGAATTCTATGCCCGCAGGTGAGTCCAGTCGGTCGTCGGACTACCGAGGCGGGTCCGGGTTGCCTTCGTCGTCGACTTTCAGTGGAGGTGGTGATGGCCGAAAGGGCTTTAATCGGTGGACGCTCGTGGTTGTATCTGCTCTTGTGGCATTCGTTTTGCTTGTGGAGCTCCGGTACCAACAAGGATGCGACGTCAGCATGTCGTTTTCTCGTCACACGTCTCGTATCGGCGGGATCACCTTGTCGGCGCTGGAAACGGTGAACGTGACGCACTGGCTTGCGTTTGCGAGTTTGATTGAAGCATTTCTTCTGTCCAATGCTAAGGGAGATGCCGACACGCTTCTGGCCGCCCAAGCCGCAGCGGCCGCCGCAAAATCCATCGCGCTGAGGCCGCAACCCCTCGACGTCGACTTCCACGTGTCTAGTGTCCAGGTCGCGGTCGATATGTCCAAGATGAGCGAAGATACGTTCTGGAGCATTGTGACCGAGCTCGAGGCGAACCACCTGCACGTCCTCTTCGACGAATCGCGCCGCGTGATGCACATCTACGAAAAGAATGACGCGTACGATCCGAGAGCCCTCCCAAGCAAGTACATGCCGTCGTGGTTTGTGTCGGAGCCGTACAACGTTGGTCAGCCCCACGCGACGATCTGGTTTGTGCATCTAGACACTTCGACCGCTACCTACAGCATCAAGCAAGGGGCCAAGTCGAATCGGCGCCGCATCTTTGCCGAGGCCGACATCGTGCCATTGAAGCACCTCGCGTTTCTCGGTCGATCGGTGCCTGTGCCAAACAACGTCCAAAAGGTCGTCGCGCAGGAGTTTGCCCAGGAGCTCAACGACGGTATCGCGGTACGTTTAAGCGCATGCCCCGACGGGCCATATCATCATGCCCCTCCACCGCAAAACCAAGATGCAATGTGTGCTGAGACCTCACGGTAGCCCACGTGTTATGCATAGACGAAGCGACGAACGCAATGCCTGCGGGAGTTCGTTCGAGGCGATGCATTCTACGAAGCCGAGTGGTCGCGATGGGGGTGGATCGCGCTGTTTGCGTTGACGACGCTCGGCATATACCGTGGCGTGTTGCGGCGCTGGTGCCGAGTGCATGACGTGGCGTCGTCGCTCAAGCCAAGGAGTTTTACCGACACGGACCACAAAGTGTTGGTGTAATTTATAGGACCCGACTCCCCTCCACTTGCTCGAGCATGTTGTTCCACGGGAAGATGCCACTTAGTCATCTTTAAGGAGCAAATGGAGGTCCAAAGTATCCATGTTTCGGAATTCGTCTTCGTGGATGAGCGCCTGAAGATGAACGTGGTGAGGACGGAAACGCAGGGGACGGGTGAAGTGAACGCACCGAAATGTCCGATTTGTCGAGGAACATGACTCCGTCCAAATGATCGAGCTCGTGCTATGCATTGTGAAGTTGGAAAGCACTCAAAACGGTGAGTACCTGGAACACTCGAGCGTGGAGGTCGGTCAGCGTCCGATTCTCCACCTTTCGGCCGTCCAACGTCGTGTACGCGACTTGAATCTCGCTGGCGCGGGGCACAATCCCTTGGTATCCTGGGAAGCTCAAGCACCCTTCAAAATCCTTCGTCACGGTGGACGACGCGGACGTGATCACAGGATTGATCACGGCTTCATATGTAAACTCCGCGTCCTCGTCTAGACATGCACATGTGGTAAAGCGTCGATTCACCTCATGGCCGTTGTGATACCTCCGGGAACTTGTTCAATCATGAGGAAAAAACGTTGATTCACGCCGATTTGAGGCGCAGCAAGGCCCAACCCTTGGTACTCCCTCTAGCCAAACATTTCAATGCACACAAGACCCAGCAAGGACGGACATACCACAATGCTCTTCATAGACTTGACAATTGGCACGATCTCCTTGACATCCTTCACAGGGACCGACATCTTTCGCAGAGCGGAGTTCCCCAAGTAGACCAGTCGGTGCATGGCGATGGCGCGCTGCTTTTTCTTGTTGCGAGATTGTTTGCCCATGCCAGTCGATTATCCGGATTTCCGAATACCAACTTGTGGGTCAATTTGCAAATGAAGCGACGCGATGAGGTGTGCGCAAGATTGAACTCGAGAGACGACCAGCGGCCACTGACGCCATTGAACTGCCTCGACTTCTCTGTTGGCATCAGACAACTACCACGTCCGATGGGGTCACTCAGAACGTAGCTGCGATCTGGCAACGATGCTGCCTTCCAGACGAAATTTTACTTCGTGCTCCCCAACGAACGAATCAGCCATCAAAGATTGGGACCGCCCCTCTCCAGTAACGTAAGCTTCGAACCATGGACAAGGAGTACATTTATGATAGGACGGGATAGCACAGTGTGTCCTGGAAGGAAGATTTCGCATGGAGGTTCCTGGGGCTAACCAAGTAGGGCATACCTATGTTCGCCAATACATAGTGCCAAAACCAGCAAGAACCCCGCGTGAATGCCCACACCTGCCTTAACTGCGTCATTCTCTCGTTCCGCGAGGGTTGTGCTTATCGCCTTGAGTAGCGGCAACATGGGGGATGCTCCAGCTCCTGTTGGCTCTGCACTCACATCGAGGGCTCCGACGATACCTAGGCAGTGTGCCCCCCTCAATTTGCACAAGTGAGTTCGCACAAAAATCCTGTCCAATGCTGCAACATGATTGGTGGAATCAGTGGTCACTGGTTTACGATTGGTGGAATCACCAAGATAGCACATCCAAATGGCAAACTCGCTGTGTCACGCTTGACAAGCATCCATGTGTCCAAGCGTCCACGTTGATCGCCATCGTAGGTGGTGGATTATCGGGATGGGCAGTCGCTGACTTCCTTGCGACGCCATTGCCATCCATGTCGTTGTCTCTGCATATTATTGAAGCTATCGATTCCTTTGGAGGTCGAGCCGCGCCCATGGCTTCGGTGGAGGTTGGCGGGGCATGGATCTGGCCGAGCAAGGCCCTTGCGCTGTCCGTCGTTCATGATTTAAATGTGCCATATCTTTACGACATGGTGGCTGGTCACGGGAAAATTCGACTGGAGCATGATGGCATGGTCAGTGTGCGATCGCGTTTGCATGAGTTCATGCGGGTAGATATCCTAGGTCCACTCCATGAAAGCCGCAGTGCTCGAACAAATCCAAGTGGACCATCCACCTCTCGACTCAAGTATCTCATATGATGGGCCATTCGTGTCAGCTACAAGCAAGTCACTGGTAGCTTCACTTCTCGTAGCACTCTTCTCGTGTTGAATGAGAATCTCGAATATGCGCTTGTGTACAATTGTTGGCCGCCCTTGACATGTTCCAAGCTGTCCTGGCGCTTCCACCGCGGCTCGCTGCTCAAACCATTGCGTTTTCACCTGCTTTAAAGTTGAATCTCGTCCGAGAAACACGCAATGTCAAACCTTTGGGATGGCAATCTTGGCCAAGGTGAGGACTCGGTACGACGACTCCATCAGCACCTGTTGGTCTCCTCACGTTGAATTGTCGTTGCCCGAGGCCAGCGATCCATCTATAGCGTATGACCTCCGGGCCAGTCCATTGTCCAGCTCATGGATGCTTCGACGTGTGATGCAGTCGTGGCGTTTGTAGTTCCCCCGCGAATTTCTTTGGACTCCTCTCAATATTGCTCGACGCAGGACCAGCTGCGCTCGGCCGACCACGAACACAAGTTTGTGATAGCGCAGGCTCTTCAGTGCACTGACTGGTTGGGACCTAACACCCCGTTGTCTGCAAGCGTGAATGAAAGATATCACGTTTGCCATTCAGCGGGTGACCATGCATCAACGTGCCTCAGACGGACCGGTACGTTTGGCCACATCGACATGTATTCTTGGCAGCACGACCCGTTCATTTTGGCCACCGATGGCGTTCACGTACCATACTTGCTCGGTTTGGTTTCTATCGACAGAGGTGTTGCAGAGCCCAGGACATCGCAGCTACACCGACGAGCACCGCAGGACGGCGGGAACATCTTGCGGACACCAATTCTCAACACCCCCAATGCAAAGCATTCTATCGACTTGGCGGGATACGCTGACTGACTTGAATCCTTCGTACGTTGATCACTGCCTCCACTCTTCCAGATCCGAGACTGATGACGACTACCCTGGATTTGTTGAAGGGGCTATTCGCGCTGGTATTCGCGCCGCAAACATGTTGATCTCTCGACAGTGGAGAGTACCAAAGTAGTTCTGTTCTCGGACGATTGTTCTTGTGACTTCCAGGGTGATATCGACTCGGCACGTGATTCTCCTTTGTTGTGAAGAGCGATGGATTGTCAACACAAAGTTTGCAATTCACACGTCGGGCCCACATCGCAACCGTGGTTACCGTTCGATGGAGATAGCGACACATTGGGCTGACAGGGAACAAAATGTCGACACGTGCATTAAATCGAAAACTGAATTTATGAAACAAGGCGGCCTGTCTCATCAATTCGAGAGCAATCCATTGTCGACATCACCCAAAATATTTTTCAGGAAGTTCTCCGTCACGCGGGTGTAGTTGATAACGTCGGATCGGTCGACCTTGTCGAGAGGTTTCTCAGCGAGGCCAGTCAAGTGTTCTGTGTTCTTTTCCAAGTCCTATCACGAAAGGGGTCAGTCACGCTTGCTTCGTCCAGCGAAGTATCAGTCAGTCGCACCTCTTGCAAATGCTCAAAGAGGTCCTTCTCCTTCCCCTGTGGCAAATAGTACGCATAAACGTACGAGAACTTGAGGACCCGACGGCACGAGATCATAGTATCGATCGCAGCATTGAGAAAGCCGACATCCATGTACGACCCGTTCGCTTCCGCCTCGAACTCCGCCATGCGACGGTCTGTTTCTTCTCGCTTGCGCGCAGCAAACTTACCGGCCTCGGCATGGTTGGCGAAACTGCCCCATCAACAGGTTCATACCATGGTATCCCCAGAGCGCGGCACTTACCGTTGGTAGTAGTGCAAGTAGCGGTCCAACTCGGCTTTGGCGCGGGCGGCATCCGTGTCGGATGGCACTGTGTCGGGGTCGTATCGGTTGCATTTGTAGTACCCACCCGTGTTTGCGTTGTGGTTGGACCAAACGTCCATGCACGTCTAGAGCATGTTGAGACGAAACTCAAGGACGGATGGAAAGGCTTCGTACCCAGCAAAACTCGTACTTGCAGCTGCGGCACGTCATGTGATTACACCCTTGGTTCTTCTCAATGCGAATGGCACATTTGGGGCATTTCTTGGTGTTGGCAAGGATCCAGTTGGCCGTCTCGCTCTCGTTGCGGCATTTCTCCAGCCACGTTGCCAGCTGCTCGCACGATACAGGCATGTGCGCTTCGTCGCCACATCTGCAGACACATCGAGGTGAGATCATTGTGGTAGCTTAGTATACATGGACACCACAAGTGGAACAATACTGCTGGAAACGTGACGAATATACATACCGCAGGCAAAACAAGCATCCGCAAACGCACGACACAGTGCTGAGTCCCCCCGAGGATGCAATGGCCTTGTCACAGCCAGGGGCAGGACACCATTTGACGGTTTTGTTGATGTCAACGAACGAGCGGAGCAGGTACTCTTGGAACCGAGCATAATCCGCTGCGGGCAACAGTTTCTGAAAGATTGCATCGCTAACCCTCTACGCCACCAACAATTGATTCTCCTGCGATGGTGTACGAACATCACCTCGGAGCATCCATGTTGGGGGCACGTCGTCGTGATACAACCAGGCCCTTCTTGGATCTTGATCTTCAAATATGGGACCCAGCAATCCACGCAAAAGAAATGCTTGCAACCAAGCGCAACAAGTTGGGACGTTTCATCTTCGCAACAGATCGCGCATCTCCTCTTGACATCCTTGCTTTCTTCTTCCTGGCCCGTGCTCAATGCGCTGGCAATAAACGAACCATGAGATTTCAAACACCATGGAATGTAGCAACGTACCCTGCCGCTTGGCTCACCCCCTCTGGATCGCTGCAATATCGATCCATCAATTTTTCCTTGTCCCAAAAGAAATAGCGCAAAAGCAAACTCGCTTTGGGTTTGGGAAGGGACAAGACGCTTGCAACGTCGGCGATTAATGCATTTTGTTGATTCGCCAACGACGTTGGCGAAATCACCTGGTACTGGGCAGCAGTCGCACCAAGGTTTGTGTTCACTTTCAACGCTGCAGTTTTGGCCGACGATTCCGTCTTGGATCGTTTCGATTTGCTTCCTCCGCCCTCGTCGCCCGCTCCCTCGTCAGACGAGTACTGATACGACGACGTATCACTAGCGTAGTCGTATTCTTCGTCGTCGTCGACTTCTGCGTCCACATCGTCAATGTCTTGGAGCTCCTGCTCCAGCTCCAGCTCCACTTGCTCATCGGATGCCGCGCGGCTCATCTTCCTTGTTCACCAGGAACTGTTCTGGCGTTCACGCAAAACGAAATGCGCTTCTCCCAGGTCACACTTGCAATTTGTATGGAAAGAGATGACCTTAGCATGGGCGATTTAATCCTTACGTTAAACGTTTAACGGACCGTCGAAAGTCGGCCGATTTTCCAAGGAGTCGAGCCCAAGCTCCATCTTCATAGGGGGCTCATCAAGTACGCAGGTTCATGGGTGCCAGGAAGGATTCAATGCATATGCGATGTATGCGAGGAATTTTAATTGCATGAAGCAAGGCCCGATTGATGGGTGCATTGGAGCATTGATAAAGTACATAAACACGAGTTAAACTGATATTAATTCGAGGAGGGTTAAACGTATGTGGCATCATTTAAGCGGGGGTGCAGAGACATTCACGCAGCGGCAAGAGGCACTGCGATATCGCGATGGAAAGAGCGCGTTCCGAGCCTTCCACATGACTTCATGCACACAATGCGACCCTTTAAGTGAAATGGCGGTTGGAATTGCATTCACCAAGGCATCGCACTGGAATCTTCGATATCGAAGGACTTCATGTTCGCTATTCGCATCGTCAGCTTCATTCGTGGTTTGGTATGAAGGCGCACGTCGCTTCTTGGACGTTGAACTCGTTGGTGCTTTTCGCAGCGTTTCTCGCTGCGGGCTCTCTTGTACGGACCCTTCCCTTCTTCTCGACCACTCAGTCAAAAATTGCGTGCTGCATAGGGCCAGGGATTGCAAGGGCGTTGTGTCGATGACTCGCAGTGCGCGCTCAATGCCGCGTGCGTCACTGTCGACACAGGTTTGGGCTCCTTCCATCTTTCCCAACGATGGGCTGTGCAAGGGAGCTATCTAACGGGACAGCAAATTTGTCGTAGGCCGCGCTGCATTCTCCAAGTGCACAGCCAACAAACCAATCTGTGGCGGCCGAACATTTGGTCACTGCCCGTCGCAGGTGACACTCTAGTTCTATGGTTCGAACCAAGCACCTCCAACTAAATCGTGGTGACTTGGCAGGACTCGGAAATTGGCAACATGATGTGTGTGTTTGTCGAGACGAAGAAGATTCGAAACGTCGAGTGTTGCCCGGCCTCAGGGACGCAGTTGTTGCCTGAAGGGAGCCCAGTGGACGGGGTTGCCACTGTCTCTCCAAGTGCCACCACGGCGGCGTCCGCCGCGGCCACGACATCATCCCCCATCACGACTAAATCAGCCGCGCGAGAACTCCTCGTGGAGTCGGCAGTTTCTTGTTTCGATTGCTACAAACCTCCTGGAAGCAACCGAACCATTCCAGGCTCGTTCCAGTGCGTCTTAAAAGGTGCGTAGGCGTCCCATCGCGGTAGTCGTAGACGGTGAAATCTTCCTTGTCTGCGTAGATCAGTGCAAAGCGCAGAGCGTGTTTCCAAAGGTGTGCGACACTGGCCTCAGCTGCGACACCGCCAAGAACGTAAGACGTGGGGATTTCATGAATGAAACCCTCCCATCTCCGCTCGTAGGAACTGTGTTCGCGGCACGGCACGTGCGCGCCCATCGACTTGGACGCGCCCCAAGGCACTTACCGTGTACGTATTCCTCGATGCGATCTTGTGCGATGACCACTAGTTTTCGCTCGTTCCAGTGCATGTGCGACGTCGGGTTTGGCGGACGATTCTGTGACCAAGTCATCTCGAACGAATGTGTGGCAGATTGCGGCGTTGGCGGGATCTGCGTCGACGTAAGTGCTTCAAGGCCGTCCACTCCCCTCATCGTGGTTGGATGGCAGGGCCAATGCGTGTGCAAAAAGGGCTACATCGGCGACCAGTGCTTTGGCTGCACTCATGACGCAGCATGCAACGCAGACAAACTGTGTGCGTAGTCAACTCGGTTGGCTGTCGAGCGAATCACACGCGTCGTATGGTTGTAGCTGGCACGTGCAATTTGAAAACCAACACGTGCGACTGCGTCCCGGGCTTTCAGGGTACGATCGCCGTTCGTTCATTTGTGCCGCGTCGTTCGTTCTGACATTGCGACGCAGGCGACAGGTGGTGCGGCACAACGAGCGATGCGTCCGTCGCTGTGGTCGACATGTGCACGTTGCCGACCGGTCCCAACTGCGGTGACTTGGGTAAGTGTCAAGAACATGTCATCGTCCATGGCGTAGCTGACCCGACGCCGCACAGGAATTTGCCTCCAAAGCGAGTGCTACTGCCGCGATGGCGCTTGCGTTGGGTCGTTGTGTACCAAGTGTACGCTCCCGGGTTGTGTCGATTGCGTCAAGTCGGCGGCAATAGCATCACCGCTGTCAACACTGATCGCGTCATGCCTTGCGTCGTACCTGTTGATCGTGCTCTAGACGAGTCCCCATCAACCTTCGCGACGTGTTCAGTTTGGATCGATATAACGACAAATACATTTCTGGCAGCGTAAATGCGTCGTGGACGAAGGATACAAGGGGCAAATCTCGCGCACAGTCGGCGCCACACGTGTCGTCCAAAGAGTTTTCCATCATGCAGATGGAGTGGTCGATGCAAGCCCATGGCGGGTGCCATAGGCAACGTACGTGATGGTTGCGAACAAGATCCAGGCGGCCATCATCAGGACGGTGTGCCCTGGCATCTGAACGGCGAGCAGCCAGTTGAAATATATCGCAATGCACGGAACGTAAGGCACCGCCGGGCAATGGAACAATCCTTTGCCTTCGTCCCCCAGGTCCTCGTCTTCGAAATGTGTTGGGGGATTCCCAACGAGAATCCCCATTGCAGCCACCATCGCCACGGAGCACACTGCTGCGATGGGGACGCCCGCCGACGACATGTACGCTGCATACGCTTCCCCACCTCGACCTAACCAGCAAGTGGTCAGCGTTGGTTCGATGCGACATTTGGAATGTACTCGTAGCAACCACGGGGGCAATCGCGCCATGTTGCCAATGCAATGCGCTGAGAAACGACGTCAGGCCAAAGAGGGTCAGCACAAACGGGAGCTGGAGTTGCCAACTCCGCACGTGCAACGTCGGCGCAGGGCCGTAGCGCACGACGAGTAGCGACACGTTGGTCATGTTGAAAGCCAACAAAATCCCGAGCGAAATAAAGTTCCACAGGACTTGGAACTCGACAAACGTAGCCAACGTGATGAGAATGACCCCAGCGACGACGGTGCCAACGCGGGGATTGCCCGACGCGTCGAGCTGTCCCAAGAATCGCGGTAACAAACCGTCCGTCGCCATCGCACACTACTCGGAGCAAGTTACGTTCACATTCAACTGGTGGTAGTGCAAAGCCAATGCTGTCGAACCTGAACACGAGGCTGGGCGAGGAACCCGATAAGAATCCCCACCGGCATCGTCAACACTTCGCCAGTTTCGACGATGGGGCTCGCCCACAAGTACCCGACCTACGCTCCATCGCGTGACGCGTCGAACGAGCCTGCCAATTGTGCATACCGACTTGAACGCCTCACCGTACGATTCGTGGACGTCAATCAAGTTGTAGCGCTGCATTCCCATCACAGACAGCGTTGCCATGATAGAGAGGATTGCCGCCCCAATGACCGTCCCCAGCACGGCGCGGGGGATGTTTTTACGAGGATTCACGGCCTCTCCTGCAAGGCAGCATACTTCGTCTAGAGCCATTCACCGCATCGGCACCGACCTCATGGAAACTTTGATCGACTTACCGTAGCCGATATACCCGTAAAAGCTCGCGCTCGCTCCAACCATAACCCCTGGCCACCCAAACACGACCTGGCCCGTTGCGGCGTTCACGGTGGATGGTGGCAGGAACGGATCCAAGTATTCGACGTGGAATTGAGTCAATCCAGCGACGATGATGAACAGCACGACCGCGATCTTGGTCAACGTGATGACGTTGATGAGACGCTTCCCTATGGCCATGCCAGCACACACCACCAGCACGCACACAGTCTATGGAATGCGTTAGCGACAATGACTAAGCGTGAATGACGTGACCATGAGAGCGCACGCATAGAGGTCGATGGATGTGCCTGGTGGCTTCATCCAGGTTGGGCCATCGATGTTGAACATGAGTTTGATCCACACGACAAACTTGGCGCTCCACGCGCGAGCGTTGCCGGCACATGCGATGCCGTACTCGAGGGTCAAGAGAAATCCTGCGATCACTGCGGGATACTCGCCAAGGGCATGGTAAGCGTAGGCGTACGTGCTGCCGTGGGTAGGAATCAACCCCGACAGCTCCATGAACGCACATCCCGTCAGGACACACCCAATACCCGCGAGGATCCAGCTGAGCACCGCTGCGGGGCCAGCGTAGCAACGAGCTATCTAGAACGGGAACAAACATGAGGTGAACCCACGGATTGTCGTGGCAATCGAAATACCAAGCCCGCTGTGGCGAACACCCCGCTGCCGACAGTCCCACCAATTCCAATCATGATCAAGTCAAAGAGCGACAGCGACCGAACGTGGACATCACGGTGGATCTCATCTTGCAGTTGAGCCAGCGACTTCTTCCAAAACGCGCGGGAAACGAATGACGTCCGGCGCGGCGCCAAAGCCGCCTTCTCCAACGACATCGTCACAACCTCCCAACACGACTAGCGAAGGGTGGCACAATAGCGAAAAAAGCACCCCTTCCAGTCAAAAAAGCACGGATTTTACAAATTGCGCACCCGTTAAACAAGGTTAAAGCACTAATGATATCGTTTTCAGTGCATAAAGTGTAAACCCAAACACACGTTGCTCCGGATAATTCCCTCGTTTTAATCGGATCCTTCATAAATAACTATGTCTCTTGTCGAGGATGGTGTTGTTCAGGATGCGGGTCGCGGTGTCCAGGAGACTGACGGCGACAAACACTTCGTCGGCTGTCGAGATCTACGGCACGATGGCCATGTGAGACGTCATGAAGTGATGCGGTGACGGCACAAGAGGTACCTCGTGGTTCTCTGTTTTGGCGATGTCGATGCATGAAATCGCCGCGGCAATGCACGACACAGCGGCTGCCAGGTGGGCATTTGGATGGAGCCCCACAGCGTTGTCCCCCAATAGCCTACCCAAGCAAGTATGACATTTCAACACTGTCGTTCAGTCGTCCTACCGAAGTCGCAGCCACGCCTGTTGCTCGTCATTCGAAAACCTGCCCATAGCTCGAATTGCTTGTAGTTGAATGTACAGGGACTGCATGAGGAACCAAGCACGGCATGAATGACCGACACCGCTACGACTCGTTCATGGAGCACGGAAAAAATACCCTCACGCGGCGCGTAATGGCCATGAACATCGCTGCTCGGCGAATGAGCTTGGCTTTTGCTGGAAAACTACCCGTGCTCAGGATAGCGCGAATGTCTACCATACACGTCGATACCCATCAGGAGGTGTCCCTCTATCGGGCGGTGAGCGCACCTTCACGACTGACCGTGTACGTGTCGCAGTACGTTAACGTCCTCGTGTCGAACACCGTGGTGGGCTCCACGCGGTGCAAGATCACATCTTCGCCGAAAAAGTTTCCCTTGTGGAGGATTCGGCCCATGCGAGCGACGAGCCCTAGCCATGCACATGTTTGGCGCAGCCATCATTTCATGGTGCAGACCTTTTGAAATGATATACATCTTGTTGGTGGTTTCACCACTGCGAACGATCAGCTCCTGCGGTGGGTACAGCTCGGCGTCCATGCGGGTGCAAATAGCCGTGATGAACCGAACGTGTTCGCCGCGCGGGCCTCCCACCATAAAGTGCACCTAATGGTGTGAGCGAGTTGATAACGCCGGACGGGCAACAAGTCGCTCCCACATATACCTTTTGAATCCACTCGCCCGCCGTGTACACACACAGCTCACCGCGGAGGCCCGGGGACAAGTGTCTACAATTAGTCGTTGGTGGCCAGCCAGGGTCAACGTCGGTGGTCGTACCCCAACACTCGGGAAAAGTGTTTATGCAAGAGCAGATCGCGGCTGTGCAAAAAGTACTCGCGGAGTCGGACCGTCATGGTGCGAGGAATCGATTCTTTGTCCATGTATACGTTCAGGTGGTCCTACCCCGACCATGGGTCATGCTGCCGTCGTCGATGCAATTCTACCATTTGCTGGTTGAACTCCGTCGTGGATTCGTCCAAGCTCGAGACGAGCCCGCACACCGACCCGACAACTAGACAAAACGAAAAATGACGTGCCCTCGTGGGTGAGCCATTCACGTACTGAACGAGTACGCGCCGCACCCTATCGTCATGCACACGATGGCCACGCCTTTCTCGACAAACGTTGCGACGGGCACATCGCCGTACCCGATCGTGCCAATCGTCATCACACTCCTGCACACGGCCAACCTCAGCGCGGACCACCATTGAAATGACGGGGTGTACCAATAAAGGGCGGCAATGTACTGCGACGCAGGGTTGTCGCCCACATAGGACGAGTTGTACGACAACTGCCACGACGCCTCTTGGTCCTCAAACTGTGGCACAGTCACCCACACACATGCCATCCAATGCGCCAACACGACCTGTTCATCAAGAGGCATCGGCTTATGTTGGTCGCCATGACGGGTGCGCGAACACTCACCATGATCAATGCATATTTGCCCAGCTGCGACAGCGCAATCGGTAGCCCCAACACAGCATTCCACCGCGCCAAGATTCGCGAAGCGCGGAAGACTCGCGCAAGCTTGAGGATGCGGAACACGCGAATCAGCTAGCGCCAAAGTCGACGTCATGAAATCCAACGAAACGACGGGCTGCTGCTACCTTGAGCGCACTCACGGCATTGCCTTTCACCGATAAGCTCTATCCATACGTTTGAGGTTCTCACGCGTGTGCAGGATGACTCTGTCGCATCAGGCAATTGGAACCATCCATCGCAACAAGCATTCACACAAACGCTGGCATGACGACGTGGCACGTACGACCGCGATGAGGTTGTAGGGGAAGACAGAGATAAAGTCGAGGGCAAACCAGCCTGCCACAGACCGGTGAGGGGGCTAACGACGTTGTTTGCGATGATGACCTTACCATATAAGTAGTGCTGAAAGATCAGGGCCGGGTGTTCGATCACTTGGTTGGTCGTTTTGTCGACGTACGGGGTGAAAAAGTTGAAGCTCAGGTCAAGGAAGAAGAGGACGTCGACGAGGCAATCCCAGGCAAACATTGGATCTGACACGGATTCTTCCACGACAAACGCAATTTGTGCTGGCTACAACAGACGAGGGAGGGAGGACTAGTGACGTCGGACACTTGACGTCGTCGCACCACAGCGATCGCGGTGTAGAAGAGCAGGACGATGAGTGCGACATCCCATGACGCGCGGAATGTCGAGTTGGGATGGAACGGGTTGTTCAGCTTGACTTTGGACGGCTTTCGAGTGAACTGCGATGGCCGTTGGGTGTGCTTTCTCGAAATGTTCTGGACGATCAAGTGGTTGTCTTCGCGGAGCTCGGCAACGCTGTACTTTTTGTCGCTTTTCATGACTTCGTGCATGAGGCTGCGGCTAGGTTTTGGCACCGAGTTGTCCATTTTGCGTGTGGCCATGCGTGCCTGCACACGGAGGACGACACATTGACTTCACGTGTGTCCAAGGCACGGGCACGTACTCTTTGGTAATTGTCGATTTGCTGGAATCGCGTGGCCCCCTTTTCACTGATGCGCCGAAGCGGTGTGTGACTCAATACAGTGTGGAGCAAACTGCCTCGTTTGTGCGCGTTCGAGGTCGTAGTCGCAGCGCCTGAAGTTTCGTAGTCGTCGCCGTCGTCGTTCTCGTGCGTTTCTTGCACCTGCAAAGCGAGGTGGTCATGGCGTGCGCCACAGTATACAATACTATATGGTTGAACAAACAAGGCGTATGGGGCAGTGACCATACCTCCGCCATCATGGACCCACGGCGGCGGTCACCCGGCACCGCGAAACGTCACCCGGCTACCTCTCGTGGCGAGAAACTGTTGTTCAAAACCGTCGAATCGGTGTAACTTGTCGGTCGATGCAGCGCGGCATCTTCATCCGCGACAAGCGACCGAGACAGAAGTGTTCTCCATGAGCCTCTGGAGCGGCCGAGCTTGTCGAGCATGACAAGGAGGGCGTCGTGGGATTGTTGTTCCCGCCTCAGATATTCTGATATATTGATGAAAATCTGTGATAATTGCAGATTGAAAATGTTAAAATGTTGTCAGTAATATTTGCACTTCTTGAACTGTTTTTCATGTATTTTTTTGCCTTTTTTCGAAATTCTGTAGTTGCTTCGATCCTTTTAGTGCATGCTTCGAGCCGTGGAGAAGGCCAGCAAAGCTTTGGCGCTCCGAACGACGTCACACATGCCTCGTCGACGTACCTCAAGCCTGCCAAGCGGTATAAGTGGTGACGCAGCTGCTTCGTTGAACCCTTCTCCTGGATTGCAATCGCCATCTCATCAACCATCAGCTGCATTCGCCTCTCAGGCCGTTCCCACAACGACGGCCTCCGCGGCGGCTGCATGGAAACCGCCTCGGAAGCAAGAAGTTCAACTCAACAGCGACGCGATCGACGATCCGCGCGGTGGGCCTTTAACCTTGGACGCCCTCCACCTGAATGTCCTGGCGAAGACTGACCATTTCCTCGTCCTCAACAAGGTGCAATCGACCGCACATACCCAGACTTCTTCTAACGCACGTATGCATAGAACGCTGATGTCCGTTTGGATGGCGATTTCAACGTGACAATTGAAAAGGCGATGCACCGCGATTACCCAGACATTGACAAGTTTCGATGGATCCATCAGCTTGATTTCGGTACAATTCGATCGCAGGTACAGTTCTCGCGCTAACATGTTCGTGCTGCAGCAACGTCCGGTGTGATGTGCGTTGGATTGACCAAAGAGTAAGTCTTGGTCGATCTTCATGATCCCATTGAGTCCCTTCGCCTCTGCAGATCTACCGCTGCAGCCAGCGGACTCTTCGCGAAGAAGTGCGCCGAGAAAGAATACCTGGCCCTCGTCCACGGCACGATGCCATTCGTTCCACCACGCGGCGCAAAATGTTGCACGTTTTCCCGTGTCGCTGACTTTATCTATGACAAAGATCACCCGAAAGTGATCCACCAGCATCAGCACAAATTTACCAAGCAATTTAAAGGTCAGTCCAAATCGATGGCTGTGCTTTGGCGTCATGTGAGCCGCTCCTGGACGCGTTCTCTGCATCGAGTAGGTCCTCGCACGGGGCCCTCCATATTTGCCATGGATCAAGGCCTCCTTCGTCGAAAGTTGGCGGCGGGTGGCACCGATCCAACTCCGGCTGAAGCCGATTTCCTTCGAAAGGCGTGGAACGACTTATCTGACGACATTCAGAAAACGTACTTCGATCGCGCAGCGGCCGACAAGTGCGTCCATCGATGCCTGTTCACGTGGCGCTGACCGTCCGTAGGTTGCGATTTGATGCCCAAGTGAAATCCATGGCTCTTGATCCATTGCCTCAAGTGCGATACGATATTCCGCTCTTACAGCCCCAGGGTATCACTGGATGCTCCACCGAAACGAGTGCTGGGTTGCGATCCTGCCAACGCCTTCGATCCTTCTCGGACGCGTCACATTCCGCTATGTCGAAGCGATCTCGACTCAACAGCGACGACCCCTATGCGCCCACTGAACCCATGGGCTACATCTTCGACGACCCCATAGCGGCTTCGACGACTAACTCTTTTCAAATGGAGATTTCACCTACTGGCAAGGTGTGACGTGCCCGCATGGTTGGGATGGTTGATGGTTGGTTTGTACAGATGTCAACGACCTTGGCGTTTGTTTTGGGCCACGGAACGTTTGAAGGGAATCCCGTGACGAAATTGCTTCTGCGGCCACTAAGTGGTCGTCGCCACCAGCTTCGACTGCACCTCAGCCACCATGGATACCCCATCGGTACAGCAAATCGACCATATGCGCCAGTTTTCACCAACACCGCTGGATCTGCTGGTACGACGACTTAGTTGGCGATGTCACGTACGGCAGCGAAGAGGACCCTGCCCCACGCATGATGTTGCATGCTTGGAAACTGAACCTGCGGTTCCCTCCCGACCAGGTAAGGTACACAGACCCATTTTTCACTCGATGCGTCGACGAAATTCAACGAGAAATTTGATTCGGACGATGATGCAGCAACGAGTGTACGGGTCGACGATGTACAAATCGCCAGATCCGTTTGCCTCCATGGTGAAGTCCCCACCGCCCATGTTGACTACCATCCATTTGAAAGCCGTCCATCGCGGCGACAAGCCCATCTCCTCGACCAAAAAAGCCGCTGCAACCTAGCGCAGCAGGTCCAAGACGCTCTGCACATCCATTGTTGAAGGATGAAGTGAGCCCTGGGTAATTCAATTTGTCAAGTTAGCGTAACTACATCATGTTGGGTCGGTGGCACGTACCAAGGCGTCCGTGTATATCGCCAGCGCCTTGTCAATCGCAGCCTTGGCAAGATCTTTGTCGTTCATGTACAAACGTAACAACCCCTACAAATGTGTTCGAGGGTGACGCCACACAAAGTCCAACCGACGCATCGCGCGCCGTACTTACCACAGTGTACTGCACTTCTCCCGTTGCGATGTGAGCTTCGCCCAAGATCTACATAATTCGGGACGTGTAGAACGTGTCAGGAACGGCAGCGCAAACCTTGGCGCGCGTGGTAAGCACTTGCGCGAGCATGGCATTCCCTTCGTGATAAATGCGCTCCGACTGTGGACTCGGAGAACCGGGTGACGCAGTGGCAACGTGGTCATGCGAATCGCCGTCATCGTCGTCGTGGGACGGCCGAGAACGCCGGGTCACGACGGCCAAATGTTTGTACCAAATCTCGACGACCTTGTCGTACATCCCGAGCGCTTCTTCCGTTCGAAACATCTTTTGAAAGATTGCACCGAGCGTAAAGTACAGCGTCGACGTACGAATGTCCTCGGGCCCATGGACCAGCGCGGCATAGTACGCTCCATTCGCGGCCTGCTTGACCGCCTCGTCAAATTGTTCGCACTCGCAGTGGTATCGCCCAAACAACTTGCAAACAACCGCGCGATGGACCAACGTCTTGGGTTCGTTGGCTGCGTCGTCTTCGGCCGCCTTGACGATATTCCACGTGCACAGAGCTAGCACTTCTTCGACTTGGTTCATGTGGCTCAACTCCAGTCCAACCTCGGCCATGCACAAGTAATAGGGTACGAGTTGCAACGAGCTCTTCCCGTACACCCCGACTGCATCCTTGATGCACTCCACGATCGTGGCATAAGCTCTTTGAAAATCCTTGGCGATCATGTGGCTTTCGCATCGGGTTTTCGCCGCCTCGAGGGCAATTTCCTTGCTCGTTTGGATCGCACTGCCATGGGCAGAACTAGCGTCTCCGCCGCCCTGGCCGTGCTTGGTCGGCGACACCGTCATGACTCGTCACGGCGACGAAACCGGTCAAGTCGATGTGTGCTGAAACCGTTGACGCCGCCGTGTCGGTTTCATCCCAGTGCGGTTGGTATCGTGAGTCCGAAAGAACGGCAGAAATGCCCTCGCACGGACGGAGGATTGCTCCCGAGATGCATGCAGCCTCGCTGCTTCGTGGAGCTGTGCGAGTCGATGGAAGTAGCTCCATTTCGACAACTCTCCGGTCCGCAAACGACGCGTCGAATGAGCTTTCGTTGTTCATGAATCGGTCTACCAGTACAAATCGTGACGATGGGTATATCCAGCATTCAAACGAACGCGCAACAGTTTACATCCTTTTAACGATCGCGAAAGCAGTGCTGGCGCACAGGCGTGACGTGCGAGGTCGGCAGAGGTTGTGTCACCCTGGAGTTGCTGTCTACATGGAGGACGCCACAAGGACACGAGCTTCGATGCTTTTACGGAACGTATCCGTCGCCGCGCCGACGCGTCGGTCGACGAAAGATGTGTGTGGCGCACAGCCATGGCTATCTTTCGAGTCGTAATTCTTGATCACAAGGACTTCGGATTCAGACATGGCGCTCCAGTACCACCACTCTGCGTTCGGGTCGTATGTCATGACCGACATGGCACCAGTCTTGCCACTGGCGAAGCGGGTCTCGCAGTCCAACAACGACATCGGCGAACTCGTTCGAGCGTCCGCCAGCGCAAGTGGCCAGTCATGCACGGCAGACACGAGCGGTTGCCACACGCTGAGAATCCGCACCCGAAGGCGATTTGCGTGAATTTCCGCTTGGATGTGGTTGGGGAAGAGTGTCACGAAAGAGTCGCCCGAGGAGAGCGTATGGTCGACGTGGATCAAGGGAGATGGTCGCCGCAGGCCCTTGTCCTGTGGGTTCGAACTGCGTGCCATCACAGTGAATACAGTGATTGCAGTGGGCGAAGGGACGACGCGCCTCACGATCGCTTCCATGTGGGTCTTGACGACGTCATGCGTACGTCCGACGACGTCATGAATACTTCCATCCGTATCGAGAAGGTCCGCCACCAAGGATGGTACGTCACGTACAGGCATGAATCCTTGGGCATCCAGGGCAAAACCAGCCTCGTGGCCTCGCATGTCGTGCAGGTCAACAAGATGCGGAGTGCTCACGATATTGGTCGCGGGTCCTGATGGTCGCGACTGCTGTGGGCCAAAGCTCGAGTACGGGAACGCTCCATCACAGGTATGGGAGAAGAAATTGAGTGGCGCACGCACCTTGCCGCCGGCAGGTCGTGGCATCGTGCGAAGGTCCAGGCATTCTACGCGAACCTGTGAAATTGAATACGCGTTTACAAATCATATACTGTAATATTCCATATATATGAATTCATACTTTTAGGTAATACAGCTCAACAATGAGACCTGTAACAACAAGTAAGCACACTTGGTGGTCGGCAAAACACAAAAGAGAACAATGTACCTTGCCGTCGCTCACATTTTCCAAATGTCGTTGCCGATATGGGCCGATCGATGTCATCGGCGGCCGCTGGCAAGCATCTTCCAACTAACGTTATCGTAACGCGACCGCCATCCCGACTCCCTCTCTCTCGTACCCAAATGCAGCCGTCACAGGATGCACAAGATGTAATCTCCGCCGCACCAAGTGTTTCTCCATCCTGTGTCGACCATTCCACTCAAACGTCACGCATTCTTTACGTCGCTAGGCGACCTTACAAGGCACATTCAAACCACTTTTGGGGCTTGCGGTCATAGCCCCACCAGCCATCTCCATATCGGAACGACGTGTCGAGATGGTTCACAGCGGCCATATAATGGAAATTGGACGAGTCATCGCCCACGCCATCGCCGCTGATGCCGGCCATGCAGCTCGTCAAGTCCACCACGCCATCATGCACGTGGTCGCTGTGCCCCGACATTGCACCGACGACCGCAAGCGGGATCGACATGGCCGAAACGAGCCCAAACGAGTCCGTGCCACAGAGGACGTGGGCGGCGCGGGCACGTCGGACAGCTTGGGCCTGCAAATACTTGGACTGCATGTCCGAGGCCACCGTCGTTTGGTGCTGCAATTGGACATAAGCACGAGGAGAAGGACACAGCCCTGCCAGCCCCAGCACGGCGGCGAACCCTTGGTCAGACCAGTTGTTGGTCGCAGCGCATTTGGTCGACAGGAGGTTGGTGGTTTGGCTGCCTTGCATCGGGGCAGACAGCGACATCCAAGTCACCTCCGAGCTGAATTGGCACATGCCGCTCGCGACGGCGCCGCCCGCAATAAGGTTACCCATCGAGTGGGCAACAAGGATCAAGCTGCCCACGGTGTTTTGCTTCGCCCCGCGACTCGTCTGCAGCGCGGCATTGCAAAACGCTTTCTGCAACGTCGGGTCGGTCCAGCCTTGGGACACTGTGTCGAACTGAACGAACTTGGTACTGGAGCAGCACGGGGCGTACTCGTGGATGGTGCCCCAGTACTTTTCAAACGAGTCGACGATCGGCCCACTGGTCGAGACACCGATGCCGTGCACAAACAGACAAGGCTGCGGCGATCGGCGGCACTCGCACGACGATGTTTTGATCGTGAAGGACCGCGTCGGCCCCGTTGCAGCGTTGAGCACCATGGACGCGGTTTCGACGTACGAAGGGACGGGGGCCACCGGGACGTCGGTGGGCACGACGATGGGGCAGTCCAGCGGAGCGGTACCATTCGCACCCGACGGCGCAGCGAGATCGGGCAATTTCGTCGGATCCGACACATATTGAATGACCACGTCTAAGTCGTCGCTGGTGGCGCGCTGGAGCTTGTTGTCGAGCCCATTGCAAAACACAAAGCTTTCACCAGCGAACGACAGCTGAAGCAACTTGCCCGACGGGCACAACGTTGGGTCGGTCCCCTTGACTTCGTCGAGGACGGTCGACGTCGTCAGGCTGTACGCCATCTATCGGAGCGGTTAGAAAACATGCCTCTGATGAGAGCGATCTCGACGAGCACAACACGAACCAGGTGGATGGGGGGGACTTGGGATGGTTTCAGGCACGTCACTTCCAGGACGTCCCCCGAGGTCGCCGACGCCGTCGACAAGTACACTCGATCGTTGAGCAGCGTAAACGTTGTGGTCACCACGTCGTTCCGAAATGTCACCATCCCGTCAAACGAGAGCGTCCCGTCGACCGTGCCACGCGGGAAGACGTACGCTTCCGCCGTCGACGCCCCATGGAACTTCATGCTGTCCCGTTTTGCCGTGAGTGTGACGTAAATGCCAGGTGTACTTTGCAGGTTGGACAGAATCGTCTTGGCTTGATTGTCGACCTTGTTCACGTACACAAAGTACGCGCCGAGGGCCGCGATGACGGCGCCGCACACGACGACGACCGCGGCCAGGACAAACCAGATCCGTCGACGAGAGGTCGGGGCCGACGACGGCACTCCAAGTTGATCGTCGCGGGGTGTCGACGGCATGGCGATGTACGCCGCATCCTTGTCGAGTCGAGCGGACTGCATGGCCGAGAGCCAATTGAGAAATAAGGCGAAACTGGAAAGGGCGCAGTCGAAGCCACAGGAGTTGGCATTGCTGTAATCACCCTACCACGTCAAGCCATCCCAGACCATTCAAGTGGGTCCATGCGTACGCTCTATCTGATCAAAGGGGGCACTCGGCGGCGCCTCGCTGTGCCTCTCTGTGCCGGCCTGGGTGCGACTGTTTCGGCCGCCCCCATCCAAAGCCTTGTGCATTCGATGGAGGATTCGCATAGGGAGCCGCCCCCCAGCCATAACCTAGCGATACTTGTGCGAGAAATTGAAGGGGTGGGAGAGACACCAGAGGGTGCGATGGACCCGCGGCTCAACCCATCGCTTCCTTCTCGACGACGATATCGGATGGCATGACCACGACAGGCACCACAGCCTGTATACTGTAGCGTTGCAAACTACGAGGTTGGGACGATCGCGCACAGTTGTGAGCCGTGTGGCGCGCTGAACCCACACGGCTTGAACATCCCGACAGGTGTTCTGCGCCTTCAACAACGCAGAGTACTCCGCCACGTAGGCGGCGGCGATATGCACCCAGGGAGGGCTTCCCCCATCCATCTTGAAGTTCCTGGATGCGGGACAGAGGTGGGCGCTGTGCAATAGGTTCCCTCTCGCATGCGCTTGGCCCATGTTTGGTCGGAGCGCTGCTTGAGTCCATGGACCAGCTCAGACCGAGCGACCTTGTCACCCGTACCGTCTGGTCGACCTTCTGATCGTGCCATCAGCTACCATGTCGACGAAACAGTGGAGCATTGCTCAGTCCTGCTGGTCAGCCCCACGTCGCAGGCGGCACTTTCACGGTGTTTTACGCAATCGATTCTTGCCATTGACATTGGGGGGAGCTCGCGAGGGCGGATCGCTCGTAGGGGATGTCCATGTGGTTTGCGTACAGACCGGTTGGTGGCGCCGCGTTCACGGGGAAGCGTGGGGATTCAGTAGCTCCAACTGGTGCAAGTGCGCGCAAGGGCAAGCCTCCCATCCACGTTCTTCACCTATCATGTTGGCTTTGACTCACGCATGAGTTTTATGTCGACGGTGGCCACCCATTCCCCAGTCTTTGTCCACACAGCTGCGCCAACCGACGGGCTAGCGATGGCAAGCTGCCCAACCCATTCAGACTCCATATCACGAGCGCACATTCCCGGGCGGCATGGACGGCATCGTCATCCTCGTTGGTAGCTCTTTTTGCATCGTCACCTGCCGTGACATATGGGGGCATGCTCCACCCACGCGCTGCGTGGAATGTCAAGATGCGTCACGACCGAGGACCACCGTCGCACCCCCCCGCGACGGTGGTCGACGCCATCCAGCGGTCCATCACGGCACTGGCAGGGCAAGAGATCGCCCCCGCAACATTTTTCAGCTGAACCAGGTCCACACGCTTCCATGCATCGCCGTGGCATGCACGATGTCGTACCAGACGACTCGACGGGCACGAGCGTCTGGTCGACGTAATTCAGTGGTTCCAATAGTCGTGGAGGTGATCCAAGCCATGTTTAGTGTATGCGTCGCGAAAGCCTCGATAACCAATTGGCCGCCGCCCCAAGCACACACACGACGAAGGTGTTTGCGTTACTGACAGCAATTTGGTTGCGAGATGCCTCCGCTTGTGACCCAGGCATGCACTCCACCATCGCGAGTGCTTTGCACGGAGCTCGTTCCACGTACGAACGCAACCGAGCCAGAGTAGGCCATCGCGAGGACGTCCCGTTGGAAAGACGATGGCAGTTTATCCGCGAGAGCTGCGAGCTCTGTGGGAAAAGTCCACAGAGATCGCCCTCGGTCCGACTTGCTGCACCACTCGAGAGAAAGACGTGTCCATGTAACAAGTTGAAAACGTAAACTCCAGTCCATAATTCATCACGTTGTGTGCTCCCAACCTGCGCTGCCTCTCTCGACAAAGTCGGCGTCCATCGTGGGCGAGTTGTGGATTGCATACAGCAGCTTTTCCATGCAGATCTCCTTGGAGCTATACCGAGGCAGGCTGAGCGAAAAGAAGCACGTTTGCGAGTGCGGCAAATAATGGTCCGGCTACACAACCCCAAGTTGGCTGCCTCTGACACGACCGTGTGCACGTACGTTTGTGTCGTCGCCCGTGAATATCGCCGGTTGGATCTTGAAATGCAGCGTAAACTCTTCGATCGACCTGGACATGGAGCGTCAGCCGACTTAGGAGCGAAATCACATTGGGCGAGGAGGACGTCACCTTGGCAGCCGTGAGCGAGCGAGAACAAAGTTGACAAACGAACTGCGCTGGTCCTGGTTCATGTCTTCGAGGCAATTCCAAAAGAAGGCAATATGGGGCGCCATGGCGTCGACGCCCTCGTACACCGTGATGCGCTGGAGCATGTCAATGTCAATGTGGGGCGAGCCGCACACGAGCTCTTCGAATTGAGCTGGCGTGAACAAGTTGAAGAGCGCATACGGCAACACTGCCCCCAGGCCTTCCATGAACGACACCACTTGCCGTCGTATCGCGTCGAGTTTGAGCGCGACGCATGCATCGATGACGCGTCCCAGCGACGCACACGTGAATGGTTGCCACTTTTTCATGTGTGGATTTCGCGGTGCTTGCGTCTGCACACAAGAACATCAGACACGTTGATGCCCGGCACGTATTACCACTCGAAGCAAGTACTCGATGACTTCTTCTGGATCCAGTGCCTCGACCTCTGCATCGCCGAGACACTCGAGGTCGTGCAACTCCCGCATGAGCATCGTGTCGACCGAGGTCAGATCCTTTCGGTCCATCGCGAGCCCGACCAACGGCTTCCACAGTAAATCGGAGCAATTCAGGGGCACCATGATGCGATGCCGCGCGGCCATGCCAATCAGTTTGCCCAAAAACGTCAAATGCGACGCACTTGCGCTGCTGCTGATAACAAACTTGTCCTGGTTCATCCCACCACCCGTCACAGCATTCGGGCACGGCACAAACACCCTACCATGCCATCGTTGCAACTCAAATCAGCACACAAAAGCCAACGCACTTGAGGTTTCCAGACGGCTCGTCCCACGCGCCAGTCTGAAAGACAGCACGGTAGGGCCCCCCGTGATCGTCGACACCCTCGCCAAGAAACTTGACATAAAACGCACGACGCTGGCCAGCATCCTGGAGCTCATCTGCGTAAGCCCGCCTCAGCGAACGATTGTCCCATGCATGCATTGCCTGAAGAGCCATGCATCAGGAATCCCCACACGAGGACGACGACATATTACCTCGTACAACTGGCCAAACACCGAGTTCTTGAAGGACGCTTGTTCGTTCAGCGCCAAGATCCGATTCACAGGGACTTCTCGCAAACTCTCAGGACGCTCGTACTCGTCGGACGGAGGTGTTGTGTGCGTTGTCGTAAGCGCCAGCACGTCCTTCCAGAACGCCATCTTTGTACGTTTAAAGATCAAATGGCGTGCGTGCGCCAATTTGTTGGCCGTGCGGCTGATTGGTCCTTCGAGCACCGATTGCCCATGGAAATCCAGGAACGGCAACAGCCATTCGACATGGGCATTCCACGCGAGAAGGGCGCTCAGACGAGCTGCGACTTGGTCTTCGTTGAATTCGACCAGAGGTTGTACGCAGTTCCAAAAGTCGCTCCATGGCTACATACGACGACAATGAGGGCGGGACAGAGTTGACGTCCACGGGGTCGCTTCATTGATTTGTAAGCGTACCATATTCTCAGGGTCTTGACCAAGGTCATCGCACTGCACAGCGCATGAATTTGTCACACAATCGTGTCATTGTCGAGCAAAATCGTACCAGAGCATCCATCTCGTGCACCAAAATGAGGTCGGTCGCTGGCGACCATCCATTTAACAAACCTTGAATCGACGGCACAGACGAAGTCGTTGTGTTCGAAGAGGTTGCCTGTAGCATGCTCGTCAGAGGTATCGGTGGAGATGGATGGATCGTACGGGAGCAATCAAAGCTTCGTACGCAAGCATTTCGTCGTCGATATCCGCAGTTTCTTCAAGTGGCACTTCGTGGGGGGTATCGCAAATCTGGCACTTGGACAAGTTTACATCGTTGAGCATCGTGCACGCCACACAGCTCCACGGCTCCGAGGGAATCTCCGATGGATTGATTGTGAGCAGATGGGCTATCTCCGATTCGGTCCAGTACCATGCCCCTGCAGCCTCTTCGCCTTGAATCACGTACCAAATCACGCCGTCCTTTTCGCCAAGAACAAGGGCTTCGCCATGACGCAGCGTGAACCGATCGTGTCCTTGAAGGCGGGCGATGGCGCGGTCAAGCATGGCGTTGGTGAGTTCAATGCGTGTGCCCCCGCGGGTCCAGAAACGTCGCGGTTGGAACTCGCCCATCGTCTTGAACGAATGGTACAGTGCTGTTGCATGCTGGACAATCGATTGGTTTGGAAAGTCGTCCAGGATGACGGATGCCGCGTCCAATGCCCGTTCAAGCCGCGCCAGGGGCCATCGCGCTTTCGTTTGGCTGTGCCACTTGTACGACTTGACAGTAAAAGCGTCCCCTGGCTGCGAACAACCCACGACGGGCACAAACGTGAGGTTGTGCGACGAATTTTGGCTGCGAAGGTTGCGGAAAGCCACTCCCATGTGAATCACGGCGGGCCGGCCGCGAGTAAAGTCGTCGCCATCTTTGGTAAAACTCAACGTTCCTTCCTCCATGTCAAAGCGGACGCCGATCGTGTCGCCAGCCGAAAAATACCGTCCATACAGATGCTCGCCTTCGGCTTGGCTCCAACGCACGCGATAGCTGACGAAACCATAGTCGCCCCATCCTTCTGACGGCTTGATCTGGGACGACGCGATCCCAATGAATAAACTGCCGTGATTGCATGCTTGAATTCCGACTTCCCAATAGTGCACTCCCGATGAAATCCCGATGTTGCCGCGAAAAAGAACATGATTCCCCGAGCTCGCATGCGATTCCAGCTTTGCCGACGTCAAGTCGCCCGCGATGGACACCGAATCGTACAGTGGAGAGGGTGGAATCAAAACAAATCGTTGATGGGCATCCGCTTGCCATGTTCCGTCGATTGAGATGCTGGTGGTTGTCGGCTGCTTCGGAGGTCCCGTCGGCTGCCGGCTTGTTTGTGCCATGGCGAACCGAAGACAAGTATGAATCGAAGTGTACCAGCTACTGGTGGACGGCACAGGTTGCGCGCGCTTCAAACAAGGCGATGCTCGGTTGGTAGTCACTATATGGGCCGTCGGCAGCGGCGTCCCTGTTTCGACGACCGCTCCTCGGCGAAACACGTCGAACCTTATTCCACAGACCAAATGATCTGGCGCTCGGAGGAAGCCCAACCGTTTCCAAACGTCGGGGTACATGGTCGGCACACACAAGGGGAACGGTTCGCACCACAGCGCGGCTCCTTCTAGCTCGTTGTCGACCCAAGATCCCATGTAAAACCCTTCCGTGTGGGTCAAGTGCAATTTTCCGTCACCTTCGCGCTGGCCTTGTTTCCACTGCCCCGAAAACGCTCGATTCTTCTTCACGTATTGGATGTCATCTCGTCCTTCTTTCAACCCGAGGCACACAACCATTGACTGTGGTCGGAAAAAGCTCACAGCAGGCACGAATCCACCGACGGAATTTGCCATGAGATACGCTGTCATGGGCAGCTCCAAGTTGAGGTTCGTGAACGCGTCCCCGAGATGGATGCGGTTGCGGTAGTAGCCCAACGTGCCTTTGTACATGTTGAGTTCGATGCCGACGCGATCGCCTTGCACAAACCCCACGGACGCATACCGCTGAGCGGTGCTGCTGTGGTACACCTTCCCCGACGCACAAAGTCCCCATCCAAATCGGTCTTCGCCCAGCAGGAGCGTCGGATTCACGCCTTCGATACACACTCCCACCCGAATGCCGTCGGTGGCTGTAAGTGACGAAATTTGAATTTCCCAATGGTACACGCCATACGAAATGGTCTGTCGGGGAAATGGGCACGTCGCTTGCGCCACGCGATGGCTGCTCGAAATCGGCTCAAACACCTTTTGGCGATGCGAGTACAACTCGACGTGTCCGGGCGTTGGCATCGACGCCGCTTCCAGTACACTCACGTACCCCGGCGGAGGCTGGTATTGAAATGGCACTTGTCCAAGGTTAAAGCTCGCCCCTTCGCCGTTCGAAAAGCTTCCGGCAGGGAAGAATCCATTCGACCATTTGATTTGAGGGCACTCGTGCTCGGTAAATGCCACCCCCAAGTCGATGCCTTGGTGCGAAAACGACACGGTGCCGTTGTCGAAATCGACCATCGCGCCGACGACGTCGCCAGCGCTCCATGACCAGTCCCCTCCGTACACCGAGCCAACATTGCACCACTTTTTGTGGCGCTTCCCATCCACGGCGTACGACCCAAAGTGATCTCCGACGCCATGAGTGGAAAAAGCAGGCTTGAAGTCGGGACACACGAATCCGAGCTGCATCAAACCGCCCGTTCGCAGCGTCAACTCAAAGTAAACCTTGCCACAATTAACCATCGTATTGCAGCGGACGGTCGCGAAGCCGTCAGTGCGGTTCAAAATTTCGTGTTGCGCGGCGATAGTCAAGTCGGATGTCGGAATTCCGTTGGAAGCCCACGTTTGCTGAATCCCAGCCGACCCAAATCCCATATACAGGACGCTGGCCTTCTTCTTGTTCTTCCGCAGCACACTCATGGCGAGGCGACCGCCGTCACTTAGGACAACGCTGTCAGTCGTTGGCGGCAAAAAGTACATGGGAGGATCATGTCGGGGAGGAATGGTCTGTGTAATCGATGCCGACCACGTGCCTTTCAGCGTACCCTTGCGATGCCATCCGTGGAACGTCACGCCGTCCATCCATTGTGCGTTATCGTCGTCATTGCCGCCTCGTCGGGCCACGATCGAGAACTCGACAAACCCGTCCGACTGAGCCTTTCCTTGGACGAGGCACCGCACCGTTGAATTCACCTCCACAACACCATCAAGACGTACTTGATCCACCGAGTACAACCGCAGTGCCAGCGCTTTCGTCGTCGGTTGATTCCACCCTCCACCAAGCGGCCCACACGGGTTCTGAGCGAACGTTCCAGTGCCAGAGAAGACCAAGTGGTCTTCCAAGTGCTCCGCGCTCAGTTGGGAATCGATTGGAGAGGTGGCTGTCGCGTTGGTATTTTTGTCCATCATCCGAGTCCACTCAACTCCCTGCACCGCCACATCCGAGAACCGTTGCAACGAGTCGCGTACAATCGACCCGCCGCCTTCGTGGAGCGGCCAGTGACCGATCGCAGTCAAAGCTGGGACGATGCTGTCAAACGTAGCTGCTGTCACAACTGCCTCTCGTTGACACTGCGCCAAGTCGTTGGTGGCCAAGACTTGGACTTGATGCGAAGTCAATTGCGATTCAAAGTACCGCACGTTCGCGATCCAGCCTCGGAATCCATGTGTGGTATCCCCGATATGTTCCAGCGGCAAATACACGTTGGGGGCGTCGACTTGGGCTGCAAACGTGCCGTTGATGTAAACAGAGACTGCTGACAAAGACGCCGTGATAGTTACAACGGACCACGTGTCATCCGGCACAGAGCACCGGAACGGGTACAACTTGCCGTTCAACTTGGTTTTGATGGCAAGGCTGGGACGACCGTCGAACAATTTCCCACATCGCAGCTGGATCGATGTCGAGTTCGAGTTGGCGAGCACTGCCGTGGCGCCGCCTGCACGAGGGCGAACAGAATATTGTGCGGTCCACGGGGGCGACACAGCGTCGGCATTGAGAACGATGCAACTTGCCGCGCCCTTGAAAAAGAGCTCGAAGTGAGGCGCGGTCGGGCGCGCTGCCTCGTCTAACTGTTGCAACGCTCTTTCACACAGGGCCAGGAAATCCACGTGTGCTTGCAAGTATTGCGAATACACGGGAAAGTTCTCTTGTTCGGCTTGCAAGAGCCGAGCAGTGACAGCCTTGAGATGGGGAAACGACAGTAAATTTGTGCACAATTGGAGGGCGTCCGTGTCCCCGGCAGCCAGCGACTGGTCCAAGAGGTGGCTGAGCACTTGCAAAGCCGTCTGTTGTACGTTCAAGTGGGTGCTCGCCAAACTCGCGGTCCACGTGCGAAACAGCGAGTGCTCGATCACGTTCGAGACAGGGAGCAGCCATTGCGTGACGAGGAGTACGAATCGCAAGTCGGCGCCTTGACGGACACCGACGTCAGTTTTCAAATGCGCCGGGTCCGTCCAATGCAGCGCGGTGGGGTTTTGAAGGAACGCGGTCATTTGTGCCTGCATATACGCACACAACGCCGAGCTCAGCGGATTCTTTGTGGCGCAAATATATTGGATCGCTGGACGTAACACATCCTCCGACGTTTGCTTTCGGGGCAAGTACCACTGAAGGGGCTGGTTCACGGCGATGTCGCTGATCCACTGGCGGTTCGACACCAAGCTGACAAATTCGACAAAAAGCTGCTCGTGGTTGTGAAAAATCGATCCCAGCGACGACCTGCAAATGGCGAGAATCGTCAAGCCCAGTCGGCGTGCGTACAATATGCGCAGCACCCGCGCCATGTCGCTTGCGTGCTGCAGAAGTCCTGCTGCATTCTCTTGGGCCATAGCATCCATAAACCCACGGCGGGTGCCATCTGCCCCCCACACGTTGAACAATTCTGTGGTGGCCTGGTTGGCCGACTGGCCATCGCAAAAGCAAAAGGTGAAGTCTTCGCCGCTACGATTTGCCGCAACAACCACGACGTTGGTGACGTTGGTCGAGCCATCACGTGCAGGTGCGTACGCGTGCGCCATCGAAATGTTGAAGACCGATACGACAGCGGCGCTCGATGCGAAGGAACAGCAATCCAGACGGTCTGAATCCGATCGCTTCCAATGCAGGATGCTATCCTCGACATTGACGTGGCTCCCTTGACCAACGTAGATGGCGTCTGCCGTGCGGACCACCCAGTACGCCACACCAGCCAACTCGTCGCAAAACGCACCAGCATCACTGCACACGATAGCGCCATCGTAGTAGAGCTCGATCGACTTGTCTGAAATGCGAATTTCATACCGCAACGACGACGGACTTGAAAACAAACCGACCAACGCGCCCGTGCGGCATCGAACTGTAAATGTAGTTGCTTTCTCGTCTTCGAGGTTCCAAAACGTGGAGTATGGGCCCGTCGCCTCGACCGTGCTGTCTGTACTCCATGCAACCGAAGGTGTTCTTGGCCCTTCATCCACAACAACGTTTACAGGTGTGGTGGTTGCGACCTCGATCGGTGGCGTCGTCGGCAAAGGCGCCTCAACACCCACAGTCTCCTGCAACAAGTCGCCGTTCATCAAGATCCAGTTGAGCGCGGCATTCACGTCTTGTCCGGACTCGTCCAATGCGCGTCTACACCACGTCTCTGGAAAGCCCATGGTAATCATCGACTGAATTCGGACATCCAGGAGTTTTTCGTCGCTCGTTTTGTCGACGGGAACCGAAGGGCTCGCTTCAACTGTATGTTGCTGTGCCAAGAAAGATTCGTGGTATCGAAGCAGGCGCCCGAGCTCTTCATCTCCACGCATGGCTTCCAGGATCGAGGCCACTGTAACCACTGGGGTCGCGGTATCCGCATTGCGCATCACTTCGATCGCCAGACTAAGCACATCCGCGACCAAACATTCGCACGTTGCGCACAAGTACGACCCGACCTTTAACGACGCGCACTTTTTGCTCCATTCCTCGATGGAGATCTGGTTGCTACAGAGACACCGCACTTTGTTCAGGTTCGAGTACCAGCCTACCGAAATCCAACGACAGCACGTACTGGGTAAGTTGGGCCAAGACAAACTGAACAATGCTAGCTTCGTGCACGGTCCACTCATTCCCCCAGTGGTCGCGGTTTGACAGCCACTCGTTGGCCTCTGCGCATGCCGCTTGCAGCATCTCCGGCAATTGAATCTGCCCATAAACTTTTTCCACGGCTTGCTGGACATTGCCGAGGTTGACGCTATTCAGAGTGGTGGTGGTTGCCCACATCTGTGTGAGTTCCGAGACTGTGAGGGACAAGATATGGTTCAATAGCGCTTCCATCCAAGCAACCGCACGCGGGTCCATATCCACGGGCACATCAAACGTCGACACTTGCTTCATGGTGCATACAACGCCTTCGGCAAATCCAAGTCGCGCCGTGCCGTGGGTCGAAATTGCTTCTTCATCGACATGGGCCGCTGCTGCCTTTGCCTGCGACACTGGAAACATGGCGTCTCGAATGGTCCCGTACGTGTTGGTATACTGCGCACTCCGTATGATCTCGGATTTATCTTCCAATTGCGGCAAACTGAGCAGGCCGTTCGTGTCGATGAGCGTCGCCCCGATGCCAAACACCTTAAGCGCCATCGCTGGATAGTCTGCCACAAAAGCGATCAGTCGCGACGGGTCCTCGTTGTAGATCAAGCGGGCCACTTGAAAATGATGCAAAAAGTAAACAGAGTCGACGAGCTGGGCCGTTTGACCGAGAATCGAGTTGACCAACGCAGGCGGAAACGCTGCCATCGGCAAGGATTCGCGCGCGACTACGGTCACTGAATCCACGGCAAGCGTACACGTCGTTTGGTCTGTGGTTTTCTGGACCTGTACCGATTGCTTGTCGCTGTTGAATCCCACAACAGTAGCGCGAGAGCCATCCTGTAGCTCGACGTGTCCGCCAAACCGAAGCGGTTCAGGGAACGACCCCATCACGGCCAGCACACCCAACTTTTTGCTTGGAACGGTCGAGTTGTAGCTTTCAGCCAAGCATTGGGCGACAAGATCGGTCCAGGTTTCATTCACCATGAGCATGCGAAGCACGCTGACGCTCTCAGAGGCCAGCGACAAAAACGACTCGGCAGACCGAGGCAACTGCGTCCTGGACGATTCTAGCGGCATCATGGCCATCCCTGCAGTGTCGAGGAAGAACTCGAGCAGCGGCATTGCACGACATGAGGTGCTCACACACGCCAGCGTCGTCAGGTCAAAGAGGAGATCGATGCCGAGGAAGGACGGGTCGCATAACGGCAGCAACGTGTGGAGGAGGTGCATCGCACGAGTGTGGGGTTCGGTCACACCAAAGCAAGCCGTCGTCAAGAACAGAGACAACCAATTTGGTGTGCACAGGAAGTTTTGGCACACGACTGAAGTCGACACAAACTGAAGCAGCGACAGAACGCCCAAAATGGTCGAGTTGCTTCCGATCGTGTCGAGGCGGTATGTTGCATTTGTGTCCACTTCGAGCATGCTCGTGACGGCAGCGGACATTTCCGAGTACAAAATGTCAAATACGTTGGCGCTGAGCGTCTGGGGGCCCGAGAGCTGGCGCTTAAAATGCGGTGGGCTGAGTGAGTTGATGTGTGTGTCGGATTCACCCTCGCTGGCCACTTGAAGCGCTAGAAGATATACGACTTTCATCGTGGCTTGCCGAAGGCCCACCAACGACGGCGAGTCCCCCGTGCGATCCAAAATCTCTTGCAGCGCCTGAAAGACCCGACAACTGGCCAGCATGATGTGATCTTCAGGCAGGATCCGAAGCGCAGACGCATCCAACAGCACCAGTTGCCAGCTCACGTCGTCATTTCCGCTGGTGAGGAGCTGCGTGATACATTGGTAAAACCCCTCAAATACACGATGTGCTTCAAGTTTTGCAATGACCGGGCATCCCGCAATGCCATGCTGGTAGTGCCACAAATGGGCACTCTTGCTGCGGAGGACGTCGACAAGATGGAGCAACACGGCCGCTTTGACGGGAATTGCCACATTTGTTGAATGCAGAACGCTGGTAGCCCGACGCAAGCCTGACACCCGCGTGACGGCCTTAAGGTGCGACGAGCTTAGCACCTCCTGGATGCGCTTGACACTGCAGTCGGAGTCCTTGTAAAAGCCGTAGATGGCCTGGAGTAAGTCGTCTTCCCAGTCAGGGAATCCTGCGTCTTCGGGGGCTGCGTCGAAGGACCCGCTGCGCTTTGAGCCCATTGAAATACGTCGCGACAACGACGGCGGCTCGGTACCAACGTATTCCTCCGATTTGCATGGCATCAGCGACAGCAAGAGATCGACTTTGCTCGTCAACATGGCTGCAATTTCGTCGTACGTAGTATTAGCCGATGTCTTGTAGCGGAGCGCCCATGCCTTGAGCTCGACCGCCTTTTGCCAAATCAATCGCAGCGCCTTGGGCGGAAGTTTTAACGTGTCAACGTCAAGGGACTCGGCCGACACGGTCATCCCACAGTGGAACAGCATGGACGCAATGACGCCACGGATCGCACGGTCCAAATTTGGGCCACCCATGCGGAGGACGAGTGCACTGCCGCCAACAAACCGGAGCATCGTTTTGTCCAAGTTGGAGCAACTGCCGTCGATGAACTGATTGAGGAACGTGTTTTCGGTGCGCTTGGCTGCGCCCCCGTTGAAGAGCTTCGATTGCACCCACTTGAGTTCCGGACCGACCATGTGCTCCAACTCGACGCCATAGATCATTTCGCCAAAGAGCTGGCCGGCGAAACATCCCAGCGTCAACACGTCGTCGGTGGTAGCCTTCTCACCATGGACCAAAATGTCCTCGATCAGGTCCATGAACGAGTCCCGTTCGTCGAGCATGGACGTCCACAAGCACATGTTGGACACCACTTGCGCAACCATGGACCTCAACGCGTTTGAGAGTGGAATGCCTTGGTGGATTGCGTCGCGATACACGCTAATGAGTTGCTTGGCGCAGTAGATGGCGAGGGGCGTTGGTTCGATGGATGGAACGGCTTCAGTTGGACTCAACTCGGACAAAAACAAGATCGGGCTTAGCCAGCTCACCGAGTCATCGCGCCGATACAAACTCACGGCAGGATAGTACTCTTCGCCAGCCACCAATTCCAACGCATGTGACGGACCGTACTGGACACCTGTGTCGGCATTGCACACGACGAGGGTGTTGGCGGTGGTGTTGACCGTCAGATCTATGACAGGTACGTTCTTGGAACCAAAGAGGGGCAGCGTCGTGGCTTTTGTGCGCTTTCCGTTGTGGTAAAAGTCCCCCGTCAGCATCCACCCGTAGCTGTTGTGCGACGTTCCCAGGCAAAAGTTATCCAGACTCGTCGATTTTGCTGCGAGGCCGACGACAAGTTGCCCCACGTTAGCGCACTTGTTCACTTGAAGGCGCCAAGTGTACACACCAGACCCTACGTCAAGAACGGCCATGAGATGACAGTCGTCATCGCCGCTGGATCAGCACGCAGCAAACCCTGTCGGATAAACTTGTTGCCGAAGGCACACATCCAGTTGTCATCGCTTTCGCATGTGACTGTGGTCGGGTTGGTGCTGTTGACGTAGCCGCCTGCTCCGACCGCTTCAAATTGAAGCCAACCTTTTGTCGACGTCGCTTCCTTTGCATGCACCATGGCTTCCATTGTAGCGCACAACGAGTAGCGCGTCGAAGTCGGCTCGACAGGCGCCGCCTTATTCAAAACTAGAATAATCAAAACAGTAGCGTGGGCAGTGCACGGTTGATGCATGCATACCTTGCTCTTCCAGCAGCAGCATCCCATCGCTGGGATCCACATCGAAGACCCACCCGTCCCCGTACGACACGTACAACACTGCGTCGTCTGGCATACGAATGACGTGGTTGGACTCGATCACTTGACCAATGTTCAAAGTTTTCCCGATCTTGGGAGCTTTCACGTTTGGCATGGCGCGGACTCCAATCGGACAGTTCACTACTTTGAAGTATCGGCGGGGGGCATGCCATTGCCGGAGTCGAGAGATTGTCGCGATGTCCCACTTGTCGTTTGGCAGCAAGCTCTGAATCAATTGCGACAGCAGAAACGACACCAGGTCGACCAAGCTCGACGGGCGACCCGAGACGGCGGGTGCATGCTGCACCAGCGCTTTCCAGAGCTGCTTGAAGGAGGCTTGCGACAGCTGGCAGTGGTTGTCTCGGTAGTACAAGTGCCACGTTTCGTACAGCACCACGAGCTGCTCGGGGGCCATGGATCGGACATTCGGTTCCTTTTGGAATCGCTCGAGGACGGCCGCTACATCGTCCGTCGTAAGCGACTTTGCATCCAAGAGCGCGTTTTGCACATGCTCGACAGTCCACGGAAACAACGCCGAGTGCTTGTTGAGGTCGGGAAAGGGAAGGAATTGCATGACCAGGTGCCTCTGCGAGAGCAGATACCGACAAAGCTCTTCCGTTTCGACGGGACACTCCAACGCTTTGATCAATCGGTCGGCGCGCTTCTGTGCCGTCGGATGGAAAATTTCGGTCCCGGCGATTTGCGTGAGAATCGCTTCGTGGTGAATCTCTTTCAATGCGGCTTCGTCGACGAATTCAACGTCAAACGCCGACAGTTCTACCAGCAGATCCTTCAGTCGCTGCGCAAACGACGTCGCATCGGAAATCCCGAGGCCGACCGACGCAGGAGGCACTGCAATCGGAACGGACAAATCCGTCGACACGATGGACGACAGGGGCTTGAAATTGGCTCGTAGAACGCGCACCAATGCGACGATGGCTTGGCCTTGGTGCGGGTCGCCTTGTTGGGCAAAAACTTGTCGGATAAGAGAGTGCAGCAGCAGAAACGTCAACACGTGCGTCCAGACCGCTCCTGATTCGGTCCCGCCCATCCCGTCCACACCCTCCACTTCAAACGACGTCAAGTATATCATAGCCATCGATTCCAGAAACGACAGAATGCGAACGGTCAGCGGGACGCTCGACGACTCAACCACCAGACTGGAACGCGTCGGCGGTTGTGCATGCTTCAAACTGGGCTCGGTCCGCCATCCATCTTCATGCACAGCCCGAGCATGGAGGGTTGACGACTTGTCGTAAACGCCGGTGCCATGACCCTCGGAGAACATGTAGTGCGCAATCGTAGACTGCGACGTCCTGGGATCGTGTCGAAATACTTTGACGCCTCCAAGGTCGCCTGCCCACTGCTCCGCAAAGTTGCATTCAAAAGGAACGCCTCCAATGTACAAATCGACAAGGCTTGACTGGGCCGGGTCCAAGTTTACATTGCCAGACGGCATGGTCTCGACGGCGTGGCCATGGATAAAAAACACGACGTTGCTCAGCGTGTAGCTCCACCCCACCGTAAACCACGACGACGTCGGCGAGATGTATCGTCCCGTTGTCGTAAACTTGCGGTCTTTCGTCCGCACACAGAGTTGACCGTTGGCCGTGACACCCCACACGAACGCAAACGCTCCATCGGAGCTCGCACACGCCGCCAAGACTTGCATGGACGCTCTTGACACGCTTGGGTGCATGCGCACGGTCATTTGGATGTGAAACGCTGCTGGCCACTTCACGACAGATTGAAAGAACGATGGCACCTTGATCACTCCGCCCGACGCAGGTGCAAAGTACTCGACAAGCGAGTCGTCGTCGGCGCCGCCTGGAGTGGATCGCATGGTGAGCTCAAGTGTCTGCGTTGTGTCGATCGTCGAGTGGGCGAGCACTCGCCGGGCAGCCTCAAGATCCGTCGATTGGACCGCATGCTTTCCATCCTTGACAAACTTAGCAATTTCTTTGACGGAGCACGCTCGGGTTGGATACAACTGGAGGTGCTTTAAGTACCCCCGGAATCCCTTGTAGTCGGTGGTCGCCTTCTTCACCCCTGGCGGCGACTTGCCAAAGTAAAACGGATGGTTGTTGTGCACCGCCGCGTCGTTGAGCGACAACGTGCGGTCCTCTTTCCCTTGTATAATCAATCGCAGCGTCAAACCATCGCATACCACGGCAATGTGGGTCCATTGGTTAGCTGTTAGCGGCCCGCTGGACACAAGCGTCGAGTTCCAGTCAGACTTAGTGGAGATACACACCGCCAACAAGAGGCGGTCGCAGCTCAGAAACACACTGGCAGTCCGTTCCATCGTTTGGTCCTGGCCCTTGAGAAAGATCGTGCGCCACGGACGCGGCTCTGAGTTGTCCTGCGTCGCCAGCGGATACAAAAAGAAGCTGATGGTCCACGCCTTGGGCGACAACTCGATAGAAGGGTGCAGCCGGGTCATTGTGCCTTCCATGGATGAAAACTCGGTGCAGTCGCCAACGAGTTCAACGGGACGCTGGGCGTTGGTAGGCACAGAACTAAGGGGGACCGGACCAAGATACCCCAGGCCAGAGAACACACTTGGGTACATGCTAGAGTAGCGAGTCCACACTGTCGATAGAAAGGTGCGCTTGCCGATGGCGACGGCGGGGACTACGGCCATGCCACGTATGCTTTGGGGAACAGGAACGTTAACCACAGCTTGCGCTTCCACGGTAAACGTCAGCAAGTTTGAGGGCAAGATGAGCTGGCAAGTAACGTCGGACCAAGCCGCGATGGGGGTTGCTAAAGACGCGATGCACTGGTAATCGCAGAACACTGAGCAACCGTCAAAACCGATGGAATAGGCGTCATCACCGAGAAAGACGCCCCGGTGCGACTGTTTCAGGCACGTCCATCCGACACGGAAGGCTGACGGCGTGTCGGACGTTTGCTGCTGGGTGGCGTGGATCGAAAAGGATCGAGAACCTGTGGTATGGGGTCGCCACCCCAACGCTACAAAGTTGATGCATTCAAACGACGGGTTGGAAAGATCGGCCGAGATCGTCGCGCCATCGTGTGAGATGGCGTCGTTCGTCGAGTGGCTGTGGAGACAGACCCAGTGAGGTTTCGATGAGGGCTGTGCGTCCAGAGCGGATTCATGTTCCGCCAACGCTTTCAAATGCACGAGATCGATGTACTTTCGCCCCGAATCGGTCGCGACCACAATATCACGAAAGTTTGATTCGAACCGGGACGCGCCTTCCGGCGACAACATGGCTGCTTTGAGCACGACAAGCAGCTCCAGGCAAACAGACTCGGCGCGGTCGTGCTTTTGCCGCAAGTATCCCGAGATTGCGTGGAAGAGGACGGGCTCGAACTGATTTAACACAGCCAGCGCTTCGGTGAGATCTGTTGTCGTCGATGGAGCACCCATAGGCTCGATGGGCGATGTCGGCGATTCCAACATTGCGGTAGGCGACTGCAGTAGTGCTACAGTGTCTGTCGATTCGTTTGGGGGAGTTACTTGAGACGCCACGGTAGTTGCTTCTTGCTTAGGGGCATACTGTGCGATCAAGCAACGTAGTCTGTTGTCGACGGCAACATTCTGAATTCGTTGTGGATCGGATTCGGGGAGGAAGCAACACGCGAGCGACCGCAGTGACAGGCTGTTGTGGTACGCGCCTTTTCTGCATGCGAATTTGATGTCATTGATGAGCTCCTGAAGCTTCAGCTTCTCGCGCTCCACCTCCATCCTGCGCGGCAATCTGCACTATCTACCGCACGTCAAGAGATTATCTTTCTTCTGACTCAAGGGAACTTATCCGGATACACTCCACTATTATCTGGATAACGTAACGCTGCTAAAAACATGCACAATACCATCAGTACAACAGGGCTGGACATCACATGAAGAAAAACGAAACGAACGTAATGTCGGCTACATTATGTCAACGTTGACAATCCTGATATCCTCGAACGGCTTGTCGAATCGATCAACACGGACGCCTTCGATGGCCGCGACAGTGTCTTTGCCGTTCTCCACACGGCCAAACACCGTGTGCTTGTTGTCCAGCCAAGGAGTGGGCACTGTCGTGATGAAGAACTGCGACCCGTTCGTTCGTGGCCCGGCCTACAATGGCGCCATGAGTCTCTCTACACAATCGTACCATGCCATGCGAGACTAACGTTTGCCATGGACACAGTGAACGGTCGGTCGTGGCGGAGATTCCGGTGGAATTCATCTTCAAATTCCCCGCCCCAAATCGATTCCCCGCCGGTGCCGTCTCCCTGCGGGTCACCCGTCTGCACCATGAAGTTCTTGATGACACGGTGAAACAAGCAATTGTCATAGTATCTACCAGTCTCCATCGTTAGCATTCCACATAAAGCGGCAGCCATGACGTACCCATTCCGCGCATGCGTGCAAAAGTTCTCGACCGTACGGGGGCACTCGTTCGGATACAGCGTGAGGAAGATATCTCCCATCGTCGTGTGGATGACTGCGCGGGTGCCGAGGGCGGCGGTGGCCGTTTTGGTCGAAATCTGGGACTCATCAAGCGTTGGCTTCTCGTTGAATACGTCGCGGCCATGTTCGTCATCGGCGGAATCGACGGGCTCCCGAGTCGAAAAGCAGTAAAACCGCGCCTTCTTGAACGCAGCGGCAAACACCATGGGATCGATCCAAGCTTTGGCGTCATTCGCGTCGCTCATCACGAGCTTCTTTTCGACTTCGGTCGTCGCGTGTTTCTGGAACTGGGTGTTGATTGACGGGGTGCCCTGGACCACACCACAACGAACGATGAGGTCAAACTCTCTGATCCCCAAGGACCTGCACGGCGCCACCCACAAGGCGAATGCTCGTGCCACAAGCTTATCTACCTGGAACAAACAGAGCTGCGTGAATCGCTCGGTGTTTTCGACTTTGCCTAGAACTCGCGCGAGCTTGTTGGTCTCGATATGGAGGATTTTAATCCCGAGCAGCGTCGAGAAGAGCACGTAATGGCCACTCGCGTCGAAAATGCAGTTTGACGTGACTCCCACACTTTGCATTTCCTTTTCCACGGCCATGCGTCGGCCGAAATCGATCGCATCCAGCTGCAAACTTCCGTCCGCTTGGGCATCTTCAAACTGCACGAGCGACTCGTCGTACTTGCGGCGAAGTTTGCCTGGGGAGCATGGCAGTGAACAATCGAATCGACCATCACAGACGAACGCGTACCTGTGGCAAACCGAAACACACGCAGAAACGAGTCCGCCGCCGTCACGACAAAATCAATGCCGTTCGGGGATATGTCGATCGAAGTAGCGTGCGTGCGGTGCTTGAGCAGTTCGTACAAGTCTGTCGACATCTTCGACTTGAACTTGATGACACCTGCGCCAGGCATCGAGTAGTTGTCTGCCGCCCAGTAGTCCAACATGCCCTTGCTATCGCCGGAGATCACAACGTTCGCAATAGGATTGAAACCCAGCACCGTGACGGGGGCCGTGTGAAGGTTGTCAAGGACGTGCAAGAGAGCGGTGTCCTTGGCATGGTCGGCGTGGTAAACGCGCAGTACATGGGAATCCATCTCGGCGACGACGATCTTCGGTACAACATGACCTGTTTGAAAGATCCAGCAGCAGTGGCTCGGTGTGTACCCCAACGTGATCATGTTGACCATGTCAAATCCCAAGATATCGAAAAACTTTATCGTGCCGTCGAGAGATGTTGTTGCCAGCCGTAGACCGTCGTCCGACACTGCCAGACCCACAATCGCTTGTAAATGAGCTTTGTAGTGCTTGACAAACTCAATCCCGGTCCGCATTTTGCGCCAAAACTTGATATGGCCGTCGGCAGAGGCTGTGATGAGAAATTGCGTCGACTTGGAAAACGCAACATGCGTCACTGTGTCGCGATGCATGTAACTCTTCTCATACATTTCCGCACTCGGAAGTTGATCCAAGAGGGCTTTTTCCGCCACGACATCCACGACTTTGCGTCGCTTCACCGCTGGAAGCGGCATTGGCATCGGGCCATCATCATCGCTCATTTTGGCTATGCCCAACCAAACCGCAGAATTGGTTCCGCATACCCTGCCGGATAAAATATGAACATTTTGTCCAATCAAATCAAATTGTCTCATCCAATCATCATTTGGCAGTTCGTGAACTTTCATCCAGCGAAGGATGCAAGTGCAGCCGATCGGCTCCGTCAACCCATCGATTCGCTACACACGACTTGTGGACATCCCCCTCGGCCATGCAGCATGCAGCGAATCGGTTCTGCGTGGCAGACTGCAAGATCTCTCAACACCGTTTGAACAACTCAACGCATCCACATAAACTCCTTCCTCAAGGGCTGCTAAATCTTCATGCCACGGTGATAACATCAGGAAAATCAGCTGCGCCTTGCTCTTGTATATCCGCTGCGTTCTCCTTCGGGTTGCAGCTCTTGTCCTCGTCGTGTTGGTTTCCCGACACTGTGTGAGTAGCGGCTTTCAAACTGTATCGCCGGTACTCTCCTTTTCGTGGCTTGTCAATTCGTGCCACTTGTCTCCCTCCAAGGACTTCACCGACTCGTGGGACTTTGCAAACGGCGTTTTCTTCCACTCTTCTTCAAACTCTTCCTTCGTAAAGCCCTCCGAGCATTCAAAGCTGAATGTCCCCTCGTCGCGCTTGTTCGCCCTCTGCCACATCGTCACCATTTTCTTCCCAGGTAACCTGCGCTCGTGCACAACCTTCAAGCGGCCATTGGCGTCTTCGTAGCGGCGGCGAATGCTCAGCACGACGCATCCCGTGTCATCCATCGCGGACGAACTCGAGTACGAGTAGCTGAACGATGCGACTGTCTTCTTGTCAGTCGAGTCAGCCACCGACACGCCTTTGGCCGTGGATGATTCGAGCGCAACAGCAGGCAGGTCAGTGAAAAAATCATCTATCTCGTCACTGGCGGCTTCTGGGAGAATCTCCATGACGCAGTAGGTAGCCACGGGGAGGTCTATGTGGGGCGCTGTGGTTAGCTGCATTATGGACTGCTCGAAGCTTGTCATGGGGAACCAGGAGGACGGATGCACAACATCCCACATCGTGAGCGGGTGGTATGCGCCGAGCATGTATTTGAACGGTTGAAAGTGGAAGCATGCTTGGGAACAATCTTGCCAAAGATTGACTCGTTGCATGGGACACGGCATCGAGTGGTTGGAACTGTTAAAATCGCACGAATCACTTTGTAGCCGGTGGGACGCCAACGGCCGATTCCATTGCGCGCCCAGCACACGGCCGTCAACGGTGCGATCTCGAGCCACCGGTCGATCGCTCACTTTTGAAGTTGCTCCGACCTGGACAAGATGTTTCGATACTACCAGCCGATGACCACGTGGGATGTCGTCCGCCCGTCGTACTGGTATCCGATGGCAAGCCTGGAGCAGTCGTTGATGGATTTGGATGCGCTGGCCGACGACATGAGAATGTCCTGGCCACTCCGCTCGTCTCGACTCTTGGTCGTCCCCTCATCTACCGACGACGACGACTTTTTCAAGGATTTGCCGGTGGCGTCGCGCGAAACCCAAGCATCCAAGGAAGTGTCGAGCGGTGGTGGCGAGTCGACGAACGAACCGTCGCGTGCGTTTTCAAACTACTCGTACTCGAGCTCGTCCGTGGTGGACGATCAAGGCCGTCGTGTACAGAGCATTCGTCGCCGGTACGAGGACGCGAACGGATGCCTCAAGGCCATTCATGAACGCCACCTCCCTGGCAAGACGATGGTGACTACGTGGCGCAAGAAGGACAATGACGACAAAGGCAACGAGGAAACTACGTGCACGGAAGGCGTGACGAAGGAAGAGTTTGAGAAGGAGTGGAAGAAGACCCCATTTGCCAAGGCCCATGAGTCTGCTAAGCCCTTGGAAAGCGACAAGACCAAGTCGTTGGAGAGCGGCCACACGGGGAAGAGCGAAGGTGGCGAATCGTCCAAGGCGTCGACTGGAAGCGGGCATCAGCAGGCCAAAGAGCAAGTTACCGCGTAAATTTCATTGTGACTGTACAGGACGAAGCAAAGTTGCTCAGATTGTGTTGCGCGTGCATGGACCGAAGAGCTTTAGGAGACGGGGGATTTAAGCTCATTGCCTTTTACTTTATGTTCAACTTTATGTTCAACTGGGTGGTGTAGCTCATGCTGAGCTAATGCGATTTCGCCGACCTGAGTAAGTTGTGTCTATTCAAGTTGTTGCGAGCAAAGCCGTGTGTCACCATAGGCCAAGCGAAGTTGCTGCAAAAGCGTAGCCTTGCAACACATGCCTCGATTTGGTGACTAGCCATAGCGGCAAATTCGGTGCCTTCATATCTATAGACCCAGCAAGATCGCGTCATGCTGCATCTTCCCTTGGCAACTTCCCACAGCCGATGAAGATACGTCAGATACCATCATTCCCGCTAAACTTGATTTCAGTATGCCTCTGTGTACAGACCGCACACGCGATCTTGACATTTTCGCTTTGAAATATGAAGCCAATGACGACGCTGGTGGGGTTGTTGGCTGCGGCGGCCTGGATGATTGACGTGGTGGCCGCGAGCTACAAATGTCATTCCTACAATAGCAAAGATGCATGCTTGAAGTCTTTGGACGAGAAACCTTGCCTTTGGTGCAGCTCGGCTGCTGTCCCGAGCTCGTGTTACGAGGACGACGAGGCTGCTCAACTCCCTCCAGGGGTGTTCGAGTGCACAAAGGAAACCCTTGAAGCCCCACCAAACCATGGCTGTCACTTCTACAATACTGAAGCGTCGTGCGTACAGAACACAGAAGGCGACAAACCCTGCTTCTGGTGCAAATCGGCGGCGGTCCCGTCCCAATGCTACAATGAAACTGAGGCCGAACAATTGCCTCCCGCCGTATTTCAGTGCGACATGATGCAGAAGGCCCTTGTCTTTAAAGCTGACGTCGTGGATTTGGCTGCGGTACACACTCCTCCCTCTTCACGGCGTCGGTCATCTCACCTTGACGGAACACATTAGCTGGCAAGTCCAAATGTGCCTGTCATCCCAGTGGACAGCGAGTCATGGTGGCTAGACCCCGTGAACCACGGCTGCCACTTTTACAACGCAAAGGAGTCGTGCATCCACAACACGGAAGGCGGCAAGCCGTGCTACTGGTGCAAGTCAGCGGCAGTACCATCCACGTGCTACAACGAAACAGAAGCGAAGCAATTGCCCCCTGCGATATTTCAATGCGACAAAGAAGACAGCCATGCGATTAATTGGGCGCTCGTTGAGGTAGATAGGTGCATCATTCGTTTGTACTCACAAAGTTGTCTCAGATCCCGAGCCCCGATGCTTTCGCCGCACTCTTTTCGCACTGGGCGGCAACGTTCAATGTGGAATACCCCTCGGTGGAGGAGCGCCAGCGTCGTGCGGAGGTCTTTTACGACAACGCAAAGCTCGTCGCGCAGCATAACCAGCAGGTGCATGCCACGTATACGCTCGAGCTCAACAAGTTCGCCGACACAACATGGTACACACCCTGGACGCCCCACGCATCCTTTGGCTAATCATGTGGCAAGGGACGAATTCAAACAGCTCTATCTTGGCGCGTCGACTCCTCAAAATTGTTCGGCCGCGCACACTGCGCGGTACATTATCCAACGAGAAGGCTGGCATGATGGCTGACAATGAGGACTCCATTTTTAGTTTAGTCGCGAAGGATGTGCCTGAAGCGATCGACTGGCGCCGATGGGGCGCCGTTTCTCCCGTCAAGGACCAAGGAAAATGCGGCAGTTGCTGGTATCGTCGCTGTGCAACAAAAAACGTTAGCGTTGAAAATGCATCGTGTTGCAGGACGTTTTCGTCGACGGGATGCCTGGAAAGCCACAACTTGCTCACCCACGGCAAGAAGGTGCTGCTGTCGGAGCAAAATCTGATCGACTGCGCCCAAGCGTTTGACAACCACGGGTGCAGCGGTGGGTTACCGTCGCATGCGTTTGAGTACGTCAAGTACAACGGCGGTCTCGACACTGGCGCGGTATCCTGCCTACCTCTGTAAAAGTCGCGCGCTTCTCACCTCTCTTGGCTTGTAGTCGTACCCGTACCATGCCAAGGACGAAAAGTGCAGGTTTTCTCCAGCCTCTGTCGGCGTCAAGGTGCTCGACGTCGTCAACATTACATCCCGCGATGAAACCGAGCTGGTACGGGAGCCCTGTGACTCGATTCCTCGTTCATGTGAGCGGCTGTAGCGCATGGCCGTGGGGACGGTCGGTCCAGTGAGCATTGCGTTCCAAGTCGCGTCGGATTTTCGCTTTTACAAGGAGGGGGTGTACGACTCGACGGTGTGCCAATCTGGCGAAGAGGACGTGAACCATGGTAACAAATTTTGACGTTGGCAAGTCGTTGATCGAACTGTAGCGGTGCTGGCGGTGGGTTACAATGCCACCGAGGATGGACGCAAGTACTGGATCGTCAAGAACAGGTAATTGACTGATGAACTGTTCAACTTCCCACGTTCCTCGGCGTGTTTGCTTGGATGATTGGACGCTTGGACTGATGTGATGACGCAGCTGGTCAGCAAAGTGGGGCTTGCAAGGGTACTTTAACATCGCTCGGGACAAGAACATGTGCGGCTTAGCCGACTGCGCGTCGTACCCGCTGGTGTAAGAACCATCGTTCCATTCTCTCGACGACGTTGGCGTCGCACTGTCTGTCGCCGGTGTGACGTTGTGAATTGTTGCATTAAAAGAATACATGCATTCGTTTGAAGAGTCAATTTTGTTTGTCTTTTATTCAAACCGTACGGTGATTGGCGGACGTTTTGTCGGAAAATAGAGTGAAGGTATTGGAGTGACGGTCGAGGGTAGGGGTCGACATGACTGGTGCAAAGTAAGAATTCACGTTGAACAGTGTGCGTTCTCGAATCCCATGGCAACAGCAACTGCGACGACACCCGTCAAGTACCGCTTGGTCGAAGCCGAAGAAGTCGACGGTGGCAACGTGCAGCAACAACAGCAGCAAGTCAGCAACGACCCACAGGCCAGCTCGTTCAAGAAGAACAAGGCCTTCAACAACGGTACGTTGGCATCATGCCAAGGCGCCAAACGGCCACAACTTTATTGTTACGTGCGATTATTGTGGTATAGAGGCCAAGACGAATGGTGCTGGTCCCCGTCGTGGCGGTGGTGCCGGTGGACGCTGGAAGGGCAATGGCGGACGCGGCGGTGGCCGCGGGCGTAACTTCGATTCGACCCAAGGCTCGTACATAAATGGGGTGTTTATCCCGACCAACGACGTGACCGTCACGGCCGAGTATGCCAAGGCTCAAATGTACGTGACTGTGCCCATATTTATTTGACTGGATGCTAATAATGGCGATTTGCAGTGAATTCTTCTTGTCGCCGGACAATCTCGTCCGTGATACTTTCCTACGCCAGCACATGGACGTGGACGGGTATGTGCCAGTGGCCTTCGTGGGCAGCTTCCAATCGGTGTACTCGATGCACCAAGACTACCCATCGCTTCTGGCGGCCATGAAGACGTCGACTGTGTTGGAGTTCGACGAGAAGAACGAGAAGGTGCGACCTGCGGACTGGAAGAAGTGGCTCTGGCCCACGGCCGATGGCCAATACGGCGTGCCGCGGTACATCAAAGTGACCGACGATGCGTCGGCCTAATTGCCTCTTTACCATTTTCGATCTCTTTTTGTGTCAATTAAAAATATTATTTTGCATGTTCTACGATTGGTCATGGTGGCGTTGGCGGCGCGCACCAAACCGATTCCCGCGAGTTCGGCCGGCATTGAGTTGAGCCAACTGAGCGATCGCTTGGCTGTGCGTCCCATAGAAGGGAACCCCGTGAAGGGTCTCCTTTGTTTGCGCCACGTTGCGCTGAACTTTGTAAAACTCATACCATGATTCGTCCCCTGCCTCCTCTGGAACGGATACAACGACTTCCTGCAATACTGGAGAAGGCTTGGGGATGCCGTCGAAGATGGCCAAAGTTCTTTGGATACCAGCGTTGAGAAAGTCCAGCTGTCGAGCCACGACGGATTCGAACGCTGCCAACAGAATCTCCTCCGTCGACGTCTGGCCCTCCAAGTCGCTAATGGCTTGTGCAACTGCCTCCAGTGTAGACAAGCATCCATCCATTGGTTCTTTTCGAAGCGCGCCGTACAAACTTGTCGCTGTCGATTGCACAACGACGCGAGGCAGCGACTGTAGCACTGGATCATTGTGAACAATTTTCTTGGCCTCCTTCCATGTACCATCCACGACAACGAGCGTGAGGTTTGGACGCCAGTTGGCCGTGGAAAGCACCGTGGCAGTAGGTCCTGGGAACAACAGCAGCACCACCTCGTCAGAATCATGTGTCAACTTGGTAGATGTTGCCACTTCGAGCGTGAAGTTCTCGATGGAGTGTTGGAGGAGGGGCACGCTGGACAGAGCTTTGCGCTTGGCTTCGTTTGGATGCTGAATGCAGTGGACATTGAATCGAGTCTTGAGCTTCGGCAATGGAATAACGCCGCAGAAGCACACGCATGGAGGTCGGCCACAGACGTCGCAGGTTTGCCGCGCCTTCCCCATCATGGGATGCCGATTCGCTTTACCGCATCAACACATGATTGGCTGCTCTGCCATCAATTACATCGAATTCTGTTGCAAAAATACGTGAAAATTTATGGAAATAGTCGTCTTGGCGAGGGAGCCTGACCTGCGCCATCTTATCTTCTAGAGGCAGGACGATGTGAGGTCGCGTTTGGGTGGGTTCGCGGTAATCCAGTATTAGTCAGCTATCTTATTCACTACGCCGATTTGGTGGCTTTGGTGGCATCCTCCGTCGTGGTGGCGTCACCAGCAGCCTTGGACTCATCGATCGGCGTCGCCTCGACGGCTTTTTCAGCAGGTGCGGCGGGTTTGGGCTTCTTGAAGTACTCCATCAGCCAAAAGCCCTTCGTAGGCTTGATTTCGCTCACGATTTCGTGCACAATGTCCTTCACCGAGAGCAGGCCGACAATCTCTTCCTTCGAGTCAACCACAGGGAAATGATGGTAGTTTCTACACAATGTACCACGTCAAGCACACTACATTCAGGATTGGGGCTCGCGTCACCAACCTCGTCGCAGCCTCAAACACACATGTGTGCAACGAGGCATCGCTCTTCAACGTCCACACATTTCGCGTGCACACGTCCTTCGTCAGAACTTCGCTGGCGTCGAGTTGGGGGTGCAGCACTTTGGTCAAGTAGTCTCTGGAAAGGGTGCATTAACAATCTCATTCAGGCATCGTCCACCATACCGCTCGGTGAAGATGCCCTTGATCTTCTTTCCGTCGTCCATGACCAACACAGCGCCAAAGTGGCGCTTCGCCTATTCAAGACATTTCCAGTGATGGGATCTGAGGGATCAACTTCATCACGTACCATTTCAGCGACAGCTTCAGCAACTGACACGTTGTCCTCGACGCGAGTGTTCAAGATTAAGTTGATAGTTTCGTGCTTCTTGCGCAGCAAAGTTGAAGCATTCACTGCAGAGATAGCACCTCGTCAGTTGTAACGCTGTGCATGCTAATGTCGAACCTGTGGCAGGAATGTCCTTCTTTGATTCTTCCGTTCCGGCGTCTGCAGAGGTCTGGTACAAGTGAGACGAAAATGTTGTGGTTGGGATTTCGCACCGCAGAGGACTCGGTTGCAACTGCAGTGTTGCTCGGATCTGTTAGCTCTTGCTTCTTGTCTTCGGCATACGCCTTGATGATATCCTAGCAGAAAGTGGTCGTGATCCAAGAGAGGCGAGGGACGTCAGTAGGTATACTTTGATCGACAAGACACTGCGCATGGCTTCAATGGGCACAACGTCTTTCGTCCCTGGCTGCGATGGATCAGCGTGCACCACCGCCAGATGACGGATCTTCTCCTTGTTCATGGTAGCTAGAGCCCTTTTGGTTGATGCGCGTAAGATATCTCGCGCGGGCGTTTGTGACTACGTACGCCATGATAGTCGTCGAAGGGTCGATGCACAAGATGCGCTTGGACATGATGTCCTTCACGGTCATTTCCTGGCCTTCGGATGCCGTTTCTTTTCCCTTTACGAGAATGTCGCGCTCTGTTACAATCCCCACGACCCCTTGTCCTTCTACGGCGTACACACTGCTAGGTACTCACGTACCAAAAACATGAAATTGATACCTTGTGTGACAATGAGGGAGCCGACGTTGCGCTGGACCATGAGGTTCACGGCAGAATGGATGGGAGCCTACGGTTATATCTGGTAACGATCCTTTCTTTGGTTGCATGCACAACTTACGTCGTGGCGGATGGCTTGCCACTGCTCAAAGTGAGGATGGAGCTCGCCGTGCGCCGCACTGTCGAGGTTGCTAAAGACTTTCTCTCGCGCAGCCAAGACGTCACCGACTGTAACAGTCGAGACAGTCGGCGCACTGTACAGCCGCGCAGTTGCGGACCGCAGAAGAAGCACGGGAAATCGTCGGTGGAGCATGGTCGTGGCGGCGGATGATGTTACGGTTGCGCACGACAGAGACAAATCAAATTTGGGAGCTTGGTCTCCGGATATGCTTCAGTCGTTATCCGGATATTCATGGGTGCCCTCATCTCGACCAATGAACGGAGGAGGGTCGTCCGAGATGTCGACCTCTGTCGCTGGATCGCTCGAATCTCCATGGAATTGCGGTGGTTATTTGGGACCTTTCGTCGCTTGATCCATTGCTTGGATGGAGCGTAAAGTTCTGCATGTAGGTGAAAGAACATACGCATCTTACGGCCTCTTTAAATGTTAGCGGCCCACCGGCAACATATTATGCTATGGTGTGTGGGAATGGAATCCGTTTTGGTCAGTTTCGAGCCTCGCAATGTACGTGGTTTTTCTTTTTGAACAAGCTCTCCAAATGACTGAGTTGGGTGGGTAAAGTTCTACTCCATACTCGAGTAGGCCAGCATCTTTGGACGGTTTGTTTCGCTTTGCCTTCGTCTTCCTTCGTATGATTGGCATTAGCGGAGGCTCTCACGATCGATCCAACGAGAAAAGCTTGGAGTCAAATGATGAAGTTATCCGCTGGAAAAAAATAGTCGCCCAACCGGGTGCTTGATCCTTCGAGGTAATTTCCCCTATTTCGTACATCCGTTCAATATAGGCAGAAAAGCAATGGGTTATTTGTAAAAATTCGGGCATCTCGCTGTTAATGTTGTCAATACATAGATATTTCGTATCGTACACAATGTTTAAGGGATTTCCGGGGCACAAGGATTCTCTCTCGGCGCTGTTTCGTATACACGGGAGTTTGGGTTAGATCGGTCCATCACCTTTCGATTGAACATGGCGGCGTCCAAGGTGTCAAAGTACCCGCACTTGCTCACGCCGCTGGACTTAGGCTACACGACACTGAAGAACAGAGTCCTCATGGGCTCCATGCACACGGGGCTGGAAGAAGGCCACTCCCTGACAAAGCTTGCCGCATTCTTTACGGAACGGTAACTGTCGGCCACCCCACGTCCGACGGATTTGCTCACGTCGCGTGTGTAGTGCTCGCGGGGATGTAGGTTTGATAGTCACCGGTGGTGTCGCACCAAATCGGGCTGGTCGTGTGAGTCCCCTCGCTGGTAAGATGACGACTTCCAGCGAAATCAATCGCCACAAGGAAGTGACTCAAGCTGTGCACGACAACGGGGTACTCGCACATCTTTCTCACGATGTCGGAGTGTTCTGATGGTTCTGCTCTACCTGCAGGGAAAAATTGCCATGCAAATTCTGCACAGCGGGCGGTATGGATACCATCCGTTCACGGTCGCCCCGTCGCCCATCAAAGCTCCCATCGGGTGGTTCACTCCCAAGGAACTGTCCCATGGTGGCATCCAATCGACCATTAAGGACTACGTGCAATGCGCAGTAAACGCTCGCGAAGCAGGCTACGACGGCGTGGAAGTGATGGGGTCCGAGGGGTATTTGATTAACCAGGTGAGCACAGCCCTTTTCAAGTCAATTGCTATGATCAATCTCATGAGCGATTCTGCTGCAGTTCATCGTTAAGCACACCAACAAACGCACAGATGAGTGGGGTGGCGACTACAAGAACCGCATCAAGTTTCCCGTGGAAATTGTGCGTCAAATGCGACGTGCGGTCGGGCCCGACTTCATCATCATTTTTCGACTGTCCATGTTGGACCTTGTCCAGGTAATACTGTCTTGTATTCATTCTCACTTTGATCGCTCTTCTACTTAGGACGGCAGTTCGTGGGAAGAGATCGTCGAGCTGGCCAAGGAAATTGAAGCGGCTGGCGCGACCCTTCTGAACACGGGCATTGGGTGGCATGAGGCACGCGTACCAACAATTGCAACTAGCGTTCCTCGAGGTGGGTTCTCCTGGGTCACTGGCAAGCTCATGGTACGCTTCTCAACCTGCCAATATTCCCACCCACCCGCCTCACAATAGGGCGAAGTAAACATTCCATTGATCACGACGAACCGCATTAACACGCCGGAAGTTGCCGAAGACATTTTGTCCAAAAAACACGCTGGTGCGAATGATGGAAGGAAACAACGGCTTGACATGGGCCGTAGACATGGTGTCGATGGCGCGCCCGTTTCTGGCCGACCCAGAGTTTGTCAAGAAGGCCAAGGAAGGTCGCGCAGATGAAATCAATACGTGCATCGGGTGCAACCAGGTGCGTCCGTGATCTTGATCTTCATGACGACTGATGTGTATCTACTAGGCGTGTCTGGACCACACGTTCAAAGGCATCACGGCGTCGTGTTTGGTCAATCCGCGCGCGTGCTATGAAACCGATCTCAACTACCGTCCCACCCAACGTACTTGAGTGCACCCCCATCCCCACGATGGCCTCACTCGCCTGCATGCTGTGCAGACAAGCTCAAGTTGGCAGTAGTTGGTGCGGGGCCGGCTGGGCTTGCGTGTGCAAGCGTTGCGGCCATGCGCGGCCACGACGTCACTCTGTTCGACAAGCACGACGAAATCGGTGGTCAATTCAACCTGGCCAAGAAAATTCCTGGCAAAGAAGAATTCTACGAAACGCTGCGCTACTTTGGCACGAATCTCGCCGATTTGATGAATATAATGGTGATTGTAGCCAAGCAACTCGACAAGCATGAAGTCAAGGTCAAGCTGGGGCACACTGTCTCGGCGCAAGACTTGATTGACGCCAAGTTTGATCGAGTTGTGATGGCGACCGGGATCACCCCTCGCAAGCTCAAGATCGAAGGCGCCGACACGAGCCCCAAGGTATGGATCTTCACGTGAGATGCGTCGTGGAAGGTCGGACCAAATTTGGACGACGTAGGTCGTGAGCTACATTGACGTCCTAAACGGCACCGTGACTCTCGGAAAACGAGTGGCTGTGGTGGGAGCTGGGGGGATTGGATTCGACGTGGCCGAGTTTGCCACGCACACAGGCACGTCGCCAAGCTTGGACGTCGACTTGTACGCCAAGGAGTGGGGTATTGATCGGACGATGACAAGACGAGGTGGCCTCGCCCCGCGCCACGTGCACGAAACGGAGCGAAGAGTGTACTTGTTGCAACGAAAGTCGACCAAGCACGGAAAGGACCTGGGCAAGACGACCGGGTGGATTCATCGGCTGTCGTTGCAACACCGCAATGTCGAAATGATCGGCGGCATCACGTATGACAAAGTGGATGAGAAGGGTCTGTACATCACCAAGGGCAAGACAAAGGAGCAAATGCTACTTGAAGTGGACCACATCGTCGTGTGCGCCGGTCAGGTCCCGCTGCGCGAGCTCGAGCCTGCACTTCAGAGGAGCCACGTTCCGGTGTTCCGCATTGGCGGGTCGGACGAAGCCTCCGAATTGGATGCAAAGCGCGCCATCAACCAAGGTGCCCGCCTCGGCGCCAAGATTGAATCGGCATCGCCTGGAGATCCGCTTGGCCCTGTGCCCACCCTGTCCGAGAGAGCGACGACTTATATGATGCAATACTTTCAGAAATAACTCTTTTCAAAAAGTATCTGGATTTTTTTATGGGTACGTGTCAATGCGAAATATCGGTTGTTGTTCTGCACTGTGAGACATTCAATACTACATTGCAAAAATACATATACAATGTAATATGCGAAATATATATCGAGTTGATGAGGAGATATCAAAATATCAACTTATGTTGTTGTTTGTATTACGTTTCATGAGGCTTCGATTTTTCGATTCCGACAACTTCGGTTTTTGACTTCGACATCCTCGCCATCGACACCCACCACCACCATGTCGCCGCCGTTCCGCGGTCTCCTTGTCTCTCTGTGCTTCTTGTTTGCAATTCCTCTTCTCAATGCCCTTGTGATTGAACGGTATGCAGCGTTCAAGCTCTAGTCTTTGCGCTCACTTTATTGTTTGCTTGTAGCCCTTGCTGCCATGTCGAACGGCATGTGTACGTGTCGCGGTCGCTGGAACCGTTCACGATGGATTGTTGTGTAGTCCAGCCCGATTCGGCAATTTCTACCCGAAGGATGTCAACAAACTTGAACTCGTGGCAGGTATGTTCTCCATCTCATTCATGCTCGACATCTCCGTGTCGACGTCGTCTCTATCGTTTGTGTAGTTCGCCCATTCGATGCGTGCAGCCGCATCCGCAACGACATTGCAGGCAAAGTTGCTCTCATGGCGCGCGGCAATTGCAACTTTGCACACAAGGTGTTGCAGGCTCAGGTGGCCGGGGCCAAGGCAGTCGTAGTCATGGACAGCGAACATCGCGTGAACACGTCGTGGGTGGTTACCATGATTGGGGACGCCGGGAACGCGACGCAGGTCGTCATTCCTTCCGTGTTTGTGTCTCGAGCTATCGGTTTGCGGCTCCTGGACTTGATGGATGCGCTCAAGTTGGCAGACATGACCGTCCTTGTCACGTTGAACGCGACCGGCCAAGTCATCGTCAAACAAAAGTCGAGCGACATCACGACGCAAAACATCCTCATGGTCCTCGTGGGGTATGCGCTCGCGACACCAACTGCGTCCTGTTCTGATCGGTATTGGTAGGTTGTTCATGGTATTGGTGGCCCACTGGTTTCGCCTCGGCACATAACATCACGCGTTGTTCAGCCATCCTATTTAATCGGGAACTCTGGAATCTCCATCGCAGTCGTCTCGACGCAACGAATGCCACGCTTGTCCAAAATACAGTCGAACACATAGACCTTGGGTCGCCATAGAAATCGGCGCATCCTCCACTCCGTTGGGCCTGTGGTCCACGTCTCGACATATCGTGACCATCGCCAAACGTATGTGTGCATGGAGCCACAACGTGAACGGACCAGCATGTGCAAACCAAAGCAGTACGGATTCCTCCTGGCATGCCAGCGAACGCGTCGCCGTCCGAAGATCTCCTCTGTGACCATGTATCGCACTCGCCATCCTCGTGGCAGGTCGGGTGGACTGGTGTGCCCGAACAAGCATCTCAGCCGCTGCATTCGCGCTGACCGTGCTTGGCGAACTTGTACCAACCGTCGTTGGGGAGGGAGTTGAAACGGTCTTCTTGATGTTGGATCGTCACTACGTTCTTGAGTTCTTGACGGGGCATTTCGCGTGCGATGCCTCGTGTGATCGACGTCGCGCGCCTATATCCCGAGGACATGCGCCGTCAGGAGGCGACGATGGTGGTGGGAGACACACAGTCGAAGGTGCGACTGGACCCAGCTACTCCACGACAGATCAAGTCGATTGTGCGACGAAGCAAACAACATGGATCCGTTGTCGACAGGTGCGGCCATGCGGCGGAGGTCATGGTATTCGTCGTTGAAAAGGCATGTCTAGCTTGAAAGCGCTGCTTTTCAAACCCAAACGCCGGAACTCGGTGCAGTTTACGGTGACGCAAACGTACGTCCTGCCACCGCGGCTGTCGGCGACCAGCAGCGACCTGTACTATACAAAGTCCGAGCTGCGGGACATTCAGTTGGCCGCGCGGACGGACGGCGACGACGCAATGCGAGAGGAGATCCCCGAAGGCACGGTCCGTGTGCAGAGTTTCTTGACGGTGCTGGTCGCGCATCCTTCGTGGAAAGCGTCGGCTTCGTCCAGGACGTACTACGTTACCTTGAAAGAGTACGTCCTCGAGTGGACGTGCTCCCGTCGTGGCGTTCACGCGTCGCCGTAGCCACTCGTTGTACCTCCATCGGTCGGCTGCGATCGCCCAGATCAACCAGCCCGAGTACCAACTCGACGTTGTAAAAGCCGTCGACCCCTGCGAGCCGGTCGGGCACACATCGATCAACCAAGAGCTGTCGCTGCAGGACATTGGTATGCAATAGCGCTGTTGTCGGTTGATGGAAGGATAAAATCGATAGCGTATACCTTTGCGGTCGTGGACGCGCAAGATCTGTACGCCGTGTTTGCAGCGGATTCGACCAAGTCCAAAAGTGCGTGGCTCACGGGGCTCCAGCACAACCACCTGGCACTCCCTCGACGGCAACCGTCGCCCATCCGTCTCTCAAAACAAAGAAGCAGTTGATGGAAATAACCTTGCAGTCAATTGAGTTATGTGGCATTGAGCAGGCGGTTCGCCGCCGCTTCGACGTTGTTGTCGCTCGCTTGCAGCGCTGCGATCGCTCGGTCACGGTCAAACCCCAGTCCCTATCACCATTCATTACACCCATTCCTTCCAGATGCATCTGCGTACCGTCAATTGGGATATCGCATCTTCCGACGGCGGCATCTACGTATCACGATGGGTATGCGCGTGAGTTGACAAGGTCAAGTCGTTCGAACAACGTGTACGCGTTGATGGAATGGGGCTTGGCCCATTCCTGGAATCAACTGATCTCGGAAGCCATGGCCAACCTCCTTGTCACAGCAATCAAGCATCGATGGAATGACGAGCAAGTCGACAGTGGATTTACCTGGTGCGAATGGCCGCGACCTATAGCTGTCGCTTGACGACGCTGGGCTTCCAACAGGTGTCGTTGACGTTGCTGTTGGAGAACTGTCGCTGGCACAACCATAAAGATGGGATGGAAGACCTGTGACGGAAATTCATATCAGACTTGCAACATTGCATTGCTATGAGCGCTGCCTACTTCAAAGAACCACGCGAGAAAGCCAGGCACTCGCAGCTTCGACAGCGGAAGGTACTTGGATTGGTACAAGAGACCAACCAACACCCCCGTTGCAAACGGGAACGCAGTGGAATACGATCGCAAGCACACCTACGTCAGCATCAGGATAGCGCTGTGATGGAAGCATGTCTTGGTCGATCGAGTCCAAGATTTGCAAGACGTACCAGAGACAGCAAGCCGTAAATCGATGACTTGTCCGTCACATTCAATCCCAGCAAACTGTACAAGCGCGGCTGCAACAGCGGAACGTTGTCTAATGCATTCAAGGCCATGTGAGCGGGCCTCGTCGAGCATTCCGTGTGGTTTGCCATACGGTAGTAAATTACTGCAAGAGCTCCAATCAACGGGTAAGGTCCTGGCGTCGTTGGAAGCTTGAGCCACACTTGCAGAGCCGTCGACGTAAGCAGGACAAGGATAATGAACGTGCCAAACTTGTTGGAACCAAACTGCGTACAACGCGTTGCTGTTGTCAGGTGGCGTCGTTGACACCTGAGAGGAGTACCTGGCGCTCGATCACGCGGAACTGAAACAGCACGTACATGCCAAACGCCACGGCAATACCACTACGACACGGAGGATTCACACGCGACGATCGTGACACAGTGAAACGTACTTGTCCAAGGCAAAGTGACAGGTCAACAATCGCCAGTACTGCGAGAGCTTGGTGACGCTGACTAAATCTGCATTGTGATCGAGATGAGTGATGAGATGGATCGACAGAGACAGCATCGGGATGATCGACGTACCGAGGGTCAATTGATGACGCATATCCATAAACAACGCTGCCACTGAGGCCATGCCGGTCGCCGACAGGTACGCATACGTCACGGGAGTTTTGTCTACACATGTGCATGAGTGTGGACGCAATGCCGAGTGCACATACAGAATCCACTCAAGTCAGGATGCATCCTCGCGTCCGCCGATGTCCGCGTGGACGTTGCCGAACAAAATGGTGCGCTATCCGGTTAACACACCTTTTATCCGGATATCCCGGTGTGGTGTGTGGTTGAAGAAGATATGGAGCACCGCATCGCGCGGATCCAGGATATCGGCCCGAGTTGCATGAACCTGAGGATGAACGAGCTGTGGACGTTGCTGAAAAGCATCGCCTTCGACTGTGCTCGAAGCGCATCGAACGCTGTACGTCCAGTCCACTCGAATCAACTTTGTGAAGGACCTTGCTGGGTGCTTTGTTTTCTCAACACCACTGCCAACATGAGCATTGTTGCGATATAGAAGTCGCGCTCGCTGCCGCCGCATGACTTGGTCAAGTGGCCAACGAAGCCAGCGCCGCATGGATAACATGGAATAGCGGCAGCGGTCGCATTGGAATTCGCACGAAGATCCCAAACACAGGCTTGGTTTGGTCCGGATATTGTGGATTTTCCGGATATGCGGTTTTACAGGTGGAAAATGTTGGTAACAGCATCAACAAGGCGAAAAAAACCTACTTGAATTGTCGTGGAAGAGCAGGATGGCAACCGCGACGACGCGACCGCTGCAGCGCTCGTACAGCGACCTGAATGTGCTCGAAATCGCAGCACCGAGACAGACGCTTGCTGCATTGAAGGCGAAAGTGACGAACCCAGCCCTGGAACACAAGGTGACGGTGTGTCTGTCGGAGCAGGACGAGTGTCCAATTTGTCTGGACGAGTTCACGCCGCTGGGGGCGTCTGTCTTCACAGGAGAATGTGGCCACAAGTTTCACTTCACATGCTTGCTTGAGAATGTCAACCACGACGAGGCCAACTCGACCAAGTGCCCTATCTGCCGCAAAACACAAACGCAATGGCCGGAACCGACATCCGGACTTGCCAAGGCGCATCCGTGCTGCACAAACTGCGGCAAGCGCGGCACGGGCGGGCAATTCTGCGACAGTTGCGGTCACTCGTTGGCACATACCCCGACGGCAGCGGAGCGAGCACGACTGGCTGCGCAAGGCCAGCCCAACAACGTGATTGTCGAGTGCCCTGCGTGTCGGATCCGCTGTCTTGTCAATTCCACCGCTCGCGGTACGTTGCAGTGTCCCAACGGCCACTTGTTTACGCTTCGAATGCCAAATACGACCAACGCCTCGGTGAATCATACGGCGGCGCCGCCGTTCCGCGGCGGAGGTGGGGTCGTCATGCGGCAGTGCCCAACGTGCCTGACCCGGGTGCAGATGCCGCCAGGGAGCCAAGCGGGGCAGTACATGTGCCCACAAGGCCACACGTTTGCATTTCGGCCGTAGCTGACGTTATTCCTTTTACCAGTGCTATCTGCTATTCCTTCCTGGGTCATCCAATTCTGCCACGCCGTTGATCTATCGTGCATGGCGATCGACTACGACATGGCGCCCTGGGACAGCACAATGTCGCCGCTGATAAATCCATCGTAGCGTTGGAGTTTCTTGAGCTTGAGGTCCATCGGGTACACATACCTACACACACGCCATCGAGATGAGTGTCGTGATATGCAGAGACGAAAGCCGTACATCTCCGACGTGAAAGCCGACGTAGTGGCCGTCCGCTTGTCGATGTGAAGAAATGTCCAGCACACGGGGTGGACCGCGCCGTATTGGGGCGAGCTCGGCATGAGGTGACCGTGGTGGGCGGACGACACAATTTCGATCACGACGAGTGCTCCTGGCCACCTCGCGTCAACCTCCGCTGTCGACGTCCCGTTGTTACCTGCTGGGAGGTTCTCCATGGGAGTCTGCATGTGCCACGTGCAGCCCCAGAACATGGCGTTGGATTGCGCCAGTGGAAGCGACGTGACTTGCTGCTTCTTCTCAACAAGGTTCTTCTCCGTGTCTAAATGCACTCGGTGGAGTCCTCGACAACATTTGCGAACGAGGTACCAAAGACGCTGATGACAAGGCGGGGACGAGTGTACTCTGCCGCGTGGACGAGCCCAACTTGGTCGACGTACAGCGACACGTACGAACTGTTGCGGAGGTGTCCGGGCTGTTTGAGCAGGAAGAGGACGGCCGCCGGATCGTCTTTGGTTTGGCACTGCACGTTGGTGATGGCCGACTTTGCTAGCTCCAGCTTGAGCGCTTGAACTATCGTTGTTTCGGTGGGGGTGAGCTCGGCTGCCGTCGCCCCGCGGTCCAAGAGGTGCTACAACCGCCTAGTCGTGATACACCGATACAGAGACCGCTGACTACCTTAGCCAACGCGTGAAACTTTCGTTGGATCGCGAGCTTGAGTGGTGTTTGCTTGGAACGAGTCTGCGCGTTGAGGTCGGCGCCATGCTCCAGAAGCCACAAACAAGTCTTGATCGCATGCACTTCGTCCGCTTTGATGGCTGACGTGTCACTGGCGGCAGGAGCTGGCTCGTCTGTCCTGGTGAACTCGCGCGCAGCCTTGTCACGGTGAGCAGTCCCCACGTTATCGTTGGTCGCGTGAGCTGCCAAGTGCAGCATCGTTTCGCCACGGGCGTTGGGGGCGTTCACCCACTCCGCTTGGTTGGCGCGATCGACGTACTGAATGCTGTTGGGTGCCCGCTGCATGGCAAAGAGTCTCGTCTCGAGGCTCGACGGAACGGTGTCGCGCAGGCTCGCCAACCACGTCTGGAGCTCCATTTCACTCGCTGCTTGAAAGTAGAGTCGCCCTTCGCGGTTGCGGCTACATTCGCACGCCGTCCCATCAGCCACTTGATCCCCGACACCATGTCAGCAGATGCACGCACCCTTGCAGGAGCTCAGGCGAGTGAATTTCAAACGAATTCGCAACGTCGTCGCTCTTCTTAAACAGCGCGCGTCGCAGATCCAATGCCTTGTCGCTATCCCACGATGCCGTGTCAGCGCTGGTGAGGGACCTGAAGCGACTGGAACAAGTACCTCTTGCCGCCAACGTGGTGCTTGCTGTGGTAATAGTGCAATTCTGGGACTTGGTTGCATGTCTTCAGCACCACATATCGCGTCATCCAGCCTGACGCTTCACGGCGTTTTCTCAATGTCCCGGCCAGGACTGTCACGTCGGCGTGTGACGTGCGCTCGGTTTTGAGCTCTTCACCTGGCGCTTCGTCCGAGGCAGGGTTCGTTTCCGGCGCCTGCAACTTGATGGACGAGGCAGCGCGGAGTAAAACCTTGGCAACGTCGAGGCGCGAATGGGCGCACGCTTCGTGCAACGGCGTGTTGCCACGGCTGTTGGCCAGTTTCACAGCGTTGGCGTCTTGCGTCAGGATGAACTGAACGACGTTCAAATCGCCGGCCGCCGCCGCGATGTGCAAGAGCGAGTTGAAGTTGTTGTGATGGTGGCGAACGTGGATGAGGTCGGGGGTGTCGCGTACGAGTTGGATCACAACGTCCGACTCGCGGCGATCGCACGCGTCCCGGAGGAGCGCCAACTGTCCTTGGAGACAGCGCTTGACCCGCCACTTGCGGACGACGCGCTGGACAACCTTCACCGCCTTCATCACGTTCAAATACCACCGCCGGTTCAAGTACACTCGAACGGAGCGCTGCGCCACATGAACGTCAACAAGCCATCCGCAAGGGACGTGTCATCGAACCTGAATGCACGCAATGCTGTGGCGCATCATCGCAAGCGCTTTCTTGCAATGGTACATGCGCACGACGGACGCCACGAGCTTGGTTGCCGCCACCACCTGTGCAAAACGTTGTCTCGCCAGCGCCCCACGAACCATGCACTGGATCGCGCAGGCAGCGCGCTGACGTCGAACATGCCAAACTCGGCACGGCACCATGCGCGCAAACGACTGGAGCCGAATGGCCATTTTGCGTTGGTGGACGAACTTTTTGCGCTGCAACAGCTTACGCACGAGGGCTTGGGACGCGACGGCCGCCGCCTACGCAGGACCGTTTACGCTCCATCGCGATGGACCGACGACGACTACCTTTCCCCGGAGAAACGTTTGGCGGCTTTGGTGGGCGCGGTACACCGCTTGAAGCAAGACAACGTTTTCATAAACACGGCAGAACTGCTGCAGTTGAACATAGCCACGGTAGAGCGCCTGGATCTTGATTGCGCTCTTGGTTTGACATTTCAGCGCGCGAGCGACCTTGGACCGGTGCAAGTACCCACGCACAACCTTTTGAACGGTCACAGCGGCACGTTCCATGAGGGCGTGCCGAATGATGCGGCTACGATGGTGTTAGCCGTCGCCTAGACGAATCGTCGACTGTACCGGCGCGTGACAAAGCCGCGGGCGATCGTGTGGACGACGATCGCTGCTTTCTTTTGGGCCGTGAACACTCGCACGCAGGCGTTGCGCCGACACGTGGCCTACGAGGCAGTTGTCGAGGAGGCAAAGCCGACGAGATAGGCGAGTTACTTGAAGTTTTGTCGCGGCCCATCGCAGCTTGCGGTAGCGCTCCGTCACGACCACTTGTCGGAACTTGGCCTGCAGTGCCAACATCCCGTTTCGAACGGTTTGGTACTGTTTTTGCGCGACACATCGCCGCCAAAACTTGGATTGAATCGTCGTGGCGATGTCGCCTTTGACGGACAGCAACACAGACTGGAGCAGCTCGAGTTGGCCGTACCGAAGGTATATCTAACGACATAACCATCCACTCCATCACGACAACGTGCATCACCCGCACCGACCTCCGTTTTCCCGATCTGGAATGCATTTGGTAGCAGCGCGAACGTCGCAATCTGCCGGCATCCTTCGATGGTTGACCCGCAACGAGCAGCTTTGCCGCGCAGGATGATGCGAAAGGTATCGAAAAAGTGGTCGAACGGGCTACAAGAGCCAGCCGTGGGATCGATGGTCTCGGCGCACGAATGTACCGTCGAATGGGGTACCCTTGCTGGCGAATCTTGATCACTTCCAAGATGCCGCTGCAGATCAACTGGTCCCGGACAAGCTCCGAGCTAAACCCGCCGGGGAACTTGATGTTGTTGGGCTTGATGCATTTGATGTAATGCGGTGTCGTCGAGCTCAGCATGTCCATCAACCCGCCCAACTGTGTTGAAAGCACAAGCGTCCGAATTCGTCACAGCCATCGATTCGAGATCTGCACATGTACCTGCGCTTTGAACTTGCTCGCGACGGTCGTGGACCCCGACAACGAGCTCGCATTCCGTCGATGCTTTGTAGTTGGCGACGTGGGAAGGTCGGTAGCTCTCGGGCTCTTCAACGTCACGCCGACGGGCGTGTGCCCAGACAACATGGCAGCGACCAACTCGAGCGAGCTACGCATCGCACGCTTGGTTTATGGACGGAACCCACGGACCGTCGCGCGGGACGTACCTCGCACGCAGCAACTCCATCAAGTCTTCGTGCAAGTTGTCATTGTTCTTGCCGATAAACCCGTTGATGCAGTACACAACATCGCCAGCATAATGCTTGATCACAAAGTCGTCCGACTCGAACCGTGGCTTGGCGTAGTGCGGGTGTTTTTCCAAATGCGTCTACACTCATGGACCCCATCAGTCGATGCGACGCACGCTGTCGCTGCCGTCTCTACAGACTTGGTGGTATATCGAGAGCAGTTGGCGATCCGTCGTTTTGCGCTTGAGCATGATTTGCTCGTCCAACAGGGGCATGATGCCACTGGGAGGCTTCTGGATCAAGTCCAAGCATTCCTGCAACGGAACAACACGGGATCAAGCGTCATGGCCACAGCGACGAACCTGGTTGTCCTGGAACTCGATCACAGACACTGATATGCCCTCGGCAGCATATCGCTCCTACTCGAGAACAGCCCGTCCACAAACGTGACCTCCTACCAGAGGCTAGTCTCGCAGCGAGCGCACGCACCTGCTCCAACACAAAGATGTGCTTGTTGAACTGCTGCTGGAGCACCTCGTTGGCAAAGTTGATGCAAAGCTGCTCAAAGCTGTTGGCTGGCATCACTTCAAACCCAAAAATGTCGAGGATTCCAATAAACGACTGGGCCTTGGCCTCGCTCGCCGTCGAGTTCATGCGGCCGATGAGGTAGTTGAACACTTCGCCATAAATGTACTTGCAGAACGCGTGCTTGGCATGCTGGGCTTGCTCGCACCTACGGATTCCCGATCACGCCAAAAAACGAACGACCGCCGCAACGTACGTCAGCTTCATGTGCAGGATGGACCCGCGGCCTGTGACTGTCGTTTGCGTCGTCATCTTCTCCTCCAGCTCTGTGGCTTTGACACCGAGGAGGCTCGCGATCGTTTCCACAGGCACATCTTCCAATTCCTCGTTAAAGGTGCGTGCGAGCTGACTTTTGGCAACGCGCATCGGTACCTGGGGCAAATTGGCACGCGTCGCGGTCGTTCTGCTGGCAGGTGAACGACGCATTCCCGAGCTTGAGAATGGCCGCCAGCACTTGAAAAATCTCTGTTTGGGTCGCGGGAGTGAACCCGAGTTTGGTCATGGACGCTCGAAGCACGCGAAAATCGGCAGCGTCGTCGACGCCGTCGATTTCAATGCAGTTGCCCGTGGTGAGGTACTCGTAGTGCTCGGCCGTCGTCAGTTCCAGGTCTGTTTGTTCGCGCGGTTCCATGCCCGCCAGCATCTACAATGTCCGTGAGGCCCTTCAAGTGGCAGCGAGTCCACGTCATCACCTGGTAAAACACGTGGTAGTTGCGCTCATTCGTCTCGGGCAGGACGATGCGGGTTTTCTCCAGGAGAAAATGCTTGATTGCGACGCCGCACATGCGGCCCTCGCGGTCGTACAAGATCTGAATGTACTTGCCAAACCGACTGCTGTTGTCGTTGCGCGATGTCTACGCTCCAAAGGTCCCCAATACCGTGATGGTGCCGCACCTCGACAGTAACGATTATACCTTGGCATTTCCAAACGACTCGAGGACGTAGTTGGACAAGAGGACGCATTCTTCGATCTTTTCATGGAGCGTGACATGGCCCGCGGGAGGGTGGACGGCACCCTTGGTGTCGTCCGCTTGGCGGCTCGCCACGGCCAGGTACTTCATGATGTGCTTGGACGCTTCGGTTTTGCCGGCGCCGCTCTCGCCGCTTACGACGATCGATTGCGCCGTCGTCGCACCATCCCGCTTGATTGCTCGCATGTCGCGATAGGCCTTTTCGGCAATGCTAAACAAGTGCGGCGTCTTGAGCTCGCAATCGAGCTTGGCTTTCGACGACGCCATGAAGCCCGCAATGTCGTACAGCATCGGGATGCTCTTGTACGGGTTGACCGAGATCAGGATGTCCGTTGTGAATGTGTAAATCGAGTCGTTCACGTAGCGCCGGTGCAGCACCGACATGAGCGGAGCTTCGTGCATGTTGTTCATCTGCGCCATGTCTGTGTGATCGACAAGATGCGACGGATCGAACGCGAGCATCGCGGAAGGCGCGACTTTCTGCAGCCTCCAACGATCAGTCCTCGACATTGCGATCCGTGGCGACGTGTTTACCTGGTGCTTCTCATCCGGGCTCTCGGGCACGAAGACATCGACGATGCTGGTGTCCACTTCGACGGCTGTGACTTCGCCGACTCGCCACAGCACTTTTGCATCGGGGACCCATACCCGGGACCCAGCCTAGTGAGCACACGTACGTCAGCCCTGCTGCTTACAGCGAGCTTGGATCGCATGCACCTGAAGATGAGTCGCGTCGACGCCCGTGACTGTGTTGGTTTTCATCACGGTCGAGTCGATATTGGACGACTTTTTCGCGATCGGCAGCTTCAGGCTGTTGGCGGCGGCCGCTTTCTTGGGTACGAACGACGTCGGCGCGATGTCCGCCGTGGACTTGGATTTGCCAAACATTTCGGGTTGCGAATTCGACAGTGTCCGTCGGGACGCGCGTCATGCGGGGACGGTTACGACGGAGCTAGGCAGATATTTGGAGGTTCTCCGGCTGCGAAACTCCTGGCCAAGATCGCTCGAAACGGCGACCGGCCCCCACGAGCTCGTTCACTGCGTGCGTCAAGAGCTCAAGGCATCCGTTTACATGCGTGGATGCACGGCGAAGACAACTCGATGATGCATGGATTTCGTGTACTAGTATAGATGGATGGCTGGTCTACGTGTATCGAGTCGACAAGCGCCGCTTTCGTCTCGCATCGATACCACGCAGCACAGCAAGGCATTCCATGACACTAGAATCATTCGAGTTTTTTTACTTCCTCAAACTCCATGTCAAAAGTCGCCCCGCCGTCCACCGAACCGTCGACGTCTCTGCACAACACGGCTCGTGAGATGGTTGAGCGCACAATCCGAGAGGAACGTACATGTAGTCTTGTGACGGACTCCCCCCACTAAGCTGAAGAAGCGGCTGCGTCGACTCGGACGCGAGAAACCCGAGCTCGTTCTGTTCCATCATGATCCAGAACGAGTCCCACTCAAAGGATATCCTGGACTGGCCAAACTGTGGCGTGTACTGCAGCTCCACGGTGTCGATATTGGCCAACATTGCCGCGCAACGGCGGTACGACGCAATGCCGTCGGGCTTGGACGTAAAGTACATACTCACGCGCTTCTTGGACTTGTGTGTTTCAAAGCTGAGGTCGGTCATCCCTGTGTTGCTGTTCATGTTCTTGCTGAAGAGAACGACGTCCCCAGTCTTCTTGCTCAGACTGAGCTCTGCCTTGTCCTTGAGTGCTTGAAGCGAAGGGCGCAGCATAGCGGCGCTTCCTCGTGCTTTCACCCTCTGGAGCATGATGGTGTTTGCCAAACTTCAAGGAAGTAGAGATTTTATGATTTTTTAACACTTGATCTTTCATCGAGTATATTGGGTGTATACTACTCCGAGTAGTATATTCCACTAGATAAATCATAAATGTTCCCATTCATCAACCTAAAATAAATGAAACCATGCCAAAGTGTTTCAAAAAGCGATCTTTCCTCAGACACGATGACTTGCTGGTGTGATTTACATAGTGATGATAAGAGAGCGCAAACTGGCAATAGGGTCATGAAGATGCATGAAACAATCGATGATAGTCTGCCGCGTTGACAATGTTGGGCTGAACAAATGATAGGGTCCTGGTACTAGTAAGAAAAATGGAATCCTATGATAATAAATGAACATTGAAACCATCGTTTATCATGTAGTAGATTCCATTTAAAAAATTTCGTACAAATGGCAACAATTTCCATCTTATGAAGTCCTGCTAAGTCGCGCAAGCTCGTCGGCGCGGTTTCCTCGGCAGATACACAAGGCACTGCACGCACACGCCTTACTTGGGAGTACGAATATCACCCACCAGAGGTGCCGCATGGATGGCAGACGCAATCCATTCCTACCCCAGGCCAAGATGGAGGCTGCACTTCCACAGCCTGCGTTTGGCCAACAACCTGGCAGCCTCAGCTTCGGTCAGTACATGGCCTCCAAAATCCAAAAGCTCCGATCGCAGAACGACGGCATCAAGAAGACGAGTCGAATCTTTGATGGCGTTGCGATTTACGTGAATGGGCAGACCGAGCCGCGGAAGGAAGTTCTCCGAACGATGATCGTCCAGCATGGCGGGCAGTTTGAAGCGTATATGACCAGTAGAGTCACCCACATGATTGCAGAGCAGCTGGCCGACTCCAAACTGCGCGAAATCATGTACGACAACGTGCATTTGTTGGGACCACCTGACCACTCTGTGTAGGAGAATGAAGAAGCCGTTGCCGGTAGTCCATCCCAAGTGGATTGTCGACAGCATCGCGGCAGGAAAGCGCGTTAGGATGCATTCGTACATCTACTCACGCTTCCACGACCCTCTTCAACTCTCGTTTGCGACCTCCATCCCTCCCGTCCTTCGCCCAAACGATCACATGCCAAGTGACGTCAACTCGGCGATCGAATCGGCTACGATCAGCGCGTCCTTGCCCAAGCAAGCGTCCACAATTGATGTTAGAACGGCTGTAGCGAACCCACACCGTACACCGATTCCAAACCGCGTGGAGGCATCGCAGGCCTCGACGAGAGAAGTGGTCCCAACTGTGGTAAGGCCTCCTGTGACCAAGGACAACGCACCGCATCCTTTGCAGCACACACCTTCCATCGTGTCCGACGCAACCGCTTTCTCATGGCCAAGCGCAATTCCCAACGAAGTAGTGTCGTCGCAGCCACGACGTGATGTGCTTCCCGTCGAAACACCCGACGCTGGCTCGCTCCCTCCACCAACTTTCAATCAAACCTCACCGATCGCTCGCGCCCGTTCGTGTCGTCCCACAAATCACGCCAACCACCCGTCTGTATCAAAAGTTCAGAAATCGACTCCCCTTTTCACGTCGACCCCTCTCAGTTTCGGGCAGTACATGAAATCCAAAATTGCCAAGTTGCGCCGCCAGAACGATCAAATGCAGTCGAAACAAACGAGCCGTGTCTTGGACGGGATCACGATTTACGTGAATGGCCAAACGAAGCCGTCGAAAGACGTGCTCAAGTCGCTCGTGCTGATGCATGGCGGGGCGTTTGAAAGTTACTTGACGACCCAAGTGACGCACATGATTGCGACTCACGTAGCCACGTCCAAGCGCGTGGAGATGCAGTACGTCCGTCGAGATATTCAGATTCTCATGACGGCGTAGGAGTCGAAAGACGCCCCTGCCGATCGTGCACCCCCAATGGATCGTCGACTGTGCCTCGCAACAGAAGCGCCTTCCTGTGCACTCATACTTGTCTGAACGAGATCTAGCGATGCCATTGCAACGTCAAGGGGTGTTGGACACCCGATGCACTCGTTCGAAGCTTGCCTTCCATCCGTCCTCACCGCGCAGCGCTCAATTGCAGCCACAAGTTGTGCCAGTCGCGCGAGCACCCCGGGCATCGCAACGCTGTGCGAATCAAGTGAATCTCCGTATTCATGTTCCAGAGCAGGACACCGCTGAAGAGATCAACCTGACGCAGAGATCCATTTCGTCGACGTCGACACAAGTCCTGGCAGAGTCACCAACTACGCTTTTAGTCGTGACAACGCCGGCGCAGGTTGAATCGATGGATGAGACCGCCCACGATGTCATGGAGCCTTGTTTGTCGCCAACACAAGAATTATCCCCTGCCTCCACAATGAAGTTATCTCAAAGCTCAACGAATTCGCATGGATCCCTGGACATTCCAGCCACGCAGTTGCTTTCGTATTCTCAACGAGATGACGCACATGCATGTCCTCAACCATCAAGCCCACTGGTCTCTCCGTCCATAGCCCAAGACAATGTTGATTTGATGGATGGTCGAAGCAGTGGTGCTATCGACGAGGATGGCATACCATCATCGCTCGGAAGGTTGGTCGCATCGCGGCCACATCCTCCCATACCAGAGGCACAGACTACGCCACCACCCTCATCCCGACCAGCAGCACAGGACCTCCTCGTTCCTTCCTCTGTCGTGGCGGGAACAGCACCGTCGTCGCCACTTCGTACAGCTCTACCGTCCAAGTATCCCAGCGGCATTTCCATTTCCCGACCGATTAAATCGACAATGGACGGTGCAGCAGCGTTCGTTCGGTCGTTCTTTGCCAACTCGCGTCTCCACCATATTGGATCGTGGAAGAGTTATTACAAAGAGCACATTGGCGACTTTACCATCGAATCACCTGTGGATACAAAGGACTGTGTGTTTGGATCGTGCAGCAAAGAAGACCGCGTGATTCTCCACGTCGACATGGACTGCTTCTTTGTCTCCGTCATGATTCGAAACATGCCGTCGGTGTACCAGACGCTCCCCGTGGCCGTGGCGCACTCGGGGTATTCGTCGCTCAATGCAGTTGGTCCACCTGCCTTCTCGACCCACGACACACAGGTGCCTTTCATGTGCACGGCCTTGGTTCTTCACAAACTGATGGCTCCATAGAAGAAACGCGGCGGCACGTCCGAGATTTCATCGTGCAACTACGTCGCTCGATCGTACGGATTGAAGGCGGGCATGTTTATGGAGACCGTAGGCGACCTCTTGCTTCTTTGTGACTGAGATGGTGCCCATAGGCCAAGTCGCGATGCCCAAACTTGATTGTGCTCCCGTACAACTTTGTCGAAATTGAAGCGGTGAGTGGACACTGCCACCTGTAGCTCAGCACAATGTGTTGGACTAGGTTTCGTGTGAAATATACAAGATCTTCCATCGATTTACACCCGCCGTCCAAGCGATGAGCTGCGACGAAGCGTATTTGGAATTCCCCAAGGGCACCGACGGCATGGGCATGGCGCGCCAGATCCGCCGGACTATACTCAGCGCGACCAAATGCCACGCCAGCGTCGGTGTGGCGTACAACATCCTGCTCGCCCGGTACCCCGCTGGTTGCCTGAAAAGGTAGATCTGTGAGCCGTGCCCGTAGACTCGCGACAAAGCAAGCCAAGCCCAATGGAGCGTTTGAAATCACGCCCGACACTGCATCGAGCTACATCAACGACTTGCCCGTATCGGAGCTGCCTGGAGTTGGGTACGTCTTGCTTCGGAGGAATCGAAGCATGATGTTAACATGATTGCGTTTGTCTCGATCGCAGCCGCGTCATGCATGCCAAGTTGGAAGCACTGGGTATTCAAACGTGTGCTGACCTAAAGGACTGGTCGGAACTGGCGCTGTGTCAGCACTTTGGAGCCAAGACAAGTGACATGCTCCAGCGGTATGCGAGGGGCCGGGATACCCGTCCACTTGAGCTGGCGCCCATGGTCAAGTCGATATCGGCAGACGTAAATTACGGCGTCCGACTGGCGGACGCATCGGCAGCGACGGAATTTATCCAAGCTCTGAGCGCTGAAGTTCACGACCGTTTGGTGAAACGGGGCTTTTTCACAAGCGCGCTCACTTTGAAGCTCAAGATTCGACGGCCCGACGCGCCTGTGGAACCAGTACGTGCGTACCAATCCATTCATGCCAAAAACTACACCACCAAGTGATTTAGACCAAGTTCATGGGCCACGGACCAACCGATGACTGCAGCAAGTCCATTCGTTTGCATGGGCCGACACATGACGCGGCCGTCCTCGAGGCCACGTGCGTCGCATTGCTCCACGAGTTGAAGGTAGTTCCACAAGATATTCGAGGGGCTGGCATACAAGCCACGCGACTCACTCCTGTGCAACCCCCCGTTCCGGACAAGATGGATATTCCTCAGTACTTTCAAGTCGCGGAAACAACGACCAAATTAAGTGCAGCTCCAGGATCCTTCGCGGCACCATCGATGCCACCAGAGGCGACGACTCCCCCTCGAACGGCGCCACCTCGTCGTCCGTGGGAAGGAGCCACCGAAACTTCCACAAAGTAGGTGCTGGATACGTCCATGATGGCGGTCACTGGGTTTGTGTTGGATGTGTTGTCGAGTGAGCTGTTTGGTTTGCCTTCATGTCATGACAGTCCGGAGAGTTCTTGACGTCGCGACGGCCCTGGGTGTTGATGCGTTTTTATCGGTAGAAGGCACAAAGCCCTGCCGTCGAACGGTGTGTGGAACGTCCCCACCATGTCCCAAATCGACCAGACCGTGCTGCAAACGTTGCCCGAGGCCATGCAACACGAGATTCTCCTCCAAGTGGCGCCGCCGACTGTCCCAACATCGTACTCTCAAATCGACCAAAGTGTGCTGCACGCCCTGCCAAAGCCCATGCGACACGAAATTCAGCAACAATACCCCAAGAAAATGCACTTGCGGCAAAGCGTCGTCTTGGTGCCAAACAAAGGCAAGCAAGCCGTCAAGCCCAATTCAACCCGAAGTGCATTACGCCCGAAACAAAAGTTGGCCGAAGTTCCCGAAACAGAACCGAGAGCATCTCTGGCCGTGCTTCGTTCGCAGTTGGACCCGAGTGTGTGGGCAGCCTTGCCGCCGTCCATTCAATGTGAACTCGTGGCTGAGCAAGCTGCCTCGTGTCCACCAATTTCACCAACCACCGGGACGTGCGATGGATTTCTTCCGTCTTCGCGCCAGCCAAACCTCACGTTGGACACAGCTGTGCCATGGCTGCTGGGGAAAATACGAGACTTTGGTCTGGCCGATGTCGGGCCAGTGCTTCGTCGGCTCAAGCGACAGCACGGTTATGCAAACCCCCACCGGTTCAACGACGTGCTGGCACGGGTCAACCACGCCTTGAAGGAATCGCACGGGTATGAACTCGCGAGAGCGGTCGTCGCTCCGTTTCACATTTGAGCCGCGGGGTGCAGCACCGAGTGCCATCGATTCTTGATCATGTTGGTCGATCGACCTAACGCCCGTGGGAATCCAAGCCACCGATTGCCGCGAGACGCCACTACCTGGGAGCTGCGACGCCAACCACGTCCACTTGTTTCGGTGTTGCTGCGATTGCTGGGCGTCGAGCAGAATTTTGTCTTCGTCCGACGTCCACGGCGCCTACGCTGGCCCCATGACCTCTGCCATCATTTCCAAACACCACGACCCATGTACATGATTCAAGCTTGGATCAACGTGGTTCTGAAAACGCTCCCGGCATTGCTTTCCAATGCGACCTTCAAAGTGCTGGGCTATCTACATATGATCTGTGACAAATCATCCTCTTGCAAGAGAGTGGCGGCGATGCCAGTGTGTAAATGCGTACTTGAGTCCAGCATGGCCCCAGCCGCTCGACCAACGTCCCAAGCAACGTATCGTCCTCAGCGGTCCATGAGCCTTCGAGGAAGATGCTGTGAGCTCTCGCATTGGAACGGTTTGGTCGTTGGTACCTTTTCCCTTCTTCAACGCAGGATCGAGCACGTGCGTCCAATGTTGCCGGCATTGCAAGTCGGTGCGCGCGGGAAAATGCGATGCGATCCAAAGCCATGACGGTTGTGTCCTCGTCGACAAACACAGTTCCATGAGTTTCTTGTCGTCGTCGCGTGTCCATGGTGACGGCTGTGACGATGCCGGCATGAACGGCTGCATCTGCTGGCGCAGGAGTCGCCGCCATTGGGTTTTTACTTGCACCGCGCTGCGGCCTGGCAGTTCCGATGCAATCTTTGCCCACGGCGTCTACAATGCCGCAAAGCTCAATCTATTGCTGTGTAACTTTCAAGTCGAGCCCCACCATGTCGTCCTTGGTGTGATATCGCTCATAAGCTTTTCGCAGCGTTATGTTTTCAGCCGCCGTCCATGTTTTCCGTGAAAGACTTGGATGCAAATGATTCATATACCTCTCTCGGCACTGCTTTCGATTGCGCGAGTGACCGGCCGACGACTCCAACGTCATGCGTTGGCTAACGACGCTCCACTGTTTCTCTCCAAGTTCTTTCACCAGGCGTCGAAGCAGCTCATCTTCGTCCCATGTCCAACCCATTCCCATGATGCCAGTTCGAACCCCGTGGTCATCCGGATAATAAGGAATCCGAATAACACCTCCATTGCATGTGTCGCATGAGATTCGGAAAATATTAGTCGTAATTTCAACATTTTTCAGAGAGTTGTCGCATTTTCTGCTGAAATTGGCGCCAATCGGGGCAGAGCATGAAACCTGCGCAATTCATCCTTCCCGAGGAAGGCGTGATGTGCCATGGTGGTCGAAAACTCAAGCTAACTGACCGATCGTCGCCCGACGATTGTGGCCTGAGACCATATCGTTCGGCAAATTCCTTGAGGAACCAATGAATCCCCTCGCGACCGCCGCACGTGCTCTCGACGACGATTCCACAACCTGGACACATATTTGAGCTTCACGATGACCGGACTGCCGCCACATGCACGCTTATGGCACAGAATTCCAACGAAGGTGCTTTCGCTCTTGAAACCTTTATAAATCTAACGGAACTGTGCTCGTGTAGCCCGCATTTGTTTGAATTGATATGACTTCGAACGGGAGGAGCGAGCGAACGGCGGCGTGGTCAAATCTCATGCGCGATCCGGCAAGGCGATTCGTATAAAATGCTAGAGGTCTGGACGCAAACAAAAGATTTAACCACGTCGCAGGTCGCAACAATTTGTTGCATTTTCTCGCGGTTGGTGGATTTTTCTCTTTAAATGTATGGGGTTTGCCTTGGAGGAAAACATATTTTGGGTGCGAAATAAAACAGAAACCGCCGAGTTGTAAGAACAAGATGTGTATTAAGTTTCGAGATTTCGTTGGTAACTCTCGGCATACTGAACTTCATACAAAATGTCAAGCAGAAATTTTGGTGGGGGGACGCTCAATTCGCATTCTTCCGTGAGCCGAACGAAGGCTGGAATGGACGACCGGCCGCGCAAGTCGGAAGATATCCTGGCGGTGAACGACGTGCCGCCTATTGGAAGCGATGGAAAGAGTATCCGTCGCAAACAAAAGTTTGGCGGGCGTCGATCCGTGTGGCCTGGTGCGCTCGCGCTCATCCTTGGCATTAGTGCTGCAATCGGCGCGCTCGTGTACTGGGGCACGTATGAACACAAACAAATGCTTGGCCGCCAGCCGGACGAATCGAGCCTTGCCAAGGCATACGGTTCTGGACACACCATTTCGGACGGGCAGGCTGTGAACGGGACTGCGGACGAACCGTTGGAGGTGACCAACCCTGTCGAGTACAAGGACATGAAGTGCGCGCAAATCGACTACATCTCCAAGAACAACAAGATTTACACCGTGTCAAAAGGAAAGGAATCGCCTCTTGTGTTTAAAGGTGTCAACTGGCTCGGCCTCGAAGGCTGGGACCACGTGATCACGGGACTCTGGGACGGTCCTCGCGACGGCAATTCGTTTTACCGAATTGCGAAGTTTTTGAGCGACAACAAGTTCAATGCAGTTCGATTCCCCCTCGACATTGACAGTGCCGCGCGAAACATCCCCATCCGGACAAACTTCAACACGAACTCGCAACGCGCACTTGCATCCGTCAAGACGTACGTGGAGTTGATCACTCGACTGTCGGAAGGCTTGGGACAGTTCAAGATTGCCGTTCTTCTTGACTTTAACACTCGATCGAAGGCGACCGACTTGAATCCAGTCGACCAGAGTGTCATTAGTGTGGACCAGCGGCCGTCGAGCGATGGGTTGACGGGCAATGGGTGGGAAAACGTCAACGTACGATATGCCGAGTACGAGAAAGCGATCGTGAACCTTGCGACAGCCATGTGTGACCAAGTGCACTGGAACGTGGTGGGCATCGACATCAAGGACGCTCCTGCGGGGGATGCTGGGCAATGGGACGGCGAAGAAAAGACGAGCTGGCAAATGTTTGCATCCAAGGTGGGTTCGGCAGTCGTCAAGGCATGCCCCACGTGGCTCGTGTTTGCCCAAGGGCTGAATGGGAAAACCAAGTTTGGCACTGGTTTGGAAGCCAAGACTGTTTTGGACTGGCCGGGCTCGACGCTACGCGATGCGTTGACATCGCCCATTAACGTTGGCAAAGCCAACAAATTGGTGTACGCGCCACCGTTTTGGTCGCCGTCTGTGTACCCTGCTCCGTACTTCTTCAAGTCGTCGGAAGGTGGGTCCCTCTTGACAAAATGGACGAGCTTTACGAGCCAGACGGACATGGACGCGAGCGTCGGCGATGCCATGAAGGCGATCTTTGGTGATTTGCTCAACAAGCAGAGCGCAGCTATCGTGTTGTCGTCATTTGGCGGTTTGTTTGGCGAAGAGGACATGGACAAAGGAAAGGCGTCGACGAAGGCGATCACTGCGATCGTCGCCCAGATGACGGCGTCGCAAAAGGCCATTTCCGGCGGGTTTTGGTGGTCGCTCAACCCTGACAACCGCTGGCCGCATCCGGCCCCCGACAGTCCCGACAGCGTTGCGTCGGGGCTTCTCGACTCGACGTGGCGCAAAGGCAATTCGGAGGCGTTGGCCGCCACGAAATTGATGGACAAACTTCCTGGCCTCGCCTTTCTCCCGTGCGACCCTAGATAAACTGTAGACGTCGGGACGCGCCATTTTTTATAACCATTCGATGCACGTGCTATGGATTCTGTTGTGGCGACGCCTCGCAATTGTAGAGGAATTGCAGCCGATGCCTCGCCCGGCACAAGTTCAAACGGGCGGACGCATGATGTCCATCACAATGGACCGATGAATGACCTCTCGCTCGTGCGTATGCGGTGGACGTACCTCAGCAGGTCATGGCACCAGATGGCCACGAAGAACGAGTGGATGGCTAGCATGGAACGTTGAGTTGCTGCCGCGATGAACATGTCGGACACGGCGGCAGCACACTGGTGGAACGAGGCGCCAATGGAGACCATCAGACCTGCGCATGGTCGAAGCGCTGGCAATTCTAACACGCGCCAGGGGATGCTGGAGCGAGCACGAGGCTTCGAAAGGCTCGACGCACCCCATGAGTCGGTTCGTTGCGCCGTCGCGCTGGAATATTGAGCAGAGCGAAGAAGACTTCTTCGTACAAGCGTCATGGAGCAAGTAGTTCTGCACGGTAGAGCGTTACTGCGGCGCGCATTTCCCAACTTTGTACGGGCGAGATGTGACGAGATTCCGCGTCGGCAACGATTCTCGTCTCTGCAACTGCCTGCTCCACAATCCGACTCGTGTGTTTCCACGCCATGCCTTCCGTCATGCAGACGCCCGCTGCATACAACCCCGCCACCACAGCAGGCGGTGTCGGGTGCGACGCCAAGTCCCCTCCCCCGCCGCTCCTCGAAGCATCTCCGCCGACCTGTATCGATCGAATGCGCAGGGTGACGCTGCAGGTACGCCCTATTCTTGCCATGGGTTCGTCGCCCCAACGACCGCATCGAACACAGGCAAGACGACGGATCGGTCTCCAGGCGCTGGCAATCCTCTTTCTCGTGATTGGCACGGTCCTCCTGCTACGACGTCGACAGCCTGCCGCAGCAATGACCACGATGCCGCCGGTAACGAGTCCAGCGACGCTGAAGGGTGTGAACGACTAGCTTCCATTTGTTGTTGACCAATACACTGTGCCTTGTACTCTCTGAACACGCCACCTCGACACTTCATGGCGGAGGGTGTGGGCCGTTGGCAGAGCCCAGCATTTTCGCATCGAGGATGGTAGTGGCCTGCTTGCTCTCTGTTGAGGCGCTTGCCTCACACTTTTGTTGCTTCTGGCCATTCTCCCTCCACGTGAGCTCGAACAGAAACCAAGCAAGCAGGGATGCCGGACCTTCTGTAGATAGATGACGCAGGTCAGCGATCGATTCGCCCTTCAAGCCAAGCCTGCCGGTGCCCCAGAAATGTGTGCTGATGCCGCGGCGGCCACATGTTATGACAATGTTACATTTCTAAATCCGTTGATAAAATCAAAGTCGTCGCGTTTTCACGGCGACGCTGGTTTGTCGAAGCAAGGAAACATTTTCAGGTCCGCCATTTGATCGAGTGGTTTGAGCGCCGCGAGAAATTCCGTATTCACGGTGAGCCAGTCCAGGTTCAGAACGCCCTCGACGAAGTTGCCACGCGTGTCGGACGGGTTGAACTGGTACGCGCTCTCTGGATTCATGCTCCAAACGTACCCGCCGACGTAGCCAGGGCGCATGATCTCTTGGACGGTGAAGTCGGTGCACCGCTTCGTCGTTTTCATGGGATGCAAGTCTTGTGCGTACAGCCCGCCAAACTCGCCCAGGACGACTGCGGCATCTTGGGACTTTGTCAAGAAGCCAAACATGGAATCCATCGTGGCCGACACGCGTTGGCGCAGCACCGAATCGGGCAGCTCCTTGTACCCGATCATGGCGCCGTTGCCGCCGACGACTCCCCCCTTCCCAAACAAATACGACTGGGGGTACACAGCCGGGTTGTAGTAGTGTGGCGCATACACCACCTACGACGGCCATGAAAAAATGACATCATACTCCCCATGCGAAACCTTGTTTGGACTCGACAGCTGGACAGGGAACTCGTTGGCGCGCTGCAGGCCACCACCCCACCAGTCGTAGAAGTTGTAAGTGTCACCGTCGATCTCAACCTCGTGCGCGGCCACAACTCCTTCCACGAACGCCAGCCACTGCGGACACTTGGACAGCATGCGGTTCCCAATAATTGTAGCGCCTTGGTGAAAATCCATCGGGCCGTTGTCGCCCCACGTCGATTCGTACGGCTCGTTCTTCAAGTCGAGTCCGATGACGTTCCAGTAGTGGGCACTGCACAGCTCACTGGCGAGCATGTCGATGGCCTTCAAAAACTAACGTCGTAGGATCAATCCACCGCAAACATGTTTTTTCATGAAAACGAACGCACCATGTCCTTGGAAATGGCGCCGTTGAACCACGCCCCACCCGACGACTGCGGCGTCAGCGAGTGAATCGAAATCATGACCGATATCTTGCGATATGCCAGCGTCGTGATGACGCTCTTGAGGAGCGACATATACGAGCTCACGTCAAACGCGCGGTTCGCGGCCAGATTGATCATGGTCCGTGCCGGCTTGACGTCGTTCAGGATGTTGGAAACAGCCACGGGGAGGCGCACGCTGTTGAATTTGTTGGCCGACAGAAATGCCGCGATTTGGTACTATGGCACTCGTCAAGACAAGGCACTCGTCAAGCCACATACAGCCGTGGTGCCGTTCTGGTCGTTTGCCCACAGTCCAAATGGAATCGCATCTTCGCTACGACAGCGAGTCCAGTTGACGAGCACACAGGGACCTTGACACGATATCATGCTTACGTTTCCATTCCAAACCTACAATCGAGGAATCCGCCATCCCGTTAGCAAAGATGAAGCGGGCGATGCATGTACCAGTTGATGCCCTTGATAGCTAGCGGCACTTCGACGCCATTCGACGACACTGCATAAATCTTGTTGTGTTTGCTGATGTAGTTTGGCAGCTCGCATTCTACGACCGACCGCTCGCGTCACGAGCGCCACCAAGAACATGCTGAAAGGGGCACGTACGCTGGACGGGGTACACCTTTGGGTTGCCCATCACGCCGTCGTCGACGTCGATCAAGACATCGCCGTCCAAATTAAGGCCTCCGCCGATGGCGGTTGCATTAAACTTTCGCCTCTGCAGCGCAAGTGCCAACGCTTGCCTTCGGTCGTGTGCGTCGATGGCAAAGTACGTAAACAGCACGGCTGTAAGTGCCAAGACTGCCACGAGCAGCAGAATTCCAGGCCACGTCTATGTTGGAAACATCACAAAGTGAACGTAGAATGGACGCGTACACGAATGCGACCGCCAAACTTCTTCGAGCTCTCGTTGTACTTGAGTTCTTTGGCATAGAATTGATCCATCACCGATTCACGCACGGTGGATTGCCGCGGGGACACGATGGCGGCGCTGGCAAAATGATCGGGCATATCGTCTACCCCAATCTGCGGCGTGAACACCGTGTCCGCGCTCTCTTCGACGATAGCTTTCGGCATGCTTTCAGCACACGACAAATTGTGCGAATGCCGCTCCAAACCTTCGGCGCGCCCCCCGGGAAAGTTGGTTAAAGTTCGCAAACATCGACCGTTTTTGGAAAGACTCGGTCGCACAGCGGATAACATTCACGAATCAAGGCTGGAGCATCTTATACGTGACGTATTCGACGCGCATGGGCAAGTGGCCCACAGCGGCAGAGGATGGCCCAACGATGCCGCCAGCAATGAGCTGCATGCCCCTCACGCCACTGTGACGAAATCGCAGGATTCCACATTTGTTTAACCGCAGTACGTTTTAATTTGTTTTATTAGTTTTTTTACCTGTACCCCGAAACATGTGGTAAATGACGCGGATTTTCTATAAAAACGCGTTAAAGATAGGCCAATCAAAATACTTTGACCTGAGGGACGTTCAACTCGTACAGAATGGGGGCGACCGTCGGTGGCTTCAAAAGCAGCCTTCCTCCCTCGACGAGAGAACGACGCGCGATGCCTTCGTTTTGCCGACAGCTTTGCACCTTGATTACATGTGGTGGCGACGCCTGTGACATTCTTCAGTGCGTTTGCGCCTGCTGCGTCTGCTGCCACGACAATGAACCACAACCAACGACATTTACCGCCCTCCCAGTGTATTCGACAACCCCGACCACCGCCTCGATCGCGGCATATCCTGGCGAAAACTCACAGACATATGGCTCGATAGCGACACAGCAGCCTACGGCAGCATCACCAGCCGCGCCACCCGTCGACGAATCCACTCCTGTCACCAAGAACTTTGGCATTTCCGTGTAGTGGTTGACCCACACAAAAACGTCGTTCCATCAACAAGATGCTGTCTGTTCATGTCGGTGTTTGATTTAACCTAGCAATGGTCGTCGGAGGTCACTTGCTCCGTACCACGGACGTCCTACCTACACGGAATTCGCGGTTTTGTATTTTTCACAAGGCTGCAGGTCCCCAACTCAACTGCCTACGACGCTCTTGTGGACTGCATTGTCGTCAGGGAGGAGCGGCTGGCAATTGTCTTTGGTACATGTTCATCGTTCCATGGTTGCTCCCCACCTCCAGCAATCTGTGTGAATGGTTGATGAAGCTGTGGCAGTCGAACGATGCACGGCCGAGCAATGATGCGAACGCAGAGGAATGATCGTGCAACGCAGTCGAAGCATTGCTTGGTGGATTGTTCAATGTCGTTTCGTCGCATGCGTGGCACGACCAGATGCAACCGACTCCACGTCGACGAGTCGAAGGCGCATCGATAGACCGTAGATGGCTTCATGTGGACATATTGTACCAACTTCATGAGAGCCATAAGGAGGAGTCGACGTTTGCCGCACGACACCGCGCGCTAGGCAAATCGCTCTTCGCGTCATCGATAGAGATGCCGTCGCAGAGACAACAGTGCTGGGTTTACGTCCTCATCATGTTCCTTTCATTTCTCCCTGTTGGAGCTAGGTTGGCCAAGGGCGCTTCGGCAATCATTACATCGTCGTCATGTCGAAATTAGATGCTGTCGGCGTGATCGCGGCGCAATTTGAATGTGTTGGAGAGACCCTGGTGCTTCCACTATAAGGTGTTTCAGGTCGGTCCATTCGTTTTCCTTTTGTGTCGAGAGCATCGACAACAGTGGCTGTCAGGAGAATAGGTGCACCTCCATCAGGCACGTACGAAAATGCTAAAACGGTGGTGGTCACGAGGCGGTGCCGGGGGTGATGTAGCCATGACGGTGGTGTTTTGGACGATTGTTGTAGAGGGCCTTGGCGTCGACGTGCGATGTGGGAAAGGAGGATTTGGTTTCATTCGAACCACGTTGCACACCAAGATCGAGGTATCCTCCACGATCAGTGGCCATCCACCTCTCGAACTCGGCACCACCAAAAATCCACCCGCCTTCACCGCTGTCGACGTCGACCTTGTTGCCCACTCCACCAAAACCAGCCCACCAACCACTACCACCAGAACAAGCATAGCCACCACTATCACCAGCACCTCCTATTCTCACCACCTCCAGATAGGAGCAAGCATCGCTCCAGCCTCGACTCCTCAGCCACCAGCGCCACCACCTCAACCACAACTACCAGCACCATAGTCGCTGCTTATGGTGTTGTTTGTGTCTTGGTGCCATCCGACCGGTTTTGGTGGCTGTAGTTCGGTAGGACCGAGGGTTTCTACTGACAACGAGTCCGCGATGCCTGGCAATGGCGGGGTCTAACATGTTGGCTATCACCAACGTTGAAGCGCCATCCGACAGTCACCACAAGCAATGTTCCCGCCGTTGTCGATGGCATATCCAACAAGGCGCCATCGACTACTGGGGTCACCTTGCGCACCACTGAAAAAGTACCCACCGCCGTCGCCAGCACCCTCACAATGACATCCTTGAGAGTAAGGTATCGTGCTGCTTGGTGTTTGGCAGTGTAGTACAGTCCTACGCACCCGTCACGACCAAGGCCACCACAATATTCTTCCAGTTGCGCGTTAGCTTTTCCTTGGGCGGCCAGTTTTGTCGGCACTTTTCCGGGTTCGCTGATTTCGCCACGTCGAACTCCCAACGCCAAGATAAACACAACTCCACTCGAAACAACATGTCGTAAATGACCGACTGTTGCAAGCTCTACATGGGCGTCCCCGCTAGCCGTCGTGTCGCTGGAACGTGAGTTCCAACCTCCCCTATCACCTTCTGTCCTGGAGACAGCATCGGACTCAATACATACCGATATTACCCACAACCAGCAACGCAAACGCATGAGGTTGTCGAGTGCTTCTAGTGCAGGCCGTGCTGTCTGTGGTCAAGTCGCGATGTGTGGGTGCTAGAACCACCGCCCTCGCTCCGCCCCCAGGACGGCGTCGCATGCACTCCGAACCCATCAGCACTGGCTCGACAACACGAGATCCTACCACCCCAATGAAGTGGAGGCACAGCCATACTTGTTTTTTCAAGATGTGTACGAGGCAGCGTTGGTAGTGAAGTGTGCCTCGGCACCATTGGCACACCACCACCGGTACCACATGTACTACACTCACTGGGAGAACCCGAACGACCGAAATGTACCACTTCACTGCTGTGCTGGCCAATGTACACCTCAGACGCCATGACCAAGACTGATAACGGGACGGTAGTGGTACTGTACGTACGTAGCGCTGGCAGCGGGCGTGTTGCAGGTGGCGGCTGTACGATGTGTCCAAGCCAAAGGCAGAAGAGCCTTCCGCTCGAGCGGTCGTGGTAGGCCTCGCATCGTCCTATAGTAGGACCGCAACGATATCTTTCGTGACGCGACATCGCACAGATCGAACGATCGACTTCGCATGACAGCGCACACCCCGTGGATTTCGCTATATCCCAAGACTGCAATGAATGGTCGTTGGTGCACGAGGTGAAGATTTCCCGACCACATTCTCGACTTTCAACATTGTGTTGGAGCACGAACATAGTCAACAACAGGGGATTCGAGCGGGCAAGGTGTCTGGGGTGCGCGCCTGATCCCTTCCGCGTACAGCACGCCAAGGTGGAGAGGGCTGGGCAGTCGAACCTGCTTGAACAGGAAGGATCAGGTAGAGGGAGATTCGGACGGGGTCAAGGCATCACATACGGGGCATGCAGGGCAGTTGACCTGCAGCGTTATACGCACAGCATGAGGTCACACCACACCGCTGGCTCCTTACATCAGTGCTTCACCCGTGGGGTTTGGCTGGCGGTGGGATGGCGCTTGTCGTTCTCACGTTGGACCTGCAGTCACGTTAAACGTGTTCAGATTTCGCAGTGTCAAAAATAACGTCAATTTCGGCGCTCTGATTGGCTGTAATTCTGTTTCGACCGCACCGCGTTTTTTCGACCCTGCGACATCGCCTCCGCTCTGCGGCCGCAAGTCACTTTTGAATTTCCCCGCGTTTCGACAGCACCCGTGGACGATGGCGACGAAGAAGAGCCTGTCGACCCGCGACAGTATGCTCGAGTCTGTGACCGTCATCGTGGCAGACGATGTGGACGACTTGGTTGAAGACGATGACATTGACGATGAAGAAGACGCCCAGAAGACGATCGTCGAGCTTCTGGGTCAACGAAAGTTCGCGATGGTAAAAAAGCGCCTCCTAACCCACAATTTCACGGACGAAGATCTCATGACGCTGGATGAAGTACGCGCTCCTTGGATATGTCGCGTCGCTCCACGGAGGAACTGTAATCGTGTTTCTAGGACCACGACTCCCTCCTCGACAACGCTGTGCTCCACAACAGCTACGAGATTTTGTCGTTGCTCTTGGAACACTCGAACTACAAGCTCATTCCCAAGGTAATTTCGCTCCTGGGATTGATTTTACTGCATTGTGTTTACGTTGAACTCTATAGTACGCGGGAAAACCGTTGAACTTGGCTGCACAGCGCGGAGCCAACAACATGTTCCAATTGCTCGTCAAGACCTTGGGAAAGGATGCAGATTTCACGTACCCCGGTCCCGAGGTACGACTACCCCGTTCTAAATGGAACGTGACGCTCATTCGAACAGGATGGAGATGGAGATGTTGCATTGCATCATGCAATTCGGAACTCGTCCATCGAGATTGCCGAGACCCTGATCAAAGCTGGAGCTGCAGTGGATGTTGAAAACTTTGTAAGGAATTGCGCCGTCACGATTAAAAAGTGACCTGACGATACGGAACCAGGCTGGTGAAACACCACTTTTCATGGCTGTCCAAACTTGGCAAACCCGCGGCATTGAGCTCCTCCTTTTGGCTAATGCTTCGGTCCACCACAAGTCACACGTGAGTATTCACATGTATGGACACTCCACTCATCTATTTTCTACAGAATGGCCGAACTCCTTTGCATGCCGCGGCTGCTTCCGGTTACAACGATGGCGTCAAGCTCCTTCTCATGGCTGGCGCTGAAATCGATGTGAAGGACGATGTATGCTCAATTATGCGCTTCGTTAAACGTGCCAACGCATCTCTTCTTGTGTAGGATGGCAAGTATCCTGTTCAAGACACATATGACGATAGTGTTCGGGCGACACTTCGAACGGAACGAATGACCCGAGTCAAGAACCCAGCCCACATCATGGCGCGTAATGGCGACGAAGACAGTTTGAACCGGTGGTTGAGTGAAACTATTGCCAAAGGTTCAGGTGTCCCCCATGTTTGGAAGGGGCAGTACCTTCGCGACGGTGCGTGGAGCGATCTCGTCGTCAAGGTGAAATTGGTGCGCACCAACAATTCGCAATCGTACAAGTGCGTGGGACAATACCAAGACAACGACGGCACGTTTTTCATCACGGGAAAGTGGGAATATGGACGTATTGATGTCAAGAAAACGTATGCGGACGATGGCTACACAATCGAATACGGTGGTGACTTGGACGAATCGACGGGTGAATTGACTGGCGAGTGGAAAGCTGGGGACTTGGAAGGCGAGCTCAAGCTTAACATCCCTCTTTTCAACTGCGTGGTTTGCGACAATGCCAAAGTCCCCAACGAACAAGAGAAGTGCTTTGGTTGTGAGAATCCTGAGTCTCAATACTTCTGTGTGGACCTCAATAACGGAGAGGAATTGCAATCCTTGTGGATTACTCTCACGCCGGACGTTGAAGCAAATGTGTATCGTGTTGGTGGCAGTGGCTATGACAACGAAGAGTATTACCTCAGTGGGGTGTGGAAAGATGACGAGTTGAAATTTTCCAAGCATTCCCGAAAATCCTCTTCCAACTTTCACTTGAATTATAACCACGATACCAACAAGCTCGATGGCTCGATGGTAGACGGCGCGGGTGCGACGAATAGTGCCAAAATCGACTTTGAGCTCTCCACTTGCACGGATTGCGACGCCAAGGTACCCCTGGCCAACTCCAAGTGTTTCAACTGTGCCAAGCCATCCCTGTACAACTGGAAAGGTCAATCCCGCGTAGTGTTCATGAAGGGCGATGACCAGTCCCAAGTTGAAGACAACGATGAACTAGAGCATGCAAAAGACGACAACGACGCAGACGATGTTGAGGAACACGAATGGCGTGATATCGGCTTCCACATGGTTCTGGAGCGTGGTGCTGCCCAAAATTGCTTTCGTTTGGTTGGCGAAGGCAAGGATGAAGGCGAATTATTTGATGCAGTTGGGACGTGGGAAGGCAACACGATTCAACTCACCAAGATTTATTCTGATGGTGTGACGGAATACGAAGGCACGTTCGACGCTGACACAAACGAATGGACGGGAACGTGTACGCTGAGCAACGGCAACAAGGAAGAGTTCCGAGTGACGATTCCAATGTTTTCGTGCTTCTTGTGCGAAAGCCCAGTGCCAACCGTGAATGATTTGTGCTTGAACTGCAACATCGCTGTTCCACAATGGACTCCTCAGAACGGCAAGATGGTGAATGCTTGGGTTGGACGATCCCTCGAAGGACGTGGAGAATGGAAAGACGAAGAATTCTGTGTCAAAGTCCTTCGGGATCCAGCCATGGAGGCGTATCGGTTTACTGGCTTTGAAAAGAATGGCGAGGGTTTTTTTGCCATGACTGGTACATGGAAGGACGAAGAAATTCATATGGAGCGCGTCTATGAGAAGACTATTGTCAAAATGGATGGCAAGTACGATGCTGCCAAAGCGGAATGGATTGGTACAGCCGTATCTACAGACAGCGATGGCGACACGAGCAACAGTCGATTCGTGTACAAAATTCCGCTGTGGACATGCTTGAAATGCTCGAAAGCAGTGCCGATTGAGAACTCCGTGTGCTTCACGTGCGATCGATCTCGTCGGATGAACACGGTACCATTGGACCTGCCCTTTGACGTCGAAACTATTCGTCGTGAATTGAACTCTCGTCATGAAATATCCTCCTTGCTCAATCGCCAAGATCGAGTAAGCCTCCTCTTTTTAACTGAGAACTCATGCGCTTTGTAGCACGGACGCACAGCTTTGATGCATGCTGCAGATTTCGGTCGGTCTAGCATTCTCGAACAGATTCTGTTGTACATGAACTTCGCCGATTTCTGCACCAACGATTATGTACGGAGCTGCCTCGAAATTCGTATTTGACCCTTGTTGATTAGGAAGGGAAAACAGCGCTAGACATTGCGCTTTCTCGAAAGTTAACTTGTGCCAACAACTCGTATCATCGTACAAACGACGAAACTCTGACGTGTGTGGAGCTCCTGCGCCGTAGAAGCTGCCTTCAAATCAAACCCACGGCAATTGTAAGGCCTATCGGCATGTGCTCACCTCTCACCCAACCTCGTAGCCTGACACCTTCGCATGGGACAAATTGTGCTGCGGTGACTGTGAACAATCGGGGGGGAACTCAAAAGAAAAAGAAGTGAGCTTGTTCGCGCTTGCCAAGTCCAAAAACTGGGATGAATTGGAAGCTCAATTGCAAAGCCCTTTGGAAGGTGTCATCCTGAATGCACAAGATCCCGACTCTGTACGATTTTGTACGCGATGTGAACGACCCGACTCACTTTGTGCGCAGGGGTCCACGGTAACTCACATCGTGTGTCAAGAGGGAAAGCACAAGATTCTTAAGCTGCTCTTGGATCAATCTGCTCTGGATTTGGACATTTTCAACAACGTACGATGGTAGTTGAGTTCTCCATAGTCATGCGATTGTATAGGAATATTATTACCCACTCTACGAAGCGATGAAGAAGGACCGTGTCAGCTGCGTCCAGTTACTTTTGCATCACGGTGTTCCCCCCACCGCATTGGAGGCGTACGAGGTGTGCTTGCCCATCCAAGACAGATTTACCTCAGCGTGATTTTAGACGGACGAATATCAACTCACTCTGTTGAACCCGAAGGCCAGATGCTACAAGTACATTCATGACAGGATCACGTTGATGGGACGGGAAGACCTCAAGGATTACTACCGCGCCAATGTGCCCAGCGTCCGGGTAGCTGAAAAACACCGACAGGTACGAACCTCCCATCAAGATGCTGAAAATAATCGGTGTGTAATAGGATAAACAAACTGCGTTGCATGCAGCAATTATACACTCTCAGCTACCTCCGACGATTGAATTGCTGGCTCAAGATGATCTCATTGATGTCGATGCCAAAGACAAGGTATGTATTTTATGGTAGGAGGAGAGATCGCATGATTCACATTCGTGGCTAGAACGGGAACACGGCAATGATGATTGCAGCCCGTGGTGAATTCGAAGATGCCCTGGAATACATCAAAATCTTGATCAGCCACGAAGCTAGTATTGACGAGGCCAACATGGTACGTAGACACTCAACTCTAAGACCAGTCTTGTCGTTTCTAAGCTTTCATCCATTAGCACGGGAAAACAGCGTTGATGATCGCCTCAGTTGCTGGTCATGTTGACATTGTCGAGTTTTTGCTCCAGTCCATGGCTGACATTGACATTCAAGACTTGGTAGTAACGTCATTGCTCCATGGCGTCTTTCTGACGAACTCTTAGGACGGACGCACATGCTTGGATCTTGTGAACAAGTGCGACCTGGGGACATCATCCAAGACGAAGGTTGTTACCTCCCACAGCAAAATCAAGGATCTCCTCACCAAGGAAGTGCAAGTGCGAGAGAATTCGGTGGAATTCCGCGATAAGTTGGCCAAGAGCTTGATGGGAATGTCTTCGGAGGAAGCATTTTTGCAAGGAGGATTTCGAAAAGCCGTCAATTGCAATCCATCGTTGGCCCGCACGTTCTTGGATGACTCAGTCGTGATCAGCAGACACGATGTGGAGTTTTCTCAGGTACGAAGGCTCTGTGCTTCAACTGGTCATCGTCCTGGATATAGCTCGAAGAAATCTATGGTGAAGACAATGAAACAAGCACTCTGAATGCCCTCCTCAACCTGAAGTCGGACGACCCGGACTATATCCTGGAGGCGCGCCAGCAGTGCTTAGAGCACATTGTGATACGCCGCATGCTGCAAATCAAGTGGGAATTGTTTGGCCTGCGCAAGTACATCGAGCAGCTCATGATGAACTTTCTCCTGCTGGTTACTTCCACTGTGTCCTCTGTGGTGTTTAAAGACAAGATGGATATCCAGAAAGGCCCGGTGATCATCGGTGTCACGGCAGTTGTCCTCACTATTGTCACGTTCATCTTTGTCCAACTTCTCCGTCCACGCTCTTTTTGGTGTCTGGCGCGGTACTTCCACGACGGCAGCTTCCGTTTTGAGCCAAGCATGGAGATTCCAGAGCTCTCCGAGAAGAAGCGCCGAGCGCGAACGCTCTTGTTTCAAGTCGTGTTACTGCTCACAGCTGCATTGGTGGTCCCGATTCTGCTCTTGATGAGTTTGTTTGGCGTGGACAAGTATTTTGCCACCTTCAATAACTTCGTGCTGTGGCTGACCGTATCGTTCTTCCTCATCACGGAGCTGCAAGAACTGCGCGCGGGGGTCCTCAAGTACTTTGAGTCGAATATCAACAAGGCCCAGATGACGATCTACATCGTCATCTTCTTCGTGTTTGTGCCCATGAAGCTCGAGTTCTTTTATGTTGACAAGACTGTTCAAATCGGCATTGGCAGCTTCATCACGATCATGTTGTGGGTGCTGACCGTCCAGTTCCTCGAAGTGGTGCCGTCGGCGAGCTACCTATTGCCCATGATGTCGCGGTTGTTGACAGACGTGTGGAACTTCTTCATCCTATTTGGCGTTTTTCAAATGGGCCTCACAATCACATTTTACCAACTGTTCAAGCACCAGAATGATGAAGCGTTCGGGACCATCACGCAGTCGTTCATCACGACATATTTCGTCACTTTTGGCGAGTTGCCGCTGGATTCGCTCAAGTCGTTTGGCGGGGACGACGACTTTCTGTCTACTTGCGCCGTGGTCCTCATTATGTTCCACGCCGCCGTTGTAGTGATTCTCCTCTTGAACGTGCTCTTGGCAATGATGAACAAGACGGTCGACAGCGGGTTTGAAAAGGCCAAGACGGAAGCGTTGGCGAGTTATGCTCAGTGCATCTTGCGCCTGGAAGAGTCGATGAATTTGAACAAGGACGAGACGATCGAGCTGATCCATTTCAAGAGCGGCGATGGCGAGTTGGTGCTGAACCCGATCTTTCACGAACACTTGGCCAAATCCGACATTCAAATACCGGACGAACAAGAAGCTGGCATTGAAGCGTACCAAAAGACGAAGATCGCGTGGTTGGATACGATGAACTCGCTCAAGTCGAGCACCTTTGCCTCATTCGAATCTCTCCGCAAGGGATTGAACCACGTACAACATTTTGTGACGTTCGACGTGCCAGCGACTCTGGAAGTCGAGTTTGCGTTGATCCAAAAGGTGCAGACTCAACTCGATGAGTACATTGAATATGCCAAGAAGACTCGAGGCCAAGATGTTGACAATTCTCTCAAGAAGCTCGATGCTCTTGTGAAGAAGACCTTGTCGACGTTTGAGGACAACATGCTGCGAGTGTGGAACGACAAAAAACAGTCCCAAGCGCACAAACAATGCACTCTGTTGCACCAAATGACGTACAAGAAGTCAATTGGTGAAATTCTCAAGACCCTCAGAACCGAGATCCAGTCCAACATTGAGAAGGAAATCGCTGATGCCAAGGCGCGGGCTGCCCCAGAGCCAAAGCTGAGTCAGATCGTGGAGCGTTTTGACGCTGTTGATGCGACGTTGAAGGAGCACAAAGAAGAGAAAGAGAACGTGGACACGAATGAGGCAGACAAGGCGCAAGGACTTGTCAAGAAGTTGGACGAGGTGACCCATCAAAACGAAGTGTTGGCGTCCAAATTGGACGAGGTGACTCAGCACCACGAAGAAATGTCGACCCAAGTCGAGGCCATGTCGGAGAAGCTCGAAGCGTTGATGGCTGCCATTTTGGAGTTGAAACACTAACCAGGCATTGCCTGTCCATTGTATCTACATGTACGTTTTTGAGAAATTTCAGGAAATTGTTCACCAAACAACTCATCCCTCTCGGGCGTGGGGGATGTTGTTCCCATGGAATTTGAAAAATTTCCTCAAGAAACAATGCGGGAAGCAATCCATGGTCATTCCTGACCTGCGACACGATTCATTGAAGCAAGTCGGTTCACGTACGACCACGTGGCATATACATATCAAACGACGGCGTGGCATAGGCAACGCCGCATCATGTTCCAGCACACGGAAACAACCAAGATGGAACAATGGAGTGTGTATTCCGCAAGACGTCTACAATGTCTTTTCCGCGCGCATTTGCATCATCCTGTGGATGCCATCGATCCATTCGGTGAAGATGGCAAACACCCTGGTCACGACAAGAGTGCAGGCCATCTCTTGGGCGTCGGACAGCGCCAAGTTTTTGAACTTGTCGTCTGTCTCGCAACCGCAGCCACTGGAGCGTGTCGACTCTTGCGGGGTATTGTTGATGACGTGGCCTGTTTCGAGGGCCAAGTGGTACTCCCCAAAGTACCGATACGTTCCTCCCCCAGACGCCTCGATCTCGTTGGCGAGTTTAGCCGTGGCTTCAAACATGACGCGACCCGTTTCTTCGACCGCCTCCACCGCGGCAAATCGAACGGGCGCGTCCGCCGCACTCTCGTGGATGAGCTTCGTCAAAGCAAACATCAGCTTTCGGTTATGCCGGTTCGAGTCGTCGGACCACAGGAACGACAGCGTGCGGGTCGATGGAGCCAACGACGCCGACGACTGTGTGCTTTGCGCTCGGTGGTCGTCGTCGGGAAGGCCCGCAATCAAAGGGGCGTACGGGGCCAACAACGCATCGCCGCCGAGCTTTTCCCAGTCTTCAAGGAACAACTTGTAATGGGTGCTGTCTTCTAGGGCGTGGACATTGAGCGCCGCTTCAAGGTCCGTCTTGGGGGTGTCGTACGGCAAGACGAAATCGTTGAAGTCGCGGAACGCCAGGATAAAGTAGCTGATCGCCGGCGCGAACGCTTGGAGCTTGGCGCGGGCAACTTTTCCGCCATGGCCGGACGCCAAGGAATCCCACAGCGGGTGCTGTGCGTACTGCGCGTTGAGGGCATCGATGTGAGCCATGACGCGTTCCATCGTGATTCACTGGTAGGGGTGCGATACACCGCGTCGGAGGTTTCAAAATGATGTCGTTGGGGGTCGGTCACCGCCGAACACTCGACATGGCGTCGGTTGGCAGGGTTGTCTGCACGAAAACGGCACCTGGTGCACCATTACGGAACGGCCGACCGTTTGTCTGCACGAGCATGCGCGCACGTGCCCATGGCGGCGAAAGGTTATCAAACATTTTGAAGGTCCATCCACCACCCTGTGTAGTTTGTTGGACAAACGACTTGACCGTCACGGCCACCTCTGGACGTGGAACTACGTCATGCGGATTCGTTTCAAGATGGGGATGTGGCACTCCTGCTTGCGTGGCGGTGTGCTCGTCGCGTTCGATCGAACGTTTGTCGTGCATTTCCTTGCCACTCAACGCTGCCAACGCGACGTTTCAAACAACCGCGCCACTGCCCTTGGAACAAGCGGATGGCCGTGTGGTGGTGGGACTCTGGGCGTCACTGGCTGCCGAGTCTCTCTCTGAATTTTTGGTGTAGGGAGTACTACACTTGCATCGACCCGACCACTCCGTTCGCCGTGTTCGAATGGACATGGAACTTACGGTGTCGGGTGGAGAACTCGTGAGATATACGTAGGTATGCTTCGACGTTTGCAATGCACAAGTCCGCTCTGCATCACACGCGGGGTTCATCAAGGAAATGGAATTACCTGGTCCGCCCTTTCGTCGTCATGCGCGTCGAATTTTACATCAGTTTACAAGGAATATCTTCTGTGGGCACGTCGACGTGATGCGACCATGTCAAGGTGTGGACGAGAGGAGCGTTCCGTGAAGTCGAAGGACAAGACTGTGGTCGTGCCGGCAGCAGCAACTCGGCACCACGAGCCCATCGCCGTCGCTTTGACGAGTACAGCACGCCATCCGCCCTACAACGTCTTCATTCCATACGCCAAGATAAACATGTCGACGACGGACGTGGGTGGCAGCATTCACGTAGGCCCGCCGCATGGATCAGCGTTTCCGCATGGCGCGCAGATGGTTTCAACATGCTCGATGGAGCTACAAGTGATGTTCGCCATGCCGTATCAACGACACGGCGTCTCTCCCGAGGGCCACGACAACAAAAAGCGACCGCTAGATCCAAGAGGATGTGACACTTGCTGGACCGTGAGGGGCTACAATGAGCGGCTTCCGGGATAGATGGAGATTTTTGAAGTTGTGGGACGAATCAACCATGGCGATGCATGCGTCGTCCACCAAGATCATCATCTGTCGCAATGTCGAGAATCGAGTCTTGAGCCCGTTCATGGCGAAGTGACGGCGAACGGACTATCTTCGATCACCACAACACGACAAACAGCGTCCAGCGCCGACAGGTCAAGTGCCCTCTGGAGTTCGTCAACGCATGCTATTGCTGGGAAAACAAGCCGTGTGCCCCGCAACTGTCACTGCTGTCGTCCGCTGCCACCTCGGTCCGTCATGCAATGGCTTCGTTGTCGACCGGGTATTTTGTCCTGAACGTCGCCGAGAACATTTGCGGACTGGCTGGCATTCAATACAACTGGAGAACGAGCGAACTGCATCCGTCGTCGACACACAGGGCCCTGTGGCAACAACGCCTGTCAAACCATCCGGTCAAGGGAGATGAAAGCTCCCTTGCTATCTGCATGGACGGCCACCCCCCCTTCCACCTGACCCTCTTTCCTGCCGCCCAACGCGAAGACTCAAGGGAAGATACATTCACCGACTAGAAACAGACCCAGCGCTCCTACCTGGTGGACGACCTCCAGCGTCGAACCCTTTGTCGTGTTCACGGCGACCGAACCAGGTGTGATGGACATTCATGGACGGATCAGCAATGTGTCTGGGGATCGTCACCATCAGCATCTGTTCGGTGACGGCGCCATGCAAACGGGGGGACTACCTTTCGTGGACAGGGCCGTCAAGTAAGTCGAGGAGGCACCCCACTACCTAGGGTGTACGCTACATCTACCACGAAGAAGACATTCGACAGCACGTGGGGAAGCCGTAGGACGACACAAGATGCCCAACGCCTTCGCACACACTTCGCGCCGCATAACGATGTATTGTACAAGGATTAGAGCTCGTCATGCAGAGGCACGACTTCTTCGGCCGAGACGACGGGTTTCTGGAGTGTCTGGAGTTCCGCTTCCAGTTCCTTCAAAATGTCTTCGGGCGCTTCGACGTCGTCTCCTTTGGCCATCTTGGCCTTGTGCTTCGCAAGCGCTTCCTTGTCTTCAGCGTTCAACCGGGTCCATACCTTGTCGTCGACGGTCAACGGATGGCTCTGGTGAGTTTGGACAAACTCCATCAGGTTTTCCATTGTCGGGTACGCCACAGTCAGCTCGTTCTCAAACGCGTCCTGCGAATGCTGACGGACATAGTACAGTTTGGGCAGGTTTGACCAGGACGCGTCATCCAGTTCGAGCAAATCGTTCTGCGTCATGTCCATGGTCGCCACAAGAAGCTTGTCCTCGCGTCGCCATACCTTGGCAAAACGCTCCAAGTGGCGTGACATCCACCTGGACGGCGGGTGATTGTTGCCCTTGGTCAATAGGACCAGCACGTCCTGCCTGCGGTTCTTCCGAACTTCGTCGTCCCATGTCTTGGTGACGACGACGCGGACGAGGCCGGTGTTTGGCGTCGGCGGCGTCTGCGACTTGAGTTCGGCCATAGCACGCTTGCCCAACACGTCTGCGACAAGGGTTCGCATGTTGGGGAGGTCGTGGGCCGTGTCGCTCGACAGCAAAAACTTGCGATCGCGCTTCATGTGAACAACTAAGAGAGCTGGCTTGTTGCTTGGAACGTCCCAAAACTGGTAGTCGAAGTTCATCGCGTCTTCAGGGTCTTCGACCGTGTACGCGACTAAAATGTCGTCTTTAAATTCCCGCGCCAGCGCTTCTAGCGCGGGTGTCGCGGCCACGAGGGCGTCGTTTGTCTTGAAGAATGCCAACGCTCGATATGGTTTCTTGTGGTCCAGGAACAGGCGCACTTTGTACTCGTCCTTGTCGGCCATGTTCGTGAGCAAGGGTGTATTGTGGTCTTCAATAAAAGAGACCACCGCGTCCAGCTCAAACGCGCGGTCCGATGGGAACGGCACGACCTTGGGCGAGGCAAAGTCTCGAAGCAAGTAGATGCCACCAGCGGCAGCGTCTTCGTTGTCAACTCCAGCAGTCGAACGGAACAAGTTCAGATCTGACACGTACGCGAATTGAACCTTTGCTTTGAGTTCCGACGCAACCACCTTCAAGACCGAGAGGATATCGGGGTTGGCAACATGCGCGAGAAACTTAATGTTGGCTTGGTTGAACACCTTGCGACGCCTCCACTTCTTCAACTCGGGGTCCGAGGTGAGGTGCGTCACTGATGGAATCGTTTGCGCAATGATGAACTGCCGAATGTCGTGGTGTGACACGGGGCTTGTGATAGGCGTGAGCTGAGTTCCATTGAAGAAGAGCCGCATGTCGGGCTTGGTCGTTGAAACATCATACGTCTGTGCGATGTCATGGTGCTCGGGCTCCGAGATGTCGAGACGAGCCATATTGATGGTGGCACTCGTAAACGATTTAATGCCTTCAGTCATTTCCATGCTAGCCTTTTCCCAGTGGAGAGCATAAAAGTCGTAGTCTTCCATCGAGGGTGCGTAGAACAAGACAGCAACGTACTTGTCGCCTTCGATCGCTTTGTCAAAGTTTAGGTCGGTGAGCTCATGTGTCGTGGGGTTGTTCAAATCTGGGATCCCAAATCTATCCATTTGGGCAAACTCTGCATCCCCCGTCAAGCCTTTGTCGCGGAAGCCAGGACCGGTGGGGTTTGGCATGAACTTGTGCAAGTTCTTTGCATGATCGGCCATTTTTCCTTCGAAGTTGGCGGTCGCTGCCGCGGCAGCAGCCGCGGGGTCTCCATGGGCTTGATGTACAGCCAGCGCCACGGCAAGAAGCGTCGCGATCGTCTTCATCCTGCGCCGTCGATTTGGGAATGACGAAGTGATCCATCTCTCGATTCCGCAGAAAGATCGCGACCTTCTCGCGTTTTGATTGGTTGCCTCAGAAGTCGGGATTTAATTGGTTGAATATATCGAACATTCGAAGTATTTAATTATCCGGAAACGACAGAACCGAACATTATTACTTCCACAAGACAGTGGATAGCCGCAGGGTAAACACTACCGAAATATATTACTTGAAGAAGACACCCGACACCCATTCCACATGACGCGTGCGCTTGGTAGACTTTACTTCCATGCCCATAGTCGATCAAGCACACCTGCTTTGGGCGCTACTGTCCGCTGTCGGTACATAGTCTGTACGCGGGCAGTCGTGACTCTATTGCGACCGACGTGTGTGAACATAAAACGTGCCACCACAGTGAGGTTCCGAGGCTGGCGCTGTGTTTGGCCGTCTGCACCAAACGAAGATGCCAACAACGCCAACGAAGGAGAAAGCACATGATGGAGTTATTACAGCTAGACCGACACCTTGTGCGACACACAAACCTTTGTGTACAGCGGTTGCCGAAGTCAACGGGGCGAGGAAACGGCGCCACATCATTTCGCGCGCGTCATTGTCGTTGATGGACTCGCAGTCGCTCTCGGAATATTCGTAGCTCTGACCATTATCGGGGACCCTGCAGAGACGGCATGATCCACAGTTTGGACGGGACGGATTGTTGGTCAGACCAGGGGACGGCAACGGCGAGGGGTCGATGAACTTGGGGAACGATACAATCTCGGCAATGTTGATTGTGTCCTAGTTGCCTACGTTCAGTTGCAAGCAGCAGAGTCTTGGGCGGTAGCATGGTTTGTCGATTGGGAAAGGGTCGGCAACATGGGAGAAGCACGATTTCATGTTGGCATCGAGTATGCATTGGATGAACGTTGTTTGTACGTGGCAGAGGATTGGCGTCACCGCGTCCGGTTGGGGCCGTTTGCCATGTTGAAAGCAGATGCCACCGACCGTGACGGCCATGCTAACCAAGATCGCAGCCCTGGCGTCCATGGGGGTCAGCCAAGCGTGTCGTTTCAAACGTGAACACCTTGTGGCAGCTATCCATCCATATACATGCCATGAATGGATGGCTGCCACAAGGGCACGGGAGCCAGCAACCGCTCCCGGTCGTCGTTGTGATGAGAACGATAGCGTTCTTGTACAGAGCGCTGCATGCACTTGCAAGCCCCACGACAGCCAACACGTCGACATTTGACGAAAAATCCACAAACGATAAATGGAGTCCGTACGCGACGGCCACGAGGGTCGCGCGCCAAGGCCAGCAGCGCCAACCAAGAGCGGTCCGTGCAATATTTCGAGGACCATCAACACGATGGCAAGCACAAAGTCGGGTCCAAGAGTAGTGAACGACAACGCTCGGATTGCGAACGACACGAACGTCGACAAAAGAAGCCGACGTGCGCATGCCAGTGATGCCGAAGATCGCCGTGCGCAGCCCCAACACAAACAGCAAGAAGGGCAATCCCAGGGACGAAATATTCGCTTGGGTGCAGGTACATTTCGAATTCCATGACGAATTCGCGTTTGCCTGCGTGGGGCATGGCGGCAGCTGCGACAACGTCGCTGGGTTCTTCTAATCGAGCGCGCTTGCACAACCGCTTCGTCCTTTGAAAGGGACACGGCACACTTGTCCACGGTCTGTTCTCTGAAGAGGCTTGATGCGCAATTAGCAAAAGCGCATGAACCATCGGGAATATGGTGAAGGCAGTTCCGATTCCATTCAAACGATGTTTGTTGGCCGTGTGAATCGAGGCGACCGAAATACTCTTTTGACAGTTGGCTGCCGGGCGGGAGCTTGACTGCTCGAGTTCCGTCGAGACCGCTATTCCATGGGAGGTGGCCTCCTGCTACTTTACAAATCGGAGGGGACGACGCAGTTGCCGTAGAGCGAGTCGTACGTTTCCCGCATGCGACTACGCGCGATACATCATTCGTACTTGATCAACGACAAGCATGGAGATCCAGTTGGCTTACATGAGGCGTGGGGTGCCGTCTGCCGCAAGCAAGACCTCCGGGGATCGCAGCTTGCCGTTGTACTGAAAGCACATGGAGTGCGAGTGGGCGCCAGTGTCGTAGATGACAAAGAGGTCGCCAACTTTGGCGTCGGGAATATCTCGGTCCTTGCCAAACCTACTCACACCTTCGTCACGTCCAGCGACACGTGCATCTCTGCATAAATCATATGACCAATCGTTGTTTTCGCACAAATCGCCGACGATGTTGGCCTTGATCCAGGGAGAATGGTCCAGCTCGCGAGCGGGCACTGTGATGTGGTGGTATGCGCCGTACATGCCAGGTCGCATCAAGTGCGCCATGCTTGCGTCCAGCCCGTAATACCTACGGCATGGCGTCAAAAAAATAACATCTCAAGCGCAAGCCCTTACTTGGCATAGGATTCCTTGACGGCCTGGCAACGGGCAATCAACCACCCGTATGGCCCTGTCATGTACCGACCGTTCTCCATGCACAGCATGGGGAGAGTTGTCTACAAGCAATTGCTTTGATCGATAGACGGAGCACGCGCCATGATCGCGGATCGCAACGACACGCTTACGTTATCGTGTGCGCCCATGAGATCGTCAAAGGTCTGGCGAAGGAGCGCGACGACCGACTGAAGATCCACGCGAGGCTATCCCATCCCGTGAGGCACGATCGTGACAGGGCAAGAGACAGCGAACCTGGTCGGGAAGGTACGGAATGCCGAGGCCGCCGCCAATGTTCATGAATTCAAACGTGATCCCGAGCTAGGCCAAGATCGTTAGAGATGATTGTGTGGTGGCAGCACACTTCTTGTTGAATTTGCATCGCCGTTTTGTACAAACACGTGACTGTTTCCTTCCAGTACTCGTTGTTCATCACACATGACCCAGTCATCATGTGGAGGCCGAAACGGGTGGCTCCCGCGGCTTGCGCTTTGCGGTAAGCTTCGACAATCTATCAGTCCAGTGATATCCTCACGGGGTTGGGACCACCCAAGTACCTGGAAGGGGGGAACGCCAAACTTGGCGTCCGGGCCGCCCAGCACGTTCGACTTGGTCTCAGAGTCCGTGCGACCGAGACCCTGTATGATCATGGAATGGAATCGTTAGGTGTGTGAACCAGCATGCACAGAGGAGAGACAATTGTACCGGGTTCAATCGAAAGCACATGAGGTCGGGAACACGGCCTCGCACTTCGACCAGCGAGTCGACGAGCGAAATGTCTACTCCCATAGGACGTGATCTCAATGGACATGCAGGTGATCAAGGCGGGCATACCATCGAGGTTGATAATCACGCCCATGTCATACGCGACAGCGAGATCTTGCTTGGACGTGTAGTTGGACGTGTAAATGATTCTGTCACCCGGTACGCCGAGCGTCTTGCAAATGTGCAATTCGGCCGTCGACGAGCAATCAAATCCGCATCCTTCCTGATACAGCACTTTGAGAATCGCAGGGTTTGGCAGGGCCTTGACCGCGTAAAACTGGGTAAATGACGGAAACTGCGCGCGAAACGTGGTCAAGAGGTGGCGCGCGTTATCGCGGATCATCTGCTCGTCGTACACTTGTAGCGGCGTGCCGTATGTGTCGGCGAGCTGTTCAAGGCGATTGAGGCCTTCCTTTCCTTGGAGCGACGCGGGCAGAGGTACGACCATGGGGATGACGAATGGACAAGTGCAGCAGGTTCAATTACATTTGAATCAACCAATCAGCGACCAGATCGACGTGATCACGACAAGAAAAATCTCGTGGGAAGCATGACAATGTCGATGTGGTGGCGCGCGACAACCAGCACAGGCTTCGCTCGTAGAAACGCCCTATGGACGTCACAGCTGCGGGCTATAGCCTGGAGGTTCCTATGCGGCTGGCGATGGCCAGTTCTTTGATGGTCCCTTTGTCACCTGGGAGCGTCTGCCGCCATACCATAGTAACGTAACATGACCTCGACGCGAAAAATTGTGTCATGGAGATGGGACTCTCCAACGGAGCTAGCTGGCTTTGCGGTCGTGCAAAGGAATCCCTTGTGCGGCCGGCGAATCTGCGAGAGCCGTGACCATCTGTGCCAAGGGGAGTTTCTTGGCACACATCTACATGCTTACTGCCCATGGAGAACAGAGTTGTCCCTCTACGCATGCGTTTCATGACGACATGCCGTCGCCTGCAAAAGCACTACCGCCCCGGGTCGATCCCTTACACCAAAACGGGTAAGTGGACGCACTACTAACTTGCATGAAAGTTTTCATTTACTACATCCTTTTGCGTCGGATCAATTCTACGGAGTACTCGAGAACGAGTAAATGCCTTGCGCTAAGAGGTCTTTGAGCGACCAACCCCACTGCTTCTGACTTCCGTCGTGCTTCCAGTTTGAGTACACCCATCCCTTGGCTGCCTGGCTCATGACGTCCAGCACCTTCTTGGCCTGGGCCGCTTGTTCTCCGGCAGGCACGGAGCCATTGCCGTACTTGGCGGCATTCCAGCTCCCGATGAACAATGGGCTACCTGTCCAGCCAGTGATGTCGTCTTTCAACGAGTTAAGGCCGGCGTCGCCGTCCTTAAACGCGGCATCAGCGACCATCACCTTGTGCCATTCCTGCCAGTGGTTGACCACAACTGCCGGCTCCTCTGGCCAAATGCTGAATGTCATCATTGTGTGGTCGTTGTCCGTGATTAACTCGCTCGACCCCTTGTGCTGCATGTCGCCAAAGGATTGCGTTGTCAGCACCGCGCGCTTGGTGATGTTGCGCACCCACGGGTACAGCTCCCGGTAGATGCCGGCAATTTCTCGATACGTGACCTCTTCGCCCTTCTTTTCCGGCTCGTTGAGTATCCCCACACCAAGAAACCCGTCATCGTCCTTGTACCGACTCACGATGAACTTGACCAAGTCCTTGGTCGCGTTGAACGACGCCTTGGTGGGGCGCAAATCAAAAGACATGTCGCCGTATTGTTTCTTGAGTGAAGCGGGTATGGCCGCGGCACTCGGCTTGCCGTTTTGACCCAGCAGCGCCGCAGAGATGTCGACGAGCACCGAAATATTGTGGTTCATTGCCCACACCTTGACGAGCTTGTCGAGGTAGTTGACGGCGCCGGGAGCGAAGATAGAGTAGAGCGGAGCCAACTTGGTCGCGTCGGCCGACGAAATGGATTCACTCACCTTTTCTTGAATCCAATACCCAATCGGCACGCGCACAGCGTTGAGTTTTGCAGCAGCGATGGCCTTGATATCGTCTTCCGTGATCCACGTATCACGATGGGTGGTGAATTTTGCGACCATCTCGGCCTTTTTCTTCTGGGACGTGTACCAGTCGGCAAGCGAGAACTCCCCGGCCGCCGACACGTTCGCGGGAACTCCCTTGAATATTTCAGACGTCGGTGTCACGTCAAAGTCTGCAACGAGCCATCCCGCCAAATTCACTCCCTGGACTTTTGACCGACCCTGTGTAATCGCGTACGTCATGTGGAAATTCGGAGGAAGCGGACGCTGGGATATACTCAGCACGACGCATGCGCCGATCACGGCACCGAGGGGCAACAGGAACCATACGAGGCGCCGCAAGATCACGACGGATTGCCGCACTTTGGCTTCAGGCTCTGGCTTCATCGTGCCTAACTCTCCCGTTGCTTTCTTGCTGGGGAGGCGCTCTGGACGTCGAGCAACACTTGTGATTGGCGAGCCTTGTTATTCGGATTATTGTCGAGGAAAATCCCAATACTCCCGAGAGTTGTGGGGAATATTTCCCAATGACAATGAAATCGTTAACTTCATGAAGTGACTGAGCCGAATGAAAAGGCTATCGATTCTCGTGTGTGGTATGTTGGGCGTTCCGAAGCTTGTTGCTCGATTTTCATGTTATGCACGTGTGAAAACGCGTCGAAGGTGTGGCGCATTCGATGAGAGATCCCATCAAACGATGCTTCCTTCAGCATGGTAAATTGGGCCAACTCCACAAAGATGCTTGCCGGGTAAACTACGTACACAATTACAAACATGCGTTTAAACATTATGGTTATTCTGATGTGAAAAACGTGGGTAGCCACTACTGTACAGCCAATCCCACTGCTCCGTTCTACCTACGAGTTGCCTGAAACCGGGCGTTAAAGCTATAAATTGAATACTCCAGACCACGTTAAACCCCGTGGAGGTCCATTTTATCCGGATGTATCGTACCCAGCAGTTTCAAGTCACGGCAACGCCACAGGAATCCCACCAAAGGCACAAGGACTCTGCGATGCTAGAGCTTTTGGATGCGCACACGTAAGGCACTTCACCACCGTAGGATGCAAATGTACTCGCGATCGCTTCTTCAGTTCGCTCGTGCTTCGCAAACATGCCCTTGAACCAACAGCTACTCGATGGGCGAAGGAGTCGATGCTAAACGACGTATCGGCCGGCGAGATGGGTTTGCATGCGGGGACCGATGGGTTCCTCGCGGTGAACTCCAATGATTCTATGTTTAATGTACCAAATATGCTCGCTTGATGCGCACTCTTGTGATGCAGGTGCACGATTACTGCGTTTTCTTGCGGTTGACATACTTCTCCAGACAGTCAGCTTTGAGACGCGTGAACCCGTGACGACCGAGGGAGGAATACGCTTCGACAGCTTTGGGCACTCGGATGATGTTGTCAGGAGCATGTTCAAGGTAAAATGCAGTCAGCCATGTCGTCATGGCGCGCTCCCTTCGCTTCTGCCACGAGTACGGAATGACAAAAACGAAGAAGATGCACAGAGTTCCCACGACCACGGCGCCAACAGGGCCGTCACCAAACACGTATCGCATCACCAAGTTGAAGGCAAGCCACGTCATGTTGTACCACGTGAGAAAGCCTTGCATCCTCTCGGGGTTCACCTTGGCATCGATGTCGCTGGGGAGGCTCGCGCCAGTCGACTTGAGCAAGGCATCAATTTGATCACGGACAATCGAGTTGACGTTCTGCATGCCGCGAATGTCACCAGGGAACGCGTTGTTCTCAACAGCAGTTCCTTCGTAAGGTCCAAGCGGCTCGAGATCGTCGTCGGGGAGGTCGTTCGCCAGGAGCGCTCGAATTTGCTCGACTTGTTCCGGCGAAAGGACGTACCCCTCCTTGTCAGCTTGGCCAGGGATTGCCAAGTCGGGACTGCCACCCCATCCTGCAGCGCCGCCCTCCACTCGGACATCCTTTGCAGGACCATCGGCCATCGTTACGCATGCTAACACAGCCATCGCGACCGCGATGTGGAAGCTCTTCATGCTGTTTGCAATCCAAAAGTGCACGCAGCACTAGATCGATGAATTCACACGATCTTTCGAACTACCTTCAACATTCAATATTTTCCACTGTCGAACCTATCGAAATTTGGAGTGCCCGTACTACCGTGGCCGGTACAACGCAGTGACAAAGACTTTGACGAGTCCAACAGTCCCACGCAATCTTGGTTCTCAACGTGGACATCGCCTTTGCCTATGGATGCATATCAACGGTCTGTGGACCAACTCGCGTGAAAAACGTCGTCACAAAGGTGAATTCCTTCACCTGCGGCGCCATCGCGCGCGAGCCGTGTACGATCGGTTTCACTTTTGAAACTGAAATGCTAGTGAGAGGAAGATTTCTCAATATGCAAGCAAATTTATCAAGATGTTTGTATTCGTCCCATATTGCTCTTGCTGCGCTCGGTCGAAACGGCAAAACGCCCTTCGCATCGTCGCGCCGCAGCACCACGACACCCCCGATCGCCATGTCGAGCATCATCATCAACACGCCGGCGCCAGACTTTGACATTGTCGACCTCGAAACGGGGGCGACGTCGAGTTTTGCCGACATTGCAGGCAACGGCAAGCCGAGCGTGGTCATGTTTTACGCCACGTGGTGCAATTCGTGCATACCCGCCGTCGAGGAGTTTGAAATGTGGTCGAAGCACAACATCCCCACGCCATACATCAATTTTGTCTTAATCAACGTCGACAAACATGTACGGTCGTCGTTGTCGTCTGAAGAGAGCTGTGGTGGATGTCCTGTTGCACGTAGATTGGAAACGCGATCAAGTTTGTGTCGGAGATCAATCCCAAGACGAGAAAACCACGCGTGTGCACCGAGTACCACGGCGACGGTGACATGCCCACGGTCATCCACGTCGGCTGTGAAGACATCCCCGAAGGTGTGTCGGTCCGTAGAGTTCTCGATGGATCGTTCGCTGAAGCGGCGGGCTAAATCGTAGGATACGGCGTGCATGTGGTGCCGCACAAGCTGATTTTGGACCAAAACGGGCTGGTCGTCCGCAACTTTGAAGATTTTCACTGGGACGACATTGCTGGCCTCTTCAAGCACCGATTTGAGCAAGACAACCAGTGCCACTGGAAGCCATTTTTGTTCCAGGACGAAGTGGCGGTCGGTGGCGGGCACGAGTAGATGTACGACTGTCTTTCACGATCTACTTACGACACGTTGATGATTCAAAAATAAATGTTTATGGACTTTGAAGACGAGGGAGTTCGCTTTCGTTGTTGCTGGTGGTTGCAATCGGGATAGTGGACGAAGGGGTGGTCCCAAAGCTTCGACTGCCTAGAACCGGGGCTACACTGCCAGTGAGCACGTGGACGCCGAACAAGGCGACGGACACATGGAGAGAACGCACTTGAAAGCGATCGACTTAGTGCAAGGGTTGGGCTGTAGCAGCGATCTTGAGCCTTGGCCACCACGTCGTTCGCCGCCGTCCACACGCTTCGCGAGAGCGACGGAAATTGCATGTTCGGGTGGGGTTCTTGTGACATCGGGTGCTTTTGGTTGATCGTGATCGGGGCTTGATTCCCTACGGCGCGTCCAGAGGTCAATGTATGGGAGATGATGAGACCGGTACCTGGTGAGTACCCCCTCGAGATCTTCTGTGCTCTCTGGTATGCACGCACTTGCGCCGTTGTGGACTGGAGCGTAGCATTCCAGATTGTCCGGTACCTAATGCGTGGGCATCACCACCTCTGCTAGCTAGCAAACGACGCACCGTTCGCTGAGTTTGTCGATTGCTTTGACGCTGAACGAGTGGACGGTTGACGCGCAGTCGATTTTATTGATGACCACCAAGTGCGTCTCGGCCTTCACGACGGCAGTATGCGCCCGCGTCGGGATCTGCGCAGTCACCGTCACGTCTGCCAGTGCATCGAATCACTCTACCTTGACAAAGTACTCCATGCCAAAACACCCCGCCGACTCGACAGTGTAGCTTGGGACTTGGATGTGTGTTTTGTGGGATTGGACCGCCCACGACTTGATGCCAGTGGGCCGTCGGTGTTTGGTTTCGAATAGCACGTTCTTCTCCAGGGAGATCACGCCTACCGATCGCGTATAACGTCCGTGATGGGACGTCGATTTCGAGACATAGATGCACCTACCGGACTTGACGATGTAGAGCGCTCCCACGGCCTCGCCCTCCATGTACACGCAGTTGCCGGGATGTAGGAACAAATCGACGGAGACGGACTCAAAGTACCGCAGCTTGTTGTCGGAAAAGTCGCGAAAGATCGAGACTTCCGTGCGCAGCCACTTTGTGAGCTTTTTCCGACGCTTCGACTGGTACCGGTACACATTCTTGTGGTAGTCTTCGGCACGGATGAGGAGCAAGTCCGCGGGGCCTGCGTCTGTGACTTGAATGTCCGCCGTGCGAAGCGCGTCTTCTTGTTCGAGCGCGACCTCTCCAAAGTTCATCCCTTTCACTAGTCGGCCAACCCGGTCGCCATGCACCACGATGTCGACTTGACCATTCACGATGATGTAGCATGCATCCCCGACGTCGCCCTTCCTGAATATTACTTGATTCGCCGCGAACGACGCCCATCGCATGCGTTTGGCGATCTCAGCGGCTTGCATTACGTTGAGCGCGCGCAGCGACGGAACATGGAGCAACCACTTGGACAGGAGCTGAATGTCGATCCCATTGCGTTTATCGGGTTCTTTTTGGGCCGCCATTCGTAGCTTTTCGTCTTCGCTCAACGCCCGCGAGCCAAATCGGGGAAAGTACGTTTGAAAATCCTTGCGTTCGACGAGCCACTGTCGACCAAGTCTGTCATGGCGTACGTACGATGTCGAGATCTCGTAGTTACCTGAGGAAACAGTGGACTCGACTCGGTGTGATGCAACGTGTGCGCAATATGGTCCAAGTTGATGGGCTCATCGGGCTCTTCCAGGATCGGCACAACGTGCACACTTGTCTGCTTGTCGTCTGCCATCGGGCATGGGGTGCTGCTGCCCGCCAACTCACGTCACACGGGAACGTGGGCTAAAAATAGATTCGCCCTTCCAGATCGTTCAATATAGCGAACTACAATATGGAACCAGAAAGGTTCAGCTCAATACATCGTTCCAAATTCTGCCGACGTTTGGAGACATGTCTGAAACATTGACGGTTTGTCCCAATCCGTCATATTATCTCAACTGAAGCCGAGACAACTCGTGGTGCGATGTTTAGCAAGGTTTCTGGTTGTCGCGAGTTGGTTTCAAGTCGACGTTCGAAAGTAAAGTCTCGTCGGCTGCTAGTTACGTGGTGTCGTGCGTCCATCGGACTTGTCAATCAATACGTGGCATGCATGACGGGATGCTGCCGGCCCTGCTCTACCCTGTATGTGAGATGCATCTATATGTCAAAGGATTCGAAGCGGCATCGTGTACTCGGTTCTCGTCTGCCTGTGCTCGTCGCTCAAGGTCGTGCTCGGCGAGTTTTCCGACTGTTGTTGATGTTTGGGTTCAAGCGCAAGCCGTGCTTTGTGTTCGGTTGGCTCGTCGACGTCGTCGCGATTCTCAAGATGACGTTCGTGCCGTTCCCAGACCCGTTTCACGGCCCCGACGTTGCGACGCTACCTGGAAAATCTTTGGGAGTCACTACCACAACTTGACCCACGTCTAGAAAAGCCAAGTGAACCTCCACGCGGTGCCGTCCTTTGGATCTTCCTCTCGCATGTAACGAGCTTCGGCTGCAAGCTCGCCAACGTTGGGGAGACGCACTCGTCGTGTAGTTCTCGCAGCGCTTGTCTCTTGAGTCCACCGCCGGTTCCAAACCCATCATACACAGCTCTCGAATGCCGTGTTAAGCTTTTACGTCAACGGCAAGCCGTACGGCGGCGACTTCTCGTGTAGAATGGCATGCCCAACGCAATCTAACCCCTCCTTGATGTTCCGAGCATGATGGGAATTGTCACACGCTGCTCAAGGTTGACAAGACTCGCGCCGCGCTATCCGACTGCAGCACGTCCTGAAGCTACACTTTTGTGGCAATTCTGTGCATTTCGGGGCGTCTCCTCCCTCGTTTACTCGAGCGTCCCCCCCAAGTTCACTGACATGGACCGAAGTCCGTGGTCAATAAACTTGAACATGGTGTGTACAGTGCCCATCGCTGCTTCGACGATCTATTCGTGTGGGGAAGGGACCTTCCGTGGAAATTGCGGTCAACCATTGCGATCGTGACGACATTGGTCGAGGCCATCAACGCCTTTGCATGTTCTGCACAACGAGGGATCAAGGAGGGGGCTTCTGTCCGAGTCGCTGCCGTCAGCGCTGGAGTCGATCATCGCGGCTTACTGCGTCGTCAAAATCGTCGACGTCAGGAACGAAGGTGCTGTGAATGCGCTCGTTCCTCTTTCGTAATCCTGGCGGAGCCATTTTCCAGCTTCTTCTACACTGCCATCGGCTTACTATCCCCCCAACCGATAGGGCGATACGTACATTGTCCGCATGCAACTCGCGTACACGATCGTGCTCGCCTTCGTCATGAAGATGCTTTTTCATAAACAGATTGTTCAACACCGTCGCCAAAGCTGCTGTCCCATTAATCGAAAAGGCGGCTTTATGTATTCGCAAACAGCGATCCCCCTCCTCCCCCTCCTCCTCGATTTCGTTTTGGCCCGTGAGATCAAACATTCTGTCCCTGTACCCAAGCAAGCGGTGCTGCCGCATTGCAGGTGGCCAAGGAACTTTGGTCGTTGTGAACGGCACCGTGATGTGTTGAATACACAGGGGATCTGGTAGCGAGCTATGTATAATTTTATGGCATGGTGCTATTCGCTGTATCATCAGCAATCAGTGCATTCTGCTTACGACGCTGATGACTCGGCATCGCTTGGATGCTGTTAGTCAATGTGGTCATCCTGCAGTTTCTATCGGTGAGGGATCGATCCCCCTTATACTTCCACGCGTCAATCCAATACTTCTTCAAGAGAATGCTGGAAGCACCATTCATTGCCAGCATGGACAACAGCGGTCCGTGCTTGCGGGCTTGTGTGCATGACGGGCCAAAGATCTCGAGTGTCCCACGCCGTGGGGGTGGCAGTTACACATTGCCACGGCAGTTTCACATATTCTCTTGAAGTTTGTATAGGCAAAGCGTCGAGAGCGTTACACCTTCTCATGGCATATCTTGCAGATTTCACGACGCATTGGTGTGGTGCATCGCCGCGCTTCTTCTTTGACCGTCACAATTCGACTGGATGCGTCAGGCGTGGCTTCTTGGAGCAGCCACAGTTGGCTTCGTCGTCGGCGGACACGATTGCATCCATGACGTCCAGCTTGAACGGTTTACGGTGCGTCGTTGAGGCGGTCGTTCCTACACATGGATGCTGACACTGCCGTAGCGGTCGGTAGACATGACGACGCTCACAAACGAACAAGAACTGGAGACGTCGGGGTCTCGCCGGCTCACGGACGCCACGACGTTGTTCCAACCCATCCGGATCTCGTTCGACACATCCCGCTTAACGAGGTGAGCTCGCTAGGTGATGCATGTTGCTCGCTCCGCCTGACTCGAACGATTCTGTAGTGATCCTGGCTACCTCTGCACACAAGCGGGGCAGGCCATCACCCGCGACGGATCTTCCTACACCTGCACGCAGAACGACATATTGACCAAGGTAATCTGGATCGCCATGTGGACGCAGTTCATTTAACGAATTCGACAGGAAAAATCCGACTTCATCTTGTCCGTGATGATTCCAGCCGTCACGACGTACTTTTCCAGTGTCTTGTCCGTGCAGCGCGTGTCGGGGAATCTCATTGTAAGCTCGCTTCGTGGCAACATGTCCTCATGCCGCCTTAGATTCAAGGTTTGGGATGCCAAGCCAACGAATGGGCGTGCTGCGCCAACACGATCCCGCCGTACTTGAAGACGACAGGCATTGCCAACACCGACTTTCTCATCCACGTGACGGCTCGCCCCACGTCCGGGGCAGTCTTGGCATGGGCCCTCCCGTGTAACATTGACCAGTACGGCCGCCCTATCTCAGGCCAAGCCAACTTTGGCCCGAATCGGTTTGTGAATTTCAAAGAAGGCGATGGCCATGGCTCACCTGTTCTGGCGTCCACATGTCTAGGCTCGACACGCAGAGTGGTAGCCGGGCGGGCCAGATCGGCACAGCGATTCACGAAATCACGCACGCGCTGGGGTTTTCGTCATCGCGGTTCGCCGACTTTCGACAGCCTCTCAATGGACCGTTGTGGGGCTACTCGAACGTGGTGTCGCAAACGCAGCAAAATGGGATTTTCGTCTCAAAGGTTATCACGCCGCAAGTCGTCAAGCAGGCAAAGCAACAGTTCAATTGCCCCGACTGGTACGGTCGCGACCGACATGATTGCGACCGAATGGATATGGCTAGGCCTGGCGCGGGGGCGGAGCTCGAGAATGGCCCGACCGGATCCAGCGACTTTTCGAGTCACTGGGAAAAACGCCTCTTCAACAAAGAGTACATGACAGCCACCAGTTCGGCGAATCCAGTCTACTCGGCCATGACCCTTGCCTTCTTCGAAGACACGGGGTGGTACACAGCCAACTACTCGATGGCGCAGGCACTGCCGTGGGGGTACCTCGAGGGCTGTTCCTTTGCCACGTACGCCATGATGTGTTGTGCGAATTTCCCGGCGCGATTGAACCCAGTGTTGTAGGGGCCAGTGCTCCGAGTGGAGCAACGACTACTTTTGCTCCGCGGCGGGCGAACACTGCTCGGCCACGCGTGATGCCAAGGGGTACTGCGACATCAATACGTACACGTCGAGCATTCCATCGGGTTTTCAGTACTTTAAGAATGCCAAGCTCGGGGGCCAGGACACGTTCTCCGACTACTGCCCGACGTACCAAGGCTACAGCAACGGCGCGTGCTCCGACACGGTTTGTGTCGACGGCATCGAGCCACGTGAGGATGACCGGTCGTCGTTCGGTCGTGTGTAGACGACGTACTTGGATGCTGACATGGGCGAGGCACTGGGGGCGGGCAGCAAATGTTTTCAATCGACTCTGACCAAAGGCAGTTCGAGGTAGGTGGGAATGCCTTGGGCAGGCGTGCGAACATCACGGTAGAGCGTCCACGCCGGCATGCTACCCTGTCATCCGGTGCGGTCAAGGCAACATGTACATCCGCGTGGGTGGCAAGGAGGTTGCGTGTCCGTTGGCGGGTGGCGACGTATCTGTGCCCGGCTTCCAAGGCACCGTGCGATGCCCGCCCGGCAATAAGATGTGCCAACTGCTACAGACGCAGTGTTCTGGTCAAGGCATTCTCATGGTGGACGGGTCGTGTTCGTGCAACCCGGGCTTCAGCGGATCGGATTGTTCGCTGAAGGATTGCCCGCTCCACAATGGCGTCGAATGCAATGGCCGCGGGAGCTGCGACCGCCGGTCGGGCACGTGCCGTTGCGACGCTGCGTACACTGGTCTATCGTGTTCGGAGCTGTTGTGCCCGGTCGTGACGAGTGACAAGTTCTTGGGGGACCAGTGCTCTGGCCACGGGGCATGCAACGGAGCCCTTGGCACATGCACGTGTTCCGACGGATACACAGGTAGACACTGATACCTTGCATGGCCAGAGGGACGCCTACACGGGCGATACCTAACAATGCTCGTGAAGGCAAAGCATGCGAGTGTGTGCCTGGCTGCACAAGCTGCTCGAACGGCGGGTCCTGCGACTGCTTGACAGGTGCGGTGGCCGTTAGCATGGTCGCCTGACCGACACTTTCGGACAGGGTCTTGCGTGTGCCCGAGCGGATTCTTCGGTGCCAAGTGTGAGTTGGCGGGCGACGCTCCTATCGAGACACTCGTTCTCGACGCCAACGCAACGACGATGGGCCAGGTCCCTGCCAAGGCACGTAAAGAATTGTCAAAGGCATATCGCATGACGTCGTGGACTGGCGGTGGTGTAGACGACGTCGTACTTCAAAGTGCTGTTGAACTCGAGTTCGTCCGACATCACGGTCCTGCTCACGTCCACGTCTGGAGGTATGCCAGTCGTGTGTGCTCGACGCGGATGCTCACGTTGTGCGGAATAGATGCCGACTTGTACGGGTCCTTTCTCGACACGTATCCCAGCCCAAAGTCGACCAAGTCGACGTTGTTTGTGAGCAATGCCAACCGCCACGACCGGCTCGACGCGATCCAGCTGTGCGGGACCCTCGGCACGTTTCCCCGGGCCATGAACGATACGTTTCGGTTTTGCAGCCAAGCCAACGCGCTCCTGGTGCAGGGTACGGTGTCGCCGCAGTCGTTGAAGCCGCGACTAATTGCGCAGGGGCCCCGGGGTACTTTTACGTGAGCGTCTTTGGGTTCGCGGCGTCGACGTTCGAGTTGAAGGTTGTGTCCGACCCGTGTGTAAACGAAGTGTGCTCCAACCACGGCACGTGTGGCAAGGTGCGCTGCCACCCTCGTCTGGACCACATCGATTCACGATGTGTCTAGTATTACGCTGGCGTTTGCGCATGCGACCGGTCGTGGTCTGGCGAGCGATGTTCGACGCCTCGCTGCCGCCCCGATTGTGTGGACTTCAACAATTGCAACGCGCCGGTTCGTACACCCACGTGCGTGCATGCCAACCTTCGATGCGCTCTCTTAGACGTCGTCGGCCACGGTGCTGACCTCTGGTCTGCGCAACACCACCGATTGCTATGGCAACGGCGAGTGCCGCGTGGTGACTGTCCATGGTGTTGACCAACCGACGTGCGTGTGCGACGAAGCGTTCTCGTTTGCCAACCCGACCGACGACCAGTCGATTTGCAAAGTCCCGCTGCCGTCCATCCGGCGCGTCCAGCACTTTGCAGACCCGTTTGTCGTGCACGGCGACACGATGCAGTATTACGTACGAAAGGATGGATGGTGCTGGCGCGATGACGGAAGCGTAGGTTGGGGTCGGGGAGTGGACGATGTACACGCTGACCGTCAAGCCCGAATGGCAATACGTGTACGTGGAGCTCAAGGAGCTGTCGGACGGAAGCGATCCGCTCGTACTTGTTCGCAAGACCAAACTCCCGTCGCTCAACGCGTCCGGCAACCCGTACCCGCTGCAAGCTGTGGATGCCGCCGCGTGGACGAGTGCCGCCTCCAAGCAGCGCGTGCTGCTCACTCGAGCGTCGTCGACCCTGAGCGACGGCTTGCTCTACATTGGTGTGTACAATACTCGGTACGGGCGGAACCCGCTGGCGTACCAGCTCACGGTCGAGGCCAACTCGACGTGTGACATCCACACAACCGACGTGTGCGCGCGGGGCAGCACTGTGGCATGTGCGGTCGCGTTGCCCACGATGTGTCAATGTGCATCGACAGCACAAGGCCCGTTCTGCGATCATGTCAATATCACACATAGCCGCGTCAACGCCGACGTGCCGACGCAACTTGCTCCAGTCGTCGTGCACGAAGGCAGCTGGCAGGTTGTGTGCCATGCACATCAAGGCTGACGTCGCTCACGGGTGCTGTTGTAGTACTGGACGTTCGACGTGGCCGACCCAGCGGTCGAGTTTGTCCGCGTCGAGCTAACAACTGGCCAAAGCAGTGCTGCCGGCGACGAGGTCAAGCCGGTGCTCATGGTGCGCGGTATGTGTTGATGACCAGCATGGTGGCGCCACTGCTCTTTGAGGGCCGACGAGTTCGATCGAACGCTCCATTGAAAATTCTAGGTCCTCTCGAGCCCGGGTTCCCGTCGTTGGATCTGAGCTCTGCCTTTGACTTCAACGCGGTGACCACGCCAGTGAAAAACGGCGGCAACCACACCGTCCTCGTTCCCGTCTCGACATCGTGCGCGGGACCGAGATGCTTCAAGGTCGCCGTGTACAACAAGTTGTACTCGGGGAACGTTATCCAAGCCAACGTGACGTTGGTCGGGCTCAAGTCGGCCGCGCAGGCGTATGCAGTGCCCGATTGCACGCTGTCCGGTGTCGGCGACGCGGCGTACGTGTGCCGCATTCACGCGGCGGATTCGTTCGTGCGATGGACTCACATGAGCGTGTAGGAATTGCAATGACCGCGGGATGTGTGTTCAAGTTGGCGACCAGCCCACGTGCAAGTGCAAAAACGGGTGGAGCGGCATGACGTGCAATGCTCCTCGTGCGTTTGCGATCTCGCAGTTGTGGTCGGCCGCCACCGGCATTTCGCTGTTGTGCAGGTGCGGATGCCTTGCAAAGATGCTGCTCGCTCATCTTTTGTGGGCAGCGTTTGCAACGCCACGTTCACCTTGTCGAACGGCGCCATGGTCATGTTTACGCTGCCCCAAAGCATGCAGCCCAACACGGGCTTGGAGCTGCGCGTCAAGTCGAATGGTGGCATCGTGTCGCCGAATATGTATGTGTCGGAGGTACACACATCTTTGGACCGACGTGCGCATTTCATGGACACGACCAGGCGACCCCGCGGTCTTTGTACGACTTTGCCATCATGTCGTTTTCGGTACGTGGAGGCGAGATGCCCGTCCACAAGCAGCGGTGGCCATGCGTTGGTGACGTATCGATCAGGATGAGAGTGAAGAAGTCGTCCAGCTGACAAACCGCCCATTCCAAGGCCACTTTTGGGTTGCCATCTATTCGGAAGCGCCATTGTACGACGCCTCTCGTCTACCGACGCATGCACGGGCACTCATGGCGGCGTAGGGGTATGGACGCAAATGCCACCAACACCCCGACGACGTTCACGATCCAATCTCGCGTGATCCCGCTGGTCAAGAAGACCGTCGACAAGCGGCTCATCACGCAAACGAGCTTCCTCGGTGCAGTCATGTCATGGCTGACGACGGCGCCGCTTGGCATCGTTCTGTTCTCGCTCTTGCTCATCTTTCTCGGCCTGACGGCATTTTACTTTGTCTGGCGAACGTTTCGGTCGCCCGACAACCAGGATAGCGCGGTACGACCGACCACGATCGTCATGCAATGGATGGAGCTCATATGGTTTGGTCGGTGGAATTGCAGATCAGCACGCTTGCTGCCGAGTTGGGCAACCGAGCGAATGAAGTGCATCATGTTGAGGCGGGTCTTGCAGCCGAGCGCGTACAGTCGCCCTTGCGCATGGGCAGCTCGACTCGAAGCGACGACGCTCCTACGCCGAGCGCTCCCCCCTTGGAATTGGATGTCGAAATGGCCCCCATCGTACGCTTTTCTTAATAGTGCAACGTGTACATCCTTTCCTGAATCAACGGGAAGGGCGTCCCCCTTTTGAGACGAATCGTTCCAAGCGGATGGCACGGACACGAGCCTCCATTTCTCTCACTCGGCACAGCATAACTTACGTCGTGTCGGAAACCTCATCCTTTCAACCGGCGTTGTCGAAGCCATGGTCCAAGCGTTCTTCGAGGATCACGTTGCGATTTCCACGGTCAACGCCTTGGTGACGACTCGAGAATGTCCGCTCGAGACGGCGGCACACACCTTCCTCATTGATGTGTCCGCGTAGCCAAGCTCACATTGATTTGCTGGACATGACGCAGCTCGAAGCAAGACAAGCGCTTCTCGGCCTTCTCGCAGCCACAATCCTTTGCCGCCGCCGCACTCGTCGCCAAACGGCAAATTTCAATTGGACAGCTCCGATTGGTCGAGCCTTCGGACCAATCAGAGCGTTGCGAACTTTGACTGTCATTTGCATCCAGCGCCAACATGGAGAAGTCGCTCGGCGATGACTTGGCTGGGCTGTGGGCCGAGATGATGAACGACGGCGGCAGCGACAATGCGCTAGCATCGCACCAAGACTTCTCGTCGCACGAAGAGCACTTTATCTCGGCCCTCCTGGACAGTGGCATCGGTCCATCGTCGGCAGCGACACACCACACACCCTTGTCCCCACTGCCTGCTGCCGCAACGTTCCTTGAGCGTGAGCGCCAACGAAAGATGATGTACCGACGACGGATGAAGGACGAGGCTGCCCATTTGCAAGACTTATGCACGCACCTTGAAGCTCGACGCGCACAGTTGATCCGTCGAAGGGAGCGTCGGCTGCAACAAACGCCAGAGGAAAAGCAAGCCATCGAAAAGTGGGCGCTTACCGTTCAGGTATGAGATGTTTGCATCACCGCGCGCAATGTGACGGACGCATGTGTCCACTCGCAGTCCATGCGCGACCAAAATGCCGCGATCATGCAGTTCAACTCAACATTGCGAGATTCCATCCGCCAGCAAATCCTCATGGCCATGTCATACCAACGGACCGTGCGGCATGCTCTGCACCACATGGTATCGACTAACTCTTGCTCACGCGCCTAATCGTCCACCCTGTCGCTGCCACGCAGAACTTGTCGCTCGCGAACGACGAGCAGAAGCGGGACAAGATTCATCAACTCCTTGTCAATCAACGCGCTCAGCTCGACCATATTCGCGTGAAATGGGTACCGTCCGCCTGGCGCAACAGGTTCCCCTGACGTCACGGCGTGCTTGGTCGTGATCTAGCTCGGGCTTCTCGAAGGCGAGGACAAATGCAATGTAACGTTCAACGCAGCGCAGACCGACATTGCCCATGCTGAAATCGTCCGATGTCGCCGCTTTCACGCGACCGCGCCAGGCGTGGCTGCGAACCGCATATGGCTCCAGCTCACGGGCGACACGACCAACAACGCGGCAGCAGCTCCCCGAATAGCCCAAGTACTCGTTTGCTCCCTCTTTCGTATCACTGGACGTGTGATGGGATGTAGCGCCTCGACACGATCGATCCCTCGACATTCTACACGCGGGTCTACATGAACGACGACGTTGCTCCATTTGGTTTGAATGTGGTTCAGCATCGGTATACGCCAAACTCTGGACAGTCGCCGTCTCTCATGTGGTGCTCGATGCGACTAGGCACGACCTGCCCGACCGCCACCTGATCATGTACCGCACGATGGACGACAACAGCGGCGCGACCGACCACGCGTGCTTTGACGACGTGATCAAGTGGGATGTCGTGTGTTGGTACTGTCATGTCGTCGTGGCGACAGTTTATCGAATGGGATGACGTGGCAGGCTGGAAGTGACGCAGGAAGGCTCCGATACGCTCGTGAAAGAGTACATCTCGTACACCCAAGTCGGCCACCACGCGATTTTGCCTGCTCTGCTCGGGTGTACGTCCGACTCGTTCGGTGGCGGACCTTGAAGTGACCAAGCACGCGTAGGCGACGCCGACAGTGACCCCATTACAGCAAAACAAACCAAACTCCGCGCGTGGATGCAGCAGGTCGTGTCCAAGTTGTACTCGGGGTGCAAGCTGCCCCCACTCCCAACGTCGTCGTCGTCCACGTAGCTCGCGTCGAGAGCCACCCCCACGAGCACCCTCCCCGTCATTTTTGTCCATAGCATCAAATTGAAAACTTACGCACTTTGTGTTGTCACTGTCGCAAGTTCGCCCTCATCGTCGAGAATTGTGCATGGCTGCGCTTGGAGGAATGACATCGTCGTTTGGCGCGAGAACGACCGTGCCGTCCTTCGTGACGCAGTGGCCTTTCAAGTAGGCAGCTCTGTGGGAAGCAAGCTTGAGTTGTTGGAGCATTCGATCCGCTAGCCATAGAAAGCACGGAGAGTCCCAAAGAATTTGTAACGAGAAGAACGTACGGGGAGTAGACCAAGGCAGGCTCGTCTGGCCAGGGTGGTGTGGGATGTCCTTGGCCCGTTGAATGTCGTCGCACCGTTGCTTTTCTGTTTCGATCGAGTGAAAGTTCGCCATGACGCTGAGAATGTCCATGTTGCCATGGAGTTTTGCATAGTCCAGCGCCGTGTGACCCGTCCTGTCCGGCATGCGGGGGTCTGCTCCTTTCTAGCATGGGAATCCATCAACCATCCATTCACCTGCAGTAGCCATGCAATTCTAGCCGAGATAACCAACCAAACAACGTACGTGGAGTAACTTCATCACGGCGGCTTGGATGCCGAGCTTAGCGCAATAGTGTAGCGGGGTTTCCGCAAACGAGTTCTAAACCGTGAGAGTTGAGATGCCTGAGGTTCTAATGTAAGGTTCGTACAGTTGTGTTGGCTAATGCGCCGTGGCCAAGCAGGTTGTCGAGAATGGCCACTGCTTTTTGAGCACGCAAAGTCCACTTTATCGAGATATTGCGCGGCTTATTAGGGGGAACGTCCCGCCAGACGTAATGCAACGGTGTGTCGCCGTTTCCGTTCGGGACATTCGGGTCGGCCCCACGGTCCAAAAGCGCTCCGACGACGTCGACGTTCAGCAGGCGCGCAGCAGCCATGAGCGGAGTCAACGCCAAGCTAAAGGGCACGATCAGTCGTCATTCCTTTTTCGGTTGGATGAACCTGTGGCTTTTGGTTGGATTCAGCGTGATGGTGCCGTCAGTTGTGTTTTGCACGACGGCTACGTTGATGTCGAGAAAGACGTGCTCTGTCAACATGAGCACTGTTTCTCTGTATCGATGGTCAGGCCGTTGTCGTATGAATGGCTGGCACAGATCTTTACCGAGTGCGCCCCGCCGCCAACAACCGCCAAAACGTGGCCAAGTCGTTCGTAGTCCCTTCCACTGAAGCTAAGCGATGTAGCCTTTCGACGTTTTGCTTTTGAAGAAGCCGTCTGATCCACGCACACGTCATGGAAGGGCAACTTGCAGATTGAGATGTCGTACTGCTGTTCCTGGAGGATGTCCAACATTGACTGGGCCGTAAAGTGCAATTTCCCAGACTAGACGACACGGCTGAACACAAACGTCGCGGAGGTAGTGGACGGAGAACTACCTCTAGCGTGTGCAAGCAGTCTTGGTGGTCGCTCTTGGCCGAGCAGTGAGAAGTGGAGTGCAAACTCGGTTCGCTTGCAGATGCTATGTTGATTCCGATCGATAATTTCTTTGCCAGCGCTGTCGTCATGCGCTCTTTCTCACGAATGACCTGGCCAGCCCGGGATGAATGGCAGTCCAGTTCGTGGCCATTGGGCATACCTGACTGCCTGGAATCGGAAACGGGTGTTTGATGGATCGCAAGTGGTATTGTCCCGAGATGTCGGCTGGCCCCAGTGGCGCCAATGGCTTGAGAGCCAGTGCAAGTGTTTCTTCCTTCGTCCACTTTGTCGAGTCGCTGTACAAACCAGCGTAGATCGTTGGTTCGTTCGGCTGCGCTTCTTGTACAATAGCCTTGAGACGCGCCCTGCTACGTTCTCGTTGCGTGTCGCGCTCAACCTACCATGAGACGCAAGGTCAATCCATTTTACCAAAGGCAAGTGGCAAGAGACCTACTGTTTGGTCATGTATTCTTTTGAGAGTCGCTAGCTCTTGCTTGGTGAGTTGCCGCTTGCGCGTGGATGTCCACATCGCGGCATCTCCCATCACAGGGGCAAGTGTTGCCCGTCTGAGGCCGACGTTACACAAACCGTTTCATGACTGGCCAATCAAGTCATGAGAAACGTTTGTTTTATAATATACAGTATAAAATAATACACCTCTCAATATATCCGGATGCAACAAGCTTGTTTATTCTAAATAGCTATTTAAAATATGAAAATTCGTTGGTTGCTGGAGTTTGCCAACTTGCAACAATTCATAGACGACGCACGCACGCACCGCCATGCCATTGTCGTATGTGGTGGAGATCATCGAGGGCGCATACACGCGTCTTGGCCCGAACGGTGGCTTGATAGCTTTGAATCCACACATCCCTGTGGAGTTTCGCACGTACGTCAGAACGAAGCCACGCATTGCCGCTGATGGCTTACCTGCTATGTGTAGGGAGTGGTTCTTAACGCCAAAGCAACACGCCTTAGAGACCCTTGCATTCAGTTTGCTATATGGATCCATTGCGTATTATTGCCACTGCCGCGCGATCAACAGCGACGCGTGGAAAGCTCTGCGACCTGTGCGGGTACCCACGACTGTTGATGCAATGTGTTTTGTGCTTGCAGGTACATCGTATGCTGCGGTGAGTCGGAAAGCAATGAATTTTCCGTGTCTCACCGCGTTGTTGGATGGGCAGGCCTACTACTACAAGCACATCGCACCCGGAAGTTGGCGTGTGGCGTATATGCTCCAGCCATGCCACGTCTTGACAGCCACGATCGCCATTTTGAGCGTTCTGCCAGGCCGGTGGGCCAACTACATCTTCCAGGTACACATCTGCAATCCATTTACGATTTTACCTGTAGACGTAGGTCATGGTAACCCTCACATGGTCCTCAGTGGTGGCGATGGCATTTCCGGATTTGAGCGACTACACGCATAAGGTGCAGTGCTCCTCCTCTGCTCCATCCTCCAAACACCCACTCGGGCATTAGGGCGACATGTTTAACTATTGGTACGAGCATGCCCTCATTCTGGTGCTCCCTATTGCTCTCAGTGTAAGATCAATCTGGTGTTTATCAAGTTATCGGCATATCTCATGTGCATGCTGCAGCGATGCGGACGGTTCACCTATCTTGGGAACTGGCACTTCATCGTGCTGGGCTATGCCACGACCGGGCTGTATCATTGCGTGTGCCTTCAAATCGCAGCGTTGGCCACCAACGTGAACGTAGCCACGATGGCGGTAAGTCGACGATTTCATGGTTCTTCTTTGGGTCATGACTGGGGCTCGTAGTCACCACCTCAGATTCTGGCACACTTGGGCGTGTACTATCGCGCGGTGCAATACGCGATCTGCTTTGTTTTACACTTAGTGTACAACGGGATCATTGTGGCTGGGTGCAGCCTCCTTTCCGCCGCGACGCAACCCAAAGCAGCCGACTCGCGCGTCCATCCATAAGTGTGTATCACTTTGGAATTGTGGAACTTCTTGATTAGGATTGTTCCTAGTCGAAGGCAGCAATGTCCATATGCTATTTTGGTGTATTGTGATCCTCACTGATGATCCATGGGAAGCCGACAGTGGGATATTTCCCTATGAAAGTGAATTAATTCTTTCTACAGACGGATACTGATCATTGTCCACTAGCTGGATCAACGAGGATATTTCCCCGTGAGAAGTCGGGTGGGACTTCGGCGGGAGTTGCGTTTTGAGGCATCACTTTGAAAACCTGCCGACGTCACGGCCGCAATGGTGGTGCATCATGCCGTGGACTTCCTTGAGGATTTCTTCCTGAGCATTGGCCCGGGAGACGAGCCCAAGTTCCCGCACGTGCCAAAAGCTCTTCGAAGGTACCAGGACATCTCCTTCGACTGTATGGCCTCACACAACCTCTGAAGCGTCTGGTACTTGTCGCCACGCCAACATGCGCTGGAAACCATTGTGTACGTGACTGTGTTTGCCCCCATGTGCTACTATGCGGTCAAGCAAGCGCTCAAGCATCCCAAGTGGAAGAACCAGCGGCCAATTCGCGCGCCGACGGCGTTCGATTGGGTCTTGGGGGTGGTCACAATGTCGTCGTTCTTGGGGGTACGTGTGTTTGTTGTCGATGTGCATGAGTTGATTCGGAGTGAACTCGCCCATGTGACTGATGTAGGTTTGCTACTACAAAGCGCATTCCACAAACGGATGGCGTCTGCTTTACATGTTCCAGCCGTGCCATGTCATGACTTTTTCCTTGGCGATCCTCTGCATCGCGCGAGGTCGAGCTGCCAACTTTATCTTCCAGGTGGCACCGATGGATCCACCGACAATGGTCACACATCATATTCAAGTTGTTGGTGGGGCTCCTAGGTATACGTGGCCATGACATGGTCGTCAGATTGTGCCTTGATTTTCCCCGACACGAGCGACTACATCTACATCGTACGTCGTTGTGCTCTTGGTCCATCGTCCTTGCTGAATGATTCAGCTCATTCGGTACACGACCAGGGCGACATCTACAACTTTTACATCGAGCACTACCTGATGCTGATCATTCCCGTACTACTTTGTGTACGCTACAGCCAACTGCTCGTCTGCTTTTCTCACGCTGTTTGTGGTAGCTGTCTGGGCGATATGAGTACATTGGCAGCCCGAGCTGGATCCTCTTTGGATTCACAGTCATTGCGCTGTACCATGCGATTGTGTTGCAACTGGCTTGCTTGGTCACCGAGGTCAACATCGCCACTCTCATGGTACGACATCCTGTCCACCAGTACTGGCGTAATATAACGGAATGCGTAGTCGCCACCAAGCGTGCTCCGCAGCTTGGGCGAATGGTACCGTCCGGCTCAGTACGGCATGTGTTTTGTCCTGCACTGGGTGCACAACCTATCGATCTCGGGCGCCGTGGCGCTCGTGTCCTCGTCCAAGGTGCTCAAGCCGCTCATGTCCCCCAAGCAACATTGAAACTTCTCGTGATGGAAGCCCAAGTGTAATGTAAATACCACCTCAACATTCGGGCCTGTTTACGCTATCGTTGGAGTTGAAAGATAGAACCGAACGAGTCTCTATTCTGCTTTGTCTCGTGCAACGTTTTGAACGTTTGCTATGCTTCGTTGGTTTGAATAACCATGTTGACAAGGTTGAAGCTCATGTAGTACATCGCACGGTTTGATACCTGACAACTCAGGCAAAGGACCACCAAAGTATAGGTGAATGTTCGTTTGTCTTACGTTCGCGGTGGACTAGCACAGCATGAATCTGGAACAACTGGTACAGGCTCGACTTTCACATTTGCATATGCATGGCCCATGCATATCAGCGCGACTTCACTGAGGAGAAGGAGTGAGTTTGTGCTTCTGCAGCTGGTGTTGGAGCTGTCGTCACTAAAGACGTCAAACATAGGCTCGAGGAGGCTGTCGTCGTCGTCTTTGCTACCTCGATTCTTCCGCCACCACGCTTTGAAGTACACATTTCGTCGCTCTTTGTTTTTTTCGCGCCATTCCTTCATCTTTTGCAGTCGGTGGGCCTTGTTCTTGGCGTGGTTCTCTCGCTTGTACGCGAGCCGGCGCTCGCGATTCTTAATGTGGTATTGTTTGCACTGCTCGTTGCGCTTGAGTCGTTTTGCTTCAGCTTCCTCTGCAGTCAACAGTTTCTTCGCCATCGCGATGTCGGATTGGAAAATGTGGAGATCTTGACTCCTGCGATATCCAACTAAAATTCGAACCGATCTTTCGACGGCCGTTACGATGGTGGCGATCATCCGGATACAATGAAACCATCAAACGTCACGTCGACTCGATTCTCCACGCGTGATCCTTTGGTGCACAGTTTTATTCCTCGCACCACGTCAAGTAGATACGCAACAATGTGCGGGTTTCTTCGTTCAATCTATCTTCTATCCCCGATGGGCGTTGTCGTTACTCGAACCTCGACGAGTTGGGGTTGAAGTCCGGCATCGATGTCCGGATGACAGGGTTTTCGCTCAACATATGCGTCTGGACTAAATGTGGTGAATTCTTATTGCCACGGCTTACAAACACCTAGTATGCAACTATATATAGTGGAAATAGAACGAACATACACCATAAAATAATATGACCACCTTTGTCCTCTAATATGACTCGCGATTCGAAACTGATGTCGAGAATGGAGCCGATCCTCACCGGCCGCGGCGGTGGCGACGCCGAAGGCAAGTGGACGGGACGCTTGGGTCACTTCCATAATGACGACGAAGTCGACATCTTCGTGTTCATTTCATGTGCAATCTCTTCTGAGGCAATGTACAAGACGTTGTGCCTTCGCGCAAGTGGTTGCAGGCGATTATCTCGTCTCCGTCTGAGCGTGATTTGGATGAAAAGTGCGGCATGTCCATCGGATGGAGGTCCAGAGGCAAGGAACTAGAGCATGAGAAATGAGTTGAATTTCACCAGCGTCCAACAAGGTGGTGTCCATCACAGTGCGACTCTTGAGTTGGATCGACTTGTTTGCCGCAACTGCGCTCAACTCCAACTAACTGACCTTACCCACAACACGCTCACCGACGTATGTCATAGTTGAGATTGGGCATCCACCCATGCATACGATCGTCTTGAAATGGCTTTCAACCGCGGGGGGCGATAATGCTGGACGGCGTAGCATGCTGCGACGATGAACTCGGCGAAAATGGAAATAATATGTGGAATTGTGTCTATGAGGTCTATGACAAGTCGTTAGGGGTACCCGTGGAGTGGAGCGATGGAAAATGGTGGAGCTAACGGCGGGTGGCGAGCGAGATTATGTCATGCCCAGGAACAAGCACAAGAGCTCTTCGTCTTCCTTCTTGACAAACCGACCCTTCACTCGTAACCGCGAGTCGGCAAAGTTTTTCCGCACGCCATAGTTGATCTTTCGGCCCCATGTCCGGTGTTTTCTCTTTTCCAGGTACCGCTGAATGCGTTCTGCTCGGTCTTCGGGGGAGTAACTTCCGATGCGCTTGGTGGTCGCGCCAGGGTGATGGTAGTCGCTGTCACACGACGACCACGACGATACGGAGAGTTTTCGCAGCCGGTCTTCAGAGTCGGAGCGAGTTCGCTGGTCCGTTTCATCGTCATCTTCTGTGGAACTGGTGTGAGGGCGGTGGGGGATATGACTGTCCAGGCGCAGGTCTTCCACCTTCATTCGTTTAAGTCCTTGCTCCATCTTGGATAGGGACGCCAGCGACCACGCGTCGTCGACACCGGTCGGGCTGTTCATAAACTTGAACTCTTGTTGAGCAAGGCGGGTGAGGTGGTGGAGGGGCGACGACGACGCAGTTGGCTCGCTAGCTGTGGGGACGACGCGACCACCGTTTGTGTCGGTGAGCTCATACACATGCATGTCGTAATCGTGGAGCATGGAGGCTTTTGTGAGGGCCATCAAAGTTTCAGCGACGTCAATGTCGTCCACGGCATCGACCGCGTGAAGCAACATCATGGCGCTAATGCAATTCGAGGGGGACGCGGCAGGCAGCATCTTGATCCTCGCACTCGACAATGCTCGATGTGAGGAGAAAAAGCTTCTGCTTTTGCGATTTCCATATCACGAGGGGAAGAATGATGGTAGGTCGAAATATCCGGAAGCTCGTGTGAACAAATACCCTCTCTTGATGAATCTTCCATGGTTGTGACATTGCCTGAACGACAGGTGGAATCTTGAGATACCTCACCTCTAGAATATAATGAGCGGAGTAACTATATAATTCAACGACACGACATGAATCTGGTTCACGTTTGGCGAGCCCATACTAAGTGTCATATCAAATTTGGCGAATCGCGGCGGAATGAATGTATGGGGGGGCGAGAAGATCTTCCACGTGTTAACACGTCAGGTTGAACTTGACCAAGTGTTGGCGTTTCTGTTCTCGAAGGGACAACTAAGACCGCTGGACGCGGTCTGGGGATATCGAGAGCTCACGAGTATGGGTACAGGAAGGGGCACAACTTCCTTGACATAAATGGAGCCTCCCGTGACGTCGATTTTGAACAAAGAAGCCGATGTTGGCGACCAGACGGGGTAAAGGCCCGTCGGCTGGGGCCGTTTCTTTTTTCTTGGAACTGTCCTTAAAATAACCTCCGTAAACCTAAGGCCACAAATTCTCAAGCCAAAATGTACGTAAAAAAGAGTTTTGTCATGGGCTGGGTTATGTGACACCATCGAAGGGTCTTGAGAAATGTATTACACGATGATCGAGAATCGGTGCCACAACCAAGACGAGCGGCATCTCGTCAAAGAGATGCAGTGGGAGACATGGTCTAATTAGGAGCTTGAGCAAGGAAGTGCACTGAAGATTCTAGTGACGGGACGAATATCCGACGAAGCCCGCCGAAGCAGAATCGGCGTTACAAAGCCGAGTGTCGAGAAACTGCAGTGACCGTAGAAACCCCACTGTTGCGAGGAAGAGCAGTCTCTTAATTCCATTTCACTGTGCAAGGTGTTCCTTGACAGCATTGTCTTGCAAGGCATTCAATACAACATCCAAACCTGACAGCGTGTTCTTGGTGCACGTTTGTACGGCACAAGACATCCATTCATGCACCCTTACTCCATCGTGAATTGATTGCGAAGATGCTGGAGGTTCATACGAAGATCTAAAGCACGTGCAATGGGATGTAAGGGGTGCGTTTAAGGGATCGCCTCACCTTTATCCTCCAAGTTTGAGTAACGCAGCGCCATCAAACCCTGCAACAGCATATGCTGGAAATCACTCGAGTCGTCACCTTGGTTCGCCACGATATTTTCTTCTCGTTGCACAATCGTGGGATGGAGGTATTTGGCCAATTCGCACAATGCCTTGGGCAGTCCGCACACAATGGCCATTTGCAAACCATACCCATGTCGGAGTTCTGTTGGCCCGCCTTTAAGCTTATATTGAAAATGCAGAATCTCCTACAGGATTTCAGAGTAACAGACAATAAGCAAGTTGGATAAGTACCTTGCCCGTTGTCGATGCTTGTAAGTGGAAATTGCGGCAACTCGGATACAACTTGGTCAACTCTCTCAAACCATGAAAATGAGTTGCAAAGAGACAAAAGGCTCCATTCTTCATCAGTGATTCTGACACACTCCACGCGATTGCAAACCCTTCTTCATTCGATGTTCCCCTGCCCAATTCGTCCACCAGCACCAACGAACGACTTGTGCAGTTGTCCAGGATGAATGCCATCTCTTGCATTTCAACCGTGAAGGTGCTCGAGTTTTCTTGCATGTCATCGGACGTTCCAAATCTTGTAAATACACGATCGCGCAAGGAAATACTTGCCTCCAGTGCAGGAACATAACAGCCAATGTGGGCAAGGATAGTGATCACAGCAACAGTTTTCAAATACGTTGACTTCCCGCTGCAGTTTGGCCCAGTAACAACTAGAAAAAATAGTGAGCATATTGAAACATTTGGGACAGGCAGCACCATTGAAGTTCACCACGAGATCCAAATGCTACAGACCGCAATGAGTGCAATGCGAAGTGTATTCACTACCACACACCGTATCATTCGGAACAAACGGTTGGTCTTGCATCATGTTTTCGATGAGTGGATGGCGCCCTTGTTTGATTGTGATGCTTCCATACTCATTAACATCAGGACACGTATCTACACAAAGTTAGATGATATGCTTGATGGCTCGAATCAAACATGGTTGGTCAGCTGGTGATAGCGCCACAAGATTTGTGAAGCTAAGTTTGGTGAGTTGTAAGTAGGATGCTACATGAACTGACCTCAACAGCAAATCTAATGTTGCAATGCTCTCAACCATCGAATACAAGCAAGCCGCGTGTGGTCGTATTTCATCGAGCAATTTTTGAATGACCCCGTAAGAGAGTGAATAAACTTCTTGAATGCACTCATTTGCTCGGGAATTGAGCGACCTGAATTGTTTCGTCGTACACGCAATACCTGAAAAATTTACAAGTCATCTAAAGTATTCAAGTGGACGTACTTTTGTTGAATTTCACGCACTCTTCAAAGCACGATGGGATCTCTTTGCCCAAATTTGCAATGGACAAGTGATATCCACGACTCGCACTTCCAAACTTTAATGAGATGAACGTTAACGCATGTGGACCATACCTGTAGTTCAATTTTACGTTGAATGCGTATTTTTCTTGATATCCCGTGATTTGATGATCAATTGCGTCCATGATATCAACAAACGTTGATCGAGTAAGGTCCAATTTGCCATCTAAGCCATTCTTGACTGCAAAAGAACCTTGAATTTTCCTGGTGTGGCGAGCGGATTTATTCCAATGTGCGCTGTAGCATTATGAGAGCCACGCTACATGAGCACTCCAAAGTACTTAAGATCAATAACTTTGCGAATGGACTCTTGAATGTGACGGAATTCTTCGTGGTCAAGGCTACATGTCTTGACTCGAGAAATACCTTCATAACACAGCTGTACCTCGAAACTATTGTCTCCAGCAGGGTTGATTTTGTGTCAAGTTGATTCGTAAGTGACTTCAAGCAAGTCTTCAAACGAGGCAAAGCGTCCAAGGTGCTTTTCAACGCAATAATGCTCTGCACACCTTGTTCGAAGACACGATCACTGGCCAATTTTGGAATTATGACAAGCTGAGCCTAGAAAGAAGTCAGTGTTTCGTATTGGTGGTTTGCAGTGCCATGAGTATTTCGAGGTCTGGAAGATCGGGAAGAATATCTCGAACATCAAAAAATGTCGATGGGTTTTCTAGTAGAATCCCAACAACGTGTTGACGTTCTTTGCTAAAGATTCCTCCGTCATGCCCTCACAATTTCGATTGAAAAATACACTACATGGTATGGAGATCAGATATTGGGCGTAAAATCTGTAATACAGTCAGAATCATTTAGTTATTTCGTCGTAGTGTACCATGGTTCGCAATAGGCGCCGTCCAACTGTTGTTTGTGAGTGATCCAATACCGACACTAAGGACTTTCTCGAAGTCAATTCAATGCATGAGTGACGAATCACAAGTATACCTCTCGTGCTGAACCACTTTTCGCACCGCGCATGAGCTCAAGAGAGGAAATCGTATTGTAATCCATCAGTAACACTGGCGACGCAGTGTTGACAACGACCTACACATAGTTTTATATGTTGAGGCAACGAATTGTCATTCCACCTTTATTGTCTTTTGGGCAATGTAGACCCCTTGCATGAACTCAATATATTTCACCATGCATGCAACTGATCCCATGACGATGTAGTTCTAGAAGTTCACGATTAGGTTTGAATAAACATTCAATATCAACCTTGAGAAGGCTCATGTCAAGGCAATTCATGGCGATCCGTTTCAAATCGTCGGCCCCTTTCGATTGACTGCTAGGAGGTTAGTGCCGCATATAAATCATCTCAAAAACTTACTCGTAGTACTTTCGTGCAATGGGAACAATGCGGCACATGCTGTTCTTGAAGTGTTTTCGTATTTCTTGGTGCATGCTTCTTGTCTTGTTCGTCTCAACGAGAAGAATCTCGTCGGGCTGCTCTGGTTAGGAGCATGGAATGTAGGTTGATTGGCATTTGTACCTGATATGAATCAAGAAGAGTTATCGTCTCCATGAAAGTATGAGTGTCCACCATGGTCGAAATCAGCAACTCATGAGGTGCGGATACGTCAATTCCAGTGATTCCGACTTCTCTGCACTTCCCTTCCGCTACAACAGCAATGAACGTTCGCCGCAACGCTCGACTTGCTGTTGCCACGCGTGGGGTCTTTGCCTTCCTCGTCGATGATTCCTCATCCATGTCGACCCGCACGGTTGTGGAGAATTCATTCGTGGATGGGCGGTGCATGGATTTCCTGGCGTCGTCGTTTCAAATTTGAAAATGACAAGATTTCGCGCGCTTTCGAGCTGCAAATTAATATATACATATTTGTATTGCACTTTTTCAACATGAATACAATGAAATGTACGGATAATCGGTTTTCCGGATGTTTACATAAGCAGAGCAAGGCTTCAACCCGAAACGACGAGTACGCTGAAGATCCACATGAACCAATCACGTGCGAGTAATCACCTCTATCAATCAATATTGTATTCACACAGGTGACCTCGTTCTTCAAGATACACCAAGGCACACTTGACTTTAGTCGACCCGTCCATGATCCTCTCGTTTGTACGCCGCCATGGTGTGCGCCATGCAACGTCCAGCTCTCGACTGGGGGCACTTCGCTCTACTCTCGCCAGTAAAGGCAACGACGTGAACAGTCGCCGCTTTGAAAATGAGAGCTACTACGCAGACCTGCGCAAGCCTGTACTCGAAGCGACGACAATCAACCCTGAAACTTACACGTCGACAGAGTTTTACGAGCGTGAACAGGAGCTTTTGTTTGCCAAGAGCTGGCAGGTCGTCGGGTACACCGAGGTGTGTGGCCTCTGCACATCGCGTTCAGTGCTCACGCTGTGTGTAGAAACTTCGGCAACCAGGGGACACGATCGTTGGCACAGCAGCTGGGCAGCCCGTTCTTGTGACGCGAGGAAAAGACAACGTGATTCGTGGATTCTACAACGTCTGCCGCCACCGTGGGGCGCAATTGGTGACGAAGAACGGACGGTTCCCAGTGATCAGTTGCCCGTATCACCGATGGGGGTATGCATTGGACGGGCGACTTATCGCTACTCCCATGTTCAAAGGGGACGGCGTGTCAGATAACCTGCTTCCACCCGACGAGCACAAACCTTCGGACGCGGTGAAAGAGGTGATGATTGTTCTCCCGTGGTGACACACCTTCACCACATCATCCAAGGCTTTCTCCACGGAATGCGTCAAAAACTTCAACAAGAAGGACTACGGCTTGCTCCCAGTTCGCATCGACACATTTGGTCCGTTCGTGTACGCAAACGTCAGCGGGGACGCGCCCCCGCTGCGAACGTACTTGGGAGACGTCACGCAGTCCCTCCACGAATATCCCTTTGACGAGCTCGTGTCGTTCAAGAGCACGACCGTCTCGGTCAAGTGCAACTGGAAACTGCTCGCAGAAAACTTCATGGAGTACTACCATCTCCCCGCCGTCCATCCGCAGCTGTGTGATGTGTCCGGAGTCGATGACCACCACCGTGCGCAGGTGAGCTCGTCGCTCGGATTTCGTTGACCAACACAGTCATTTTTGGCCACAGGGCACTGGGAGCTACATTGGGTTTGTCACGTCACCGTTGACAAACGGCGGTACCCCCCTCGATCTCAACTTGCTCCCTCCGATGCCTGGTCTAACTGGAGCGAACAAAGTCACGGCGTGGTTCCACCACTACTTTCCCAATGCATTCTACTTTTTGCTACCGCATGGGCTTTTCACCGTCATTTTAGAGCCCACCAGTACGGATTGTGCGATGCGTTCCCATAACATGGACGCTTATGGTAGGCCCGACGACGACGGTCGAGCACGCAGAGCTGTTTGTGCACCCGAGTGTGTACGACGTGCCAGGTATACACTGTGCTTGTTGTAGCACCAACGAATGACTGGTTTAGGTCACAAGGAAAAGCTGGACAACATGTGGGCGTTCTATGACCGGACCAACAACGAGGACTTTGCGATCTGCGAGCGTGTCCAGGTTGGGGTCAAAGCCACGGCGTACCAAGGCGGGCGCATGACGTTTCGGTTTGAAGAGACGATTCACCGATTTCAAAACATGGTGGCCGACTACATGACGTCCAAGCCGTCCATTCCCCCGGGCGACGCGTCCCCGCCATACGAGTTTGAGCGAAATCACGAAAAGGCACCTAGTGCATGACAAGATGACACAGTATGACTCGAATGGCACATCACAATGGCGAACTTGGCGCTCGTTGCAGGAAGTGCCAAGTTAACGGAAATATCGACCCATCTCGCATGTGTTGGGCATGATCGAATGAAAGTGACCTCCCTGGTTGCGTGTCAACACCCGGCTCGAAGGTTCTACCGCTGCTGGATATGCTGCGTTCGTGTCGTTGGCCGGAGACACGGCACGAAGCAACCAGCCTAGTCCAGAGAGCATGAACACTTTGCAAGGCCAGACGAAGTGGAGGCGGAGAAGGGCGGTCAAAATCCCCTCCATTCCCGTGTCCTCCGAGTGCAGGTCGAATGTTGGTCCAATCTGCAGAGCGCACGAGAACCCGCCACTCCACTTCATCCTGCCACTGCATCGAGTGTGCAACAGCACTTCACACAAGGGATCGTACCGGTTGACGACGCAAACCTTGCCAGGACCGATACGCATAACACCTGCCGAGATCGTCGCGTCCATGCGTTGTTGCGGGTCACCATATTGGTGTCGTGTCTGTGTGCACGAAGTGTACGTCGATTCCACCCACGCCTTGTCTAGGTGCTGAAGAACCTTTCGGTCCCACCAAGCTCTTCATGTTGACAGGCCGCACGGCGAGCAAGGCGGCACGGATAAAAAATCGTTAAATAAGCTATAGAGATAAGCCACACGACGGAAGTCGACGGCGGTGGATTCAGCACGTCTCATCCACGTCCATGGCCTCGTCATCGGTTTCGTTGTCAGAGTCCATGCTGGCAACAAAGCAACAAGCCAAATCCGTGTACACGTAGTGCTGCATGACTTCAATGGCGAGTGGGCTGAGGGACTTGACGTCAACTGCGGCGTCGGCGGTGTGTCCCAGCACATCCAGCCACTGGGGTTCGTAGGCCGACACGATGCACATCATTTCTTCAAGATCATCTTGAGGGAGCTGCCTGACTTGATGGACAAGGAATTCGAGCTCGTCGTCCGAGGGCGACACCTCGTATGCGTCGCAGACAACGGGTTGCGGAATGCACGACAGATACGACTCAACTTGCATGGAGCTCATGGTGGTGGGGATCAGTGGGTTCGAGAGGACAGAATGTCAAATGGCGACCCATTGCGATAAGAGGTTGCAGCTCCATTTCCGACAGCGATCGAGTCGTTGACACGCACGTTCTCATCACGGATGCATCGGTGTTCCCACGTCATCGGGAATCTTCTTGTTCGGGAGGGTTGAGGCATCAGCCGTTGTATACAAACTCCTAGTATAAGTATGTTTTCAATCTACTTTTAATAGCATTAATTTTCATTACAAACAACAAGCTATATTTAAAACTCTTCATAAAAGCGTTTTTGTATTTTCTCGCTGTGTTGGTGTGAGTAAAGGGCGCCTGGACTACGTTAAACCTTTTTGTCGTTCATCCGGTGAATTAAGCAGCGCCGTTTAATGTGGAAGTCGGGGCAACGAACATAAAAACGCGTTACGTTTTACTCCTGATGACGTCAAACGTGAGTTCTACAACCGTGGGCCACCAATCGTGCATGAGACAGACTCCGTATCCGCGACGTCACTTCATTGGCTGAAATTGTTTGATTTTCAATCCGATGTTCTGGATACAACGCTGGTATTCTTCTCGAACGTTGTCCACAACCGGTGAGAAACGTTTGATGCTTTACCAGGTCGCTCTGCAGCTGATATTGTATCTTGGTGCTGGCAGGGTTGGGGAGGCGCTTGTTCCCCAACACGTACGCTTTGCTGAGTCCCGTAGAATGATACCCTAGATGCGAGGGAGCTCAAGGATGTGTGAATTCTGTGGCTTGAATGGCGTCCATGGGAATTACCAAAACAGCTGGGATAAACCAACACTCCACATCCAATCGCGACATGGTGTCCTTAAAGGCAGGTGTACATATCGTCAAGCACCCGCCAATGTCACAACTGCGGTGGGACAAACCTTTTTCCAACAGAGGTCGGCGTCCCGTACGCGTGTTGGTCGTTGACCATCACTCATGTTTGACCAAGAGCCATCGCAACAGCCCGTGGAGGGAAGTTGACCTGAAGAACGTTGTGAAAAGGTCGATGGAATTTGCAGGCCATTGCGGTCGGAGTACTCGTCATTGTCGAATTCACCATGTCCACTCAGTTTCAAATGCTGCCAGGAAGCCACCACGTCCGTACCTCCACCCCCTCGATGAAGCACCTCCTCCTTGAGAGACTCACGCACCGCATCACGGCCTTGTCCAGCGAAGCGCTCGAGGGAATGTTACAGATCGTGGCGTACTACGAGCCTCGATGGATTCTCGTGCATGGCCAAAACGAGGAGCTCAATTTGGATCTCACGGCATTGCAAGCTGACACGTTGCACGCTCTCGAGCAATACGTCGCTTCTGTGATCCGATAAACACCTTTGACAAGCCTTCCTTCGACGAAACGAGATAGTTGCTGACGGCAGCTACCACCAACGGGCAGCCGTTCAGCAGCTCGATCCTGTGGCAAGATTTCCCGCCCCTCCGATGGCGCGCCATTGCAACTGAAACACGGCACCAAGGTGCAAACCAATGTCGGAGTCGCGTTGGCCCTATTTTTAATGCATGATATATCGTTGTAACGTGAAATGCTGGTGGCATGACGGGGGTGATGGGGGTGGATCTATTTTGAGGCGGTGCGTGCACGGCACTGGCCAGCGGCGGCGCCGCCCAGATCGAGGACTCCTTCTCGTCCTGGGTCCATCTTCAACCGTCAACCACTTCGAACGTCCTTCTGTTTGTGCCGCCCCACCCACATTCGATTTCGACACCCATGAGCGCCCACTTCCGCGCATCCCCCGACTCTAGTCCTGCCCGAGGAGGCGCGGCGCCGGTGCTCATCGAGTTTGTCCCGAACAAGCTGTACTACACCTCGGTGAGTGCCCTGCCCAAGTCGACCGAAGACATGCTGTATTTTTCCATCGACAACCAGCTCATCTACTGGAACTACTGTCTCGACTTCGGCCCGCTCAACATTGGCCACGTCTTCCGCTTCCACGACATTGTCCAAGATGCGTTCGCCCAAGCCGCCCGCGTCAGCGCCACCACCAAAGTGTGTTTGTTTTCGAGCACCAACGGCCAGCGCCGCGCCAACGCTGTGTGCCTCCTCGGGTGCTGGGGCATCCTATTCCACGGCATGACGGCGGCGGCGGCGTGGGCGCCGTTCTCGGACCTCCGATTTCCTCCGTTTCACGACGCGACTGACTTTGAATGCACGTACGATCTCAGCATCAAGAATTGCCTCGATGGCCTCGAGAAAGCCAAGGCAAACCAGTACATTAACACAGCAACGTTCAACGTGGACGAGTACCAGTTCTACGAAAAGGTCGAGAACGGCGACTTGAGCTGGGTCTCGCCAAAGTTTATCGCGTTCGCGGGCCCGCACAACAAATTTTCCAACAAGAACGGCCAGATCACCCTCACTCCCGAGCACTACGTCCCGTACTTCAAAAAGATGAATGTCACGCTCGTCGTGCGGCTCAATGACAAGTGCTACGACCGCAACCGGTTCGTGTCGGCCGGGATCGACCACTTGGATTTGTACTATCCCGATGGCACCAACGCGCCGATGCACATCCTCAAGCAGTTCATCGAAGCGTCCGAGCGAACGCCGGGGGCTGTCGCGGTGCATTGCAAGGCTGGCCTTGGGCGCACCGGCACGTGCATCGGGTGCTACATGATGAAGCACGAGCAGTTCACGGCGCGCGAAGTCATCGGATGGCTGCGCCTGTGTCGCCCTGGCAGTGTCATCGGCCCGCAACAGGACTTCATGGAGGAGGTCCAGGACTTCATGCGGAGCGCGGTCGACTTGCCAACCGAGGAAATGGACGACAAGGCCGACGTCGCGGCGGCGCACAACTCACCGCTCAAGCACAAATCGGAGGGCAGCATCATGACGAGCATGAAGAAGGGCGCGCTGACGCTGCTTATGCCAGGGAAAACCGTCGGCCGTCCTGCCCCCAACAAGAAGATGACAATCAATCCCCAAGGGGACTACCTGGTCGCGCAGAAACAGTCCAACAGCCCGCCCCAGAGCCCCGTTCGCAGTCCGCCCAAGTCCCCTCTCCGCATCCGATAGACACTAGGTTAGCCAGCGCTTTGAACACATGCCTACCTCCTCTTTTCTGCCTCAGGTTGGTGTGCTAATTATGACGAACGGCGGCAGCATGGGGAAGTTACCAGATCGATTGAAACGGCCCAAGTGTCAGGCGCGCGATGCCGCCGCCGCCGCTGCCAAGTCTGGCCAAGAAACCCCAACCAGCCCTACACCCAGTGGCCCCCCTTCTCGGAACGATGCCCCCAAACGGGTCGCGCCTCCACTTCTTCAAAGCAAAACCCCACCGCAGCAAGTACGACCACAGCCACGACTTTGACATCAAGCCAGGGACACCCGAGCCCGCATCTCATCCGAACGGGGGGATGTATGCGTCAACTCGAAGCATTGTCGACATCTTGTCGGACGACGGGCGCGGCGACAGCACGGACGACAGCAGGACCGGGAGACTCATTGCTCCTGGATCGACCACGATCATCACGACGGACAAGAGTCTGCCGCTGTCAAAGGAACTTGTCGCGCTCAAGTCCATCCAAGGCCGCATTGACAACGTATTGCAGCCCCCATGTGCTGCGTGTCCGATCCTAACGACGGCTCGACCATGTCAACTTAGGTCATGCATGCTTTCGACGAGTCGATGGCCAAGGCTTCCACGTTTGACTCGACCGATACGTTGACCCCCTTGACTTGGAAAGTTGGCGAAATCCTCATGGCGACGCACGAAAGCCTCACGATGGCGTCCGGGTTCAACGAGCGGCTCTTCACCAAGGTGCAGTTGGCTGCACATCGCTTGCCCTCACGATCGTCGTATCTAGGACATGGACGAAGTCAAAATTCTCATGTCGCGCGACTCGCAGTCCGTTGTAGACGACTGGGCAACGGAGAGCACCCCTGTGATGAGGAAACTCACCAACTTGTTCCGCCAGACCGTGAAAACACTCCAGGACATGCAAGCAGGCGATACAGCCAATATCAGGGGCCACATGAGTGCGAGTTCGGCCGCAGTGCCGAGTACCAAGATTGTGCACGCCCCAACTGCCACCGTGTCCGAGGACGCCGCCAAGTTAGTTCAGCGCCTCCAGAACGAAAAAGCCATCTTGCTGGGCCAGCTCCAGGAAACGTCCAACATGTACACGTCGATCGCGGAAGTTGTCAAGGAGCGCGAGGACGAGGCGAAGCGGCTCAAGACGCTGCTACATGGCAAAGTCGACGAGATCACTCGGCTCAAGCACGAGATTTTCGTCCTGAACAACGAAGAAGGCAAGCGAGAGGAGCAAGAGCGGACGGTGGCCCATTGGAAGGAAAAGTACATGACGCTATTCAGTCTCCACCAGACTCTCGAGACCAAGGAGCGTGATGCCACGATCAAGGCAACTGGTACTCCTAATCTCGCTGTACGCCATCGATTTCACATGGCGGACCGGTTCGTAGCCTTGGCCGCACAAGTCCTCGACTTGACGGAGCGGGAAGCTCAAGCCCAGTCACTGCTCCAGGAAAACCAGGAGCTGCTGTCAAAAGCGCACGACGACATCGCGGACAAGGCGGAAGAATTGGCTCGCAGACAAAGTGTCCAGCTGCATGGCATTGCGCACGAATACGAGCACGAAATCCGAGACTTGAAGGCCAAGCTGAAAGAGATCAAAGCCCAGTTGGGCGAGTCCCAAATACAGCACAAGAAAGCGCTCGACCGGCAGCGCACCGAGATGAAAAAACACTTTGACAGTGTCCTTGCCGCAGGGCATCATGGATTCACGGAGCGTCATTTGCACGTGGACAACGACTTGCTTCGCAGTCGCAACGGCAGCATGCCTGTGGCCCATGCAAACACTTCGTCGCTGGTGATGATCCAGCACCACGAGCCGCAGCAGCACGCTCCCTTGGAAGGACATGGCATGCATGATGACGACGAGAACGACGCGAACATGGAAGATTCCGACGCGGCCGACGACGATTCGGGAGGTCATGGACCGAATATTAGCGACGACGACGACGACTTTGACGAACGGGAAGTCCACGATCAAGTCGCGGGGGTGGCAGATTGTGCGCCGCTGCCAGGCGACGACCCCAACCTGATGCCGCAGCAATTGCCGCCCCAGACCGGGGGGATGCCTCGGTCTCGGCGCCAAAGCGTCCAAGAACAAACCATTCACAAGCACTTGAGCGGATTGATTAACAAAGCGTTCGCGGAAGGCTCCGTAGCGCAAGCGATGGCGTCTGTGGTGCCCCCGTCGGAGATGCTGTCATCGGCTGCGGCAACGCGACGTACGGCTGTCCATCGACACACAGTTTGATACCCCTCGTTGGTGATCGTAGGTAAATCAATCATGATGGCAGGCCCAAAGGGGGTCCCAGTGCAGGTTGAGGTGCCGGAAGGCGTAACTTTGGACGACGATCCTGCCGGGCAAGGCAAAATCGTGGGTGAATCAAAAAGCCGTCGCGTTAGCTTGAAGGGCAGTTTGTCGGCGCACGACTTGGCGTCGGGGTTGGCTCAACAGATCACGCCGGAGCTGGGCGACGCCGAAGCCGCATTCAATGCATCCATGCAGGCCATGGATAAGCTCAGCCTCACGGGCGCCATCGAGTCCAGCCCCGACATGACACTGGACGACCGGATCCACCAGCTCCAGCTGCAGTTTGGGGCGGAAAAAGCCATTTTAAAACGCAAGTTCATCGACTCGATGTGCCTCTTTCGGCACCAAATGATCGACCAGTACGACAAGAAAGCAACCGAGCTGATGCGGAAACACCGCGCAGAAGTGATTCGGATCGCGACGGTCGCCGAAACCAAGTACGGCAAGCTCCTCGACGAGAAGGACGATCTGCTCCGCGAAGCCAAACGCACGATCAAGTCGCTGTACAAGAGCTTGGCTGTGAACTCCACGGACACCAAGACGGTACCCCCCGTCGTTCGTGTCATGGGGTGGCCTTTTCACCTCCTTGAGAACTAGGCGGAGTCGAAGCCCCACCAAGTGTCCAAAGTCAAGCAAGTCCTCAAGTCAACTTGGTCGCTTGTGTCTGCAAAACGCATGAGCAAGCGGCTCATGTCGCTGCATCAAGCCGAACTTGCTCAACTGTGCAAACCCGACTACACGCCGACCGACAGCGACGTGGCCCCGGAACGATTTGAGCCGCCTCCAAGCCCAGCGCCATCATCGACGCCATCGAGGACACCAACCCCCCAAACGCTCTCGGAAGAACCATACGACGCTTCGTCACCAGTACAGGTCATGCCGCCGTCGCAACCATCAACAACTCCCGTCCCGAAGACTCCCTTGCCATCACGAACACCATCTCCATTTCCCACTTCGACACCTGCAGAACCTGAAGAACCCCCTTCAGCGCTCCATGTGGACATCTCATTGCCGGATCCCCAACCACCCCCGCCCCAGCTGCGTATGCTGGAACCTCGACAGATGGAGCCTCGTCGGACAAATTACTCGAACGCTCCGCAGGACAGCGGAGAAGTTGTGGCTGTTGCGACGGCGCGCCCAAGCATGCGAAACTCGAGCACGCAAGTGTGCGAAGCGGACTGGCACCCTGAGCTCGCAGTCGACGACGTCAGCGACGGGTTTGCTGGCCACACAACGCTTTCGAATTACATCTTGGAGGGTACAGGGCTGCACAAAGATGTAGACGTGCATCGCCCTGGTAACCGAATACCGCATTCGCCAGTGCATCATCGTCAAGACGCGTCGAGCAATCGCGGCTCATCGATAATGCACTCGATGCCGTCCGACGACATGGTCGATTCAATGCTACACTTGCCTCGGTCCGTTTTGAGCCACCACTACAACGCCCGTAACAGCATGTACGCGCCGCCTCCTGTGGCCAAGGTGCCGAGTCGCCAAGCGGTCCAGCACTTGATTGAAAACTATGCCAATACCCTTACGAGTTTGCGGGAAAACATCAACTGGAACAAATGGCAGTGCGTGCTCAAATGCCTCGGGCTCAAGCGCATGGAAGACGTCCTCAAGCTCGACATGGACACTTCCGCGACCATCGACCATGCCCTCATTCGCTTGCGTCGCCGTTTTGCCACGAAGCGCGCCGCCTTCTCCCGCACCCACGAGACCCTGCAAGCCCAACAACACAAAGCGTGGGAGCACTGCATGGACGCGTTCGTGTGCTACAACTCGATGGGTGCCGACATTCCGACAGCTCCATCGCAGCACCATGCTCCTATTGTACGTCCATATCGTTCGTTGGTCACGTTTATAGCTCACACGTGGCAATGTAGGATGTTCGAGGCACATCCATGATCATAATGGACAGTCTTTACGACAGCCCCGCCACGACAAGTCCTCGTGGCCAGGGCAAGTTCTCCACTCAACCGCGGACTGCTCCGTCACCGCAACCCCATCTCGGGGCGACGACGAGTTGTACTGACCAATTGCAAAGATGCAGAACGTCGTCCGTGCCTTCGAAAGGGCGGCTGGACCCCGCTACAACCAAGCGGATCCTGACATTGGCATCGTTGGCCCCCACGGACATTTCGGCGATGGCTCTGGGCGACCGGCAACGGTACGACTTGGACTTGATGGCCAAGTTGACTAAGTCAACAAGCAGGTACATGGTCGAAGTCAATTCCACCACACAAACTCCCCCCCGCGAACCCCCTACGCCGCCACCACAATCAGAGCAAACACATACGACGGCTGCGTCATTGCCCAACTCATCACGAGGCGGGAAACTTCAAATGCAGTTTGAGCCGACACCAACTACAACGATCAAGGGCATCCCGTCGCAGTCGCCATTCATGCGACGGAAGGCACTCGAGTCGCTCCAAAAGCGCATGCTCCATACCAAGCAGCAATATGCCGAGAGCTCGTGTAGAAGTGGGGGCACTGCGTTGGACCAGACAGGGCGTCAGCTTCAGCTACTGCACATGCCTCCCCAGCCGACAATTCCTCCCCACCACGTCCACCATTCGATGCCTCATTAACGTCCTAACCGAGGTTTCTACCCCTCTACTCCACAAGTAGGGGGCTTCCAGTGGAAGCCATACTCTGGCTCATAAGGTTCCAACCCCGTGAGAGTTCTCTGGCCATTCTTTAGACATAAATACTGTTCATGACGGAAGACAGTTTGGGCGACGATTTGGGGGACTCGGGTCGGACGGATCGTGGAAAGGAAAGCCCGCGTTGCTGTCGGATCGGCAAAATCGACGGCTCACACGCAAGGACGAGATGGTCGTAGGGAGTATGTGTCCGAGCGGGCCCGTCGGACTTGCCGTCGTCACCACTAGAGTTCGTCTGGTGCGCGTCCTTTGCCACGTCCAAGATTGAATAAAAGTCGGTCCCTGGCATCGCGTCGAGGAGGTATTCCACGTCCGGTCGAGCTGACTCGTCCACTTCGACAAAGTGGTCGTCATCACATTCGTCAAACGATATATAATCCAAGACTTGACCATCCGAGGCCATGGCGAACCCGACCTCCTCCATGTTGGGGACACCCAAGCGCGGGCCCAAGGCAAGCTGCGGCTTCGGCGGGCCGTGCAAGTATCGATACATGTGATCGTCGAGGAATCGAGGCGGGGGCGGGGCAAAGCTGGTCTTTGTCATGGCCAGCGGTGGTTGTGGCGCAGATGGAAACGTGACGTTAGTTAGCTCCAGCGATGGTGAAGGCTGTTTGACTGCTGATGGTTTCTTGATGGCATGGCTGCGCTTTTTGGGCGCGGTCAGAGAGTCAGTCTTCCGCGGGAAAAGCCCAGCTTTTGCAGCACGTTCGGTCATTAGCAGGTTGTCCTCCCGGCGTTCCTTCTCCATGCGATCAAAGTGTTTCTGAGCATGACTGCGAGTCTGCACCGTTGTGCGCGTTTGGACGAGTCGCGCGATTCGTCGCCAGTCCTTGCCATACAGCTCGATGCCTTGAAGGAACAGTCTGTGCTCGTGGTCGGACCAACGACCGCCGTTGGGTGGGACTTTGACTCGAAGCGTGGCCGTGCTGCTGCTGGTTGCAATAACTCCTTTAAGTTTGCCTTGCTGGGGCATATCCTTCAAGTGAATCTGCATCATTTCGACCAGTCAGACACCAATGCGAGTAATGGACGTCCTTTGCCGCCCTAAATGCACGTCGGCCGTCCTCAAACGTGGAGCACTTTCACGTCCAAGGGGTGCCAGTGGTGGCAATTTGCACACTACCGAGTGGGCTACAACCTTTTGACCGTGTGCAGCGTGGATGCAATTGTTCCAATTACACCGCGGTTGCACCATTCGAAGGCTAACTCCCTGAGTAACCCCTGGCATCCTCAGTAGCGTCGGCCCCCATTGGCTTGGCCACGCCGCCTTGGTTTTTCGAATCTTGCGCGAAAGGGCACGTCCGGATAAATGGCGGCATCCGGCTTGCATTCGGATAATGGGAGCATCCGGATATGGCCCTCGCGGCATTTGATTGGTACGTGGAATTGCACCGCGCTAACCAACAATCGATCGATTGCACGACACACTTGTGAAGGCCACGACCGCGATGTCCCTCGACGAAGGCGCCCAGGTAAGTGCCCGCAAGACGACACGGCAATGGCTGAGCAATTGCCTCACACGTCAACGTAGATCCGCGTGAAGTTCGTGACCAAAAACCCGGCGATCCGTGTCACCGAGACGCCGTTCGCTGTCCCGATCAAACTCGCCAGAGCCGGCTTGTCCCAAGTTGTCAACCACTTGCTCAACACGACAGCTCCGAAACCTTTTGACTTTCTTATTGACAACACATTTCTGCGCACGACGCTGGAGAAATACGTGGTGACAAACCACCTGACGGACGAAGCCGTGCTTACCCTCGAGTACGTCGAAGCTCATTTGGAACCCGAGGAATCACAGTCCCAGAACCACCCGGACTGGATCAGCGCAGTCAGTAGCTTCAACGAGTACGTAGATTTGCCTTGACATTACCGATGCTTACCTCACGAAATCTGGCTACGACAGTATCGTCGTCACGGGCTGTTACGATGGCATCCTCCGTGTGTTTGCAGCGTCGGGGGAACTGCTCGGGTCGGCCAAAGGTACGACCAGTACTTTGAAAAGAGTCTGCTCTGTGGACCGTGACGCTATCGTGTAGCTCACGACAGTGTGATCAAATCGATATCGATTCACCAAAACGTAATTGTGACCGGCAGTAAGGACCTGAAGGCGAACGTCTGGACGTGGGATGCTACAAACAAGGCGCTGACGCTGGTCGGCGTTAACGTCGGACATGCGAACAGCGTGGATGCAGTAGCTGTATACGACCAAACGGTGCACCGTATCCTGGAGCGAATACGACGAACTAACACTGCTACAACCATAGGTCGTGACTGGCAGCTGGGACAACACAGTGCGCGTGTGGTCGGTGCCTGGCGAATCCTCTCAGGACGTCGATGACGATGTTGCTGTGACGAAGAGGCAAAAGACCAATTCGAAAGTCGCCAAGGCCAAAGTGACCGAACAGCAAGCGTCCACTATTCTCCCGGGGTAGACAGCACAGCATCATTGCGTGGCGGAAGCTGAGCTTTATCATGGCTAGACACACGGCTGCTGTGCTCGCTGTGGCCGTGGATCCGCATCAAGCACATTTTCTGTACTCTGGGTCTATGGATCGATCCATCAAGCTGTGGGACCTCACCACCGAACGATGTACTCAAACGATGGTTCGTAGCTGCACATGAATGCTATCCATGGCTAATATTTGTCGTAGACTGGCAGCAGCACTCTCAGCGACATCAGCGTGTCGACAAATGGCACGATTCTCAGCGCCCACCCTGACAACCACATTCGTCTATGGGATCCCCGCGCCGCCAAGGCGGGCACAACGTTGGTCCAAGCAACGTTTTCGTCGCACAAGCAGTGGGTCAGCGCTGTGGAATGGTCGCCGTCGCACGCACATCACTTTGTCTCTGCTGGATACGATGGAAGTGTGAAACTCTGGGACTCCCGCAGCTCGATCCCGCTCTTCACGCTGGCGGCACACACCGGCAAGGCTCTGGATGTCGCCTGGCTACCGAATCCCAAGCCAGCATTCGTCAGCGGAGGGGAGGACTGCCAGCTCAAGTTTTACGCGACCACCGCATAATTCCATTCTGTTTCATATTTTGCCCGTGTCAAATCTTTGCTTGGTTAAATGTTCACACGAACGTGCTGACCAATACATGTGATTTTGTTGGTCAAATATTAGCCAATCCAAGGACAACCAGGCGCAACGTGAATATGGATTGGCTGAAATATGGAGGTCAAGCCCTCAGTGCGCGTATAGTTGCTGTATAGAGTGCGACTGTTCCCCTGTAGATCAATATTTTACCCAATCATGTTCGATTATTCCGATGAATCCTCGTGGATTGGACGAAATGACCTTCATTCACATAGCAAAAGAGTGGGCACAACGCCATTTTTGAAACAACGGCGATGAGCTCCCCAGCACTGCCTCTTGTCCCTGCCGTTGAAGAAGAAAAGCCCAGTGCCGCGCCGCCTGCCGCGCCTGCGGATGCTTTCTCAACAGGTGTGTAAATGCGTGAGCTTAATCTAGATCTTATGCACGTTTGTGGCTCAGAGGAAATCTCGCATTCGTTGGATTATATCATGGCAATGGGACAAGGTCTCGACGCCGACAAAGAGTACACTGCGACCTTGGATGTACGTTGTCTTCCTTTACCATGGGGTAAGGTGTGATCACATCTGTGTGTTGATGATCAGATTGTCCGATCGAACCCGAACTCGCACTTGTACTCTGCTGTCAGCTTTGAAGAGCTCAACTTGTACGTCCCGAACCATGCGCTGGTGGAAACTGAATCATGTTCGCTCACTAGACCGGAAAACCTCCTAAAAGGTGTCTACGCCATGAAGTTTGCGAAGCCTTCGAAGATTCAAACTGTTGCGCTCCCCATGATCTTGACAGAGTATGCAATTTTCAAGCAAGCCCACATGGATTCTCAAACCTGCCCGTCGTGAATGTAGACCCCCCGAGAACTTGATTGGACAAGCCCAAAGTGGCAGTGGCAAAACGGCTACATTTGTCCTCGGCATGCTGTACCGTGCCACGAAAGACACGACGAAGCGCGTACAGTCGCTGTGTTTGGCGCCGACACGTGAACTAGCTCGTCAAATTATGGCTGTCGTGACGGTCATGGGGTCGTTCTGTGGCATTGAAACATTTCTTGCTATTCCCGGAAACGAAGTCGAAAAGGGCCAGCATATTCATGCCCAAATTGTGGTCGGGACGCCCGGCCGCGTCGAGTCCCTCGTGAAGAAGCGCACGCTCGACCTGTCCAACCTCAAAGTACGACCACGATCGCTCGATAGTGCGCCTTTTTGCACGAATTTTGTGTTTCAATTCACTCTCGCAATTTGTCGAGATTGTCATGGTTTCTTGACAACTGTTCAACAAGTTTTTTCATTTGCTAACCGTGGTTTTCGTAGATCTTTGTATTGGACGAGGCCGATGTCATGATTGACGAAAGCGGTATGCGTGACCGGTCGCTGGCCATCAAAAAGTACGACGTTTTGTTGTGCTCCAGTGATTCACCGGTTTGTCCCTCAGAATGATCAAGAATCCGGCGTGCCAGATCTTGCTGTTTTCCGCCACATACGCCGACGATGTGCGTGAGTTTGCCGAGAAGATGGTGCCGAACCACAACACAATTCTGGTCAAGAAGGAGCGACTGTCGCTCGACGAAATCAAACAATTTTGGATCGATTGCAAGAGCCAAGCGCACAAGGCAGAGGTCTTGAGCGACCTTTTTGGGCTGCTCAACGTTGGCAAGAGCGTCATTTTCGTTCAAGCGCGTGAAACTGCCAAGAAGGTGACGGCCCTGATGCGTGAAAAGGGCCACAAGGTCGGTATATTACACGGCGCCGACATGGCCAAGGAAGTTCGGGACCAAGTGCTCGATGACTTCCGACTCGGAACGACCAAGGTCCTGATCACTACCAACGTACGTCTCTTTCACACACACACGAACCAATTCGCGTTTTATACATGGTGATGGGAGTAGGTGCTCGCGCGTGGGATTGATGTGCTTGGAGTGTCCCTCGTGATCAACTACGATATCCCTGTGAACCGAGAAGGCCAACCGGTACGATTTTACCTTCAGACGCGTTGCATGGTTTGAGAGCGATTCAACATTTGGTAGGATCCCGAAACGTATTTGCATCGCATCGGGCGCACGGGTCGATTTGGCCGCAAGGGTGCCGCCATCAACTTTGTTTGCGACATCAAGTCGAAGATGGATCTCGCGTTCATTGAAAACTATTACCAGAAAAAGATCGAGGAAGCTCCCGTCGACGACTTGGAAGCATTGGAAAAGATGTTGGCCTGGACCTAACTTCACCCGCTACGAGCAACATCGTTTGTCTCTGATATTCCAGTGTTTTACTACGGCTGCACTTGCGACGCATATTCTTTAACTCTCGCCGATTGTGGACCTGCTGCGCTAATAACCCAAGTATTCTGCACACGTTACGACGCGCGGGACATCCTTGACACACTGGAATCACTCGTTCATGGACTGCGCATGCATGGATGACATTGTGAATTAAGCGCGAAATTTGAAGGGCTGGAAAGGTATTCCATTTACAACTCGAAGCGTTTTTGTCGTTGGAGGTGAGCCCTACTTCACGTAGAGGCGATCGGATTCGTCTATCGCAACATCGTTGCCGCTCATATCTCGATGCTGCATGAACCCTTTGTCGTCGAATTGCCAGAGCTCGTTGCCATGGCATCGGAACCATTGGCCGTCCGAGATGCGCTGGTATTCGTAGGTAAATCGTACGGCGATGCGGTTGTTGTCATGGCACCACAGGTTCTTCACCAGCGTGTAGTTGGTCTCGAGAGCCCACTTCGATCGAAGGAAGGCGACGACAGCCTCACGTCCAACAAAAATCTGGTCGCGGTTGCGCCACACCGTGTCGGGAGTGTATGCGAGAGACACCCGTTCGGCATCGCGAGAGTTCCACGCGTCTTCAGCGGCCTTGACCTTCTGCAGCGCCGTCTCGGCTGTGAACGGGGGGAACGGGGCGCGTGGCGCCTCATTGTGGGCGGCAAAGCCTTCCAATGGACCTTTCGCCGTTTCAAGCGTGTACAGCGTCGACTTGGCGCTTTGGTTGAGCTTGTTCAACGACGAAAGGGAGCTCCACAGGGCCTTCTTCTGTGCCATGATGTCTAAGATGTGCTTTCGCCGTGCGATGTTGGGTTGTGCCGAGATGGACGAACCGCTCGCGGTCCGATCTTGGATGTGATAGCGTCATAACACTCGTTGGTCCACCAATCAAAATCGAGACGCATCATCATGGGGATTTTGATCAAAGCGACTAAAACAGATTGCTCAATCGGTGAGGCGTAGTCATCTTGTGATGGGGAGCGCCATGCATGCCACACACTGGAATCCTCTCACGATAAAGCATCAAAGTCGGGCGATGCTTGGCCTCGACACGGGATGCTCCATTTGAACGGTCCCTCACGCTTGGTGAAAACCTTCGATATCGCATATACGGCGCAAATCGATACGGACAAAAGGAATTGTTGTCATCGATCAACTGGATTAGTACCTGTTTAATTTAATATCATGTATGATCGAATGCCGACTGTTTATTGGTCATTGCATGTGTTTGAAGTTGCAATGCCCCCTTGTCCCACCCACTGGTATGTCGAGCGGCTTTGGAACAAGGCTCGTCGACTTGAGCTACGTCCAAGAAGACGCTCCAGTCGATGGGCTTCGGGCATACCTACGAAGGATCCAAGGCGTGGACACGACGCCCGAGCCATGCCCTGCCTTTCCACCACTGGCGATTCTTCCTGCCAACCGCACGGCTTCAAACTACACAGCCGAAGCATTGGCCGCCAAAGCGAAGACTCTCTGCTGGTCTTTCGTGGCATGCTTCACCGGCATTGCCATCCTAGCGTACATTCATTACAACTTGCATGCAACTTACGCTTCTGGTGTCAAGGTATGGACCATCGGCGTCGACATGTATAACTGCTGTTTATGGAGCAGGTCCTGTCGATCACGGGCTCATTTGGAGCCATGGCGATTCTCGTGTTTGGCGCAATACATGCGCCACTGGCCCAGCCCAGGGTTCGTCCATTTCATTCGGCTTCTTCGTTCGTATTGCTGAAGCAACCCTTAGAATTGCATTGTCGGCAATACATTGAGTGCATTTGTCGGAGTTGCAATCGCCGACCTCTTCCATCACGTTGCCCCTGGGGATGAGTGGAAATGGCTCAGCTGTGCCCTCGCCATATCAATCTCCCTCGTCGCCATGCAACTCACCGACACGGTGAATCCACCAGGGGGAGCGTCGGCACTTCTCGCCGTCACATCTGGTCGCGAGATCCAAGACCTAGGGTACTTGTACGTAGTCATACCCGTGTTCACAGGCAGCTGCATTCTTGTGCTGGTGCGTCGACGCACAATTCTTCTTGAGCGGTCCCCACTCGCGCCTCGTAGGTCAGCGTTTTAGTGACGAATGTGCAGCGCCAATACCCTCGCTACTGGTTCTCGAAGTGACGGCGGAGCATCCAACTCCACCCCAAGAAGCCTCATGGAAGGAATCGGTCTTTGGCACGCCGCTTTAAGCCATCCATGCCCCGCATCCCCGAAGTTCCGAGAGCTCCTGAAGCAACAGTATTTCTGGTAAAGCTGTACCTAGTGCACCTTAATCATTGTATACGATACAATACAATCTGAAATACTGCATTCATCCCCGAGACTTCAACATATTTGTATAGGTACAGTACAACTTAAAATATTGAATGCGCCATAACAGTGGGGAATAATATATAGTCGAGTTATGATTTTTTGTATAGGTACATAAAAGAGGAAACTATGCATTACAAGATACAGAAGCAAGAGGAATACAGGAAGTAGTGTTGTCGTGCACCCACCTGTGAACTCATCAAGAGGGTGTAAAAATAGCTGACCAATCGCTGCGTCGTGGTGCTTACGTCAGCGATGGAGGCAGAATTGCGATCGACATGGCGGTGCCACCGCCGCCAACGACTCCATGCTCAGCGGAAAATGGAGTGGACGGGGGGTTCCAGAGAGTGTCGGACACGGTTCCATCCAAAGGACCTCTTCTGATCAGTACATATGCTCTCAAATTTCGCGGCGTGGAGTCGATGCCGGGGAATCCCGAGGTGAACACTGCGTATCCGAGCCTTGCGATCGATCCGATCCACCGCAATGCCGCATACGATAGCCACCGACGGCGCCATCAGGTTTTGATACTGTTCTGGTCGTTTCTCAGTAGCTTCTGCGGCATTGGCATTCTTGCTGCAATCCAATACAGCGCGAATGCCAAGTTTGGAACCGGCGCCAAGGTGAGGAAATGCCTCGACATCTCGGGGCCATTCTGCACTCCTTTCAACACCACAAATGTAGTTGCAATCGATCATCGGTTCGTTCGGTGCCTCAGCCATCCTTACCTTCGGCGCGATACAGTCGCCCCTTGCACAGCCTCGGGTGCCGTCACCACCTGTATTTCGTATCCTAACGTTGTGGGGTGTGTAGAATGTTGTAATGGGCAATACCCTCAGCGCAATCGTGGGGGTTTCCGTCTCGAAGCTCTTTCTCCACGTTGCTCCTGGGGACGAGTGGAAATGGCTCAGCTGCGCGCTTGCTGTGTCGCTCGCCCTCGTGGTCATGCAAATTACAGACACTGTGCACCCCCCCGGCGGCGCGACAGCCCTCATCGCTGTCATTTCCGGCCCAGAGATCCAAGACCTTGGGTACTTGTACGTGGCGATGCCGGTTTTTACGGGCAGCATCATCCTCGTCTTGGTGCGTACAATGCAATAAAGGACACCCAACGTGCACAAAGCATCAAATCTCATGTGTTGTTGGTGCAGGTGAGCGTGTTTCTGAACAATATCCAGCGCCAGTACCCACGCTACTGGCTGTACAAAGCCTAACAATTCCATCAAGGATGGCCTGTTGTCACGTCTGTGCAGAGTGCTGAATGGTAACTGGGAATTCCACTACACACCCCCTTCTACCGACATTGCTTTGCCCAAAAAGACGGCGTGCCATTGCGAGAGCTCTTTTCAAGAACGATCTGTTCATCCAGGACTCGACATGCTCACCACACTGAGGTGCTCAGTCCTTCTGACCACACCATGGGCATGTTCATCGATGACTTTTTCGTGCCTGTTGTATTGCGTGCAGCACCATGACCAACGCGCTTACCATTGCTGGGATGTACACGAGTAAAACCGGTAGTGAAGCAAAACATGGGCATCGTTGACCGGTCGTGGCCATTTGAATAACGTCCCACGCATCACATCGTCGCTCGATGTGCAGCTTTGCGCCGTACGCCGTACCCTAAAGCCACCTAGCTCGATGCGGACAGTTGACGACGAGCGAGTCGGGGTCGTCTATGTGGTGTAAACACAGTCGCGAGCGCAATATTTCCTCGGACGATTCGGGCATACATGCAGCGACGCTCATCGTTCATGGCGTGTGATCACGTCTTAACCTCGGTTGACTGCGACGGGGCCCCGCGACAGCACGTCAATGTCTTTTTCGATCTGGGTCAGTTCCTTCTCGAACGTTTCCTTCCGTCGGACTTTGCCCTGCGTATCAAACGACACGTTGTGGCACAGCTTTTGGTACTTGGCGTTCACGTGGTCCCACTTTGCTTTGAGGGCATCGATGAGCTGGAGGCGCTCGTCGTCGTCCATGGCTTCGACCTTGGGCTCTTGGTCGGCCAGGATGTTTTTGTTTTGCCGAACAAATTCCTCGATCATTTCGTTTTCCTGTTCGATTTCTTGCTTGACTTCCCGCAAGTACGACGGCACCTGCGCACACCGGGGACGAGAACGGATTAAGTTCCATACCCTCTCGAGAGCGGCCTGCAGCAACGACTGACCTGACCAAAGTCGGGCTTGTCGCGATATACGGGCGCCGTCTGCTTGGCTCTCGCGCGGTTCCCCGGCATTTCCAAGATCGCCTCCACCGCGTTGGCTGTGATAAAATTCTTGGACGTCTTGAGCCCCATCACAGGCTTCTCGTCAGCTTTGACCAGCGCAGGCTTTCGCGCCCCTTCGTATGTGAACTTGGTCGCTAATGGAAGCCACAATTGTCCAGTCACACCACTAGCTCGAAACCAAGTGATCGACGTACGCTTCGACTCGGGCATCTTGCATTTCGACTGCTTCTTTGTAAATTCCTTCGGGTCGGGCTTTTGGTTCAACTTGCCGAAGGTCTTGGCGGCTTGTGGCGGCGTCCGCGGCTTCTCCTCGCCCAAGTTGGATCCGAGCAACTTGGTCTTGCCATGGAGGCCGAACGTAGATGCAGTCGGCTGCGTGTTGGGGTCATGTGTTGACGAGTACCGTTTGGGCTTCTCAGGAACGACGACAACCTTGGGAATGAGGTTGTAGATGCACTCTTCCCGCTGCATGATGGATGGATGGCCAGGGAGGACGGGGAAGGAAGCAGGACGTTGTGGTGGTTCCGATGCAAACGAGAGCTGCCTGCCGTCGTGAGGAAGCACAGCCGACAATTGCAGCAGCTAAAACGACTATGGCAGCGTTGAGAAAAAAGCTATAAACAGCACCGAGTACATGCAACTGCCTCAAATCTAATTTTAGTAAGCAAAGGCAATTCGGGGGCCTTTGCTCCAGCCAGCACATTCTCCAGGTCCTGGAATTATATTCATGCTGCGTTGCGCCTTCAATGCCATTCTCGCTCGTTCTACCTCGCTACGTGACTTGTAGCTCGTGGATAATCACGGCGGATATATCGTCAATCCTGTACGGTGAGCATCAACTGATCTGGTGCGAGATCATGGCCACAAGCATGCGGCAGCTGAGCTCCTGAAGTATTGAACTCACCGATGTGAACGAGTCCTGTTGTACGTTGTCTCTGAAAACGGACAAGCTAGATTGGGTTGAACGTCATAAAGGTCGATTGATTGTGGCATTAGAACACAATCGTGTCCAACATTGCGCCGAGGCACTGGACGGTATTGAGTGCCATGAGATCGTACACGTCCGTTTCGAGGTGCTTCTTCGGGTCGATCTTGCCCACGTTCGACACGATGAGCTCGTCTGCCGTCTTCTCTTCCTCCTCTTGGACGCGTTCGTTGTACTGCTTGGTCAGCTTGAGCATAGATGTCACCATTTCTTCATTTTTTGCCGAGTGGGCTTCGAATTCGGTCAGAACGAGGCCGTCGCTCCACGTGTTTTTGTGAAGGTTCATCAGCATTTGCTCCTCCAACTCGTTCTTGCGGTAGTCGATCGCGATCGAGTAGTAGTGTCGGTTGAGCCCGTGAATTAGCGCCTGGATGCTCGGTTTGTTCAAGTGGCCGATGTTCGACGTCGTTTGGCGCGGCTCTTGGCCCAACATCATGAGCTGCGGGTTGATCAAGCGAAACGCATCAATGACGACCTTGCCTTTCACCGACTGAATCGGGTCCACGACGATACTCACGGCGCGGGCGTTCAGCGCTTCAAATGATTGCTGCGTGTTGATGTCGACACCACTCAACCAACAGCCGAACCCTGGATGACTGTGATACCACCCCACAACCATTTCGGCACGTCCAGTCTGCTTGAGCATGTCCAGCATCTTGGTCTGGAAAACAGGGTCCACAGCTTCGACACTGACCCCCGTCCCGCTCTGAGGCATTGCAAACACATCCAGACACACCACAGTGTAGTCGTCAACAAACTCCCCGAGCATGAGGCCCATCACTTCCATGGGAACGCCCGCGCGACCGTGCTTGAGCATTTTCAATAGCGCCAGCGACGAAATGTGCACCTTTTCGGCAGTGTCCACGGCAGGGCTGTCGTTCGCTCCGCCCATACCATGGCCTTGCATGCCAGGAAGGTTGCCGAAGAGTCGTTGCAGGCGATCCATCGTGATCGAATGTGCGGCGGTGAAATCGAGAAATCCAATTCTGCCTCTGTACATCGTTGTGATTGGGTAAAACATGGTTGATATGGATTGGACATAATTCCAACCTCGGACGCGCTATCATTCGTTAACACATGTAATTTTATCCAATCATACGTGGATAATGCATAGTCCCGACGAAGCGACGGTGGAGATGCTCCTGCACGCGGACACTGGGAAACGAATCCAATCCTCATTCGACTGTGCCAGCGACGCATGTACGCGTTTTCGATTCCATTGGAATATGTCGCACAGCGGCGCCATGGCTACAGGTCTGTGAACAAGATGAAAATTGTTTATTACGACTTCATGAACATTCAATTGTCGTGAATCATCTATTTGATGACAACACCAGGTGGTTTGACACGCACCAGGTGAATTCAATTTGGATGCAAATAGAACACGGGACAAACGGGGTGACTGGTCGCACTGACTTTCGTCTGTGCAACCGTGGCTTGTCCATCACTGCGGCGGCCAACAATGGAGCGTCGTCTTCGAGGACACTTTGCGGTAGTATAAATTCGGTACTGGACCACGAGGGGAGAGCGACCTTCGCGTGAGTTCGATCGTTCCGTGCGCTGAAAGCATCGTTTTTGTACTGTAATTGATCCAGGTTGGATCACATTAGTGCCCATTTGTGCCACTGTAGGCATCCACACAGCGTGTACACATGGCCTCGCCCAATCAAGTACGGCCATTTCTGGTTTATCAAAACGTTCTTGGTCAGAAAGTGGCAATTTTCATCAAATTAACGCCTCTTTTCGCCTCTAAAGGCCACGAGTTTTTTCTCTAAATCCATCGATTTAGCGCAAAGCATGTGCCAAGACATGGACGAGGTCCACTCAATGCCTTGCTTCTCCAGGCTGACTGGCTGCTGGGAACGGCTCTGCCCAGTGATTACGACGTTCTCATCGACCTGTCCCATACAACCAGTCTTGTTCGATTGCCGGCAAATTTCAACGAGGGGGTAGTTGGGGGGATTGGTGTGCCGCTTCACTTCGACCTCTGCGTAATGCCGGGGGGGCTGAGCCACCGAAATGAATGTAGGCAGCGCCACGTTCCACCAAGCTCATACCAAGCAGCATACGCGAATAACCAAACGGACACAGGACCTGGCGTTGGGTACAACCCGTCCAGCGACCCTCCGGCCACAACATTGCGGCATTGCGAGTGCAGCACCGTCCACTTTATTGCTCATTTTTACACCAATCGAATCTCGTCAAAATGATTTCATCCATATTCATTGGCTTGAATTATAACCAATGATGGGAGGGCATTTCTATCTCAAGAGAACGAGATCCAGTTTGGCCAGACGGGGCGGCCACATCACCTTTGGACGTGCGCGGCTCAGGCCCTCGGCGCCGCATTCCGTCTTCCACACAAGGCCTGCTCACAGACCCGCTGGCGAGTCGTGCATACACAGCAACTAGCGCAAGCAGAGTCGATCGGCAGGTACGAGTTTGCAGAGACGAGATTGCGGAAGGTTCCACGATCCTCGTCTTAGGTTGACATCGTTCGTCGTCGTTACTATTGCCGGAAGGACACCATTTCGGAGGCAACGAAATCCTTTCTGAACGTGTTTCGACGAAACACGTCCAAGTCGTACGATCCGACACCCGCGTCTCCGATGAAGTCGCCGCCGCCGTCGCCACAGTATGCATTCAACGAGCGAACGTCGACGACGCACTCGATCACGGCGTCCCAGCGGCATCTTCATCACCCCCATGTCCTCAGCAGCCCCAGCTACAACGAAAAGACACCGAAGAAGGAAAACCGAACGATGTCCCAGATCCGGAACGGCCTCCGCAGCATCACACACAAAGCGTCATCTCTCTTTGACGACGCAACCTCGTCGTCGTCGCGACGTCAACACCATTCATCCAGCCAAAGCGAACACTCTCGCACGAGCTCCCAGGTCACTTTGTGCCAATCTCCCAGCGCAACGCCTGTCGTCGCCCTCCATCTCGCAGGAAGTCCCAGGATCATCGACGACTCTGAAGACACACCCTCGTCTGACCAAACGACGACCTTATTATACATTCGAGACTTGACCCCGGACCCTCGAAAACTCCTTCGCTGCCGAGGTAGCTCGGCGCTAGTACGCAGTGTGATTCGAGCCAACATGATCGACTGCATGTCGTGCAAGTGGGCGTCGGGGTACTTTTCCTACGTGTCGTATGGTGTTCGCCGAAAGCAACTGACCAGTACGTGCCCCTCGAGACACTCCTTCGGCTCACACGTCGACTTTGTTGTAGCGCTGGAAGCGAACTCAGTGCGGTGGCTCATCTGCCAGTACATCATCCTCGAGGCGTCGCGGCGCAACGCCGTGCAGCAAGCTCTTCGCGACCAACTCACGAGAAAACTCACGGACTTTCGCATTGCAGTGCAGTGCGTGTCTGGCATGACAGTCGTTAAATACGGCCGCAAGGGGAAACCGCACACGACGCAACTCATCGTCGAGAACGCCGATGTGATTCGGTGGACGCCGAAGCTCGGCCACCATTTGACGTCCATGTTGCAGCAACAGAAGCAAAAGAGCATCTCGCTGTCGACCGTGATTTCCATCCAGAGCGGCATTAAGAGCGACGTGTTCCGCAAAGCTTTTAAGGAAGCCAAAGGCACGCTCGACCCGGCGTGCTGCCTGTCGCTGGTGACTCCCACACGGTCGCTGGACGTCGTCACATCGAGCCGCCAGCAATGCGACTGGCTCCAGCGCAGCATCTCGCTCATGGTGGCGCAGGCACATGAGAACGAGAAGAAGGCGAGCATGCATGTGGAAACTACAATCATGAAGAAACTCGGCGGCATGACCGTGTATAAGCACGGCCGCAAGGGCAAACCACACAAAACCAACTTGAATGTTGACAAGTATGGCGAAATCACGTGGAAAGGCAAGAGCGGCGGGGCGATCTTGCTTCAGGAAGTGCAAGAGCTGCGACTCGGCCATGCCACTGCCGTGTTCCGGCGACTACCACAAAAGGCCAACCCGAAGCACTGTGTCTCTCTTGTGACGGCGTCGAGGACGTTGGATTTGGAGCTTCACTCGGAAAGCGAACGGGATTACGTCGTCATTGCGTTCCGGTAGGTGTTGTGGATGGCAATGTCATGACGGTGTGGCGCATTTTGGTCGACTCGTCTTTCCGTTCATCGTGTCCGATGTGTTTGGTCCTCATGTTGTTTCGCTTGTAGATATCTCCTCAACAAGATGCGAGATCGCGCTCGGGAAGCCAAACGAATGAAGGCCGAACGTGGTGTCCGTCTTCTCCAAGAAGCGTACCAGTATCACGCGAGCCGCATGCAGCTGCAATCCCAACCAGTTGGTTACGACCTCGAACGATACCCTGGCAGCAGTCCTCCACCATCTCCCACGGCTGCATCATACTCGCAGTCCCCGTTTCCATCGTCCCCGGTCGCACTGGAACGATATCCGCAATCGCCAGCCATGCTGCCTCCTCCTCCGTCGCCATACTCTCAAGGACCGTACGCGGTGTCCCCCTCGTCATCGTTCTCGTCACCGCAGTTCCAACTGGAATCCAAGGTCCTCTCTCCACATTCGTCCGCCAAGCCCATACACGTCTCGAGGCTACCCCCCCACCAATTCCCCACATCCACGTCGTCCATGCGGGTGATGAAGCAGTCATTAGTGCCGTCTGCTACCTCGTAATCTATACATTTGTAACTCCACCGCGACCCCGTGCGTTCGGCACCGATCTGTTGGCTTCAAAAATCGACACGTCGCAACACGAACATGCCGTTGGCAATGCAAGCTCCCGATCGTTTTCTAGCCAACGACGATTCCCATCGACCTCCACTTGAATGCGCTGCGCACAGTGGCATGAACCACTTGCCCATCGCCATGTTCGGAGCACTGTCGGCAGACCATCGGTGGGGCACGACACCTGCACGCACGTTGCTCACCGTTCGAGAGCGATGCTTCCTATCGCACTTGGGGTCAGCGACGGCGCGAGATGGCGTGCCACCGATTTTTACTCCAAAGTTGGGACCGATATTTTCTTCTATTCGCGCAAGTCGCTGGGATGAATCATCACCCTAGGAGCGTGTCGTCGCCGGGGGCTGCGAACACTGGTGCGACTAAACTCTGAAGGTAGAGTTGCTGCTTGAGTTCTTGGTCGTATCGCATGCGCTCCTGCGCTCGCGCGGTGGCGACGCGGGCCGACTGAATTTCTCGTAGCGCTGTGTAATGCATCTCTTCCAGCACGTCGAGTTGGGCCATGCTGCACGACGCCAAGTACGGAGTTTGGCCAGGAACAAGGCCCACGGGGCTTAGGGCGACGTGCTGGGACAACGGCACGGCCGTGTGCATGTCTTCTTCCAACGACGTGAGAGTTTTGGTCATCCCGGTCGACGGATCCCCTTCGATGGCGACCAGACCCACGCACGCTGCTTGTGTCTGGGCCAAACCGTTGTGCTGGAGCGACGCACGGAGCAAAGCGAGGCCGCACCGGGCGCATCTACGCGATGCTACGTGTCAGGACATCTGGCCTGGTTCCACCACACTTACGCGACAGGCACACAGCGGTGGCAGTATAGTTGCTGGCAGGCTGGGCATTGTAAATTGTCGTGGATCCAGTCGCCACAAGTTCCGCACGCAAGCATGACCAGCGCATCTCGGACATTCTGGTCCAACTGGTGCAGCCACGCGAGTTTATCGGTCGGACGAAATGGCACGGAGCCCTTGCGGTAAGTGCGGTCGCTCCAAACCGTGCGATTGCTTCCTCCGCTATATAGCATCGATGGGGCCGTGGCTGCTGATGTTGGCGGCGACATTGTCATAGGCGCCATCGTCTACATGACGCGATGACAGTCGAATGGCTGACTGATCAGGTGTGTCGTACGAGGGAGGTGGGTCTGTGGTGTAAGAACGGAATGGATGTCGAGCTTCCGATCGTGTACCGAGGGGTCGAAACCACGTCTTTGTGATGGAAGTGATTGCTTGGAGGACTGTCCGGTGTCGAGACTTGAAAACGGCGAACACGACTGGGGGACTTGGGCGATGCTGCTTCTGGAGCTGCCACCAGCACAGGAGGCACAACGAGCGACTCAGGTGTCACTCGATGCGTCGGAGCGATTTCTTCGTCAACTTCCCGCATCAATCTCTGCGCAATCGGTGGAAACGTAGGTTGGGTGTGTGTTTGAGGTGCAGTCGAAGCTGGTTTCATCGAATGGACTTCGGACGCAATGTGTGTAGCATCACTTTGTTCCAACCCCACTCCATGTGGAGTCACTGGCTGGTGTTTGCCGGCGTCTTTCTTTTCGTGAGACTGCTTGCGGCACACTGTTGTCCAAGCGTCCTCTTCCACTGCGGGCTGCGGCACTTGCACAGCTTGAAGGCCAGTACTAGAACCAAAAATCAGTCGAAATTGCTTCAATGAATCTGTACCACTCGTACGTGGATGCCTGCACTGTGCGATTCGTTTGCGAGCCCAACTTGACTTGTTCGTCCGATGCGTCCGAGTCGTCGTCGTCGTCGATATCTCGTGTCGCAGCAGTCGCCGGCAGACTATGTGTGTTGAATGCATTTGGTGGGGGCGTTGCTGGTTTGTTGGCGAGTTGCTGTTTTTTCTTGGCCGCGCTGTTTTTCTTTTGTTTTTTCTTCTTTTTGGTTGATTTCCCAGGCGTGGCGACGCCCAGGGACGGGTCGTCTTCGAGCTCGAGCATGGTTCGCATGCGCTTGTTCACTTCCTCTTCGAGTTTTGCCCAGTGCACTTTAAGAAATGCGACGCATGGTTCGCTGCCTTCGCATCCCGTTTGCTCGGCTTCCTGTCGGTTCCGTCCCAACCGTCAACAGTGAATTCACATGACAAGAACGTCGCGTCGGGTAGCTTCGTACCTCCAACGGTGTCTGGCCCACGGCATTTCGAATCGTGATGTCTGCCCCGCCCGCCAGCAAGGCGTGACAGCATTGCAAATACCCGCACGACGCCGCCAAGTGCATCGCAGTGCTTCCATCTCGGTCTTGGACATTGACCAGTTCGGGGCACCTACATCACGATAGCATGAATAGCGACGGGACGACATCCAACTTGAAGGGACACAAAATCCGACAAAAATGCCTCTCACTGAGCACACTTGCCGAGGCAACGGAAGGAGGGGAAGGAAAGGGATACAAATCCAAAACAAAGTGGCTGATATGAATCGAAATGGTATGAATATGCTCGCCAAAGTCAGCGAGCATCGAATCAGAAAACACTAGGTTCGTAGAAACCGACGGCATCGATGAAAGGCGTACCGTTCGAGGAGCATGGTGACGATGGCTTTGCGCGCTGCATCCGTGGCTTCATCCGACTCCTCTCCAATCATAGTCGCGCACATGAGGGTCGTGGCGCCGTAGTGGTTGGTCACTCGTGGATCAGCACCATGGCGGAGGAGCACAGCCACTGCCGCGTCGCGGCCTTCGATGCATGCCCACACCAACGGCGTGTCTACAAGCAACGACTCGTGGGTAAACGACCTCTACAAGACCAGATGTCATACACACCCGCATTGATGTTCCAAAAGTCGATCTGGGTTGTGTGTTTGCACATTTCTTCGACAATGTCCGGGTCTCCGTTCTGGTACAGGAACACGGAGTCAACATGGACGATTGGTGACTGCATCTTGGGTACTGCGGCACCAAGATGCGTCCAGATTGCTTACTTTGGCGGCGAAATGAAGGGCCGCGCTCCTGAGTTCGAACGTCCGAAGGTTTGCGTCAGCGTTGCGTCGCAAGAGTTCTAGCACGACGTCACGATTGCCTTCCGCTACGACAACAACAATTGAGAAATATGCACGCACGAAATCGATGGACAAGTACGGCGACGCACCAGCAGCAATCATGAGCGCGGAAAAGCCATCGACGTCCACCGAGTTCAACAACTCGCCTTTGACGTCGCTGCTGAGGAGAAAGCGAAGAGTCTCAACGTTTCCTTCCGCTACACGCGCGAGCGTTGAGCACGGGCGGGAAGAATATCAGACGACAAACAAACCTGCGCATTCAAAGTACGCGCGCGACATGGACTCTGTATCCATTTCGAAGTCAAACTCGATACCGAGATCCTCCAGCAGATGCAGTGGCACATCAACTTCATCGGCCTACTTACATCGCGATGATAGTTCCTCACGGCCTTTGAGAATCTCTATGCGCATCCATGACATACGCACCTCGATAGCATGCCGCAGTTGCGATGGCAGCATGTCGTCGGCCAAATTGGTGCTGGTGGCGCCGTCGGCGTTCGGTCACTTTTCCGGATACGATAAACGGATTTATACGGATGACTCGCCACCGTTTCAAACACGTTTTAGACACGTCTTCCAATTTGATGCATTTTAAATATGATTTCAGTATTTTAAACATTCACATGTGTGAAAAACTGCAGAGCTTTGCCATTCTCGGCTGTGTGTGCCTTTGCCATGACGTGGTGCGACTCAGATCGCTTTAATATCGTCCACGATGGTCACATGTGTCGCGAACGGAGCCACTGATCTCCGGGCCACATGAGCCGTCGTAGTCATCGTGTACGCGCCGTGCACGGCACTGCTAAGTACGCAGCTTTCCCATCAAATGTGCCCCTCAACCTCATAGAGGCATCCTCGCCGAGCCAACAGGATTTCTGCCGCGATGTCCTTGCAAAAGCAATACAGATCGTGTCCACAGCTGCTCCCTCTTTGGTCGCAACTTCAAGTGTAACCGACAATGGCTTTCAAGAGAAGGTTGAAACGGCCACATCACGCGGCGGTTGTGCGACTGGCACTCGTCGATGTCTCCATCACTTGGTAAAAGTGCTCGACTCCCGTCGTGCTGGATGCTTTATCTTCGCTGCCTCGTCGTCACGTTGGCGCCGTCGATCCACGCTGCGTCCTTCGTGCGCAAGGGTGACGAAATCTTGGTCAGCCATACAGCGTCATTGGCCACCGTGGATGCATCAACGGGTGCGTCGTCGATTTTGCAGTTGCTGCCGGCTTCTCCAGCGTTTACAGCAGGCCAGCAGTCGCGAGCTGTTGCCGTGAGTCGCGACGTCATGAACACGTTGCAAACGGTCCGAGGAGGCTCACCCACGTTTTACCAAAACTTGTACGCGGCGCTACAAGTGTGCTACTGCGATCACTTGAATAGTCAGTATCCGCACATGCCATCGGACGAGCTCAACGCAGTGTGGCCGGCTCAGATGCCGCCCGGCGCGGTTGTCCCTCCCTACGTTCGCCTCGTGCACCACTCGCATCCGAACGCATTGAAAGATCGCACCACGGGCGCTTGCATTCCGTCAGCGAATCCGTCCCCGAGCATTGCCGCCCAGTACGCCAACGGGTACTGCGAAGTCACGGCCAATTGCTACTGGAACGGTACAGTGCCCTGCACACCTGCAGCGGGTACTTATGCTCCCGCCATGTAGACGTCGTCAATAGTACCGCCACGACTGACAGAGCCCCAACGTATTCAATCTTGCAATCGACTCTGCCAACGACAACACTACCATCGTTAATTGACGCAAAGGAAACGATGACGTCATGGGCAAAGAGCGTCGCGGTGTGCGTCGCACCCGCCATTGTCCTGGGAATTGTCAGTCTCGTCACGACCTTGCTCTTCCTAAGTTGCCGCTGTTGTTTTAACAAGTGCGGAGGCCGCAGCGCGAGGCCGGAGGGGTACTCGTGCCTCCAAAGGGCCATCCCTATCGTGGTGTTTGCCGTCTTTGGTGCGGCTATCCTTGGCCTGACACTCTGCGCGCTGCTGTACAACACAGTGATCGTTGACAGCGTCGACCAACTTTTTGAGAACCTATTGGATCTTGTTCAAGACGTCGTGCGGTGGATTCAAATGGCAGAGGTACCCCTCGTCCACGTGCGAGATAGCGTCGAGAGCGCTGTCGAATCCATTTCGACGCAACTCGTCACATCCGACTTCATTGAGAATGGCCTGAACGGCATTGTCGCGCACCTCCAGCAGTAAGTGCTGTTTTCGTCCCCCATCGACCTTTCGCCTGTGTGCCGAGGTTTGCAGTGCCTCGAAATGACGTGTTCTTGCTGGGACATTTTGTAGGTTTGCGAACGAGACGTCCGGCGTGGTGCTTCCCCATGGTTGCACGCTTGGTGTGGACACAATTTGCATCGCATGCGACGTGTGCACTGCTGTGAATTCTCTCGCTGCTAGCGCAACGAGCCAAATGGAAGCCGTCGCTGCCAATGGGATCGTTCAGCTGCAATCGACGCGGTGAGTCCCACTAGAAGATGGTCGAGGTGTCGAGCGATGTTGAAGAACCTGACGACGTTGCGCTTGTGGCAGGAGCACGATCGTAAGCACGCTCGTGGGCACAAAGGACTCGATCAAGAGCGCTGTCAACGCAGGTGTCGATGTCGTGCATGGTTTCGTCCCTCTATTTGTCGACGCCAACTCGACCATTCGGTGGGTCCCCCATTTTCACACACGTTTGAAATGTCCATTCGGTTGCACACTTGCGAAATGTCCACTATGCTCCCAAGCACATGCCGCCTGGCATGCGAGCTTCAAAAATTGGTGGGCACTGACGTGACTTCTTCTGCGTCGTAGAAGCACGCAAGCGACGTGGCTAGACCAAACGGTGGTTCGACGTGGCGCGATCCTCGGGTTGTTTGCCGTCGCCATCGCGATTCTCGCGCTGGGAACAGTCGGGATTGTGTTGGGGCTGACACCGCTGCGGTGCCTTGCAATCGAACTTCATCTCGCGTATGTACTGGGTACGCACAGCACCACTTGAACAGCACTATCTCGATGGCTTGTATTCACTAAAGGCACTGGTAGGATTTGTGGCGCTGCTATTCTTGTGCATTGTGTCGGCCGTGTTCCTCGCGTTCAGTGTGCTCCTTGGCGACATGTGCCAGCTCACGTCGATCGCTGCAACGGACTGGTCGCCCGTCTTTGGTGCGAGCGGAGGCAACGCGCTCAACGCGTGCTTCCACAACGAATCGTTCCTGCACGCGCTGCATCTGGACGACGCGCTGTCGTTTGCCGACGTCATTGAGATTCCTACCATCGATCTGACGAGTATGCTCGCCTTCGACGCGCTCGACCAGTTCGCCCGAGCGATTCTATCCGTACGTGGTTGTGGAATTGCCTCCAACAAATTGTTCATCGCTCACGTGGCGCCAGGCGGACACTTCGACGTTTGACGTGAATCCATCTCAAATCGTCCAATTGCTAAATGTATACACGTCCGAGACTCTCCTCGCTCCCAATTTTCAGCAGTTGAGCCCCGAATGCAACCCCCACGACGGCGAGTACACGATCGCAACCATCCTGACCCCGTGGGTCGCCAATGGGGAAGCATTGCATGCCCACAACGTGTCGTCGGCCGCCGCGTACATCGCATCACGCTACGCCCCGTACCGAAGCGCATGCGCGTCAACCGTCACGACCACTTGTGCCCGCAGCGCCCCGTGCGCGTACGACGAGTTTGTCACGGAGCTGTACACCAACGTACGCTGCTGGACTTGGACATTCGTGTCAAGTGATGCGTGCGTGATGTAGACGAGCACCGTCGTGTCGATTTCAACCGACGCCGACGCGTTCGTGGCCAAGATGCATCAAAGCATGACGCGCCTGCAAAACTACACGGGCGCTTTCAAGGTGCTGCGGATGCACCCATGAGAGTTGTGAAGGGCGGCGCGAGTGCATGACTCTCCTGGCGTGACTTGTGTTGCGACCGCATGAGCATCGGGACTAACGTCGGCTTTGTTTTGTACAGACCAATGTGACAACACTCGTGGCCAGCTTGGACAACGTCGGGGACACGCTCCAATCGTCACTCGTCCAAGACGTGACCGCGTTTAAGGCGTCGATGAATTGCACCTTTGTCGCGACGAACTATGCCAACTTGCACGACGCTCTGTGTGGTATGTCGTGATGCGATGGCTGTGGCGTGGTGGCATCTATGGTCGGTTGTAGATGAGCTCACGCCCGCGATGCTCATGGTGGCGCTGTGTCTCTTCCTATCTGGCTGCTGCTTGATCCCCGTCAACGTGTGCCTCATTTTGCTTGTCAAGCGGCTGCGCGCGCGGTCGCTGTCGTCCACGGAAAAGATTGCGTGCTAAAGGTCTCGTACGCGACCGATGAAGTGCCACCCACGACGCCAACTTTCAAGTGTAGCTACCTCACCACTCGTATCCTGAACGACGGCACGCTTATATACATGTGGCTGCACGCCGATGGATCCCTGCGCAGGTTCAGGTCGTGCGACCACGCGCCAACAGCGATAGGAGATGTGTCCATCCTTTCTACCGCTGCAGTGCGGTCGCGCAGGTTGCTCGCATGCGGAAGCGACGTCGTGCCGTGTCGGCATCGATGCAATTTCGGATTCAGTTGACCACGTTGGACGTCGACGAGTACGTGCCGACGATTCCACGTGTCGTGGGAATATGGCGACGGAGTGTTGCAAGTCGTGCCGATGAAAAAAAAACGTTGTGATTTCATGCAACGTTGCTACGACGCCTACTTGTACTTGGTGTCCATCTCGGCGGCGCCGCCCGTGTGCTTGTGGCGCAGTCGCTTGACCATGATGATGAGCGTGATGATGACCGGGATGAGGAAGATGCCCATGAGGAAGAGGAAGAGCGAGATCATGAGGAAGGACGGCACCATGTTCACGCAAAACTCGTCCGTGAGTTGCTTGTACGTGTCGGCGACAAATGCGCACCGCATGCGGGCCTTGATCAAATTGACGTCTGCAATGAGCGACGAACCGAGGTCGTTCCCGATGCCGGTCAGCGTCATCGTCAGGCTCGTCACGTTGTCCTTGAACGTGTCAACGTACCCGACCAAGTTGTTCATGGAGGTCGTCATGTTGGTGACAAAGACGGCGGCGTCGCGCTGAATGATGCGCAGTGTGCTCGCGTTGCGCCAGATTTCCGTGACAAAGTCCGAGTAGTGGCAGGTTGCGGACGAAGCCATGCACTGCATGGGCCGGCTGTTGCATTGGGCATTCTACAACGATCCTCGTCAAGGTCTCCAATGGACAAGGCCATGACGAGAGAAGGAGGCACGCACCTTGGGAGTGTACCGAGTCTGCATGTACGTCTCGGCCGTCGTGGACGGCGCTGCGTCCGAGTTGGCCGTCCACGGCGTCAAGATGTTGGCATCCGTGTAATGTCCGTCCGCGACGACGCACCCGCCGGCGTTTACGTTCGTCTGCGAGTTGAGGGCGTTCACAAACTGCTGAATCGCGGCCGGGTCGAACGAAAACGTCGACGTGGTCGTCGACCCGATGGTCTGCGAGAACGCCGTGAAGCTGGAAAAGTCGAGCATCGTGCCAAGATCGATCGTGGGGAACTGGATCTTGTCGGCGAATGCAAACTGGTCCGACAGCTTCATGACGTCGACGAGCGATTCGTTCTTGAAGCACGCGTCCACAATCTTGGCGTCTTCGCCGAGCGCGATGGTCCAGTTGCCCGAGATCACATCCGAGACTTGGCAGATGTCGCCGAGGAGGACGCTGACGGCAAGGAAGACGGCCGACAAGATGAACGTGATGATGATCGCAATGAACGCGATGATGTACGCGACGTGCATAATGACGACGAGGCATCGCAGCGGCGTGAGACCAAACAGAATTCCGAGCAGTCCCAGCACAATCACGACAATCGCGAGGGCAAACAGCGCGATGATGCCGTACTTGGTCACGGCCGTGTTGCTGTTCCACTGGGTTTGGATGTCGACGACGGGCGCCGTGTTCGACTTGAGCGTGTCCATGAGCGTGTCCTGCGTCGTTACTGCCATCTTGACGACGTCTTGGATCGTGTCGCTGGCGCCGATCAACAGCGACTTGATCGACGACCGAGTCTCTTTCAAGCCTACACAGCGCCGCCACGACGTCGTCACAACGGGGATGCGTGCACGTGAACGTACTCTTGACGCCGGCGCCGGCGGCCGCGTCGATTTGTGTGCTGACCGTGTTGATTTGCGTGTTGATGTTTGTGCAAGCCTGGCACGCCGTGCAAAAGAGATCACGACCGACGACGCAGTGGAGCGGCAGGGTGACCCCATACGTCTGGGCCTCGAATGCCGTGAGCTGGTTCATGATCCCGGAGAGGCCGGTTTCGATGAACCCCGAGTTGTCGAGCTGCGTCGAAATCTGGACGCCAGAGATTCACGTCAGGGTATGCACGGAGAAGGCGCCGAACGTACCTTGCTCGAGGACAACACCACGTTGTCACCAATGTGCTTGAGCGGCGACAAAAGCGATGCCACCCACGTCGTGATCGTGTCGATGAGGGCCAGCATGATCTCAAAGATCTTGGACACGGACGTCGTGACGATGCCATAGTACACGTACGAGAGCGCGGCGAGGACGAGGATCGCGATCGCAAACAACAGGTAGAACAGGATCGGGAGGAACTTTTCCATGCAGTTGTACCCGCCTGGCTTGCCGTTGCGGCCCCCGCACTTGTTGCAGCAGCAGCGGCACAAGATGAAGAGCAGGATGCTCAGAATACTCAAGACGAGGAGAATGATGGACGGCACCACGACGGCGCCGAACCCCTTGGCATACGTTTGAACAAATGCTTTGGCGTCCGAGATGCGGTATGCGCCGTCGGGAGGCTGCGGGCCCTGGAGAGTCGAGTACTTGGGGCCGCGGTCCGTCAACGCCGTCTCGTCAATGGGAGCCCAGTAGCAATTGGGCTTGACTTCGCACAGCCCTTTGGCGTAGTTGGCCGCGACAACCCCCGTCGGGCGGGCGACATGGATGCACGCCCCCGTTTCATTTTTCAGCGCGAGTTTGCTGTCCTTGGAGACAAACCTTGGGGGCCATGACGTGAGGACGATGGTGAAACACAGGGATGACAAGGGACGTCGTACCGAAAGTAGGGGGCAATGCCTTCGTCGGGACCGGTCCACACCGCGTTGGTTTCTGCGGTGTCGGCGTGGCCATCCTTTGCGCATTGTTCGTCGCACATGAGAATCTGGACCGTAGTGATTAAGTTGGCGTAGAACGTGGGGTCGCCGCCTCGCAGGTTGGTCAGGAACTTGAGCGCATCTTGGCTAAATTTCTTGGCCGAATCGAGTGTTTCATTGTTTACTTCGGGAACATCCACCAAGCGACGTAGGGAGGCGTGGTGCGAATACTCCAACGGGTTGGTGGCGGCGGCGGGATTGGCGCCGAACAGGGCGACAGTGGCGGCGGCTGTCGCGGCGGCGCGCAGCACGAGCTGCATGGATGCTTTGGCTGCCGTAGCGCGCTTCGAAAGCAAAAGTGATCTCCAGGGTCGCCACACGCTGAAGAAGTACACGACGATAAATTTGGCCCACGGGCACCATCGTTCTTGGCCATGGTGTTGCGTTGATCTATTCCTAGCTCCCTCCATCCCCTCCTGCATCAAACTAGGAGCTAAAGATAGCCGTTCCCTGCTACCACATTCCCACCGCTTATCGCCCATCGCGAAAGGCATCTCGGACAAGAATGCCTATATTTAAGTTGGAAGGGTGCCATGCCACCATCTTTGGCCATGAAGTGAGGAGTCTCGTCATTGGGTTGAGGCTACAAACCAAGTGGTTAAGCGGTTATCGCGACGATGCTCGGGCGCCTGCAAAACCACACGCGAGAGGTGGGGTTGGCTGGCTTCACATTGAACCACTTGGCGACGAGGATCGGGTACACTTCTTTCACGTGGGGGGTCATTGCCAGAGTCTGGCGAGACCGTCGAAGGCGGTTTGCCAACACCAAGAGGCGAATGCGGTACACGCGGCTGTACACTCGCCAGAATCGGCCCTGGATGGTGCGACTGTCAAGCGAGTTGGAGGGCAATAGTTGTACCGATTGAAAGTGGCGCCACGCAGCTTGGATAAGGATGGCGGCCCGCCGAACTTGGCCGAGAACATCGAGATGAGTCGAATGGACGAGGCAGGAAAAGTACTTTTGTTTGGACGCGAGCAGCATGACGGCAAAGCTAAAGGAAGATGCCCAGGGGTACAAATGTGAGTGGGTTGGCCATGACGTACCGGCTTCGAACAAAGCCTTGAATGAGGCGGACAGCGTTATCGATGTGCAGCTTGGCAATGACGTGGAGGGGTCTGGGGCTACAACTCGAGGAAGGCGGCCTTCGCCTCACAGGTAGCACCACATGAACGAGCCACCGGTGGATGCAAGCGTAGGGCAATGGGGCACTTTGTACTTTTCGTACGAGCTGTCGAGGGTCGAAAGTTGAGGCGGTGACATGCCGACAGAAGATGAGGCGGTGCAATGGCGGGTGTGGAATGGCCAGTGAACGCAAAACGGGGGCAGGGATGATCGATACCCCTGGATGCAGTTGATAAAGGACCTACAAGTGGTGAGCTTCATCATGGAACCATCATGAAAATACCTGCTGCACCCACAACTGCAACGAATGTACGAGTTGGACGTGTTTGAGCGGTCGCAGTCTTGGTTTGCGTCGAGGCGGAAGACGTCGAGGGGGTTCGGTCGCCTTGACCAGACGCGTTGGTTTGGCCGGTGCTTGGGGCTTGGTCGGCGGTGGTGCTGTTCGAACCTGGGGCACCTTCGCCACTGGGGGGCTCAGAGACGACTGTGTGGCAGCAACGGCGATGGCCATGGACACACCCAATGCCACCAGCGCTTTCGCCACGATCGAGGCACACGTTGGCAAGCCCATTATCCGCCGACGGTCGGGGCATATATAGGTTGGAGGTTTCCAGGCGAAACTCCGCAGTTACAGCGGCAAACTAAGGTCAGCCGCTTGGGTGCATTTGCATGATCCAATTCCACCGTCCTCAGGCTGTGCGATCAAGTTGGTGCATTTCTCGAAAAAAGTCGTGCGTCGATGGGCAGAGCTCCCTGTAGACCCGACTGATGCGCCTGACATCTTCGATTCGAGCGGCTCTGGACAATCCACTGCATTTGAATACGGTGCGTCGTAGTTATACTGTTATTGCCATCGACCAGGAACGTGCCGCCTGAGGAAGCGCGCAGTCCCTCGCTACATCATGCGAATTTCGAGCTGGTTTAACCGTTCGTTCACACCGAGAGGGAGTCGGATCTTGATCATGCCAGAGAACGACACGACTGCCCGCGCCTTGTCCCTCAGTTGCTTGCACATGTGCCCCTGGGTCTCGACCGCCGGGATCGACGCCTTCGTGCGCTCCGTCTCCCATACGAGACACTCCATGTACCCCACGAGGAGGAGGTGTACGTTTTGTTGTACGCCTCGATCCATTGACATAAGCTGGTCGACGGCGGCTTGTTCTCCGCCCTACAAACGTTGTCCCGGTGGGAAATACAAACCACCAAAAATTGTGCGCTCGTACCGGCACCGGTAGAAGCGCCAGCGCTTCAATGAACACGATGCCGTCCGTGAATTTCTTGGCGTCCAACAGCTCCAGAAACAGACCAATGTTCATCAACGTCTGGAACGCCAGGGCCGCGCTACGCGCATGGTTCAGTGCAATGTCGAGCGCCCACGACGCCCGAAGCCACGTATCGGCAAAAGTTCGCGCGTGGTTAACCCACGTCATTCGGTCCTACAGCTCCAGCAACATTTCGTTACAAGGCCCGTCACTGATCCAGTCGACGTGGCATACCGGCGTAGAAAGCGTTCGAGTGAGCTGGGCGTTCAACAATACCATGCCGCCTTCGACATCGCCGACCAGCGTCAAAAGTTGCAGCGCGTCCTCATGCCGGCCTTGGTTTTGCGCTTGCTGGGACGCCCAGAGGACGATTTCGCGCACCTACACGATACACTGCTTCGTCAGGCTTGTCCCCCACCAAATCGCATCAACCGGCGCTTCCACACCGATCCCAACCTTTCGTCCGTGGTGCTACACACATGGTCGTACCTCTGTTCGGGTCTGGTACAAATCCAGCGCGCCAGGAATGCGGGAGCCATCCGTGGGATCGGTCGCCCCCGCCAGCGCTTGGAACGCGACCGTGTCGAGGAGGAGGTCGCTGCTCAGCGCGCGGACCATGTCGGCGTCAGGATGGCAGGCAATATACATGGCGGCGTCGCTCGGGTTGGTCGTTTGGAACTGGTGGATGTACTGTCGTAGGAGGCGGGTGAAAAAGTCGGGGTTGTTCGACTTAATGTGAGGAGCGAGTGAGATCGCAACGTGGACGGCTTCGACAACAAAGCCCTTGGCGGCCAGTGACTCGACGGCCGCGTCGAATCTCTGGCACACTACTAGCAGTCGCACGTACTCGAATACACCGCCCAGTGTCGTGTGGTTAAACTCGGACGGCTGGACGAGCGCGAGGACCTTGGTTGCGACGTCGAGAGGATCCGTGTGCTGCTGGCTGCAGAACTGCACTTGCCACAAAAAGTCTTCGATATTCTCGACCACGCCTGCGTTGCGGAAGAGGGGGTCGCGACCGGTCACCAAATTCACCACGGCCACTTCAAATCGGTTCGTTGGCAATGACGGCGACGATTTGTTCGTGGCCACCAACGTGTCAAATACGGTTGTGAGCTTGTGGTACAGCGCCGGGTTGGCCTGTTCCAACGGCTGCACTTTCTCTGCTGAGCTCGTCGACGCAATGTGCTGCAGCGCTTCCTGCAATTCCAACCATCCCATTCCCGTTAGTATGATGGTTCAACGCCATGATATTCATACGTACAATCACTAGCGGCAACGACGACGAACTCGACAATTGGCCCTCGGCCACCGCGATGGCGTCAGAAAGACTGCCGCTTCGAAGCAAGTAGTACACGACCGCCCACACCTGTTGAGGGGGCAAAATTTGCTGCACATCGCGAACGTACGTTAACACAAGCGCACGGCGGCCAAAGTCCCCACCCCGGGGCGCATTGAGCTGCGCCAGCTTCGTCTCGATGAAAACAACGTATCGCGATTCAAAAAACTTGCGTGCCCCGGCTGCAAGGGCGACAGATCGCAAGGAACTTGTGGACGAGCGGTGTTGGGTCATTTGGCCAAGGAGCTCCCACACGCACAGTGACTCGTGCTCGGCGGAATCAGTGGAGAGAGAAGGAGCCACCAACGACTTGGCGGCAGATGCAAACGCTTCGATGAGGTTGAACTCCGGTACGGAGAGGGATTTGGCCTGGAAATATGCACGGACGGCTGCCGCGTACACCTGCATGGCCTCGGACATGGCGCTGGGTTGTGTAGATGTCGTAGCTTTGGCAGCAGGAATGAAAGATGTAGATGTCGTCGACGGGAGGTTCACGGGACGCTGGGACGCGAGAGGAGCTGGGGTCGACTTGCCCTGGAGGTCCTGCATGAGCTTTGCTTTCGATGACTGGAACTCGCTCGTCAGCGCATTCATTGCACTCTGTTGTGCTGCACGCGTCGACGCTGCCAAAGCTTCTTCAATAGCAGTCACGACAATCATTTCGTGGTGGTGGCGGAGAAACCCGTCGAGGTCGCAAGCGCCGAGAGATTCCTTGGGCTCAAACGAGGCCTTTAGCTCGTGCTGGCGAAGTTCACGGCTGAGTTTCTCTGCGTCAAACCCACGTCCAGCCAAGAGGAATTGTGCCTTGTTCGTGGCTGAGGATGAAGCAGCGGCCGACGAGCCGAGCGACTTGGCGCTTGTGACGGCATGCAGCTGATCGAGACTACGTTGCAGTGAAGGGAGCTGGTCCATGCCCCGGGTGAGCTGCAACGAGTTCTGGTATAAACTTTCAAAGTCCAACTTTGGCTTCTTCGACGCCGTTTCATCTGGGATCGCCGCGCCGGCGCGGGTCACGGCGGC